ACGAGCCCATTTAAATATATATCTGTAGACTACACGTGACAGATCATGACCCATATTTTCTGCCTATTCTAGGCCATTCCCATATATTAATTGAATTTTAGATGATACTTTACAAATTCCGTAAAAATGGATATCGTTCGTTATTTGTATGGGAAATTAAATTAGACAGCATGCTCAGTTCGCTGCAACGCGGAATTCATCACTGAGAGGGCTGCACATTGAACTATCCATTGGTAAATTCCCTTACCAGCCAATTGACCAATCGTCCGTCTCCGTGGCCCAGCTGGTTAAGGCGTCCGACTGTTAGTTTATACAACTAAACAACCACAATCGGGAGATCGGCAGTTCGATCCTGCCCGGGGACGATTCCTTTTTTGCCGCCATGGTATTGTAGTGGTAGTGCACTACCTGGAAACCACTCTAGATGGGACAGTGATAGTAGGGGGCTATTTTCTGGAACTTTAGAGGGCTCGGGTTCGAATCCCGGTGACGGCTCGAGATATCTACCACGTCCCTGACCTATTAGTACTAATAGTGGGTCTCCTCTCCCTATCTGTAAGGCAGTTATCTTTTTATCTACCTAATCCAACCGTCGGGAATGGGTATAAATAACTGGCGAATCGCCTACACTTATAGAAGCTAGAGTGGCTATCTCTGGTCTTCAATGTATATAGAAATTTATAGCTTAGCCCATCCTCATATCCCTAGGAAGGTCAGCGTTAGGGAAGGTAGTTAGGGTCATAGCTCTGCCTTCGCTTCGCCAGGACGTTAATGATAACAATAACAACAACAAAATACATAGTCATGCCTATATTGTCAACATGCTAGGTCACGAGGTTACAGGAGAAGTTTACTTGCACAGTATTAGTGTTTGGCAGTGAATCTGGTATATAACCGCAGATATACCATGCGCCACCTGATGAACAGCTCTCAAGTATACCAGATCGTCAAATAGGAGCTCAACGTGACATGACAGACTTTCGGGCCGATCATTGGCCAAGATCCTGTTCCTTGACATGGCACTAAACTGGATTAGGCAATATTTATGGTCGCCTCAGGGAGGAATGCGCATTGATAAAGATTGCATGTATTCAACCATGTTCAAAAACAAATCAATTGGGCTGTTGAATTTTTATGGCTCCATATACACTGCATCGACTGTCTAATAAATCAAAGCCACCTGGAAAGAGCTGAAAGAAACAAAACCCTTCTCATTCGATGCTGTTCAGCTGAAGTTCAGCTCGGCTGAAAACGACTCCGCAGTGGGGCTCCACATTATCTGCTACGAACCTTAAAATGACGTATCTGACCAACCAGAATCACTCTCTCGGATCTGGTCTTCAGCTCTTGTTGATATTTTCACCTCCTTTACCGCATCTGTTCTAGTCCATCCCACCACAATGGATTTCTTAAGCGGCCAATCCCTCCCCTGTAGATGCAGATGTCACGACACATCTATAGAAAATGGCGTCAGACTACGTTCTCGAGCAGTCGCAGTATGCATTCCCCACGAAACCAGAAGAGTATGCGCCAGGGCCCGTGCCGAGTCTGGGGGAATGGCGCAAACTGTGGGCTGCGTGGGAGGCGGTAACTTTGAAGATGATTCCGAACGAGGCGTTGCTGGAGAAGCCGATTCCGTTGCGGAATGATCTTATTTTCTATCTTGGGCATATTCCTACTTTGTAAGTATCCACTACGCGGACATGGATTAAACAATGCCTAATACATGGCAGTGAGGATATACATTTGGAGCGCGCCACCAAAGAGCCTGCGACTGAGCCCAAGTCTTATCAACTGATCTTCGAGAGAGGAATTGATCCAGATGTGGATGATCCAACCCAATGTCATGACCACAGCGAGGTCCCAGATAGCTGGCCGACATTGGATGCAATCTTGGACTATCGTAAGAAAGTCTGCGCGAGGATCGAAGCTCTGTACAAGACCGACAAGCCTTGGACAAACAGGACTATTGGACGCGCACTTTGGATTGGATTTGAACACGAAGGTATGTCAATCTTGAATATAGCATATTATAGACTAACAGTAGTAGCACTGCATCTGGAAACCTTCCTATGGATGTCGATATTGAGTCCCAACATCCAACCGCCTCCTGGCCCGAAGCCAGACTTTAAGGCCATGGCCGAAAAGGCAGCAAACGAAAGAGTCGACAATCAATGGTTCAACATTACGCCACGCACATTCACAATAGGAATCGACGACTCAGACCGTGATGATGACGGCAAAGACGGTTTCTTCGGATGGGACAATGAACGTAACCCATACGATGTCACCGTCGATGGATTCGAAGCACAGGGACGGCCTATCACTAATGGAGAATATGCAACTTATCTCGTTAACACATCACGGACGGATTCTATCCCTGTTACATGGACGCGTAGTGAGACGCCCGATAATAAGGACATTGAAAGCTTTACCAACACCACTACGGTTAAGACTGTGTACGGCCCAGTTCCGCTGAGACTCGCATTCGACTGGCCTGTATACACGCCGTACAATGACGCCGTGGCATACGCAGAATGGGCTGGTGCACGACTTCCTACGATCCACGAATCACGCAGCATTCACATGCAAGTTGAAGAGGAAAAGGCGAGAAAGAATGGTGGCAGCAGGGATACAATCGCCCCCTCATCCCAAGAAGACATTTACGTCGATCTGACCGGATGTAATACCGGCTTCCAACACTTCCATCCCACGCCTGTGACACCAAATGGCAACCGACTGTGTGGACAAGGCGATATGGGTGGTGCCTACGAATGGACTAGCTCTTATTTTGCACCGCAGCCTGGTTTCAGGCCAATGGATATCTATCCTGGATATAGTGGTATGTTTAATTCTGCCTATACGTTAGCAGTTGCTAATACTGTATAGCCGATTTTATGGACGAAAAGCACATTCTCGTGACAGGTGGGTCCTGGGCATTGCATCCCCGGCTGTCTGGAAAAAGGACTTTGTAAGTTATACCATCTTAATGCCGGTAATAAGTACTAACAAAAACAGCTTGAACTGGTGGCAGAAAGGCTACCCATACCCCTGGATCGGTATTCGATTGGTCCGAGATGCTTCGAAATAAAATCATCAGACTGCAAGAGTGGACTAAGATGACATGCCAAACTGTACATAATACTCTCACATGTCATAATAGAAATAGAACACGTGTGTAAGCAATGCTGATTTGCTAACTGACATCATCAGCTGAACCCCGCTATGGGCCAAATGAAGATGAAACAGTGATTGGATGAGAACGTGCATAAAGCGGCCCACCGAGCTGAGACCCTTCTTCTTTCAGCTCCCAGCCTTCAGTTATAAAATTATAAAGAGGAGCTCCTTACCTTCGAGTTAGAATTTCCATTCCCATCCCAATTCCTGCTATTCTCATACACTGTCCACCACTAGCTTCCCCAGCCATCATGTCACAGACTCACACCGGTATGGAATAACTCACCCTACAGATAGAGTAGCTTCAGACTCTCATCCAATAGCCGCCTCCGTTACGCTTGAGGAGAAAGAAAAGGGCAAGGAATGGAAGGTTATTCAAAGTGAAGATCAAGAAGTCAATATAGACGAGAGACCGGGCCGCTGGGACAAGATTGGATGGACTATTGGACCGGTTGATGTAAGAAATGATAATTTATGCCTTTTTATCTCCATCTAACAAATCCACACAGGTCAGGGGCTCAGTGGAGCCTGACATTCGCATATTCAGAATAACCCGTTTTCTTATCGGTGGAGTCAACATTGGAAGTTTTGAGGGAAACGTAAGGGCTGGAATGAAGTTCAATGTCGACTTGGCCTATTTGAAAGGAACCATCCACATCCATGACAAGGAATACAAAGACTTGTGGTGTAACATAGACCTCCATTTTCGGTCTGGTGAACCATACAAGAATGACTTCTATATAGGCTATGTTTAGATATCCATCATCGCTGCCGCAGATATCTTGGAGTCATTATGCAGAGATGGTGAATTGGTAAATAATGAAAGATTGGCCGAATAATATCACGTACAAGTCCCTCAAAATATTTCTCAGGCGGCAGCACAATTAGATACATGCTTGCCCCTCATGCTCTATTCTTTTTTGTTTTGAAAAAGCCCACCTCCTGGGAGAACTCCACTCGTGCTGCCATCACGATAGACATGATATCTCTCGCCCTGTTGAAGATAATCGGCTGCGTTGCCATTTTTAGCCATCACTGCCACGGTGTAATGCTCATTCGGATCACTACATTCTACACGTCAATATGGAAGTTCATTGGAGGGCATTTGGGCCTGAAGTCAAGGGGTTTCTTACTTGCTTCCTTCGGTATGCCAAGGAAGGAACACCACGACTTTATACCAGTCGGAGTCCCCGTATGCAGCTTGCCAAATCAAGTTCGAATGACTGATTTTTGTACGAATATGTTCGCGCATGTCGCTCTCAGGCCATGTCATAAACTCGACACGGTCGGCCGCCATTGTTGTATAGGTTATGTGTGGTGAATCAGTGGCGTTAAACAGGGGCAATCGATCTTTGTACACCTTATCAGGCGAATTGGCACATTAAAATTTAATATAATCTACAAGGTAGGGGGAGCCTTGATACGCTTTTATAGCTGAGCGGTGCTTTTTAGATGACAAACACCCCGCCGGATATTCCTCGTATTCTATGTGATTGTCACTATGAGGTACCCACCCCCCACAGTGACAGGAGCTGAGTGTTCCTTCCAGTCTGCTGCGGGAAACTTTAAATGACTTCAGTGAGTCTGGATCATCAGCTGTGGGGCTCCTACAGCCTGGATCTAAATAGATTCAGGTATCGCAGTTTATTGCGTCATATTCAAATTCATGTCTTATTCCGGCGGTCAGCACAGGAACCACGGTCTGATTCTGGCATTCATCGACATTACGTGGGGTGTTGATCATCCAGACAGCCTTGAGGCTGTGTATAGCCGAAAGACTCACTAGTGTAACAAGAGGGGCGTCAGTGACAGTCTGCAGGTTGGACACGTTAGGCTTGATGGGTGCTTTGATTTCCGGCCACTTTAAGACCAAGATTGGAGATACAACTGAGTATTTAGTTAGTCATGCAGCTGAAAGATGAGGCTTTACCAAGATGGGCGTACGCTGATAAATTAACTGTAAAATGGTCGCCATTGAATGATTCATTTTATAATATGATATTTTGAAGAGGAAAAAAAGAGGTAAGACATCTTTGACCATTTCATGAGACAGAATATCTTGAATAATGATATAACTAAGTATAAACTACCTTTTTAGTATCATACACAGTTTTCGCCAGTGATGGGTATCCAGAAACCAAAATATTTAACAATCCTAATAAGCATATATTATTATAATATATACAAGCAAAGTCGCTGTTCTTTTTTAAAAAAAGAACTGAATAGGAGTGTGCAGAATAAATCACCCAGTACATCAGACAAGACAATATCCTAGACTCTATAAGTCGAACAGACAGTGAGATTTCCAAAATACCAATCATGAGCAGCCATATCAAAGTTCAGAAAGTCACCTGTACTTTCGACTCCCTCATGGCTGTTGATGCCTTCAATTACCTTGACATCTGACGTGTTAACAGGCTTGCCAGTGGGTTTATCAATCCAGTATTCAGGAGATGGCTGGCTAAAGTCAAGATGCAGCAGACCCAGTAGTGGGATATATGGGGGCGCCTTGGGAACCCAGTCATCGTCGTGTGTGACTCGATATGTTCTGTTGGACTGTTCAGTGATGTATTCTGCCAGAGAATAATCGCCAGCCTTCAAAGAGCCAAATGTATACTATCTTGTTAGTTATCCTTTACTGATTATACCAGACTCAACTCACCAGGTCAAGATCATATCCTGCATTTCGCAAAACAGTTGCCCCAAGCGTAGCTACTCCCCCTCCCAGACTGTGTCCTACAACAGTAAGAGTATAGTCCGGATACGTGGCAGTGACATTCTCGATACTCGGCAGAACCTCATCGGCAACGGTACTCCAATACTGCCAGCAGCCTTTATGGGCATAGCAGTCTTTGCATACATCGTCTACCTTGACTGGCCCAATGTTTATATCGGCCAGTCCGTCATCTCTGCTTGCGGTTCCGCGGAAAGCCAGGATGATGAGGTTGTTTGTTTTGTCTACGGCGAGATAGCCGGTTGGGTCGTTGGCGTTGTGACTGTATGGTTAGTTATATGTCATATTTGGGTGGATTGACATACTGCTGGAATGTATTGATAGTAAGGGTCTCTGCCTTTTCGATCAGGTCGCAATTTCCAAAATCGCATGTGAGTTTTCTTCCAGTTGCGTTGATGTTTTGGTCGCAGTAAGTGACAGCAGCATATTGAGAGAAACGGGTGAAGTTATCTAGCAGTTCAGGTGAAATTTCTATACAGCATTAATGTAAATTTTATTTATCAGAGATGGATGAATGAATGACCCACCTTGGCGGACAGGTTGAATAGCAAATGCTGCCGATCCAAGTGACAGAAGTAGAGTACACAGTTTGACTATTGACCGCATTTTGTACGAATGGTTGATCTATATGCCGATATTATGGCACGGATGTATTGAGCCTTATATAAGGCGGCATATCAGTGGAGGATGGATGGAATGTACGGACATCCTTGCGACATGCTGGATTGCGAGGAATGGAAAACGCCAACAAGCACAGGTCGACTACAATATTTACACTCCTGATATTGAATATTTATTACAGACATGTCAAAGTCATTATTATGTTAAATACTTGAACATAATTGCGTGCAATTAATCTTAATTGATTGTTTATGTTGATTCGGTTACTTTCGTCGGAGATATGTAGGGCATGTACCTTGCATAGCCCTGCATACCGTAAACACTGATAACCCCTTTAAAACGAAACACGGCTTATGGCCAATACCATGATATAGTAGAGATGATGATAATTTCAACTTCCTAGTCCCACCTATTTCCCTTTTTTACAATCTGTTCTGGCTTGCTGTTGTAACATGTGGACCTTATCAGTTTCCCCATACCTTTCTGCAATCTGAAGTGCAGTCCTGCCATCCCAGCCTGTTATATTAATATCAGCACCTCTCTCGAGCAGTAGTTTGAAAAATATTCCAGAGCCTAACAAGGTAGCCACATGGAGCACTGGATCTCCATGTGAATCTCTCGCATTAATGTCAGCGTTGTTGTCCAATAGAATCTCCAGAATCTCTGGATCATCTGACGGCATCGCCAGCGCTAGAATACTTCGATGATAACGACTCGTCATAAGATTGACATCAGCATTGTTGTCAAGCAAAAGTTGCACAATTTCTTTGTTCCCCTTAAGAACGGCCGTTTGAAGTGGCGTACCGGAATAGCCATCCGCAGGGTTGATATTTAGCGTATTCAAAATTCTCTTCAGTTCTTGGCACATACCCGCGTTCGAACCACACGCATTTCCACATAGAAAAGTAAACACCAGCACCACCCACATTCTTCGAGCAATTCCCATCAATTTTGAAGCTAAAAAAATGCCCCGGTTAGCCCTATATCCAGTATTTCATGGTGTTGAGTTTACTGACTGGTTAGAAAAATCCGCCTGCCAACAGTCAACGTGAAGCCTTCCCCCCCCCTTAACAATGGCCTTTCCCCCAAACGACGCGCCAGAATACTGAGGTTTTTGATGCTTGGCTAGGATATAAAGGATATTAGTGATAAGTATTAGGTCTCACAGTATACTATCTTTACAATCCAGTCCAATCTCTTAAGATATGGCAGTGTACGGAGGCTAAACCTCCAGAAGATTAGACACTCTAGGAGGCTCTCTGAGGCTGATAAGGAGGCCTTATTTAAGTATCTTCTTAACCATGGCTGGCGCCACTAGGATAAGATAATCTGGTGGCTCTTTCATGAGCGTGGTGTCTTAGTTAGCCAGCTAACACTATCCTATGTACTGAAGCGGCAAGAATGGAGCAGAAAGGAGATATGGTATATCTCATTAGGCCGTAGTGAGGAGCTCAGACAAGCCTATATTAATAAGATATACTATTTTAGTGCTAATGACCTCATTTTCATAGATAAGTCTATATTTAATAAGAAAACTGGCTGGCGCCACCACACTTATATACTGATTAGAGATAAAGCCTGGTATAACAGTGATATCCATAGGGGTAAGACATAGAGTATCTGTGCAGTAATATCTCTTAATAACTGGCTTCCCTATACCAGTATTAAAGAGGGCTATTTTAAAGGAGAGGACTTCCTAAACTAGCTACAGCTTCACCTTATCCCTGCTATTAACTAACATGGAGGAGGAAGACCAATGGTAATTGTAATGGATAATGTCTCTATCTATATCCACCAACACATTACTAAGCTTATTAAGTTATATAGCCATCTTATATGCTTCCTGCCACCATATTCACCTAATTATAACCCTATTGAACTCACCTTCTCAGTGTTGAAGGCGTGGATAAAGCAGAATTAGGTATTCTATTACTAAACCTGTGGATCATACAGTGACTTCCTTACTTTGGCAGTTTAAGATAGCCGCTGTGGATGCTATACTAAATAGCAGTTTAAACATGCTGCTGCAGGCGTGTATATTAAAAAGGAAGAGCTATAGAGATTTTAATGATTTCTTAGAGAGTATGAAGAAGATAAGGCTATATTACTAGTAGCTACCCCTACTTCCTAATCCCTAATAAAGCCGCCTGGTAGGCTTTCTGGCTGGCCCAGCTGACCTAGTATTAAGATAGCCTGGTTCTCCGCCGCTCTAAGTTATTAAATATAAGCTTTATATCTCTGTAACTCTAACCAGAATCCCCGTGCGAAGCTGTCAGTAATTCCTGCTTTTATAGCCCTCTTATACATGGCATGTGAGCCATCCTCCATGTTCTTTAGATCCCTTATTATCTAGTTATTTATAAATATAATATCTTGAGCCCTATCCTACTTATCTCTCCTCTCTAAATTCGCGGTGTTAGTGATCTTCCAGGTAAAGAATAAGTCTAGAGTATTGTAGTCATCTGCCCCTTTATAAATTAGGCTGGAGGACTGCTGGATTGCTATAGGAGTTGGTGTTGAAGGTGTTGAAGGTATAGGAGCTGGAGGAGCTGCAGGGGAAGCAGTAAATTAGTTTAAATTATATTATTAAGATAGGAATTGAGGTGGAATAAATGGCATCCTATATAGTGCTGTCTACAGCGGTTAATACTAAGATTAAAGCATTATTTTACACTGTTCCTACTGTATATAATACTACTCATTCCTTTCCTCCTGGCACTCTTATTTTTCCTCCATTGCCTCCATCTAATTAAACATCCTGCTCTGCATTATCTGCTCTTGAAGCTGTTACTGCATCTCAGCTATTTACTCCATTGCTGACTGTGTCTACTATACAGTAGTCTGTTTAATCAGCTGGCAAGAATTATGGGTTATCACGCCTTATATCTGGTCCCAGTAGTATATAAGTTTAATCAGAGGATTCTATATTATCACTTTGCCACTACTAATTGCATTTACCCAGGATTCATGTTGAGCAGAGGTAATATTGTAGTGCTTTAAGTGATCTGCGGGGTCAGGGAAGCAGAAATTGTCTTTATTTATGTAATTTGACTTACTGCAGCGCCAGTAATCCATGAGCTGGCACTGGAAATTGCCTGCAGTCTATATAGTCTCTAGATGAACTACCTGTTGCTTATTGAGGTGATTAGTATGATTAACATGCTTCTTTTTCAGTATTGTAGGTGGTGAGCTGGATATATCTAACATAGGAATATTAGAAAGCTCCTCAGTGGGCTGCTTTTTCAGCACTCTTTTTAGTATATAGAGTAGAGCCACACAGTCCACTGAAACCTTAAAAAGGATATCTATATTACCCTTTATATGATTAGACCGGACCTTGTTAGCTATCTCTAATACCTGCTCAGTACCAGTAGAGTCAAAATCCTTAATATCATGGTGGGTATAGCCACTATAGCTAGAGAGATACCTCACAGAGGCCTGGTAGTTAGTGATATTATACTCCTCTATACTAATAACTGGGTTAAGTGCATTATAGAAGGCTTTTTCAACATCCTTAATATTAAAGGTGCGGCGTGTGGTATTATTAAGGGATTTCTTAGCCAGGCCCTTCTTATTTAATTATATATTAAGGCATACAGCAATGATATAGTTGGCACTCTGCATAGTGTCATATAAGGCACATTTAACCTCATCTATTTGAACTGAGTAATTACTAGGAAGGTCCTTTAAATAGCGCTGCTTGATCTCGTTGAGATAGGTATTATAGATATACTTCTTATATGCCTCTTTAGTGCCATATAATCTCCTAGCAAGCTTCTCCTTGTATGGCTTCACGACTCTATTTTTAATATTAGGAGGCAGGCCATCATCCTCATCTAAATCTAGTTTATTATTATCATTAACATCCTCTTCCTCTTCCTCCTCATCCTCCTCTTCTTCCTCCTCATCTCCCTCCTCCACCTCCTCTTCCCTATTGTTAGAAACTGCAGAGGAGCTGCGAGCCTTAGAGATCTAGCATAGTAGCACTTTGGCTTTAAAATAAACCTTCCTCTGCGGTGTGACCCCTCTCTTACTCTCTGGCTTATTCTGCAGCGTGGTTATATACTGCAGACTACCTGCCTTCTTTCCACTTACAGCTACAGCTGTAGAGGATTTAGCTTCAGCTGTCAGCTCTCTATTAGCTACTACTGCCCTGGCCCTAGCCGCATGTTGTCTAATAGATGCAGCCTTGGTAACAGCACTGCGAGGAACATACAAGCTATTAGTCTTCTTATTGCCTTTATATCCGCCTGCAGGGGGGGAAGGAATATGTGGTATCTGGGTTTTGCGGAGATTATAAGGGATAACGCGCTGGCTGGCAGGCTATGGGGGGGTGGTGGTATGTTTTGGAGGCATATTGGCAGGCACAGGTAAGGAGGTATGAATAGCTTCAAAAATTGCTAAAAACAGTAATTTCTTGCTGGGAATTGCTTGAAGAATGTGGGTGGTGCTGGTGTTTACTTTTCTATGTGGAAACGTGTGTGGTTTGAACGCGGGTATGTGCCAAGAACTGAAGAGAATTTTGAATACGCTAAATCAGCATTGTGTCGGAGTAGCAATTCCACAATCTCGTGATGGCCGTTTTCCGTAGCTGCTATAATTGGAGTGCCACACCGATCGTCTGCGTTGATATCGGGGTTCTCTATGGTTAGGATATACTCGAAAACAAGCGCGAGGCCAACAAACGCCAGGACCAAGTCGTGTACCTGTGGTAGTTTGTCGCCTAGATAGCATCCCTGCATATAAGCGCCACTAGCCAGCTAGCATGGAATTACCCCGCCAACAGGAAATGCGAAACAGCACTTGCCATAAATGACTGTCCCTGATACCCTTTCCTATCAAATATGAAGTACTAAAAATGCCATTCGACTGTAAAGTATGACAGCCGATTGACCTTGTTGCTATTTCTCGATCGAAAAGGTATGAGAAGATGTACAACCAAGAGCAGCGAGGATTTACCGGCCCTGTCGAGATATTGGAAAGATATAAAGTGCTGTGGGTGGAGTGGAAGGAAGTTGTTGCATATCGTCTGGCCAGTGGATGGGTTAAAAAAGGAAGAATGGGACAAGTTGGAACAGGAGGATATATCACTGGTGCTGGGTTGATGCTGAAGTATAGGAATCATCGAATATAGACCAGAGATTATCCAATCAGATATAGCAAGACACCTAATCGTCATCTTCATCTTCACTATTCCAGTCGTGGGCCCACGAGCCCACATAATTCGGATAACCCGCTTTGATAAGGTCCGGTTCCTGCCTCGTCGTCATCGAAATCTTCTACTTCATACTTCCTTTCGATGCTGTCGGCGGCTTCACTAGTCGTATTAAGAGTGTATTGATGTTGTCACATAGTTCCTGGTATTGGATGTTAGAAATGAGCTACCAGGTACTGGGTGAAGGGAATGCATATCGTTGCTCTGTTGATGGGTTATGCTATTTGTAGTAGCGGATGCATCGTTGACTTCCCTGGTAATGTAATCGAAGAAGAAAACTACGTGGTCAGTCATGATGAGAGTTGGAAGAAATGTAACCTTAGTACGGAGTAGACGAAGAGAAAAGGACAGATTAAGGGATATTTAGTCTTTATATAATAGCAGGAGGGGTAATTTAACCTTCAGCCCGCACTCTGTTGGTGTCATTTTGCAGGGTTTCTCCTGATCGTCCCACAGCCTTGTGCTCCTTTGGGGGCGAAACTGACAGCTAATAAATGAAGTGTAACCATAGACGGTTCATATGCTGAGGTATCGTAGAATATATTTGAGTTCATCATATAAGTCAGCAGCTTATCAACTCCGCAGATAATGCTTGACAGATTCTCCCCAAACAGCAGCCCGCTTGTAGAAATAAAATCCCGGTGCATTGCCCTGTTTCAGTCCATCAATGGCTTCAGCGAGTGTCTCTCCAAGTCCTTCTTGCTTGATTTCTGGTAGAGGGTAGAGATATGTCTTGAATGAGAATAATATAGCACGACTTTGGGGCAGTCGATGCAGCATCTGTCGTTCACAGCGGACGCGAGCCTAACATTGTCAGAGAATGTATAACAAGAGATAAGAGATCATACCGTGTCAATGTTGATATCTTCCTGTGGAATGCTTTCTCCCTCATACAGATGGTTACCATGCGCAGCAAACAGGGCGTCTGTCGTTGTAATCGTCCACTGTCCAGGTTAGCATTGTTCTATTTTGTATAGTAGGAGTACTCACGTTCGCCCGCTTGATGAATTGCCCACTCCTCAACCGCTCAAAATACCGATCCATGCTCTTTTCCAGCTTCTCTTTATACTTGGGAACAGGTTTGTGGATATCCCTCAGCTTGAGGTTCAGCTTTTTGGCTGTGTCGAATCCATTCGGAAAACACGTTACAAATCCTTTTAAGGTGTATCCATCGCCATCAGAGGATGGAAGAAGGAATAAAAGATCATCGTCGACGAGGCTACCTAGTATGCGTAGTGTATCTACCGGGCTGTCTGCTGGGAAGATTGACAGCCTCTCATCTGTAACCAGACTATGGAGGATCGATGCGTGTTGGTCCAGGCGAAACATTCGAGGAAATCGTGTAGGAAGAAATGTTCCCACCAGCCAGATGTAAAACTCGTCGATGGCTGGTTTGGCGCAGGATTCGGCTGCAAGGACGGCTTCGGGATGATTGTGTATGATAATCCTGCGCAGGGTGATCCGGTCGAGGTAGTTCTTGTCCATTTCGATGAGGTCATCGACGGTGGTTTGTTCGATGCCTATTCGTAGATTAGCATTGCGCTAGTAAAAGTGTTTGGACATACTCATTGTAAGATTGTATTTTGGTTTGAACGGGCGCAGCTTCACTGGTTCTTTATTCTGCCATTCGAATTCCAGAAGGGGGGTCACTGGTGGGTAGGAGGTCGGTTCGATGTTGATTTTAACATCTGAAATGGGTGTCTGGCTATATTAGACGTCTCCTGGTATATTGTTGTCTTCTCACCTGTTTCTCTTTTTTACGGTCATCTTTCCACTGCGATAAAAGATATACGGTCAAGGAGACAAAAATGAAGCCAAAAAGGATAAGCCATCCTGAACTCTGTGTGATATCAGTCAAGGGAAACATGGTGCTGACGATGAATTCGAGGAAGTAGAGAGTGCTGATAGATATACGTCTGTACCCCGCACCCAGTGCTCATTTAACTTTCCTATTTAGTCTGGACCTATCGGATCATGGATAGCCGCATGCTATGCCAAGATAAGACTATCTTATCTCCAAGTGCTCATTTCAGCTTCCTTTCTGGGCCCGATGATAGCACGATAGGTATCTGGTAATGTATCTGAGGTTAGCTATACTGACGTCCATAAGGATCGGCTCTTGATCAACTACTGATGATATGGAAAATGCGGGGTTGGCAGTTCATATCAGAATCCCTGACAGCGTCATGATAACAGGATTGCCGAGGGTAGAGACGACGGATATAAAAGTGATGAAAGGAGGCCTGATTGCTCCCTTGCAAATATCTATCCTATCTATTCAACTATACTACAACAGCCACTATGACAGACACATTCAAAACCAACGATGACCTTCAGAAAAAGGGTACGCATGAATAGTATCTCATACTTATTTATCTGACGATCAATAGAAAGCCAAACAGAAGGCACGATAGAGTCCGTCAACCTCGAACTCCTCGGCCTCTCGCAACAGACAAAACGCGACCTGGGAACCTTCCAGATCATATGCGGTGGATGGAATATCTGCAACAGCTGGGCTGGGATTGTTGGTACACTGGCTATTGGCATTGCCCAGGGCGGCACAGTGCTGTTGCTGTATGGAATGATTGTAATGCTTGTTGCTGGTGGATGCTGTGCGTTGACGCTGGCTGAGCTGGCCAGTGTGTATCCCACTGCTGGTGGTCAGTATCATTGGACGTCTATTCTGAGTCCGAAGGGTTATAGCCGTGTTCTGGTGGGTTTTTAATTATAATACTATATACAGTACTGACGATATCAGAGCTATGCATGCGGTGCAGTCAATATCTTCAGCTGGGTGTCCATCAGTGCTGGTGTCACTATTCTTCCTGCGCAGTTTATCATCTCGATGGCCATTACTTACCACGAAGGATACGAGGCCCAAAGATGGCATTACTTTCTCATCTACCAGGTTGCTAATCTCATTGTTCTGGTGTACAATATATTCGGTCTCCGGAAGACCTCTTGGATTCATGATGTTGGCTGTGAGTTGTTTGTTGTTTGGAGTATACCCGATCTAACAGAATAGTCGTTGTATCTCTATCCTCCTTTGCTATTATCTTCATCACCTGTCTTGCTCGATCACCGCATAAACAATCGTCTGAATTTGTATGGACGACATTTATCAACGAGTCGGGCTGGCAGTCGAATGGCATCGCCTTTCTCACTGGAATGATCAACCCGCATTATATCTATGCTGGAATAGACGGAGCCATTCATCTCGCAGAAGAATGCAGCAATGCATCACGGGCTGTTCCCTTTGCCTTGATGAGCACTGCCATTATTGGATTCGCCACCTCGTTTGCCTTTGTCATTGCCATGCTTTACAGCTTGACGGATATGAATGCTGTCGTTGAGTCGGCAACTGAGTATTACCATCTCCTCCATTTCTATCGTCAGCAACTAATATCCACAGTGTCCCTATCTACGAGATATACATACAGGCAACACGCTCGACTGCTGCAGCAACGGTCTTCATCTTTCTCCTGGTAGCCATCGCATTCTTCTCTCTCAATGGATGCCAGCAGACATCTTCCCGTCTCACCTGGGCATTTGCTCGTGACAATGCTTTGATCATGTCGACATATCTCGGCCGAATTCATCCTCATCTCGAGGTGCCTGTATACGCCCTCATTGCGAACTCGGCAGTCATTTTCATCATCGGATGTATATATCTAGCATCGTCAACAGCATTCAATGCCCTGATCGGAACAGGTCTCATCTTACAGCAGGTGTCTTTCGTCTTTCCCGCTGCGCTGTTACTCTTCCGCCGTCGTTCAACAGCGTATCTACCTTCTCATCGCTACTTCAATCTAGGCATCTTTGGATGGGTGGCTAATATGATGACGATTGCATTCGGGCTTATGACATTGGTGTTTTATAACTTTCCATCTGAGATGCCGGTTGATGCTGGAAATATGAGTACGTAACTTGATATTATGATATACACAAACTAATAATTTCTAGATTATTCATCCCTTGTGATCGGTGCCATGGCTCTTTTCTCCTTGATTAATTGGATTATCCACGCAAACAAGAGATACAAAGGACCACGACTTGAGGTCGAGCTGATATAGCCCAAGTACAATGTATCTACATGATGAAAACCTCCACGTTTCTAGCTATCACCTGTGTCCAGTTCCTGTTTTCACTTTCTTGCCAAACACTTTGCAGTATTCTGATAGCGTATAAAGTATTGGCGAACCCCGTCCAGACCCAGAGATTCTGTAATTGACTCATAATAAAACTCCTATGTCGTTCGGAAGAACATTCTGCTCCGACGATGAAGAATGCCCAGACAAGGATATGACCGCCTGGTGAGGTTGCATTGAATGTCGCCGTCTCATTTATGAAGCTCTCAACTAAATCGGTAATGGCTTCAGCTGGCACACTTGTTGCTCGGCACATGTAGATGTTACATGCTTTGCGTATTAGGCCGATCAGCTTGAGAATAGCCTCAGAGTGCTCTGGGTGTGCTTTCATGCAGCTGTATAGAAAGTCCAGATCCCTATTCGATACGTTTGCCAGAGTGGTAATGGCGGACTCTTCGGATAGCAATGGCTCTGCGTAGAGAGACATTCTACCATTAATTAGCAAAGGAAACAGCAAGATAGATTAGCCGATACATACTTCCGTATCTGCTGCATGAGAAAACACCCCACCGGGTGGCGCTCAATCTCCCCCTCTCCCCCTTGCGACGCGATAAACGACTTCACCATGCGGAGAAGTATCACAAAGTCCCTCCCCCCAGTAACCATTTCCTCGATTAAGAGGATAATCATCGTAGACAGATTCGAGTAGACGATGGTATCGCCTACACCGTCTTCTTTCGTCCGTTGGTTCAGCCCCCTGATAGCGGCCATGTGATACCGTACTGCTATTTCCTTCCATTGTGTTTGGTGGATCGAGAGATGGAACGCAGCTGTTGCTAGGACGGCGCTTCGGATGACAGTGTCTTCGTCGCAGATTGGTAAGATGAGATCGCGGTAGCCGTTGGAGGCGATGTCGATTGCTACCATTACTGGGGCGATCTTTTCTGCGACTGCGAGTGTTATTATTGTCCGGTATCAAGGGATGAGAGGACTCACAATATCCAAGGAGGAATCTGGCTTGGTGGTCGACGTGATCCAGACTCCAGGGTGGATCATGTTTGTTCTCTTCGGATTTATAAACACTGTCATCGCCAGCGCTGGGGTTGTCTTGTTTTCGCTTTTTTGGGTGTTTTCTGAATACAGATATTCATCAGCATAAGGTCCCTAGAAGTGCAAGACGGCAATAATACTCTATATCCCCAACCGGCATCGACTTTCCACTCCACTTCCCCCGAGACGCAACACCATCGTTGAATCGATACCTTTTCCCTAAACCAAGGCACTCCAGGCCCTTCTTAATACATTTCTGGCAGGCTGGTGCACCCCGGTCACAGTTGATACGCCGTTGCGAGCAGTTATAACACCCTAAACATCATCAGCCGGGACGGATAACTAACCCCTTGCAGACGTGTCGTTTACCTCGCACTTTCCGTGGTTTCTTTCCAGGGATTCGAGGGCCGGTCATGATGTCACTGTTTATGGAGAGCGGTATCCCGTGTTCCTTGAAAATAGGTGCTGCTGTCGAATAATGAAGGAGAAATAAGAAGAGAGTCCATTCATGGTGGATGATAAGATAGGGACGCTACCCCGCATGGAGATAAGGCGGATCCGCTGCGGGGTGAATTCCTATTGGTTCATCTTGGAAGCAGCCTTTCCTGTTTGGTGCAATAAAATGAGCACCTGCTGCATACTTTATGTAGGTATAGTAAGGTATCAAGGCTTCATTATTAGAGGATTCGATTTTTCGATGATAGATGTATTATACTGCAGCAGTCAAGTTAAGCAGGCAAGTGAAGCGCCAAGAAATGAGTCATCATGTCTCATGGTGAGTGTGAATAAAACTGGGTCTGGATGCATAATATCATTGCTAGATTGGCAGACATTAAGGACTAGGAAAGGAAAACTCCATTGCTTAGTATAATATAAATAACATTGAATCAATTCAGTTCCTATTGCTCTATTTAAGCATTGAATTCTTCCATTGGAGTCTATGTCCAGGACCACGATGCTCAACAAACAAGATATGTCAATCCGTTCGACCCAGGCCTTTGCCATTGTAGTAATAAGCATGGCTATTTTTACGGTGAGGTTACCTAAATACAAAATATCCACATCACTAATGAAGATCTGCGTGCAGGACACTTTTCTGTATGGTGTTATCGTACCGGTTATCCCCTTCTCAATCGCCGAGAGGGCCGGTGTAGCGTTGGAAAATGGTATATTGAGAATAGCATACTCCATGAACAAAGCGACTAATGTCAACAGTTCAATTGTGGACCTCGCTTCTTCTGGCAATCCACGGGGCAGGCCTCTTGATTGCTTCTCGTGAGTATATACATGATACCTAAGTAGGGTTGTATAACTAACCTTTTATTTCAGCCTTGTGTGGTTATGTAGCAGATCGTCTGTCCCGCCGTCTTCCCTATCTTTTTGGTCTTGGGTCATTAGCCGCGGCAACCCTCATGTGATGTCTGGGAAGGAATATTGCTTTTCTGGCTGTCGGCCGTGGCTTGCAAGGTGTCTCTGCAGGGATAGTGTGGACGGTTGGGCTGGCATTGCTGCTTGACAAGGTTGGACAGCGCAGGATTGGAGAGGCGATGGGGTATGTTGGGATAGGTATCAATGCAGGCAGTCTGAGTGGGCCTCTATTGGGGGGTGTTGTATTCGACAAGGGAGGTTATTATGCTGTGTTTGGGATGTGCTTTGTGCTTCTTGGTGTGGATTTTGTGCTTCGACTGTGTTTACCAGATGCAGCAGAGTCATCGGAGAGTCGAGAAGTAGCCGACGAAACAAGCCCTCTTATTGAAGGGAGATATACATCAGATCCAGGCAGACCGGCACTACTTCTCCTACTCCAATCCCGTCGCCTCGCAGTCGCACTATTTGGCAGCTTCGTCCAGTCCTGTCTAACATCTGCATTCGACTCCGTCATTTCTCTCTTCGTCCAGCAACGCTTCAACTGGGATTCCACCGCAGCAGGACTGATCTTCCTCCCTCTTGCCCTCCCATCTCTTCTCGGTCCGTTGATAGGCTCACTCACTGATAGATGGGGTCCCCGCTACTTCGGAACAGCAGGATTCCTACTCGCATCCCCGTGTCTAGTCATCCTACGCGCCATCGTCAACGACAGCACCGAAAGTAAGGTCCTACTATGCGCTCTCCTCTTCCTCATCGGCATCTCAATGCAGCTCGTCCTATCCCCGTTGATGGCGGAGATATCCTACGCCGTTGAAAGCATGGAAAGCGACTCGCCCGGGATATTTGGATCGTCGAGTCCGTACGCACAGGGGTTTGGGCTATCAAGCATGGCATTTGCGGGTGGATTAGTGGTAGGGCCTATCTGGGCAGGGCTTATCTGTGATGCTGCAGGATGGGATGCGATGGTTGGGTCGTTGGGTGTTGTTAGTGGGTTGACGAGTATCGTGATGGGGGGTTGGTTGGGTGTATAGTCATTCGCCATGAAGCGGAGAGCTCATGAATCAATAAGTCTGCGTTCTGGTCTTTGTAGGCGCCATAGTCTAGTGGTTAGGACATCAGGTTTTGAGATTCAAGGTTCCTGAGAACCCCGGTTCGATCCCGGGTGGCGCCTTTCTTCTTCTTCTTCTTCTTTTTTTTTTTTTTGCCTGTCTTCTGTTTGTTTTTCCTCTTCAAACGGATAGGTATAATAATGGAATGGAGAAGCAGCAGTTCTGATAATCTGTTCCGATTGGATCGGCTGGCCGTGGTGGAACCATTACCGTTCAGCCAACCGCCATTCAGTGGAGTATACCTGTACAATTCGCCACCAACGAAAACAGTAAATCAATAGATCGATATCCGTATCTGGCATGACTATTCCGGGGATCCGAGTCGATGACGATGAGGCAAATACTCTAACAATTTGTCAAAAGCTCACAATAACGCGAGATTCTGTTGTGCTAGATTATATATAGATAAGTACCAAACAAACTATATGATACTACAGCGACAAACTTATGAGAAATTTGCAATATGGAAGAAAACAACATCATCAACCAATACGTCCAGCTCTATTCAGATCAAATACACACCTATAAAAGAACAGCAGCAGTGACAGCCAGGATCTGCAAACAATCCCTAGACGAAGCACACCTCCGAAACTGGGTGTCGAATCGCGCCAAAGACCCCAAGAGTCTGGAAAATAAACTCATCCAACGGCAGAAACACGGTCATGCATATACTACTATAGAGGAGATCGATAAAGACATTGTTGATCTCGCGGGGGTGCGCATCATTCTTTACTACGCCGCGGATCGGGCGAGAGTGAAGTCGATCCTGCATGATAGATTTAAGGTGAAAGAGACGAGGATATTTCCTGACAGAGCCAATAATAAAGAGGCTGCCAGGGGTAGAAAAGGATATACAGCCCATCACTTTCGAGTGTGGATGCGAAAAGATGACATGGAGAGACACCATCTCGCGACTGACGGACTCATTGAGATACAAGTTATATCGCTTTTCCAGCATGCATGGGCTGAGATTGAACATGATATCAAGTACAAACCGACGTGGCAGATCGTAAACAAAGAGCAGATTGTGCTTGGCTTTCTGAAGCAAATTGTGGATTTGTTTGACTTTTCTATGACTCGACTGTGGAGGATTCAGATGAAGAACCGACGACTGATGCCACACAATTAAAGAATATATCTCGTTGATCTACAGCCAATATGGAAGGGATTGTCTATAGTACTTTGGAATAACATCATCATACACTGACATTGTATATTACATATCATCTTCAACACATAGCCCCATCAGCTTATTCCTGAGTAACCAGAGCAGTCTGAGTAGATGCTGCATATTAGTTTGATAGTTATCAGCGATTGATCCAGCAATAAATGGTTATTGAAGAATATAGCATTCCTAGAAGTAAACGAAGGAACGAAATATTAAGAAAGATAGAAAACACACGATCCAATCTGGTTGCCTTGATAATATCCCAAACATTCCGTTCTGGCAGGTCATACCGACATCCAAAATGCGGGGATCGACCCGAATTGGAAACGCATGCCGGCGACTCCATCACAACATAACGTACCTAGCTATAGATAACAAATATGAACTTTTCTTGTTTGTAATTATTTGAATTCAACATGAGCATTGCAATTATCGACCCTGGCATTATCAGTCTGCTGTCTATGTACAAAGTAACCATCACTGCGCAAGATCTACCAGGTGATGACAGCCAGGATTGAGCGAGTCTATGGATGGCTATGGGGGTTACATTATTGGTGGAAGCTCCCAAAGAGAAATTTCATACTCTATAATACATCACTTGTTGATTCAAATACTTTGGATTTTATTGAGCAGCATTTCAAGTGAATCAATTGATGAAATGTAGTCTAAGAATGTCTAAGTATTCTAATGCTCAACTTGGAAAAATATAATCATACATCATGAATTATCCGCACATGAAAAGCTGTCAGAAGAAGCATCGTCATGGATCGCTTTTCCAGAAGCATAAACACCAAGACCGCACTGAATGACATTAGTCCTGTACTACCAGCTCTGAACCAGAAACTTACCAAAAGCAGACCTATGCATATGATAAATGTATTAAGAAGCGTGAGACACAACTTCCTGAGCGACGAAAACCATACATCCCTATTCATGTAAAACCAGAACATGCCAGGCAGGGTGAATGTAAACCAAGTGGCAAATAGCGAAGTCTATCACAGTCAGTCTGCTTACCTCATTTATATAGAAAAAAACTTACCATAAGACTGAGCAGATCATCAAAGACAGGAATTGCCGAGGCAATAATCCACGCCACAATCCAGAGTGCTAAACCAATGCCAATCCAGGAACCAGTAGCGACGAGATCGCGTTTATGGATGCGGTCTGTGCCGGCGAAGACGCGGAGATAGATGGTTTTGGCGGCGATGTGGGCGTTCATGACGCCGGCAATGATGATCTGTCTCTTAGTATTCTGTAGTGAGGAAGTGAGGAAGTGCTTACGGTTGGTAGAGCAATGCCGTATGCAATCTTTGCTATCAGCGGACCAGCTGATCCGAGAGCTGGAGATGTCACATTATTCCCGGTAAAGTAATAGATGACCACGGCGGTGACAATGTATAAGGATATGTCGACTGTCTGGAGAAGGGCCAGTGCTTTGGGGAAGTCCCGTGGATCCTCAAACTCTGCGATGAAGGAAAAGAAGGTGTTGTGTGTGACTGTATAGATTAGTACCTTCTGTAAATAAAGCTCTATATAAAGAAAGCATACCATATGTAAAAGTAATATTGGCTGCGGCAGTAACACCAGTAACCAGACTCGGCTGGGCAGTGGCATGTATAATAACGTCGCTAGATTTGCGAACACCGACAGCAACCATAGTAATAAACACTGCTATCAGGATACTGATAAAAGCTTGTCATCATTAGCATTTAATCAATCGCAAAAGGAGGCATTGGGACATACAAGCAACTGAAAGCCAGGTCATTTTGGCCAATGTTCGTGGAAGAGTGCAGATAAACGAGGCAATCAGCCCGACAACACCGAATACTATAGAGCACGTTCCATGGTGTGTGAGGGTATTCATAGCCACGCTGAACGTCACCAAATGACTGGCCATGATGAAGACAAGGAACAGTATCTGGGCGAACCCGACAAGCTCCCTCCCAATTGGGCCGAGCAGCTGGTATCCTGCATCAGACATGCTGGAGATATGTGGAAACCTCCATTTGAACTGTGCAATCACGTATCCCGTATATGTTGCAATGATACCTAGTCCGACCAGAATAATAAGACCCGGTACGAAGCCCAATGATGCCATGGCCTTGGGAAGGGTAAGGATGCCGAGGGAGATTGTCTCAGCGATCATGAGCATACCGCCTTGCCTGTCATAGTCGGATCGTCAATGAGTGTATATAACTTAGATGCGTTGCAACCGACTCACCACCACTTGAGAACCTTGTATTTGACCTCGGCGAATTCTTCATCTCCAAATGCATCTTGAGGAGGTGGCGGAGCTTTCTCATTTTCTGAAAATGTATGGACTAGTTCCGCATCAATTTGATTTCCGGGTTGAATCCTCGGATCAGAGAGGTCGACTATTTGGGGTGCCATGATGGGGTGCAATATAATTTTAGAATTTGAATAGAGTGCTGATTAGAGTGAGTGTACTGTTATGAATAAATACTGCTCACAACGTGGCAGATAAGACATTGTCAAGGTATGCGTCCATGATAAGACAATCTTCAGACCCAAGGTATCATTTCTATTAGGAAGCTACACCCGACTGTTCACCCGCCATTGCATAAGCAGTAATGAGATATGCATAATCTACCTTGATCAGGCTAGACCAAGCTGTATAAACAGGGGCTAAATCCCAAGACAGAACGCAGTGCTTGGTGCCTTCTACCCCGCAAAGTATCCCCGACATATATTGCGGGGGTAACGGTAGCTGCTGGATCGACATGACAGAATGCAGGATATTCCGAGGAGAGAATATGATTGGCGAGAAAACATGGAGATATCACGATATGGTTCGGTTCCACTTCAAATGGCAGGCTATGCCGACGAGTGCTGTCTCAGGTAACGTAGCATTTTAGAATTGACTTTAATTGATGGCTGGTTAATTGACGGTAATTCATTGGATCGAATCCGGTGGATGCGATTTTGGGCCATGGTTCTTGCCGACGGCTCTGGGATTGACGCGATGCTTATATCCATTCGATTAAAAAGGTAATCACCATGAGAATCTTCATGGAATTAATATTTCAACAGAAATTTATATATCAGAAAAGCTTGTCTACTGCCGCTTTGAAAACAGTTGGCAATAGAGTAGAAATAGAATTAATTAACCACTTCGGTCCGTTGTTGAAATTATTTATGCAAGAACTGTGCTCCAATAACTGGTGAATAATAAAGATATTCAATAGCTTTAGGCTTCTATGGTGAAAATATCAAGTAGCCACATGCAACCGTGTCAGTGTGATTGTATGATTAAGATACTTTACCCAACCCTCCATTTTTGATGATGCTGTGTGCTGCGAAGTTTAATTCCGCGTAGTCTAAATCGATGATGAAAATGACCTGGCTGAAAAGTCTGTTAGACTCAGACATTTCACTCTGAGCTGCATTACTTCATTTTCAGATCATAGCATGAAGATCTGCATAGTGCATAGCTGAAGCCGACGATAGACATGACGTCATGACCTAACAGTGTCATCCACGAGGTGCTTGGTAGATATTGCTTGTACTGTATGGATAGGCCAAAAAGAACTCGATGGTAATTGATATACAAAAAGAAAAATTGACAGACATTATCCATGTATCATGCCAGGTGAATGAACTCGTGTTTGGGCGACTTGTCGAACCGAAAGAATGCGCTGGAAAGTGGGTTCGGTAGAGGCCGATGACGTGGGGATTGAAAGTCTTTTCAGCAGATGACACTCGGAATTACGGCTCGCCAGCTCTGGCTTATAAGTAGCACGCAGGGGTAGCAATGGCGCAATCAACACTGTTTATTCGTCATTTCCCATAATATATCCATCATGCCAATCTTATACAACCCTCGTAGCCGCCGGCTGTTTGAATCAGCGCCTTGTCCGGCAGACTGCATTATTCCCACCGGCGACCCTGATGCCTATGGACTTTACCCTGAATTCCGCTGGGTGTGTAATAAGCTCGCCATTGCCGAGCTACAAGGAATCAAATGCGGTCCTCACAAGACTCGTCCTGGCGACGACTTGTTTCCTATATTCAGCAAGCCTATCTACAACCTCGGAGGCATGGGTGCCGAGGCACGGGTTATCAAGACACAGGATGACTACTGGCGCTCTGTCACCGCCGGCCACATGTGGTCTGCTTTATTGACGGGCGAGCACTACAGCACAGACATTGCCGTGGTGTCTGGGAAGCCGGTCTGGTTCTCGCATACGAGGGGATTTCCTGGCCCAGATCAAACATGGGACTACTGGGAGATCAATATCCAGGTTGGCGGTGGTCTAGAGGAGTATATCACCGGCTTCATCGAGAAGCACCTGTCTGGATATACCGGAATGCTGAACATGGAAACGATTGGGGGAAAGATCATCGAGGTGCATTTGCGATTATCGCCCCAGTGGGCGGATGTATATGGATCGTGGTTTCTGACCTCCCTGGTGGATCTGTATTGCGGCGAAGGATGGACAGGGCCTTCGTTTACCGAGTCGAAGATGCAAACTGGGTACAGTGTGGTATTGTTCGACGATGTCGAGTATGCCAAAGTCGGGACAGCCCTGACACTGGATTATTTACGACAGATGGAGGCTGCTTTCGGTGTGAGCAGTATTACGATAGGGTATAATGCAGCAATGCCACTGGAGACTTATTTCTATCCACCCGGTGGGTTTAGAATTGCGTGGATTAATGGGTTTGATCTGGACAAGTGCAAGTTGGCAAGAAGGACGCTCCAGATGCATTTGCACAAGCTGTATAGGAGCCAATTTACTTCAGCTCGAACGGTGGCATTGAGAGTCTTTTACTGGGAATGGAGAGTCATTTGATGGATATACATAAGAATTTCATGAGAAAATAATCAACAATACCATGTCTATATCCCCAGATCAAACCATTCATGGTCCTGTGCATCTCTGGCAGATAGCCGTTCCTCAGGTTTAAACCGGAACAACTTCATCAAAAGGTCAACAAACAGCATCACTTCCTCTGGCGGAATGTCACGATGTACTGTTTCAAATTTTCCACCGGACTGTACTTCATACTCAAACCCAGCTTCAACCCGCTTTTCAAACCCCCGGGCCTCGTCAGTGGAACCCTTTATAACAGGACGTCCCTCTGAGTCAGGCTCATCTTCAAAACATCTCCGGCGGTGCTCCCAGGTCGTTGACCACCATGGTTCTGGCATAATCCCGAAGAATAGAGCCATGAAATAAAGATATTCATCAGCATCATCGTCAAACATAGTAAATAGCTTCCTTCCAGTTCGAATGCTGAACAGTGTACATGCAAGGGCCCAGATATCACTCCCAGGGCCTGGCTTTTCACCCAGTAAAATCTCAGGCGCAGAGTAGCTCTTCGGAGTTCCCAACTCTGGTGAATCTGATATACTAAAAGATTCACCAAAGTCGATAACATAGACCTCATCACGAAGGAATGAAACATCCACGTGTTCAAATTCGACAGGAATAACAAGATATTTGGCTGCTGTCTCCGGTGGGATCTCCCCAGCGCAGGTAGTGACTTTAAATGTTTTCGGTTCACCTAATATCTTGATGACTTCTTCCTCAGACAGGCCGTCGAGACCGGTTACCCGGAGCAGTACGTTGTGGGGGGTGAAATCTAGATTTGTCAGACATGGCATGTTAGAAGTAGAAGTAACACTGACCTCCATGGCAAATACCATGTTCGTGTAATGAAGCCATAGCCTCAACAGTGTGGAGAGCAATCCTCCGCAACGTTTTGTCATGATCCTCAAATATATGGTTGATGGAAGAAACCGCCGGTCCAGCCAGAGGGTAAACAAAACACCAATGCTCTCCATTCGGCCCAGTTATTTTGAACTGGTCTAGTGGCAGGCATATTGAATCATTGCAAATGTTCAGCTGTCTCACTTTATTAACTTTCAACTCAGGACAGTTATCACCTGAGAAATCAGCCATGATAATCTTCAACGCTACATATTTTGGCGTTGGATCGAGAGCCTGACACAACCAGACATTTGCAAACCCGCCACTGCCCAGCTTGTGAATCACACGGTATTTCCCGTCATTGCCCAGTCGATCACCGAGATGGATCGGATGGTGACCGCCAGTTTCGTAGTCGTAGATTTTCTCTAAACCCCACGGGGGGCCGTGTAGTTGCAAATTGCGTCCAGAGTCTTGAGGAGAAAGCTGGACAGTTTCTTGTTCAGACATGACCGAAAGTCTGCGGTAGTTCTGCTGTATGATATGGGTTGGTTGCGTAGAATTTCGCTCAAGACGGAGAACTGACAGAGAGTGTCAATAAACCACGCACTAAGCCGAAACGGGTGTCCGAACTGGCGCTATTTTAAGCTTGTATCCTCATCCAGCCAATCATTTTTAAATACTGTAATCCTGGATATTAGTACTCCTTTAAGCATGCTCACATGTAGAATAAAAACGACAATGAGAAGGATAATGATAATGGCCTGTTCTAGATAGCTCAATCATGATTTATCCATATGTGGTTACACCGTCATTTCCAGGCAGAAGCACGTGTCTTCTTAGAAACATGATTGTTCTTGTTTGCAACACATACTGCAAACAGTATGGATGTGTCTTATGCATCTACTTGTAAGAATTCTGGCTGCATAAGCAGGCAACAACGGCCTGTAGCCTAGCCCAACTCCCCCTTGCTTTGCTGTCGGTCTATATAGATGGCGGAAATACCAACCTTTGATAACAATCACCAAACATCAACTTCTATTTATTCATATATATCATTCCATTCCTAGTACATCACAATGCCATCTTCTCATCCTCCGTCCGCGCAGTCCAGTGATATGAAACTCCCAATTATCGGAACGAAAAGCAACCCGCTAGAGACCGACTGCGATGAGAAGTACCGCATGGCTCTACTGGTGGCCGCCCGAAATGGTCACCGATCCTTTGTAAAGGGGCTTCTGAAGGAAAAGGCGCAATTCGACTCAGTGCTATACGCAGGTCATTTCCTCAAGGAGCATCGAATGGAAATTCTCTACCAAATGGCCATGGATAGCATCATAGATCTAAAGGGACCGGATCCGGAAGAATTCATGGACTCGCTGCGTGGACGGACACCGCTGACTTGTGCTGCTGAAGGAGGCCATATAGAAGTGGTTCATCTTTTATTGGACAAGGAGGACGTGTACGAGAAAGATACAGATGGAAGGACGGCTTTACACTGGGCTGCGCAAGGGGGCCACGGCGAGATTGTCCAGACGCTGCTGTTCCGGGGTGCTGAGGTCGAAGTGGCCGATGCGACTGGGAACACGCCACGATGCCTGGCTGCACGGGAAGGCCACGACGCGACGGTCGATTTGCTGCGGAAGTACGGCGACGATACGCATGTGGCCGATGAGAAAGCACTACTAGAGTTCGTCCAGGCCATGCTCAGCAAGAAACAACCATCTCCTCAAGGACCGCGGATCATTCAACGTCTCATCCGGCAGGGGGCCGACATCGACGCCCGAGATAAAATTGGCCTCACTCCAGTGCATCTTGCTGTGGTTGGCAGACGTGTCGAACTTGTGGAGCAGTTGTTGGACTGCGGCGCTGATATTGAGGCTCGCAATTCTCGAGGCATTACACCGCTGTTCATAGCGGCAGCGCGGGGCTATTTGGAAATCACCAAGGCACTCATACATCGGAATGCCGATGTTAATGCCGGGGACATCATGATACATGATATGAGGCCGGTGGACTACGCTGTAGGGTACAACAATCCCCGGGACGTGAGAAGCTCGGAAAAGCGACGCGTTGTGGAGCTGCTACTGGACAGCAAGGCGGACATCACGACGAGAAAAGGACGGGAGGCGTGGAGCGCTCTCGGGGTAGCCATCTCCGCTGGCAGCGTAGAGATGGTCAAGCTGCTGCTCGACCGTGGGGGCGACATCGAACAGGGCCCAATGCTCCTGCCCCCTCTGTGCTTCGCCGCATCCGAGAGTCAGGAGGGAGTGGTCCAGCTGCTTATAGGACGGGGCGTATCTCTCCAAGAAACGGACAAACACTATGGGCGCAATGCACTCTCGTGGGCAGCCGCTAGGGGAAACGAAGCGGTATTTGACCGGCTGCTGAAGGCTCCTGCGATCGGATGGGACGATGCGGACTGGCTGGGCAGGACTCCTATCTTCTATACTATCATCACAGGAAATAAAGGCTTCTTCAAGAGGCTGATGTCACGGGGCAGTGACGTTCACCGGCGGGATCGATTTGGTCTGACGCCGTTGTTCCTGGCTGTCCAACGCGGCCATGAAGATCTAGTCCGGCATATCCTCAGCAGCCGTCCACTAGAAGAGGAGCCACGGGATCGATATGGGCGAAGTCTGACATGGTGGATGCAGAACACGGGAAATACCAGGCTGCGAGACCCCCTCGTGCAGTGCGGTATGCAGCTGGAAGCTTCATGGGGTGGACAACACCCGACCTTGCGAAGGTCTAAGGGATCATGCGATGTCTGCACTCTTAACATTACCTGTTATAGTCAAAGCATCACGAGTGGTTCTGGACGTGAGGGATACAAAATATGCTCTGTGTGCTGCAAGTTTGGAGCTGGCCGTGCGGACTTTGCGGGGGTGTAACGGTCGACTCGTACATAGTGTAGGTCATTGGTCTATGTACTATGAGATCAATTGAAGCCATATTGGATTCTGTGTTGGAAATGCAGTATAATACGTTCAGCATCTCCATCCACCGTGCATCTGTCAAGTCATGGGTTATTACTTTGTTATATAGATATTATAAGACATCAAAAACACTCATTTGTAAATGTAGAAAGTATAAAATATGTTTATTAGAATCCACTGCCAGATATTTAATATCATATCCTACACCAGGATGCTTCCGTGTCACATATCGCATTATCCATAAAACATAAGAAGCTTTCTTTATCAAAAGCAATCTAGGAATCCTCCGTATCACAATCAAAGGAAGAACGATGCGCCTGAAGCAATCGGTATGCTGCAAAATGCCCATTATTGAATGCAAACAGTAACGCCTGCTGATAATGTGCATCATCAACTCGCGCCCCAGCATTGAGAAGTAATTGAAGAATATCTATCCGGCCGTGCTCAGCTGCTCCTTCGATGGCTGTTCTTCCATTCACCTCTGCAGGCTCAGCATTGACATTCCCGCCCTTCTCAAGCAGACATAAGACAACGCCATAATGGCCCTGGATCGCAGCGGCCTGAAGGGCTGTAGCACCGCCGTCCTTGGCTGGAGGTGCGTTGACATCAGCCCCTGCTTCGAGTATCATCTTCACAATATCAAGCATTCCTTGCTCAGCGGTCTTTTGGAGCAAGGTTCGCCCAAATTGACCTTCTCTAGGGGTGTTCCAATCTCGGACATATTTGAAGAGGGATGGGAGAACTGAGAGTCGTCTTTCGGCAACTGCTCCTGACACGGCAGATTGTATCGTATGATTGCCAATCGCATTGTCCTTGTGGGAGAGGAGCAGCTCGACTATGTCCATATTCCCAGTGTAGATTGCCACATCGAGAGCGGTTTTTCTCTCCAGCAAAGACATCAAATGATCTATCGACAGATTATGATTGACGTTCGGTGGTATGACTTTGAGGCCAAGGTTCCATTCAGCATAATTCCCCCATGATAAACGATTATTTGGATTGACTCTGCCCTCTAGCAGGATCTGGACCATTTCAATCTTCTCCCGTAGAATGGCGGCGTAAAGTGCAAGACATCCAAAGCCCTTCGGCCGATAATCCATACACCTACAATATGCTATCAGAATCCTAAGCATGTGAGAGGAACTCTTGTCTACCGTGCAAAGCAAGGACAAATAGTCTCTGGGGTCTGCGCCAATCCCCAACAGGTATTCAACCAATGGGATATCATCGGTCATTATCGCAACCATGAGAGGTGTTTGATTGCGGCTGTCGATACTGTTGACTGGAGCACCGGAATTTAAAGAGGAAAGAAGCGAGGAATAATCCTTCCGAAGGATAGATCCAGTGAGCTCTTCGGCGTAGTCCAACGGAAGATGTGGCCTGTAGTTGGCGTGAAGATATTGAACAACAGCTTTCTTTCCGTGGGTCTGAGCAAATCGAAGATAATATGAATCAGGCGCGCCAAAGTCAGCACCTGCTTGCTGAAAAACATGAAGAACATCAATATGCTCATCCATAATTGCATATTCAAGAGAGGCCATAGTTGCCAGGGATTGAAAGTTCAGGTTTGCTCCGTTCTCCAAAAGGTAGTGCGCAATATCTGCCATTCCCTTCGACACAGCCAGATGAAAAGGAGTGATTCCTAGAAGAGGGTCGGTAGCATTGACATCAGCACCAGCCTGCACGAGCATCTGTACAACACTCAAACCTCTCATGTGAACCGCTATATGGAGTGGAGACGACATTTCTAGGGATTGGGTATTGACGTCTGCTCCCGCAGCAATCAGGGCTTTTACAACCTCCATGTTTCTATATCTCAAGGCGATTTGTATTGCAGTCTCAGGAGTCGATGACGATTCAGGTTTGGCACCTGAGTCGAGAAGAAATACTGTCATCTCCGTGTCTTGTCTGCTTATAGCATGGTCCAGTGCTGTCATCCCATCGGACGAGACCTCATCAATGCTTGCGCCGGACGCAAGAAGCATCTTTGCCATTTCCATGCGTGAGTCCTTTGCAGCCGCATGGAGGGGTGTTATAAGGGCATGGTTATTGCCCTCCGTCAGAATGCGGCCATTGACATCGGCACCATGCTGGAGAAGAAGTTGCGCTATTTCCATATTGCCTCGACATGCTGACGCTGTCAAAGCAGTAATTCCCAGGCGAGAAGGTTCATCAACTTTGCCTCCGGAGTGTAAAATCTTTTTTAGTAGCTCACGATCATCCATCGCGGCTGCGAAGAGAGTTGCTCGTTTCATTTTGGCCCACTGAGCGCTCAAAGGACGCAAAAAGCCAAAGTCTCTGCGTCTAAAGCCTAAGATATAAGAGAGAGATTTTTCGTCCTGGGCTGATTCGGCGCCCAAGTCAAAGTTGGTCACATCCGCACCAGCCGTGAGCAGGAGCTCAATCAGCTCTTTGTTTTCTCGCCGAATGGCATAGTCAAGAGGGGTATATCCATCACAATTGGTGAGATTTACATCAGCGCCGTAGTCAAGGAGAGTTTTAACCATTCTCAATGCGGCCTTGGCATGACGACCAGCCCTCTGGAGAATATTCATCGTAGCGTGGTGCAAGGCAGTCCACCCCCTTTTGTCTTTTAAATGGAAATCAGCATTAAATGATAGTAGCTGTTTGACGAGTCTGGAACACGAATTTGACACTGCATGATGTAGAAGAGACCTGCCGTCTTGATCGAGAGCATTGATGTTATCTCCAATGGACAACAAAATAACCGCTAGCTGTTTCCTCCGATTCGAGCCATCTATAGCGAGTCTTCTGATATTATCAATCCCGGCTCCGATATTGGCCAGGAAATCTTCCATTTCTGAAGTCCTATGGTGGCGTAGGTACAAGAATGCGCGGGCGATATCTGTCCTTTGGGGAAAGTCGATTCTCGCCCCCTTTTTCAGCAAGAAGGAGATCATTTCAAACTTCTGTTTTGAAAGTGCATACTGAAACAATGTATGGGAACGAAGCGATTGACCTACAACGGTTTGATTGACATCCACATGACTTAGAAGCAATTCCATAACTGAGGTGGATTGATCTTCTATTGCAAGTGGAATCAAAGCTTCTGCCAGTGATTCCGAAGTTGACCCGGGGGCTGATAGTATCGTTTGCAGGATCCCACTATTCTTGGCTAACAGGTAGCACTTTTCATTAGTGTCTGAAGGAACAAGACGATTCGATAAGGCATAACCCAACATCCGAACAAGTGCTGGAATTGAATCGTGATTTATTGGATTTGAAAGTGCATGGGCAGTCGAAAGATGCTCTCCAGGATGCATCTCGGGCATCGTAGATTGCAGTATGTAAGCAAGTTCTGTCTTGTCTTCTCTTTCCTCTTGTAACGGGGGATTGTGTCGTTGAAATATCTGCATAGCAAAATCGACTCCAGCTGTGCTTGATCTAGGTGCAGATATCTCACCTCCTATGATTTGGTTGAAATCTTTGGGTTGGAATTGAACAGCTGTTTTATATCAGTTATCGAACAGGGAACTGATATCTGAAGTGCATACCACGCGAGACAAGCATCGTATGAAAAGATACCCAGGGCAAGTTACCTGTCTTTGGCCACTGAACCACTGATGCCGGCGGTGTACAGACAACAACTCCAGCAGGCAGTTTTGGACTTGGACCTGTAACCACCATGGTCAGTAATACAAGATAGCATATGCAGATAAGAGAAGCATACATTTGGTAAACCTCTCCACGGTTGAGATGGTCCCGTTTCGGTATGTTCCCTTTTGCACCTTCTTCTTGGGAACCAAAAGACCATTGTCGTAAACGTCACTGTCTGGACGGCCAGCATTCTTTCGCTTCAAGATATGATGCTGTATCGCCTTCCATTCCTCTGCTCTGAAGTTCTTGCGAAACCCCCATTTCTTAAAATGTTCCTCGAACTGCCAGTCCCTGTTGCATTTCCCACGGTTAGTTTCATACAGGTGACGATATTCAGAGGGCAAATACGTTGCATTAAATCCATGCTCTGCTTCCATAATCTCCATAACCTTCTTCTTCTTTCCATTCTGGTGGATGTATAAATTCCAGATGATCTTTTTGTGTTGTTCCCATACTGATTCGGGGATCGCGATCTCGCTCGATGGTCGGGGCATTGGTTTTGAGTAGCGGCGGGCAATCTGAGGGTTGAAAATGTAGATTCAAAGCATCTGTATTTGTCCCAGAGCTTTTAAGTCTGATGGAAACGTGAGATATGAGAGAAAGAAAAGAAAACTGGAAGGAGGAAGGAAGGGTGGATGGATGGACAAGGCTGAGGGTGTGCCATATTTATCTTCCATGCCATTGGACAGTGCCAGAATTGGTGGATACCAATATTCTGTATCATCTGCCAGGCAGTCATTGGCCAGTTCCAGAATCTGGACGAAGATCGCCCCACATCGTCGGGCAAGCCGCGAGTTATCGACAAACGGCTGTGATTGGCGAATGCCAGAATCTGGTACCAAGGTGGACAGGAGCCCGAGAGTAGATGCTGAATAGACTGCAAATTTTGGTGACCTCAGTATTCCTATAAGGACATATATAGCCCTCTGCATCTGCTGTTGGAATGCTCTTCATTTTCATCACCAATCCACAACTGTGTTTGTTCTCTTAGCCCTTTCTCTACTTTTCTAACTCTTCTTTGGTACATTCTGTTCATTCATCACAAAACACCCAAGACAATATCTTATTCATCAAGTTGAGCTGCGCCTCTACTATGTCTTCATTTGTAGCACCCGGTTCAATGAATGACGACGGCCTTCCAATGACAACCAGCAATATCGAAAATCTGTTGGTAGACCCAACTTCCATGTCTTCAGGTTGTCGGTTCTCCAACAATACATATCCCATCGTTGACCAGATTCCATTTATAACGCCCGACCTTCCAATCATGCAGGCCGACCCTACATGGAACGAAACACCAATGCCCCCTTCAACAGCAGAGACTGTCCAGCCAGAAGCATTATACCAATCGCTTAATGGCATTGAACCGTGGACACCAATCACAAGTCAAGGCTATCTCAGTACGGGTTCTGGAGTAGGGAGCGATGTTATCTTCGATTCCATATCTCACACTCCTCAATCCCTCGAGTCTGACAACCTCGACTTTGCTACTGTCGACCCCATTCAAGACACTCAAGTCGCCAATGCCAGTGATGAGCAAAATCCAAAAGGTAATCTATCTCACAAAAGGTACGTCACAATTCTTGCATATACTCTTGTTGCATGTATATATGGCTAATGAACCATGCTTAAAGAGCCCGCCGTTTTAAGTGCAAATGGGAAGGCTGTCCATCCAAGCCATCTTTCAACCGAGACGTGGATCTACTGCGACACGTCAAGACGATCCACATATGCCCTCGTTCATATGTCTGTTACATTCCCGGTTGCCAGAAGCGGTTCAATCGGAAGGATAATCTCACGGAACATATCAAGAATTACCATGATATGGGGAAATCGTAACGTTGCGAAAATCGGCAGCTGACGTGCGTCTATGATGGTCCATTTTATTTTCTCGTCTCGTTCAAAGATAGCGTGGAATCTCATTTTATATTGTAATTTGGCGTTCCGGGAGAATGTGTGTAATTTATTAGTGAATGGAAGTGCAAGTGAGTATTACAGATAGAAGAGGTCAACTGGACTTGAGTAATCTAGCCTTATATTTCTCATATTAACCAGGCACGGACAGAATTGACCACACTAAGAAAACAGAAAAGCGAACAGATGGAAACAATGTCAACTTGGACCAGTAAAATCCAGTTGCCCAATCTGCCATTCGTCCATTATATCAAATCCCAGAAAATCCTCAAAGAGCGATATATTATTCTCACTCTGCTCCAATGATGGAGGCACGCTGACCGGTGTGTGCGGCGAAGCGTACGGATCCTCCATACTATTGTCGTGTGACGGCGACTGCGAAGGTACCTGACCAAGACTATTGGGCGGAACCAAGTTCAAATTCTTCCTCGCAAGAATATCTTCAAATAACGGCAGAGCTCTTTTCAGGGCTGGTATTTCTTTGCCCTGGGTGAGAACGAGCATTGTCTGGCTGATGGATATCCGCGCCATGGAGCGGACGAGGTCTGTCTCGGCTGGATCGAGGGCCGATTCAATGTGTAGAGCGAGCAGTGCCGTTATGGTGGTTATGCTAGGAAGGCAATTATCAGCTCTCCATTTGTGTTCTCGATAGAGCATGTCTGAAAAATGGGAAAACGAGAAGAAATCGACAGCACCTACAAGGATATGGGAAAGTCCTGAAGGGTACCGCTCGCCAACACCCTCTTGGTGATCGTGTCCAGCTCCAGAATCGCAGACCGAAGCCGCTGTTTGGCCCACTCGCTCCCGTCATATTGGGAATGCTGCCAACGGCGTCGTATCAGACGAGATAAGATGCACTCAAATCTGTAGCTCATGGCTTGGATAGTTAGATAGTACACGTCGGTTGCAATGTTTCCATCTAAATGCATCTTGGAAGGGAGAGACCTGCGCCATGCATCGAGTGGGTGCAGCATTTTTCGAGGATCCTGCTGCGGCTTGTTTGTCATGTTGGACAGACACTGTCCGACTGAAAAGAGTTAGTCTGATTGATAATGGAAAAGAAAATAATGACAATAAACAATGGCGTGGAAGCAACACGCACATATTCGAGACAGCTCGCAGTGGGCAACAGGCAAGGCCCTTTGCTGAGGCGTGGCTGGCGATATCAAGCCGGATGATGTTTCCGAGACATCCTCTTCCCAGTCATCTTCCGTCCTAGAATTGATGGTGGAGCTGTCTTCAAGTAGTCGCGAGCGTCTGGTATTGACAGAGACATGGAAAATATCTAAAGACTATGTATCTACAGTAAGCATAATACAGGAAGAACGGAGCACGGTGACGAGAGGCCCGTACATAGAGAGCCCACCAGATCCTTCTGTACAGCTTTAACACTGCACGGGGTTTGTCTCCTCGGGCACAGCTGTGTCGGTTAGTACCTACAATACATGCCACAGGTGTCACAGTCCAGGTAGGAAACGTACGCGGTGCGTAGGTCAAGCTTAGCGGCAAGACGGATCGCATTGTGGAACCAGTAGCCAAAGTCTCGGTCGGTAGGGCGATCGCGAATCACCATGCTTAATATGATAGATCCCTGTAGCATCAGCAAAGGATCGTTCTCAGCGGCAAAGTCGTCGAGAAGCTTGGCCTTGGAGAAGAACGACTCTTGCGCGGCGGAACGGTTGGCAAACCCGCAGGCAGATAGTACGTCTTCTGGCGCATGGACACTAGCCGGCGTCAATATGGCGTGGAGCAGGAACAGCGAGCAGTCGCCAGACTGAAAACCGCGAATGAAATCGACTCTATTGATTACAGGAGCAAACGGGTAGACGTGGTCAAAGTATGTCTTTATGAGGGAATCTCTATTGTTTTTGTCAGCAAGTAGAGGTAGAGACGAAGATGAGGAATGGAAGAGTCTAAGATTGGTCTCACAGGTATTGCGAGGGAGGTAGATCAAAGACACCTTTCTTGACAAGATATTGATGGTCAACATCGTCCAAGTGGGGTAGCTTCGTCCATAAGCAGTTCCGAGGAGTAAAACTGTCCCCGGAGCTTGGACGGTGGAGGCTGATGGAAGTAGGGTAGGATCGACTGAATTCTGCTGTTTGTTCGCCGGCGTCATTGAGGATGTTGAGGTAGAGCAGATCTGGCTCCGTCTGATGTGATCTTTGGCCGTCCAGAAGATCGGAAGTGGAGGGTTGAGCCGACTTTTGATTGATAAGATGAGATTGGTTAGATTGATAAGATTGACTACCGTTGGGTGGGGGACACTCGTACATGGCGAGGAATCGGTGAAACATGTTTCACTTTCCTGTGTCGTCATCTAACTTAGCACGCACCTAAGCCATCTGTCAGTAATAACTCACCTGGTCCGACCCTTACGGACCGGTAGAACACAGTCCTTGGCACACTCCCTACTGGTGCAGCTGCTGCAGGGAAGGCCAGTCACGGTGGCATCGCATTTGATCTTGCGTACCCGGCAGGGCACACATGCCTTGTTGGCTTTGAAGGCACGCTTTTCGGCTTCTCTTGGCATCTTTTGTGCCTCTGCCTGAGAAGGATATTGCGGCCTTGTAAACGTGTTGATGATCAGGACAGGTCATCTTCGGCGATTCAGGTTCCAGCCCGATCGGAAGATGATCCCTGCATTTAGGCCCCCATTGGCATTTCCTTGTCTACTACAGCCAGGCAGAGAGCACCAATTAGAGCAGATGGAGATCTTCTTGGCCCTACCAGAGCACTAAATGCTGTGTTCCAGCTGGATTACAAAATAAAATCGCAATTCATCCATTTCTCTACAACTAGTCTCCACTAAACAGCCTGGTGAGCCTTCTTCTCTGGCCCGTTTGACTCACCTTCCACCACGCCGTCTGGCTGACGACGCATCATCTCCAACACCTTTGCTGCTTCGAGGGAATACTTAGATTTGGCACGTATCTGCGCACCATACCTGTGAAATAGAAACGGAAAAGGCACGCATGCCAGAACCAGAAACGCAGGAATGGAGCTCGCCCATTGATTTCCGAGATTCTCGTACATTTGGGTGGTGAATAGCGGAAACGCGGTGCCGAATAAGGACCGCAGCGCCGAGTTGGCTGCCAGTACAGAGGCAGCATACACGGTATCTGACACAGTTGAGCCATGTGGATTGTTCTGGAGGATTTGAACTTACAAGAGTCGACGAGGTAGCTCATCAGCGAGATGAAGACCATGACCAGACCACAGGAGAAGATCACAGCGCCGATAATGGGCACGATCCAATGCACCGATGGATACGTCGTCCACGCAAACAGAAACAGGCCCGTCGGAATTACAAAAGAGCCTACCATGGCTGTGCTCAGTCTGGCCTCTGGCTCGACGGTGCCTCCGCCTGCTTCGGCCTCCGCGCACAGCCGCACGTAGTGTTTGTTGTCCACGCCAGCCGCCAGCGTGGCGAGACACACGCCAATGGCCACGCCGACAAACGGCAGTCCGGCGATGCCCTGGCTCCAGCCTCGAGTATATTGGAAGACGATGGGGAACCCGGCAAAGAACATGTACAGTGTGCCATAGACGATTGAGACGTACAGCGATGTCAGCAAGACAATGGGTTCGCGGAACAGAAAGATCCAGGGGCGCGTGAGAGAGACCAAGAGCTCCTGTGAGAATGTCTTGGGCGGGTGTCCCGCATTCATCCGGGGTACATAGACGCTTCCTGTCATCCGGGAGAGGGCCTTGGCTCGACATCGCAGAATGAACGGCGCGTATGTTTCGGGAGTGGTCAGCGTCGTGATAATCCAGACCACGCCGCCCATGATGGCGATTAAACCGAGGGGCCAGCGCCAGTCCTGAGTTTCAGCAAGAAAACCACCGGCAATGGGGCCTAAATGTTAATAGGGATCAGCAAGTGTACAAGGCAGCATGTAAAAATGGCATCCACCGACCCAGTGCAGGTCCCAGAAACGGAGCCGTGACAAACAACCCGGTCGCCAGTCCACGCTGCGACTTGCTGAACATATCGGCAATGACGCCCCCGGTATTCGTCATCGACGACGAACCAAACGCGCTCGCAAAGAAGCGAAGAACCAACAAGGCCGTGATGTTGGGCGAGCAGGTCGCCGCCACGCTGAACGCCGTGTACGCCATGAACGAAACCACATAGATGGCCCTGCGCCCGTACATCTCTGAGAGAGGCGCCCAGATCAGCGGTCCCACGGCGAATCCTAACACGAACAGCGACAAGCCCAGCGTGGCCACCTCCCCGGACACGATAAAGCGCTTCTCAATGCCTCCAATGCTGCTGACGTACACCGAGCTGGAAAAGGTCACCACAAACGTGGACAGGGACTGGAGAATGGCAATGGCCCTTTTCCGCCCATAGGAAAAATTCATGGCATCTTGCGGGTCGTTGTGTAGGTAATCGACAATGTACGGGTCGTCTTCTGTACCTTTGCCGGCATAATTGTGGTTGCATACATGGTCGTCGGGGGGCGTGCAGAAGAGAAGATATTGGATCCAGGACATGCATTGGGAGTCCTTGATTTGGTGGGGGTTATCATTGGAGATAGTGGAAACGACGGCCATGTTTGGAACGACAGGAAGAACAGGAAGACCAGTGCTAAGATTCACAATAGAGACGGAAAACCAACAAGTTCTCATCTTGAACCATAGGTCATAGTAAGTACAAGATCGAGCTCTGGTATCGGTTATATAGTTCATTCGGACTTTCAGAATCGGAGTTTCAGCATGTTTATTGCCGATCAACAAAGCCCGCGGCATTATCTGCGGAATTGTTTTCTGTTAGCATGACTACATCAAAAATGCCATAGATTAACATGAGGTTTCATTTTCTAACTGTAACTATCTATATATAATCTAGATATCATATAATAGTGATCGGGTATAGCCCAAGTACAATCCGTATTACGATATAGTAGACCAGTAGGATAAACTTGGACATTAATATTTCTAGAAGCATTCAATGAAATAACGAGATATTTCTATAGCCACGCGCTAGAAATATTTGTTTTTCTCTTAGTTATAATAAGTATAGTAGTGTTCCCCTCTGGTCCACCAGGAAGGAGCTAGAATAGAAGGAGCGGTAGCTCACTGAATCAGTAGATTTCCGCTGTTGACTATGTATTCGTCCATACCTTGACAGTGGATGGCATAGTCTACATCCCAGACTCATCCTCGCGAGTGGTGCGGATGGTAATATGGGCGCTCCCAAAACTATAGCTGGAGTGCATGACATAAATAGTCTCGTCTTGCAGGTACTGCTGCAAAGTCTCTATGTATTCTTGCAAGAGACTGTGGTTTCCGCATTGAGCTGATTGTGAATATTTGGACTTTTTGTTGATATCGTATATGAACAGCTGCGGGCGGCTCAATTTATTCGAGTCATCCATTGCAACTGCTTTGAATCGAGCCGAGCTGTTTGCGAGTTGATTCTGTCACTTCTTACTGAGAGCGGTAGACGTCGAGGGTGGGGAAGATATACTGGAGGAAATAAAAGTATAGATAGATGGGTATTGATTCCGGATGATTGTATATTGATCTTCTAGGACAACACCTGGTTCTATATGGTCGAGCACATGCCACTGTAGCCTAGATCATGTGACTGCTGCCTAACATAGTATTGTGTCCATGTTTATGTCTAAGACACTGCAGAAGGGTCATCCTCGCCCAATTAGGCAATCAAGAAACCGCGTCATGCACATCTCTCGGTTGCCGCTAGCACGACGCTTAGGTTCGCGGAAAGAAGCACACAAAAGGCCTGAACCCCCTCCATATTTTCTCCTGGTCGATCGCTCCAACAAGGCGACCAAGGTGATAGACGACCTCCCAGACGACCTGCTTCTCATGATTGGAGAATGGATTGACGAAATCCCTACAAAGATATGGTGCCTGGCTGGCCTCTGGAATTGCTGAACGAGATATTCGAAGAGCCAATAGACAAGGATCGGTGGATAGAACACCTTCAGTAGTGTGGAAGTACTTGGATGAGCCTGATACTCATTCGCCTGGGTAACCTACAAAGTATACGCCTGGACTATCAGCCTCCAGAGCTCATGGAGGAAATCATCTGCAAGGCATCCAAACGAGCGACCTTTTCCACCAAAGCACCCCGTTTCCCTCTATGCACGAGGTCAAACTGATTAGCTCTTCCTCAAACTCGCCGTTTTCCTCGGACTTTGTGCTTCCGTTTTTCTTCCTCCCTGCCGTTCGCAAGGTCGAGGCGTCTGATGTCGTCGAAGGATTTTCACGATCCGAATACCGTACTCCCGAGGATCCATCCGATCGTGTGCCGCAGGATCTATCTGAAATCCGCAATCTGAACAGTTCCGTCACTGAAATCAGACTGTATGATGTGCTGGACCACACGGGGATGGAAAAATAGATTGCACTATGTACCCATCTTGAACACTTTGAGGTCGATTTTGGCTCAGGGATGAATTTTTCCGAAGCAGATCACTCATTTAACGCATCGGCATATCGCCGCAATCTCCTGCAGCCAAGGACACCCTCCGCACTCTTTGCCTCGGCTTTGGTGGTGTCCACAATATGATGAGAGGAATCGACATGGTGTCTATGTCCATGGCTATGAATTGGACCAGCGGGACGATACACCGTTTGGCTCGCTGAAAGAATTCCATGTCCTCCAGGACTTGTCGATCCGGCATGCCAACCTCGTCAAACAGTCAGATCCTCAATCTGATAAAGACGAAAGTGGCTCTAAGTCTTTGGCTGATCTGCTTCTCAGCTCGCTTAGAACCCTCGAGGTAAAAGACGTTGAGAAGCATTTTGCTGGTCTGGCGTCTGATCTAGTACAACTTGCCAACGACCGGGTTTCTTATATGCCGCAGCCTCATAAAATAAGTCTTCACATATATGGAGAAGCCGAGTCTGTTAAAGACTCTGTCCAACTTCTGAGGAAAGCTTGCGAAGCTGCGGGAGTATGTCTTGAGATATATTTTGTATTGGATAAGACTTATATCGGAAAGCCTAGCGTGCCGGACCCTGAATGATGACACCTGCATGCTTTTTAATGTCTATAAATGTATATTTCGCAATGGCCATGTGGCAAACAGCCGAAGTATACAGCATGCATATATATATATAATTAAGGCAACCAGGAAGGCCTTATTTATAACATTGCCTTTTGTGGCAGCAGAATTAAGCGAGATAAATCTAGACTCTAGCGTTTCAAGAAGTACCACTATTAGTGACGCTTTGTCCGCATCAATAGTGGCATAAGCGAAGCCGGCTGTGGCCAGACCTCAGCGGAAATAATCTCATCGGGGAGATGGAGGCGATCTCCGCTTTGAATCCTTTGAGTGTCAATCAATGTCAATCAGTGTCAATCGGTATCAATTAGCTGCGATTGGCAGCTTGCATATGATAGTATCTACTAAATCGAGCATGAACGTTGCATGTCAGTTTTATAGATATTAATAGTGCTGTACATATAGGCAGGGGTAAACAAAGGGGTAAAGCCGGGCAGCAACACGCACTTATTTTGGCTCCATCATTTTGACTGCATTATGTTGACTGACCAATTATTTGTGAGATAAATAATGATTATTAAAAAGCCATTGTCATCTCCTGGAAAATCCTTGGCGGCCCAGTATCTTGACTCTTTGACCCCTTGTTCGTGGCCATCGTGTTAAGTGGCATTATTCGGTAATCTTTCGGGCTTAGCAACACTCCTGGCCTATGAGAGCTGGCAGAACCAAGTCACGCGAAGCCAATTGAGCGATCGTCGTGACCGGCTCGATGAGTGCGAGTCAGTCGAAACCTCTAATTTCCGTAGCGGAGCCCATGCGGACTGAATCAGCCGACTAGAAGAACCGACGGAGGACGAATAGCCGGGGAGGAAACCCAACGGAACGACGTGATTGGCCAGCTGCCGATCCGATGGACCGGGAATACTGCACTGAACTCGATTTTCACTGGACAGGAAAAACAATTACCGAGTGCGTGGGAGTGGGTTTTGTCTGGAATTCTGGATCTCGAATTCCTCCCTTTTGATGCTAGCACCAGCCCATCGCCCTTTTCTTTTCGCCCTCCCCGCAGAAAAGGGATTGTGAAAATCTCTCGGCTTGTTCAATGCTCAACCAGCAGGGCTGCTCTGCACACGGGCAACATGGCCATCTACGCGGATGATGCACATTCAGTGGCTGGCAGCGTTATTATGCTGACTGCCATCGCCTTTATCACTTATGGTTTACGAGTCTATTGCCGGGTGAGCCGGAAGTCATGGGGCACGGAAGACTGGATCATGACGGCAGCATTGGTTGGTGTTCTGATTTAAGCTTAACAGTTACGACGCACCTCGACTAACCATGGATTCTGGATAGGCGCCTTTTGCCGTCCTCATTGCCGGCTGTCTCGGGGGTGCTTTCAATGGAATCGGGGTTCACAATTGGAGGCTGCAACAGGATGGGAACCAGAAATATCTCGCATCGGGACAGAAGGTATGCATTGCACCATAGACTTGTGTTTACCCCATCGCTCATTGGTTGGATCCAGTTCTTCCTTATCTTCGAAGTCGGCTATTGCGCGGCTATCATCCCAATTAAAATGAGCATTAGCTTTATGTTGATTCGGGTTGCTGAAGGGCGCAAGCTGTATATCTATATCCAATATGCGGTCATGGCCATATTTGTGGTCATGAACTTTATAGCCTTGATCTTTATCCTCACAAACTGCATACCCATTGCGTAAGACATCACTGCATACTCAACATATCCTTTACTAATCGTCACAGTGCTGCCTGGGATTCGAGTGTGGGAGGCAGCTGTAAACCAGCCTATGTGCTGGCAGATGTCTACTATGCGTGTACTGCTGTCAACATTGTCACAGACTGGATCACAGCTTTCATGTGCGTAAATCCATCCATCATTCTCAACCCGAGTCGGAGCTAATATGCAGGATAGGCCTATTCCGCTGGTCTGGAAAGTCCAGCTGAACCGCAATACGAAGATCTCCATCATCTGTCTGATGAGCTTGGGCATCTTGTATGCTTTCTGCCCCTTTGATGCCCCATAATAGCAACTAACAGTCTCTCTCAACCACAGCGCCTCATTGTCCGCATGCGTCCGTCTCAAATACACCGTCAACCTAACCAACCAAACCGATTTCCTCTTCGGCGTCGCCAACGTCGTCATCTGGGGGTTTGCCGAGAACGCCATCGGCATGATCGTCGGCAACGTCTCAACCCTCCGTCCTCTCTTCCGCATTCTCTGGGACCGAACCGGCTCGAGCAATGGCAACGGAAACGGATACAGCAATGGATACACAGGCGGTTCACGATCCCACGGATTCCTCAATTCGCGACGTACGAACCCGACCATGCTTGCCTCTGCGGACGATATGGAATTGGGCGGGCATGGGCAGACTCAGACTGGTATCCGGGCCAGTAAGGGATTCAACGACACCGTGGCAGAGGCCTCGGACTCGAAGGATAATAGGAGCAGCCAGTCGAGTGATAGGGAGAGTCAGAAGAATATCCTCCGTGAGGGGCAGAGGCCTGGACAGGCGGATATTTATGTGAATCACCAGGTGACTGTTACGTACCACTAGGGGGTATTAGGGTGGATATACTTTTTTCCTTTTTTCGTGTACATATAGCGCTTCTAATACTTGCATACATAAAGCGGCATAGAATAATAAACCCAGAGTTGACCAGTCCTACAGGTCATGATACCCAGATGATCTAATGTGTTCAAACTAATAATCGTCTGCAGGATCCGTGGAGAAAGAAAATCAAAAGGAATAAAGGTGTAAGAGCTCAGACTAGAGCCATTTACCTAAGTGTTTACCGCAGAGAAGCCAATTATAGCTCAGCTAATTCTTAAATCCGCCTTAAACTGAATGCTGTTTTGAGAGTGTTATCCCTACTAGGGTAGGCACACGCTAGGACAGTCAGTTAGGGTAGGATGCAGTCTAGCCAGGGGGTAGTGGTTAGAGAAACTATATAAAATCCTGCTATATGTCACAGCCTCTAAACTAGGGAGCGTTCTATTAAGATAGATACCGCTACGTTTCCAGAAAAGACTAGTATTCTAGGACGCCAGTCCGAGAATCGCTTTCCATAATGTATGGGAGATCACCGTCTGGGTGGTTATCCTGCCCATATCTTGATATATCGATAAGCCTCAACCAAGTGTAAAGAAATCGAGAGGCTGCCAAGCTACAGTCACAGCGTATACGAAGCTTGGCATCAGCACTGTGTAACATCGACTACCCTAGTTCCTATGGATTTCTGTTTGCTATACTTCCAGGAATGTTCGGATTTCCATGGCTCACATCAGCGGGCCTCGACTCGAATGTCCAAGTGATAGTTCCACCTCCAGGACCCAGTTCACAACTATAAAAGGCCTTTGCTGAGCCGAGTTCTAAGACCAGAATATCATCGACATTCAACTCTACATCTACCTAGCTCTGCATTGAAATTCTGTTCATCCGCAAATATGAAGCCTCAATACGTCCTCATGGCCGCCTTTGCCTCTCTTGTGATGGCTTCGCCTGTCCATGAGCGCGACAATTCTCCCTTACTTGTTCGACAGTGTATTTCTGCCTGTTTGGCATGTGCTTTTGTTTTCTGTCAGTCTGTTAGTTGTCTACTTTTACTAATGACCCTAGGATGAGCAGTGCGACAGCGGATTGCGCTGCTGTCAAACAAGACAGTGTGAGTGTTGTTAGGAATGATGTCGTGCGGTAGTTGCATCTTGTGTGTTAGATGGTGGTGACTGATATATTTATTCGGTATGGTTAGGCCCTCAATCATTTCATATGCAGTGTTATTTTGAGCTTCCGTCAACAATCAAGTAATTATATATGATCATGGTGCTGCCTTTCTCCATAATAGGAATTAACTTCCATGCTCTTTATCTCCCTGAGAGTATGTAGTTAGATAGGGCTGTAACTGCTCACGCCAGGACAAGCTGAGTTATCTGGCCCTATATTTAGTGTCAGTATATAATCTTTGCTTCGTCACACATCGTGCATCATCATGCTGTGACAGAATCCTTTCAGACATTAGGTATGGATTGCTTGCACCCGCTTACAGTTCCTCCCAGATCCCCTCACCTAACGGTATACATGATGGTCAATATTCTGAATATCAAGAAGACGTAGTATACTACAATGTGTTACATCCCACTGGCATATAGGATGGCTAAAGGTGACCTACTCAGGGCTTTTACTACCCAAATTTCAGATAGCCTAGTTCCTTTGATTCAAATGTTGACTAAAGAATGTCTTAGCAATCTAGCCTCCATAAATAGGTAGCACTTAAAAAGCCTTTGAAACCAAGAAAGTTGGAGGAAGCCTACCTACTGTTGTGTGAAAAGCAATGAGGGTGATTACGAAAAACAATGCAGCTTCTATGAAAGACTTCTTCCATATTGGCTTCTTCGGATATTCCTCGGTATATGGGAGACTGAAAACCTGGAAAATCAGGAGCTAGGCATTGGTTGAGAGCATGCTTGTACTCTGGAATCCCTTTGACCCTGTTGAGTCATCAATTAGTAACAGGCCCTTATTCAATAGCAATAGTAACATACCAAAGCGGCTCTGTGACACTGCTCCTGGCAGATTCCCATGTCGTAAATTGCGGATTTGGTGTCTTACCCCAAGACCCAGTCATCATCGAGTTCCACTGCGGGATAGCCGTGGCAGTCGGTTCAAACTGGTATATATTCCTATCGCGGAGCTCAGTGAGGGTCGATACGAGCCACTGTGCCTGACACTTGATGGTTTTAGGGACGTTGGCTCTGACTGTTGGTCCTTGAAAATCGAACATGTAAACCATGTTGGGGAAGCCGTGGACGGTCATGCCGAGGTATGAGCTGGATCCGTTCTTCCATGCATCCTTCAAGGGCAGACCGTGCCTGCCGGTGATTTTCAAGTTGGTCAGCCCTTGTATCATGGATTGAAATCCAGTTTTATAGATAATCAAGCTAAAGCCTTGATGACCGGACTGGGTTTGAATGCCGGTCTCAGCGGTGCCGCTGTGGGAACCAAATTCTATGGCTCTGGGGTGAAGGATACCCGACCACCAGGACGGGCGTGTTCAATAAGTCGGAAGTATTCGATACCGAGTCGCAGGAATGGTCTGAGTTGAAGCCCTGGCAGTTCCGCACCATGGGACCCAGGCAGCTGCCGCAGGAGGCCGAATTTATATTCTCTTTTGTATCACAAGTATACATATACCATGTGCGGAAAGAAGCAACAAGTAAACAATATGTCTATCTCTGTTACTCAAATTAAATTACAAATAGATGAAATGTTCAATAGGAAGGTCAGTATAGTTATATTATGGAAGCGAATGATGGCTGGCTTACAGCTTGATTATCCACGTTTTCTCTAGTCAAAAAAAAAACTAACTCTTATTGTCACTGTTTTCTAGAGTGTCGCCAGATAGATAAGGCAAAAAAAAAGTGCTCACACGCGGATTTGAACCGCGGACCTCATGATTACTAGTCATGCGCTCTACCAACTGAGCTATACGAGCTGATTGGATGACAGTCTCGGGACTTGACTAAATGAAGTTCGAAGATGGTATGTATACACAGAATACTTATCGTAAAATAATCCAACTAGTAGAAGCAGGAATTTATAGGTACTTTACTACAAATATTTCTTCAGTTCAGTATTTTTACTTATCATTTTTTTCAAGGCTCTTATTTCTATCTTCAAAGAAATTCCTTCAGACCACCCAACAGTGCTACGCCTAAATTCTTTTTTATTGACAATAATTATATAAGAAAATACAAAATATGGTGACTAAACCTAGCCAGTTTTTTTGGGATTTTCTGTTCAAGCACTCGCATACATAGTAGTAATAAGCTAAAAAGAAAAACAAGCAATTGTAAAGGAATGAGAAGGGTTGTCTCTCCTTGTGAGAGAGTTAATAATTATTATTTTTTCTTTCCAGCAAACAGAGAAGATTAACTTGAGTTGATAATAGGAAAGGACGAAAGGAGAATAGACCACAACCTGAGCTCAGCCTTTGCGAGGTTCGCACTCATCCACTTCAACATCTGTCGTTTTCTGCAAATCGTATTATTAGATTTGCGTTACCCCATGTTTAGCATCGTAGAGTTCCACATACCTCTGCAATTGTTTGGCTTGGAATCCCTGGTCACCCATCCTCTGCTGGTCCTGTACCAATCCCTAGTTGAAGTAGTAAGTATCCACTACTCATCCACACCATAATATGCAAACTTACTTATACTTGCAGAAGAAGTCTACACGATCACCACTTCTAAAGGAACCAATGCGTTCACTTGAGAAACAAGGGTATTTCCAATAGGAGCCTGATTTTCTGAAACGGCATCTGTCTCTTTCCTCAAGATCTCTCTCCTCAAAGCCTCTCTCTTCAAGAGGAGCATCGAGCTCATCGCCGCCATCACCGCCAGTGTCGGGATTTGGCAAAGCGATAGCCGCGATGGGCAACAAGGCAGTGAGGATGTAGAGGGGTGACTTCATAGTGCTTGAATGAAAAGAAAAGGCTTTTGGGGAAAAACGGTCTTGTGGGTTTCTGCAAATTGTGAGATTTGATCTGAAGATGAAACCACGATTAACCCCGGACATTTCAGACTCTTAAATAGATGCATCCAAGTGGCGATGTACACCATCTCGTTCCAACAATTAAAGCCATCCTGTCAAGTCTAGACATAATGAAAGGGTCATTGCTGTATTATTTCGAGAGACCAGGCAAGTCTGGACGCTCTGTAGATCTGGAGATCACCAGACCCTTCAATTTCTTTTCTCCCCCCCTCTCTCTCTGGCTTTTGATTCTTTCTTCTGTTTTGCTCCTTGGCAATTCCATATTATTGATAGGTATGCTGATTCTGATTTGAACCAAGAATGGATCGCTTTATTAAAATCCACGGTTCCTTGGTTTGTGGCAAAGACATTCAAAATTCATATTGCTATTGTTCTCCCATGAACCTACTAAGGTTCCTCCTGGTCTTGAGTATCTACTCTTCAGAGTGGTTCCGAAACAGTGACCCAATGATTGGCCGGGTTCGACCAAACTATGTAAATATGACATCTTCTATCTGTGATAGTATGTTTTAAGGTCACTGGATTGTTTATTTTCAATCGAACTGCCAGCTTTAGACAGTTCATTCCGTCTTTAGAACCAATCGCAGAGAGAGGAGACCTCATTTAATGAGTTCAAAAAGGATCTCGACCTCGTGGACCGTGCATGGGTTCTAGATCCGGGGATCTGGTCCAACTAAAACTAAGTATCTGGGCATCACCATTTTTGAACGCTTTTGCGAGTTATGATAGAATTTGTCCCGAAAAAGTCAGTAAGGCCAAGCTATGGCAGCTTGCATTTCTATAATTACGGCTAGTCTACGAAATAATTGTGATATGGACTGAATGGATGGGTCCAGACCTCACTGGGCGATGGCCACTCAGAACAGAAGGACTATCAGTCTAGAGGTGAAAGAAAATTAAATCGATTAAAGTGTCCAAAAAAGAAAAAGAAGAAGCAGGCGACTGATGAGACATGGCCAGGAAGGAGTAAAGCTGATTTCACTTATGCGCCACTTTCAACCTCCTCTCCCGTAGAAACTCATAATCCGGCATTGCATCGCGAACCAGTTTCTCGATGAGTTTCCCCACCTCCTCTCCGAACTCATCGATCCATGTGTCTGCCTCCGCGGAGATATCAATTATCGCGGGGGTTTTCTCGGGCAGCAGCCCGGACGAATGGTCCAGAGTCGCTTTCATCACCGCCTCGATAACATTTGACTGTTTCGTCTGATTGTTCCATTGAAACTTGACTTTGCCAGGATCCAAGCCAACCAGCTCGCAGTATCGAAGAAGGACAGATGGGCTGTGGATGATATCTTCCGCATCCAAGACAATCGGGAGCCTCTCACGCTCGCTGCCATGGCCTGTCAATGTGTTTGCGCTATTCTTGCAGCACCATTCATAGAGTTGCCGGGTCCACCACAGGGTTGAGGAAAGTTTCATCAGTGGGATTAATTCGTGGGGATCAGCACATCCTTCATCATGCAGACTATTCATTGCGCGATAGAAGGATGGAAACGCCAGGGCAGGATGTCTGATAAGAAAGGTCTGCGTCCACGATTTGAGATACTCATCCGGAAGGACCGTTGGGTTCTCAGGGGAAAACGCCGACGCAGAGCCGTATCTCTCTGGGAAGTCAAGACAAAATGGCATAGCGTATTGGTCCTCACTCCCATCATCATCATCAAATAGATGGCCACTGGTCACTGCCGGGTTGGCAAACCAGGAAACATGTTCTTTCCCAAATAACACCTTGTCTTGGGCCTCGGCAGCTTGGGACATGTCTTCCAGGTTATCAACGCATTGCTGAAACAGTTGCCGCGTTTCCTCAATATCATCCGCCGTCCAATGTGCAATTGGCTTGTAGATGTGCCCATTTCTACGCCCCTTCATGTAGGCATCCCAAAAGAAATACCCGCCCATTCTGTTCGACAGCACATTTTTCTGATCCTCCAAGGATAGCATTTTGATCAACAGGTTTGATGCTGTCCGAGGGTATGTGATTAACATTACCCGTTGCGGATGTTGGACATGCTGGTTTGAACTGATTGCAGGCATGGAGGTAACAGTAGTATGCATAAGTATGCATATATTCAAAATCATGTATGAGGAAGAGCCCAGCCCGAGTCAAAAGACCAGGACTTGCTGTCCCGCTCCTTAAATAAGGAAAGATTATTATTTTTTCACTTTACAGTAGTGACGAATGTTAGGAAAGTTAAGAAAGCCAGCTTTTACCAGTTTTTACCAATCTCGGTTGTAATAGACTCACAAAAACAGCAAATTGCTATTGAATGCCATCTAAAACATATCTAAGTGTCATGTAATAGAGTTTGGGAGTAAGGCCGGATGCGGAAATCAATCTGGTGACATCATCCGGGTTAGGAAACAACACGAACTGCTGTTAATTCAGCCGATCAGGTTCATATGACAGGTCTAGGCTACAAAAGGAAACTGATCGGGAATTAAAGTTTACCAACAAAAATAAGCTACTCCAGTCCCCGCAAACTTGGAAGTCTAGACTTAAATCTTCCTTTCATCTGACTTTGATGGTTCCGTTCCAAAGTCTTGACGTAACGTAATGCTCCAAGGAAACTAGTTGATTTGTTTCTTATGTCCTACCATAGCAGGTCTTCAAATAAGACCACAAAATGTCTTTTGATTTTCTCGTGCCCCTAGGTATTTATAACATTTCTTTCTTTTCCCCCCTTTGACCTGCCAGAAAATCAATCATGTTCATAATCAACCAAAGCCAGCTCTGGTATTATATATCGGAGATTCTTCTCGCTGTTATTTTCCTAAGTGGCTTGGGAATAGCGGAGACTGCTAATTGGACATCATTTCAATCAGTTAGTACCATTCCGTACAGAACCGGGTAGTCAGATGTATACTAATACCATATACACACAGAGACCGGATATCCATGCCCCCATATTGAACATCAATGTCAACAATGATGCACTTACAAGCAAAGGCTACATCTTCCTTGCTCCATTTTTCATAGACAAGCCTGGTCCTTTCATCTTCGACACTAGCGGGGTGCGTTTGACATGACTCTTAACCCCGAATAAACGAAGAAGGAAACGAAGGAAAGAGTGGAGAAAGATCAGGTCAATGCTAATGCACAGCACAGAACCTGGTTTGGAGTGGAGTTACTAGTCCAACGCCCAACATCACGCATAATCTTCATGTTTGCAACTATCGCGACGAAGACCATCTCTGTTATTTCCAGGGGATTGCGGCCATTAGCTATGCTCTAGGCAAAACCTTTATTTTGGACTCCAACTATGAACTCCAAACGAGTGTCCAGAGCGGCAACGGGCTTACAGAAAGTGATCTGCATGAATCAAAAGTTGTCGATGGAGACTCAATGTTGATCACCATCTACCAGCCGCGACAATATAATCTGGAAGCGTACGGCATTCCTGATGGATCTGGCTGGGTCATGGATGGGGTCTTCCAGGAGATCAACATCACCGATGGGAGTGTCCTTTTTGAATGGAGGTCGCTCGACCATGTTGCCCTTTCAGAGACTTATACTCCTCTGAATCAGAGTATCGCGGTGGGTAACGGCTTGAATGAAACCACGCCTTGGGACTATTTCCATCTTAACTCGGTGGATAAAAATGCCCAAGGTGACTATCTTATCTCAGCCCGGCATACCAGCTGCATCTACAAGATCTCAGGCCAAGATGGTGCGGTGATGTGGCGACTTGGTGGCAAACAATCCTCTATCCAGCAGAAGAATTTCAACTTCTCATACCAGCACGATGCTCGCTATCGTGAAGAGAACGAAACCACCACCATCATTTCCCTGTTCGACAACGCGGCCATCGAAGGTGCGAGCACGGCACTCACCTCTTCCGCCATGGTCGTCACCATCGACCATCCAACCAACTCCTCCGCCATGATCCGACAATACCTGCCTCCAGATAATCTGCTTTCCAAAAGCCAAGCAAATGCCCAGCTTCTCGATTCCAAAAATATGTTTGTCGGATGGGGCGACAACCCGGTGATCACCGAATACGTGGAAAATGGCACACTCGTGTATCACGCCCAGTTGACCCAGGAAGACGCCAATAATTATCGGGCGTTTAAACACAAGTGGACCGGAACGCCACGAGAACCGCCGGCCTTGGCGACACATGCACCAACGGTCAACTCGCCCACGATCTTTTGGGTTAGTTGGAATGGCGCTACAGAGGTACAGTCGTACCGGTTCTATGGCACATCTTCGGCATCAGATCAGTTTGCTTTCTTGACTGAAGTAAACCAGCAAGGCTTTCAGACCACATATACGAGTCCTGCATATCACCCACTTGCATATGCTGAGGCTATTGGCCGTGATGGTGTCAGCTTAGGAAATTCCTCGGTTGTCACTATCTCTTCATCGGTGCCAGGGAAGTTGCAAGGTTAGAGCCCAGTAGTTGTTCTTATAATTCCTATCAATGGTAGGAACCTTATTTCATGATATTTAATACTGTTGTTATATATGGGTTATGCCTCTTTTCTTGTCTTTGTTTCTTTAACTGTTATTTTGTTGATTTCATATACGACTACTCCCATGTAAATTAATTAATAACCCAGTTGTTACCACCTTCTGTCGCCAATTAATTCAAACCATGAAAATCTTAGAATCAGTATCGATTTTCGAGATAATTAAGAAATGGAGGTCGAGTATAATCTATAGCTGACACCCTTTCCCTGGTATTAATAAGCTGGTATGAAAGGACTTAAAATCAGATAGGGATGAGATAAAAAGGAGATCCCACGAAAAAAAAAAAAAAAAAAAAAAAGCGGGGAGGGTGGAAGTATAGATCCATCAGAGCTTTCAGTAGACATGTGAATCATATCGTAATTTTGACGGCATCAAAGCTCCCGTAACCTTAATTGACCTCGTATTCTCGATTTATGGGGCATGGGACCACCCGTCTTTGAACGGTTCGACATTATAATGTGAGGCAAAATGTAGTTCTTGAGATAAACTTTAAGATGAAGTGGGCCATTCCTAGGCAGTGCACGTGGTTCCTCTGAACTGCTAGAGCAAAGGAGCAGCATGAGGCACGGAAATTCGAAAATTATAATACCAAGAGTTATCCGGATATTCATCTAGGTGGCAGATCACCAGATCGGCCATTAGTTTCTATATTTAGTCTGGGTTCCTCTTATTTCTTTGAATGCACAGAATCCTAGTTATTAGAATAGAACCATGTTAAGATGGAGCTAACAGAAGACAGAAGAGCATAAATGAAGGCCTAGAATATCTCTATATTTGATTAATGAAAGGCATGAACCATAGGTCAGATTGGGATCTGTAGATCAATTGGTGATGTCTTCGATTTTTGTTTCTCATTGACAATCCAGCGGAATCAAACGTTCAAGGCTTGCCAAGGCGCTTGGCATCCCAGCGGACTTGCCCACCCCCGCCTCTATTAATACATACTGATGTAATTCTAGATTTCTTTCCACTATGGTTGATCTCTGTATGTCTTGTGCTTATACTTTACCACTATATAGGAACCTGTGAAATTAAGGCTAAAAATAACTACTACTAAGGGTGATTCTACCTAAAAATTCGAAGGCGAATGGGCTAGGTCAATATTAAAGAGTAGATATCATTATAGTAGTTTAATATAGGTTCCCTAAAAGTCAGGATTCAATTCAATAATCATTTACTGGACTAAATGAGATATACATATAGCGGATCCTCAAAGCATGGCTAGCGTGGCCCACAAGGCAAGGTCAAGATCTCGGACCCAACTTGGAACTCGATCAAGTTGGGTTTTTTAGTATTTTTCATACCTTGATTACATTTGATTACCAGAAATAAATCCATTTTACATGATGTAATTTATGTAATACTGCAATATTACCACACTGTTGAGTTTTTTTAAGGTGACCCTTTCGCCTCGACTGAATGAGGTTGAGTCAAAATATTAAGTCAACTTGCCTCAATTGAAGGAGGGACGAGGGTGTTAGATAGGGTGTTTGTCCTGTTGTTCTGATTCCGGCGTGAGTGTCTCGATCGGCTGGAGCATCGGATGCTTCTTAGGGTTGGTTTCTTGTAGGACTCGGTGTAGGGCCAAGTGTAGACCGGCTGCATCTTTGAGGAGGGTTAAGGGCCTGTCCGTGCGACGGAATGGTTATTCGATATCTTCGACTGCATCGATTGTTGAGCCCAGAGCTGCACATTCAACCCGGACATGACAGTCGCTGCCTGCGTGAACTGCTCTGGTGAAGCTTTTTCGGATCTTTCCGACACCTTCTGGTGGACGAATTCCGTGCGTTTATTGGCGGTAAAGCAGTATGGAGAACTGAGTCTGATGCAGCTGGAGCTGCGTCTGGTGTCAATGTCCTCTGCACGAGCATGCAGGAAATGGATGTTGATGTCCTCTAGTGAGGTGATATAATGCAGGATGGACTGTCCCTTATAATAACTTAGCCCAGGTATTCGGCTAGTGTTTGGGTTTCTAGATCCTCCGGGGCCTGTTTGCGAGTATTGAGGAAGCTTGGAACCTGACTTGGAACTTATCGAGTTGCCTTGCCTTGTGTGCCACGCTAAGTATGGCATTCAATGAATATTGACCAAATACAAAGCGCGATACCGCTTTTGTATCCAAATTTCACTCTGTCTACCAGCTACCTAGCTACCTATCCTATGCTTTTAGTTGAGTTGAATCAAAATTCAAGAGAGAAAAAAAAGAAAAAGCAAGTCTCAGGGAGCAGCTGGGCGTGGGATGCGACATTCAGCCATGCATACTCATCAATAGCTCTGTCGAATATGCAATGGTCTAATCCTAATCCCATTCTGTCGGGTGATCTACTGTATAGAGGGGATATGTTGGGGCATTTTAAATAATCTTAAGAGCCATGGATACTTTGAATGCGCAGTTTCTATTGGCTAAGCGAGACAAGTTCACGAACATAGTACTGTATATCCCCATAATATTGCATGCTCTAGTATATCTATATGGCTACAAATTCATCTCACCCAACAATGCCATAAAAAATGCCCCGCACGGGGAATATCTGACAGATATGATTGGCTTGCTGATCACCGCGGCAGGACTTTTCCGTCTGATAAATATCGTGAGTCATTTCAATCCATTTCACCTCTCAACCGCTCATTATTATTCATTCTATACAACGAAAAAAATGTTCAAACTCGCCATCTTCGACTTTGACGGAACAATCTTTGACTCGCACGATGCAATCACACATGCCATCAGCCAGACATTCACCACGCTATCCACCCACCAGCCACCAGAAAGCGAAATCCATCGCCTAATTTCCTCCGGCTCAGATTTGCGTCTAACTCTCACGTCGCTCCATCCTGAAAATGCCTCATTTGACATGAATGAGTGGGTGACGAAATACCGTCAAATCTACGCTGAAACCAGCGCCACCCGATCAACGGCGTACCCTGGTGCCGAAGACGTGCTGCAATTCATGCAGGCGCAGGGAATCCCAATGGCGATTATCAGTAACAAGGATGTTACGGCTGTCAAGGTGGCGCTGGAGCGAGTCGATCTGTTGAAGTACTTCCCGGAAGCACTTATCGTGGGTGATAATGTTCCTGGGGCTGAGCAGAAGCCCAGCACAGCCAGTTTTATCAATGTTCTTCAGCCTGCCATGAAGAAGGTGTATGGCGGGGGATATAGTGTTGAGGGGAAGGATGTGTTGATGGTTGGGGATACCGTTGCGGATATCCAGTTTGCGCGGAACATTGGGAGTCAAGTTTGTTGGTGTTCGTATGGACAGGGGAATAAGGCTGTTTGTGAGAAGCTGGAGCCGGATCTTACGATTGATGCGTTTGTTGATTTTATCGGGTTGATTAGACAATTGGTTGTTTGATATTACTAGTTCAGAGAAACAGGATAAGAATTAGAAATAGTGTCATATAGAACATACATCATTTTGACATATCGAATTGAACAGTCGTAACTATTATCAATGCAGATGTATCATGTATATTGTCTGGTGATATTATAATTGCCACAATGAGTGGGGAAATATGATACAGCTCGATGCAAGATGATTTCACCATCACGAGATTTTAATCTAGACCTGATAAGCTCTGATAATTCTGTTGGATATGGTCTTATCATGCATCTGGATAGCTTGCGTAGCTGCAGATACAACACATCATCCTGCAGATCTCCCGCCACTTTAAGCCATTACCTGAGACAATGATCGTCTCATACCACGTAACAGATCATCATGATAGAAGAGGGGTAGATACTATGGCATGATGTGCCCATAGAAACTGAAGTATTTAAAATTCTCTTATTTCGTCTACCATCTGTAGCATCAAACAATTCAACCATCAGCAATTGACCATGGCTACCAAAATCAAGATCACCCCCAACCAGCACTACAAAAAGTCTGGCACAAAGTCCTACGTCCAGTTGATGCGCAAGTATCGCTTTAATCCCACCAAGGAAGGTCCCTATTACCTCGGCAGTGCTTTACAGCAGACAGGCCGTCCGTATACCGAGAAGGCAGTGGGCGGAAAAGCCCATATCCTCCATTCCCTGCGCAAGAAAAGTGCAGAAAGCGGCAAAACAGGCGAAGTCGAGGCGGACGATGTGCAGAATGATGCCATGTACCTGGCTGAAGTGGACATTGGTACTCCCGCACAGAAGTTGAACTTGGATTTTGATACTGGGTCGGCTGATTTATGGGTGAGTGACTTGCGTTCTCAACATGGTGATGGGTATTGACGAAGTAGGTCTGGTCGACGGAATTGCCGTCGGACGTTTCATCCCAACACAAAGATGGCAAGGTCTTTGATCCATCCAAGTCGAGCACGTTTAGCAAAAAGGACGGCTCGACATGGGAGATTTCCTATGGCGATGGGTCGTCTGCATCTGGAGATGTAGGCAACGACATCGTCAACATCGGTGGCGTCGCTATCAAAGACCAAGCAGTCGAACTAGCCAACAAGATGTCATCCGCATTTGCACAAGGCGCTGGGGACGGTCTGCTCGGTCTTGCATTCAGCAACATCAACACGGTCAAGCCACTTGCCGTCAAGACGCCCGTAGAGAGCATGATTGCCCAGTCGGACATTCCCAAGTCGACGGCGCTGTTCACGGCAAAACTGGGGTCGTGGAAAGATGCGAATGAGCCGGATAAGGGAGAGTCGTTCTATACGTTTGGATATATTGACCAGGATACAGTCAAGGCAGCTGGTGAGGAGGAGGTACACTATACGCCCGTTGACAACAGCCAGGGATTCTGGATGTTCGATTCGGCTTCGGCAACCATCAATGGAAAGTCGATCTCTCGCGCTGGAAATAAGGCGATCGCTGATACCGGAACGACACTGGCACTGGTTGATGATGAGACATGCCAGGCAATCTATGATGCCATTCCGGGGGCATCCTACGACAACGACAGCCAAGGATACATTTATCCATCAAACACGACTGTTGACAAGCTGCCTACTGTGACATTTGCTGTGGGCGACAAGCAGTTCACCGTGCAAAAGGAAGACTTGGGTTTCGTCGAGGCCAAATCGGGGTACTTCTACGGCGGCATCCAGAGTCGAGGAAGTATGTCGATGGATATTCTGGGGGATACGTTCCTCAAGGGTATCTATGCGGTGAGTTTATATGATAGCTTCAAAGTAAAGTGGTGACTGACTTATTAGGTGTTTGATGTTGGCAATCTTCGGTTCGGAGCAGTGCAGAGAAAGGAGGAGCATCAGAATCTGTCGACCCCAAGTGAGGCTTGATACAGTATAAATAGTCAATAGATAGCCTACCTATATCATTCTAAACATATTGATCTTCATCTGGATGGGCATACCCCAGTCAACATCTCCTCTACTAATAGTCGGCTGATTATACTCCAACACCACTCCATCCGACGCAACTACATCACGCACTTTATCCAGCCTATCCCACGGAAACGACCTGTCCCATAAACACCGCGACTGAGGCGTAAACGTAACCCGAATCCTCCTCAGCGCCGCTTTTCTCGCAATTGCAGCCCTCGCCAGTCCCCTCAACCACTGCTCCTCCTGCTCCCCGACATCGTTCCATCTCTCAGGATGCCAATCGAGTAGCGTAAAGTCAAATGAAAAGTACGCAGCTTAGGCCCGAGGAGAGCATCCGCATCTGCTGATGTGAATTGCAGGCCTTTCTCGGGCATCAGCCAGCGCGACAGAGTGAGTTCCTCGAGGTTGGGGGAGTCAACAGCGTAGAAGCGTGGGCGGCGTTCGTCGCTCAAATAGCCGATATCAATACTTCGTAGGGTGTATTGGTGGTGGTGGTGGAGGCATGAGTTCAAGTCTTGGAGGTACAGGGGATATACGCTCATGAAGAAGCTTAGCTTGAAGTGGGTGAGATGTTTGGACCAGTTGATTATCTCGGATGTTGCTGTGGGGATAGCCTGAAAGTGGGATAGATGCAGTTTGCGGAATGAGGCTGTTCGCCGCTGATATTGTCAATTATGCCCTTATAGATGCTAGTGATCATACCTTGTTGATGGGTATCACTACATTCTCCGGGTAACTCGCAGGAATTGGGATTCTATTGTATGAGCTACTCGACATCCCACTTATATTCAGCTCCTCCAACGAAAGTATATCAACCTCCATAAGATCAGATAAGTGGACTCCCAAATTATTCCGATGAAGGTCAAGACGACGTAGCTCGGTCATATAGTTCGAGGCATGTCGGAGTAATTCCCACGTTGCCTTTGTATGGCTCTCATCTTTGAAGACGACGGTGAACCCGCCATGGAGATCTAGATGTTGAGTTTAAGGTAACCACGACACGATATCCATAGCGAGTTCCATCGGGCGAGAAAATACATACCAGGTTGCTTTGTTTTGGTCGTCTATAGAAATCAACACAGCACCACAATACTGTTTAAGACTTTCGTTTCTTTGCAAGGTAGTGTGTACAGTTCTCAATGGAGCGGACACATTGAAATTGATCGTGTGGTAGAGAAACGGGGCGACAATGCGGTTGAAACGATGGCACACGAAAGCCAGACTCTTGCATGAGTCGTAGCTATATCTAATACGGTCATCTGGGCGTTGGGGGTCATGCTCTGATGCGGTCTCGAGAATAACCACTAGAAACTCATCGGGGAGGCGCAAGATAAACCCGTTAACAGGATTCATGATGGTTGATATGGTTGCGGGGTATATCTGGATGAGGGGGTTTAAATAAGGTAGGGAGGCTGTGTAGCAGGGGTTTTACTGTGGTTAGTCAATGAACAGGAAGTGGTCAACACATGAGGCTACCTGTATTAAGTAAAACTATTGAATTTGTACTAAGTAGAGTAATGACAGGTTGTTGATAGAAGTATATGCGCGTTGGTGAGGCAATTAGGCGTTCCATATGACTTCCATCGCTGCCATTACTTGTTATTGTTAATTATTAAATAATGTTACTGCCCCTATAAACTTAGACATCTCCATGGAGCCAAAGTATTCAATCACAGTGAATACGCCAAAGCTCGCGATCACAATCACTCGAATATCCAGTCCGCGTATGAAGCATAGACAGGTTATCATTGACCAGCACATCGCCAACCTCCCACGAAAAGCGCCGACAAACACGGTAATCATAAGTGAGATCGTCGATCTGCGAGATAAGACTGGCATCATCATTGTCGATCTTCACCTCGCACGTGCTGAATTTCGTCTTGCTTGCATCCCAGGGTTGGTGCCAGCGCAGGCATGGAAGACCAGACTCTGGATGCGTGATGACCAACGGAAGATTGTATACTTTAGCATCCCAGAAGCCATCATTTTCCATACTCCAGGTCGCCTTTTGCAGACGCTCAGTCGACCATGGGAGAGGCAGATAGCGGAAGAAGAGCCGGGAGCTCGCGAACAATGTGTGGCAGTCATCTTTAGCAGCCGCTGCCTGACAGGTGAAGAATTGATAGCGTGGGGTATTCTGGACACGCGATTTCTCGCCTGTGATGGGATCGGTCCTTTCGTCGAACCGGAACATGCCGTCGTAGTGCATTGGCATGGCTTCGTTGGATTTGACGTTGTTGTTCTTCTTGTCCTGCCGCTTGCTGTCTTTCACCTTGACGATGATGTCTTGGCTCCAGGCGGCCACCTCTCCTAGGTCTGCGGCTTTGTCGATGAATAGCTTTTCGTTATCTGTATCTGTGAAGCCTCGACAGATAACAGGCGACATGTTGGAGGATAGCTGCCGGACCTTGCGCATCGGGATGGTTAGAATCGATGGTTTCTCGCCTCCAACAGGGCGAATGATGAGTCCACACGGATAAAGATGCTCGAACTCAACCTGCAGCCCATCCCCACTCCAGTCAAACACCTCAGAACGTTCTCGATAACAGTACGGGCGGCCATTCTTATAGACCAGATCGTGCGTAGCTCGCACTTGGTCGACATGCGTAGCACGATAGGAACCATCCACACCAACCGCAATACACGAATGCCACGGCGTATGACCAATAGTCCCTTGGCCCTGCGGAATCAACGGAATAGACAGCTTGCGGCTGTTCGTCGACTGATGGATGGAAAGACGGACGTAATTTCCCCGCTGAGCCCGAATGGCTGCTGCAAACACCTGGCCACGGACAATCATGCTTCGTGCGATCTGGGTAATCTGTTCATCCTTGGATCGCTTACTTTTGGAGACGATCTTATGCGCCAGATCCTTGGTTAGGAATTTGATGTATCCGCGGTACGTCAAGCACACATCCATGTCGGCCTTGATGGCAGTACGGGGACAGAAGGTAGGGTCGCCAAAGCGCTGCATGAGTTCTCTGCGAAAGCATGGCGCGTGTGCCATATAGAAAGCCTTTGCGGATACAGGATCATTATGTGGGAATGTGTCGTGTTCGAGTAAATGGGCGAGTCTGATGAAACGGAGATGATGGAGGCCCTGGTCGACGGCGATTTGGCGCAGTGCTTCGCCATAATCCCAAACGACCTCGTCGGGAACACCGAGGATATCTAAAACTAGTTAAACTGAGACATAAGTATAAGCAAGGATAGCATACCATTGTAAACTAAGCCATCCGAGGTGATATGCACCTGTGCACCGGGCTCATAAACACGGGCAATATTCTGGCAAAGGCCATTGAGGTGATTCAGAGCTATTTCCTCCCCAAGATCTGGGAGAATACCAAGTGCCTTATCCTGAGAGTTAGGAGACTTGAAAGGGAAGGCAGGAAGAACCATCAGAATCGGCTCTTGCTTTTCGATGAATGCCATTATTGTCGGCAGAGATGCCTTCACGTCTTCCCAGACTGTGCCTGTGCCCTTGCAGTCGACACTATAGCTTTGAAGGACCTTCATGATGTTCATGGCCATTACCATGAAGGGAAGAGACTTGTCCAGTTCCTCTGATGAAGTTAGCAATCAACGTTTATATATTTGAGGCAAACCTACCGACAGAGACATTGATATCGTCTACCTTCTCCTTCATGTCACCTATCTCAAAAGGAGCAAAGGACGGCTCATCAGAGACAGCTGGAGCGACCTTACGGATCACATCCCGCTGCTCAGGAGCCACGCCATCTAGATGCATTTCGAAAATTGTGTAGAGGATGTACCAATATAGTTACTAGTAGTCACCATTCGTTAGCTCAGGGGCAGACTCTGTAGGCACAATACGAAGAAAGTATTGGACAGACATGCGAAGATCTGATCGCAAGAAAAATGTTGAAATATAATGGCCTTGACACCGGATATCCCCAGAGGGACTGCTGCCATGTCAGAGTAGGTATCTTATCCTGTTCGATACAGCAGTGACGTATAGACTGGTCTAAAGTAATGACGCATGTAGCATGCTATTGGGATCATCTCGGTGGAGCCTTGACTATGTATGGATTCCTTGGTATAGCGTGCTTACTGACGTTTATCAACCCTGTATCAAGACCTAGATGCTGGGTCTGACAGTCTAAAGGTCTAAAGGTCTAACGGTCTACAAAGCATATCGGAGATTAAAGTTCGCAGACATTTCAAAGAACCATACTGTGCATATATCCACCCTCGAGAGTATATGCTAATGGTCGTTGATGTGGTGACATGTTGACCCTGCTTTGGCTATGGTTCCGTACGTGGTAGAGTCATTACCGTTCAGACTACACAGGAGCTATGATGACATGACTAGAATAGCTCTCGAAAGATACCCATCCTCCCTTTTTCTAAGGAACACTTATTTTCTCTTCTTCTTTAGTCGTGCTATATCTCTTCCAGGCTATTGCGTGTGAAAGGAGTCCAATCGTAATTTACAGCCACTGGTCAGTTGCCATTTTCCTTTCATCATTATATCAACTTGCTCACTAACAGTGCCAACTAGATCCAATCAAGGCAACCATTATGGACTTTCTGCCCCTTAGTGGCTGGATGGCTATCGCCACAGCCGCCCTGCTGTGGTGGTATTTGCGCGTCCCCAGCACGATCCCCCGCGACATCCCTCAGATTCCCATCTATGCCTATATCTGCGCAATCTGGTGGAATATGGGGCATATGGAGGTTTATAATCGCTGGGTTCGAGAGCCAATGGAGAAACACGGAGCGGTTGCGATGTGGTTTACTGGCAAGTGGTGTGTGCTTGTCGCGCACCCAGAATATCTCACCGATCTGCTCCGTGACGGCGACACATACCCCAAGATTGGCATCAACCGCCGGGCTCCTGGTGGCGTTCTTGGTATCTTTTCAGGCGACAACATTATCAACACAAGCAATCACAGCTGGGGAGTATTCACGTCCATCATGAAGCCCGGTATCCAGAAGCGGTTTGAACTGGAGCCAATTCATGAGAAAGCAAAGAGGCTGGCTCAACGGATGATTCAGGCTCAGGAAGTGACTGGACCAGAACATGGAATCCAGGCCATGCCGTGGATGGGACGATTCGGTCAGGATGTCGCCTCGCTGTGCTTCTTTGATTTCGACCTGCAGGTATGTAACCATGGATGACGTTTTCTATATATGACTAACCACCATCCCTGCAACAGGCCCTGGATGAGCCGCGGGTTCCATACGAGCCAGTCTTGTTTGAGATCATCATGGCTCTCTTTAACCGGTGGTACTTGTATTTTCCAGACCTGGAAAAACTGGGTCGTTTCTTGCCTTCCCGCAGAAGAGCATTTAGCAAGATCCAAGAGTACACCGACATACTCGACAGCATCGTCGACCACACCACCACCCGAAACAGCGAAAAGCAATCAAATGTAGTTTCGCACTCTCTGAGGGAGGCCCTGGATAGTGGCCGGATTAGCTATGAGCAGTATTGCGCCAACCTCCGCATCACCTTCACGGTGGGCCATGACAACGTCGAGTTCCTGCTCACTTCGGCAATGTACGAGCTGGGCCGGAACACGAGGATGCAAGAGCGTCTGCGTGCTGAGGTCCTTGCGTCCCCTAGTCTTGCCACGAACCCTGACGCCTTGAATAACCTGCCCTATCTGACGTCCATCATCTACGAGGTACTACGTCTCTATCCACCCATCGCTGAGATGATCAACCACACCCCGGCCCACACGGCGTTCCTTGGGGGCAAGATCCCCGTTCATCCTGGGACTCTGATAGGTTGGAATTCTTACGGGCTGCATACCAACCCACACATCTGGGGCTCTGATGCAATCGAGTTTAGGCCTGAGCGATGGGGCATCGAGGTTAAAGATATCCAAGCAAACGTAAGACGGCAGAATGTGAAGGGTAACTACATTCCCTTCGGCATGCATGCGAGAAAATGTCTCGGGCAGGCGTTGGCCTTGACGGAAACTAAACTCGCGTTGTTTGAGATGGTCAGACAGACCAAGTGGACTGTGGATCCGAATTACCAGCTGAAGATCAGTGGGGTGAGTGTATTTCCTGTCTGTATTCGAACTATTGCTGACTTCATATATAGCCGATAATTACCATTCCTTTGGGTTTGAAAGTTATCGTAAAAGAGCTGGATGGCGCTACCAAGGCATAATTATGGATACGTAATAGATGTAACTGGAGCGTTTCAGTGAATAATTTAATGCGTAATTGATTCTTAAAAACCTGATACAGTGAAGTTCAGTTTACAGCCCTACAGCAACGTTTCAACCACGATAGCCCTATAATTACTGGAACCTAATGGCTTTCTGCAACGTCAATATTGGGTACTGTCAGTGTCATAGAATTAGGTTACGTTAGTGTGAATTTATACTTAACCTAATTTCACTGTCATGTACATAGACTTTTGCTCCTAATGTCATGAACCTTGACGTAAACTTAGTTTATCCATGATACTTGCTTTGTGACTCTATGGTACATCTAGACCAATAATATACGAAGGAATATGTAACACCCAGTTTATTGAACGTTTTCAGGCTCTTCGGGGGTTTGGTGTGGCCTAACCTAGCATAGCCTGTGAGAGCCTTCCTCGATCAGCTGGCTGGCTGGGAAGAAAAATAGTAGCCAAAGGCTTGACTAGAGGCTAGTGCAACATCCGCACTGAGCCAGTGGGAGTGGGGACTACCATATCTCTCCTGACTTGGCTGTAGATACGATCTTCTAGTACGGGAGTATAGAAATATTCTTGAGGAGATCTCAACCTTCACTGTTTCCAACTTCCATTAGCAATTGAATATCCTCCCACGAAACGATCATCAAAATGACAATCAAAGACCCAACAACCTTCGACGTGATTGTCGTCGGCGGTGGCAACGCCAGTCTAGTTTCTGCACTCTCAGCCCACCGTGCCGGTGCACGAGTCGCCATTTTTGAAGCAGCAACAAGGGAGGAACGAGGAGGAAATAGTCGCTTCTCTTCAGGAATCTTCCGCATTCCACACAATGGACTATCCTCTGTGGAACCACTGCTCGATGGGAAAGCATTGGACGATGTGAAGTACTGTCGCATGAAGCCATACACCCCTGAAACCTACGGAAGCGATATTAACCGGACGAGCAAAGGGCAATGTGACCACGCACAGGTCGCAGTCATGCTCAATCATGCCTTTGAGACTGTGACCTGGATGAAAGAAGAGCTGGGCGTGAAATGGCAGCTGCCGTTGGGCAAGTTCTTTGATCGTGAGAAGATCATCAAGGCGCAGGGTGTGGTGGATATGCCGCCGTGGGATACAATTATGGCCATTGGGGAGGGAACTGGCTTGATGGAGGCGTTGTGGGAGGCTGTCGAGAAGACGAACATCTATGTCTCCCATGGTGCGCCTGTGGCGGATCTGATTGCCGATGGAGATACTGTCAAAGGTGTCACTGTCAGACACAGAGAAGTTACTGCCAGTTACTATGGTCAAGTCATTCTAGGCTGTGGTGGTTTCGAGGCCTCCGCACGGCTTCGCAGACAGTATCTCGGTGAAGGATGGGATCTTGTTGCTCTGCGTGGCAGTCGCTTCAACACTGGCACCATGATGGAAAAAGCAGTGGCAGCTGGTGCAGGAGCAGCCGGACATTTCGGGGGCTGCCATGCCACTCCTCATGACCTGAATGCACCCAAAGTGTTGAGCCCAAACGATACAGACACGATGAGCCGATACAGCTTTCCATACTCGATTATGGTCAATGCCGAAGGACGTCGGTTCATGGATGAGGGCGAAAACCACTTTAGCCTGACGTACGCAAAGACCGGAGCGGCGATTGTGCGACAGCCTCAGGCTACTGCCTTCCAGGTTTTCGACCAGAAGACTCTTCATCTCCTTGAGCCGCGATATGCGGTTGCATCCCCAGTTCAAGCTGACAGTCTTGAAGAACTTGCGGAAAAGATCGGCGTTGACGTAAACGCGTTCTGTGCCACAGTCAACGAGTATAACGCCGCCGTGCCCACCGATGCAGTCGAAAAGTTCAATGCTTTCGCTCTCGACAGCGTGTCAACAGGAACAGCACTTTCCATTCCCAAAAGCAACTGGGCCCTCCCACTCGACCAGGGCCCGTTTGTAGCGTACGGAGTGACGTGCGGCATTACCTTTACTTACGGGGGTTTGAAAACGGACGATGCTGCTCACGTGTTGAACGAGGAAGGGCTGATTATGCCCGGTCTGTGGGCCGTTGGAGAGATAGCCGGAGGTTTCTTTGCATTCAACTATCCTGGAGGGTCTGGGCTGACTAAAGGGGCAGTCTTTGGGAGAATTGCGGGTCAGACTGCAGCAGAGAGAGCCAAGGGACTCAGGGTGGAGATGTAGATTAACCAGGGTTGGACGTTACTTTCTCCGTCGTACATTCATAATAATACAGAATTTTAATGCGTAGTGTTCATCGCTTCCTAGCAAACATCATGGTTGATGCAATAGTCCTGTGAACCACAGCAGTCAACCCTGGTCAGTTGGCCGAATCCATACAACGAACACCCAGGACTTCGATGACTTCATGGGCAAATTTTGACAGGAAAACCTGTTCAGACCCTCCAGGTCTGCTTGCCGGAATAGGGTCATGGCACCGTGGTACCTTGCTAGCAGCCTTTGGGTTACAATCTAGACTACCTGACTTTACCATATGTCTGTCTTCTTTTACTGATTATTCAGAGACATATCGCAGAATATACAAAACTCTCTGGTCATTAACTTCATAGCATTTCCTCTAATAGGCGTAGATGATCATTTACTATGTACAGCTTCATGGCCCTGTTCCGTGTATTAGGAAACCCAGAAATATGTACAAAGTTCTTAACGTGGCTATACACAAACTGCCTTGATCTAAATCCAGCAAGATGCGATATATATCATAATTATCATGTCATACGAATATATATACAATGTATGCCAATCTATAACTCCAGCCACAAAGAACAATTGGTTTGACAGTCTCATACGTATCATCCTCGTTTGACCACCTCCAACACGCCCTCCTCATCTCTCGCCTCACCCCTTACTCTCCAGATCCTGACTAGATCTAGTCCAGCCGATGCCAGCAATTCCCTGGACTGACTCTCCGTCCGCTCGATCGACCCAAACAGCATCATCATGACCATGTCCATTGTCACATCCGCCGGGTTTATCTCCGCTGCGCCATCAGGGAAGACCTTATCTCCAATAAGTAGGATGGAATGACTGTCCATAGCATCTCTGACATGGCCTAGAATTTTTCGACACTCTTTGTCTGGCCAGTTGTGCAGTATGCGTCTCAGAACATAAACATGAGCTCCTTTGACAGGCTGCGGCTCAAAGAAGTTGTGCGGCATAACGTGAATCGTGGGATGTAGGTCGGCGGGCTTATTCTGCAACACTTCGGGAAGATCCTGTAAAGTGGGCTCTATCCGCAGATCGGGGATCTTATCGAGGAGATACTGCAGATTATGGCCCGTCCCTCCAGCAATATCCACAAGCCGCAGGGTCTCTTTAGCACTTGGTCCCCGGAAAGATGTGAAACGCTCCTCGGCGGGAAACATATCCGGCCATCGGATGCCCTGATCCTCGGTGCACTTCATCATCCCACAGAAAGCGGAGTATAGGGTAGGACGTTTCTGGAGCCACGTGTAGAAACGGTCTGGAGTGTTGAATGCAAACTGAAAGGGACAGTAGTCGGCGTCATTCGGGTTCTGGTAATTTGTTTTTGCTAGGAATTCAGGCAGCTTGAGGCTCACAAAGGCCGTTGCGTCGCTGTGGGAAGATGCTGTTAGCGTATGGTTGAAGTGGACATCGATGTGAGACATACTGAACAAAGATAACCATGTCTTTCATGGATCCGTCGGGTCCTAGATTTCTGACACTGTCGTTTGCTTTGTATGTATTTCGGGATGTAGCGCTGAAGAGACCAGTCACGACCAGAGATCGCATGATCCGTTCTATATCATCAGCAACGTTTGGTGATATTAAGGATGTCCTTACCAACGAGAACAGGATCAGCATTGCCATTCGAAGCAAACTCATTCAGGGTGAACTCCTTCTTGCTGCCGCTACAAGCAAGCTCGAATATCTTCAAGTCGATAGCGATTCGCACGGCCGTAGTTTCGATCAACTGGCACGCAAGTATTATTTTCTTGAATACCACCGATCGAGACATCTAGAGACTTACCTGAAACTCCAACTTCCTGGGCTTCGATCGTGAGGATACATCGTCACAGACCTCTATCAGCTGTTTCCGCTGCTCTGGGGTAATGTCGCACCCATCCACCAGGTCATCTCTTATCTGAGACAGCCCAGAAATGACATTGTCGATCTCGACTTCTTTGTTTGTAAACGATCCCATGACTCCAGGTCTCGGCTGTCTCACTCTTGAATCTGAGACAACTAAATCGAGACATCTACATGTCTTACTCTACTATGGGGACTTTATAGGACAGCGGAGGCCAGGTCGGTTCCTAGCCAACAGTGGAAACGCCGGGTATAGCAGGTACAGAGTAGGATCAGGATGCGGCCCACCGCATTCGAGGCACTGCTTCCGGTAATTATCTATAGAGTCTATTCCAGTCGAAACCTATCCAATGATGGAGAGAGCATGGTCTGGGTGTGAGGTGGTATTGGTGGGTGAGTGGGGAGGAGTGCGCACGAACCCATAGAACACACCCCTTGGAGACCGTTAGCTGTCGACATTTGCATGGCAGAAGTCGACATCTGCTTATCAAGACGACGTCTAGTCTATAATTTTATGGGTGAAAGATAATACTACGAGGCAGCTGCCAGTCGTGGTTGGAACCACGTTATTTGAGATACAGAGTGACCTACTCTTCGAACTTGGAGTCGGACCATCTCCAAACCAACGTACCCTGAATTTGCTGGAGCAGATAGAAGATAGTTTGATGTTGTGACTGCTCTCAGGATAACTGTTGCTTTGAGGCATTTAGCAAAGTTTATGCATATCAGGAATGCACCCCATATCTCGTGCTACGCCAGGCTCTCCGCCCTTGCATCCCGGGATAACTGCCACCCAAATAGGCAAGATCCACGTTACATTGGGTCTGAATCAAGGAAATCATTCGTTGGCCTGATCAGATGTAACCAGGAGCAATGCAGAATCTCTCTTCCGTTCCAATGGTGTGGTAGCCATGTTGGACAGGACTCTGCACATCATCGTCACGACTTTTCTGCAGTTTTACGGCATATCTCACTGATAGCTGGTTCCATTAGGCCCTTCTATGCTATCAGGTTGCGACTGGTCAGGATGTCAATCATTATCGGTTTCAGGATGTCCACGTTACGTACCCCATGCGAAGCTTAATGACATGCCATTTCCCCAGCCATCTCGGGTTACTGTGAGTGGCATTTCCCACTGTAGATCTTCCCTGTCCTACATGCAAAGCCTTGATTACTATGTATATAAGAGTGTCTTGGGTGAATATGTCTGTTCATGAGGCCCTTCTTGTCTTTCAAGTACGGGCCTGTATCCGCCCTTATTGTAGACCGCTGTTAGTTTGCTGATATCCCTCCACAGTCCAACGGTATGTGTTCGTAATACACACAATATACCTCTAAGCGCAACAGGCATAACTCAATTTTGCACAAAGTTTATATAGGCTTCCGGTCGGGAAGAGCCTTAACCTAAGGACTGGAATGTGGGAGCATGAAAAGTTTCCGGCTGTACAATGTGATAGATGTATCCTTCATCACTTGGAACATCTTGATATTCCGTATACCGCGTTATATCAAGAGAACTTTTACTCTTTCAATGCAGACTTGGGCTCATCCCCCAAGAAGGGGTTGTCGATGTCACAATCAATGATTCGCGATATACAGCCAGTGTTTCTAATATTGACGTCTGTATTGTCGAGGCCTCACCATGCTTATTTTATTTTATTTTATTTTATTTTATTTTATTTTATTTTATTTTTTGACCTTCTATCTCTATGTCTAGTCGTTGGCTGCTACTTTAGCGAAGGGTATCCTGCTACCTACTGGCGGTCATGGATTTTCTAGTCATGAGTTTCAAAGGTTGGTCAGCATTTGTCGTGGAATATTGGCTTGTTAGTATCTAAAGGTGATCATCTCGAGGTATTTTAATGGTCTTTGCTTAAGGATTATCAGTCCAATATATAAATATCAACCTATTAGATAGCGACACTAATGCACGATATCTTGGCGAGGCTGAATTGTCAATTTCATCTCCTCACCACACAAACTGGCACAGCTCCTGACGATGTTCCAACGTACCATACAGGATGGCTGCGAGACGACTACACCATGAAGACTATACAGTGGCATGGATCTGTGCGCTGCCCGTGGAAATGGCAGCTGCCGAAGCGATGTTGGATGAGCGACACACTGATCTCCCCACCACAGACAATGACGCGAACACGTATATCCTCGGTCGCATCCATGTACACAATGTAGTAATTGCGTGTCTTCCATATGGTGTTTACGGGATTACTTCAGCGGCAACATTGGCGACCCAGATTCGCTTCACCTTCACTGCCATTCAATTTGGGCTGATGGTTGGTATCGGGGGCGGAGTGCCAGGAACAGCGGAAGATGTCAAACTAGGCGACGTCGTCGTTAGTAAACCGACCAGGGAGTATGGAGGAGTCGTTCAATATGACTTTGGGAAAGTACATGAAGGACGTTGGGAAAGGGTGGGAGTGCTGAACAAGCCACCCACTGTTCTCTTGACCGCTATATCCAGACTACAGGCAGCGCATATGCTCAGGCCCAGCCAAGTCTCCTAAATCGTGGCTGAAAAGCTTACCACTAATGCGATCATGCGAAGAACCTTCCATTACCCAGGCAATTGTGAATCTGTCGACGAAACAAGTGGCGACGGTCACGTGGATGACACGAGGCCAACCACGGCTTGTAAGATCCACTACGGGCTGATTGCCTCTGGAAATAAAGTCATCAAGGATAGCAAAGTTCGAGATGTACTGTCAAGGAAGCATGGCATTCTCTGTTTCGAAATGGAGGCAGCGGGGTTGATGAACGACTTTCCGTGCCTGGTGGTCAGAGGCATCTGCGACTATGCAGACGCACGGAAAAATAAACAATGGCAGGGCTATGCATCCTTAACGGCCGCTGCCTATGCAAAGGAGCTCCTGGGGGTGGTGCACACAAGCCACGTCGAAAATCCTCGAAAATGTCAGTTGATCATTGTCAAATACTGGCCGATAAATACTGAATAATCGCAGTGTATCTCGACCGCACGCCACACCCTCAAACAGTACGCGATAGTGGAAAATGGGCTGTACAAATCGGTATGAATACATCTCCATAATATTTCAGATCATGTTGCGTACCTACTAAGGTAACATGGATATCCAGACCGACGTATTGATGAAGACCTACTGGAACGTATTACATCTTACGACCATGAAAGGATCCACCAAAGACTTTCACGGAAGAAACTGGTGGGCACGACACAGTGGTTCCTTGATCACCCAGACTTCCATGAATGGATTTCAGAGAAGACGCATTCTTCTTTGTGGTGCTCTGGAAAAAGTAAGTCTAGATCATCCTCGATTACACCGGAGTACCTGCCTGACATGCATGTAGTTGGCTCGGGAAAGTCCATCATTGCGTAAGTTGGGTGCTTCCTTCCTTTTGAGGGTACCTGAATATTGAAAATATATAGCACTGCAGTCGTCGAGGAAGCGAGAATGCGCTTTTCGAAACGAAACATACCGATCGTGTTCGTTTATTGCGACGAACAACAAACGTCGAAGTGCGAAGCTCTTATACTATCGAGTCTCATCAAGCAAATTTCGACATTCCTACTGCGAGCATCACTGCCTGTGCCTCAGGAGATCAAACACATGCTCCACCGTCACTTTGGACGAAAAAGACAAAGGCCTACTATTGACGATTTGCAAACGATATTTACAGCGCTGTTCACTGCAGCGCCCAAGGTCGTTTATATATTGGATGGCCTTGATTCTCTCGACCAGGCACATGCAAAGGGCCTCCTAACCTACTTACAGTCACTTTTCACGAGCTATACAACAGAATCAAAAATCCTCTTTCTGAGCAGAGACCACCTACCCGGGAATATGGACATCGCCATGTTCGTTCCCGGTATCCGCCGTGTTTCCACCTCAGAGAACACCATTCAAGATATCAGCGTGTATATCGAATCGAGCATTATGGACAAGATGATGATGAAGAGAATCACAGATAGTGAAGACCTTGTACAAGAGATGAAACGTGTTCTGCTGAACGAATCCTCTGGAATGTACAGTCCCCAGCGATTTTTTTTTTTTTTTTTTTGATACGCCCCGGCTAATAAATCAGGTTCCTCTGGGTGTATTTACAGATAGAGATTATCTGGCAGACTTGTGCTACAGATGCTGAAATACGCTATGCTCTCAAATCGCTACCGGAAGATTTAGAAGAGACGTACCGTCGCTGTATAACAAGAATCAACACCCAGGACCCCCGGGTAGTCAAGGCACTTAGCTGGGTTCGGTTTGCCACCAGGCCTCTTCATATTGATGAGTTGCGAGAGGCGATTGCCTTTGACGTACACGACACACGATGGGATCACAGTAGGATCCCTAGAGGTGACTTCGTTATGGGCTCATGCGTCAACTTGCTGGTTCTTGATTCCACAGACAGTTGTGTACGGTTTGTCCACTCATCGATGAATCAGTATCTTGATGACAATAGAGCATCATCGATCCCTGGTTTCCCAATTTCCAGGGAACAAGGAGATATGAACTGTGGAGAGTTCTGCGTTGCGTATCTCTCCTTTGCTGACTTTAGCCTTCAAATTGACAGACTCGCGGATCATCAAGTACACACTGTTGTGCCAAGCCCGTTCATACTTCCTGCAAAACTCCCTGGATCGACGATTATCAAGAAGCTTTTTCCAGGTCGAGCCACGGGCGGCCAATCTATGACGTTGCCATTCCGACGGATAAAGACTTCATCTACTCCGTCGTCAGCTCAATACAGATTCCTTGAATACGCAGTGAGTAACTGGGCAGTGCAGACAAGGCACATCGAAGAAGGCCAGGGAACCTGGGACAAGTTCAAACGACTCGCACTGAGCTTTAACGAAACCTGGAACTTTTCCCCGTGGTCAAACGGTGGCCGTTCGCAGCTTTCTCATTTGCATGGACTTTTCGGATGGGCTATACGGGAAAACCATCGACCGCTTCTGAACTTGGCCTTGGGGTTTGAAAGTCATATACGGAGTATATGTGATATTCCACTTGTGGAAGAGGGTCTCCCGCCTCTTCATCTTGCTTGCCACCTTGGACACGATAAGATTGTCTTGGAACTACTGAGAATTTGCGATGTCCATAAGACTGGTACCAATAAGTATACGCCATTGCATTGTGCCGCTGCCAAGGGGCATGCTGAAGTAGTTGATATCCTGTTGCACAAAAAAGGCATGATCGATGTGGATCCTTGGTCAGATTCGGAGGAGACGCCACTATTCCTGGCCGCTAGAAATGGATGGGCATCAATTGTTGAAGCCCTCTTGAACCGCGGAGCAATCTTGGAATTCACAGACAACAACTTCCAGACTCCACTGATTGCGGCTGCTGCCTCTGGTCATCTGGCTGTCGTTGAGCTGCTTCTTGAGAAGGGCGCAGGCATGCATTCCCACGATAGCAAGGGTCTTACTTGCGTATCTTGGGCTATTAGGAACAAACGTCTTTCCGTTCTTAATATCCTACTTGAACACGATGACAGGCTGAGCTCCTTGGATAACCTCTATTCGGAGCTCTTTGTAGCAATCGAAGAGGACCACCAGGAGGCTGTGAAATTGATGGTGGAGAAAGGACTAAACCCGAATTCAATATTTGACGGGAAACGCTGGCGTGATCCAGGGACACTTCTATCCTGGGCCATCGACAGAGGAAATGAGGATCTTGTTCTGTTGCTCATCGAGAAAGGGGCTATACCGAGCCAAAAGTTGATGTTCAGTGGACTCATCCGACAAGAGGCGCTGTTTTTGGTCGAAAGAAAATTGCGAAGATCCTCAAAAACCACGGCGCACACATCACCCTCGCTTGACCGGGCATACACCCCTTGAAGTAGCTGCAGATTACGGACAGGATGCAATGGTCGAGTTCCTCATTGATAATGGCGCGGACATTAGCCGCGGAGTCATCGGTAGTCTAAACGCACTAGGCCCAATTTCACGAGCAGGGCACGCATCAACTGTAAGGATTCTGCTCGAGAGAGGCGTCATATTCGACAGACAACGTGATAAAGACGATTTTCTTCATCGTGTAGCGCAAAGCGACCATGCTGCTGTTATTAGTGTTCTGCTGGACAGTGGCGCAGATATCAACTCCACTAATAACTTTGGGCAGATGGTTCTGGATATAGCAGAGTACAAGGGACATCACGAGATATGTAAGCTTCTTGTTGAATACGGTGCTAAACCGGTGCGTGTTTATAAGAGGGTTTATACTAACTGCTGATTTAACGATATATTTCCATGCTTTCTCTCCTTTCGATATAAACACCCTGTATATACTTCAAATCTCATTCACCTGTGTATATCAATTCCATTCATCTTAATCTAGGGTTATCTAAAGCAAGACAGACTACTTCGAAGGCAGATGAAACCGACAGAACGTCGGAAACGCCGGCTTGGTATTAACATGAAATCTGATCCGTTGCTCCTGCCCATGATAGGAAATGGAGGCGAACCTCTGCAGAATACTCACAATTACATACTCCATCTGGAACTGGCCGAATGCCTGACCCAAGCATACACATGGGCCGATGCTGAAGGAGATGAACTCTCCCTTCGGCGGAGTCCAGGTACCCAGCGATCAGGGCGCCATTTATCAGTGTCTGGGCCGATAGAGTCTGGGTTGCGGTACATGCCCAGCAGGGACATGACTGTTCAGTTAGGTGAATGGCTATCCTCGTGGTGAGATGATATCTTACACACAACGTCGCCTTTCTGAAGGGCAATAACGTCCTAACCATCTTTTCCCTCCTCTTGGTAAAGTGGCGTCGGTGAGGGCCTCTCGGATGTTAAAGCCAACAGAAGGGTTCAAGGGCATCGTTTCACAGATGACATTCTTTAGAAGATTCATTTTATCGAGGTCCTGCAGGGTGGGTGATGGGTCAGAGCCAAAACTAGAGAATCAATTAGCTGGCGATCTGCGATGGGGATTGAGAATGGTGGAATAGAACATTGAGATTGTCTCTACTCGCAGTCTTCGGACGATTTCAGGGTGAAGAGCCAGCTGATACAGAGTCCATGTAGTGCTTGTCACCAGTTGGTCCTACAAATTGTCAGTATATATTGAAAAGAAAGAGGTGTAGATCTTACTCTTCAACTCAGGAGCAGCACCCTAGAAATTTTCGAGTTTCCTGAACGTCATGAGCCATTGATTCAAGATATCGAGGAATTGCGTACGTCTTCCCTTCTCGTCGACCATATTGTCGAACTTTTTCGCCTTGTGTGAGATAATCCATCCTACGACGCTACATATACATCTATAACCACTTAGCACACTGTAGTAAAATTGATATCAAAGTCCTACCCGAAAAAGAGGGCCAGAACACCCGCAAGACCGAGAACATTTTTGCCTTCTTGAAACTGGTTTGTTCAAAGTAGTCCTTATGCCCTGATTTGAATAGACAAAAATAAACAACTTACCCAAAGGGCCAGCAGGTGTCACTCGCAACGGTGGGGGCTTTTGGAAGTGGCTGATTGCGACATGTAGCAAAATCGGTATAGAGAGAAAGAAAAGCCATATCCAGTGCGATGGAATGGTCGAGTTTATCTGAGACATAAATGTGACATCTATGGTGGCGGAAGACGCAGTGCTGCACCTTTTAAGAATATGTGCACTTGTGGGAAAATATATGCTATGACAACCTACACTGGATCTTGTCTTGAGTCATGGTTATTGCCATTCTGGTACACGTGGAGATTGAATATGGGTATGCAGCTGCATTTATATATCAATTATTACCATACGTACAAATACACGGAGATAGTGCAACCCTACAGAACATATATTTTATGCTTGTGCACTGCAATTAAAGTAATTATCACTGCAGTGATGAAACCATCTTGCAGTTTAAACCATTTCTGGGGCCATGATATCAAAAATGAATGTATCTCATGCACCATTTGCAGCTAGCACAATACTGCATCATACTCCTAGCTTCGTCCCAATACTTAATTTTGAATGGCTTATATCCAGGGTAGTTAGGAAGCAGCTGGATTATCCCGTTTTTGTGAATGGCCATCATCACTTGAGGGCCGTTTTACTCCACGTTTTGGAGGTTTATTTCCTGTCCAGTTCGTGCCAGGCCGATATTTATGTGCCAACTCCCCGTCACCACCTTTCCACGTACGGCCCTTAAGATGCCTAAGAAAGAGTTTCTTGCCGTCCTCTGGATAGTAGAGCCAGCAGGCCCATTTGTGCCAGAGACCCTCTTTCATCTGGTCTCTCGCTTGCTGGCCGATTTTGTCTTCGATGAAATCGCCTCGTCGCATAGATAAACGACTAGGAAAGACAGAGGCGAGATAGTGCGCTGTAGATGCGATATGAGGCTTGTCGAACCAGAAGAAAAGCGGCGTCAGAGGAATCTTGACGTCTGGTTGTGACTGTGGCGTAAACTCTTTCTGCGCCGACGCCGTGCACGATCGCAGTGCCGGAAAAGCGATGACATGTTCTGATTGCGCGTACTGCAGCATCCGGATCGACGTAAAGGAGACATACTTAATCGATCTCTCCTCGTCTGATTCGGACTCTCGCATGACCTCCAGCATCGGTTGGAGGGGCAGATCAGCTACCAAAGTCCAATCATGCTGCTGAACCCAGACGTAAGGCGTGTCCACGATCCTCAGCGCTGATCTGACGGCAAGTCCAAATCCCAAACGTGCGACTGGCTCGATAAAGGTGACATTTTTTGTCTCGGTCTGGGTGATGGCTAGATCGACGGCGTTGCTCTCTTTGCCCTCTGAGCCAAACTCGGCCTTTCCTTCGAGGCTCTTCAGTGCACTTCGATCGTCATTCTTGATATACTCGTTCAAAATAAGTGACTTGACATTTTCCTTGTAAGAACTGTAGTTGTCGGCTATTTCCTGTGTCACCGACCCAGCTTTTAAGCGCTCCTTAGCGGCGATCCGATCATAATTGTCAAAGACCACGATGACGTGGGTCTTGGCCAGATCTGGGCAGTGCCGGCGGAAAGATTCCAGAACAGTCGATATTAATTCTGTCGATGGACTGGATGGTGTAGGCGATGTGGTGATGATCACAGTGATCAAGTCAGACACTGCCATGATTTTGTTGCAGAGAGAAAAGTTGAAGTTTTGGATTGTCGGAAATTTCAGTGTGGTTTCCTCCTTGGGACTAGCGTGTCTAAAGCACAGGCAGGGATGGGTGTGCAGAACAACAGCATCAATCTCTTCATCCCAACATTCTAGATCATCTTCTATTTGTGTGAGATTATTTTGAAGATGCCTTTTAGTGGACAGGCTTAAATAGCCTTAACTGCCCAATTTCTTTAAGATGTCATCACTAAAATATATCACCAACATATCGCTTCGCGATCCTCCCTCAGCCAGCTCGTCTTTCGCGTGATGCTTTGCGCTGCTGAAGACAATCCAAAACAAATCCGTATATGGGACAACGACTCAGTGAACATTCTCTGCCCTTACGGCCAGCGCTATGATGGCCAGTATTTCTCGCAATTACCGCGCCACTTGCAATATTTTCTCCTTCCATCGTGGTGCGTCCTGTAGAGAGCTGAGTCTCTTTCTTTTTTGGGACTGTCCCAAAATTCAGTCAAATACCAAGAATAAGATAGAGCCAGTACTGGCAAGAGATGTTATCTTTTGACAGCAAGGCTGGCGCTACAATCGCAGTCACATCCAAAGATCAAATGCTATTCGAAGGGTTTCTTTCGAACTGCCGGCCACACTAAGAATTATCCCATCTAGCGCTTACTTCACCAACGATCCTTGTCAAGCTGAAGTTCTCAAAGGTACGCGATCTACTCTATACAAATACTTACAATGGCTGCCCAACCATTGTTCTTACCGCCACAAATTTTTTCCAAATCGCTACTTCACAACGAATCTCAATATGATTATTAGTACTCTCCTGTCCAAAACTGAATATGCGGCGATTCTGTCTGTGTTTCTAGAGGACATGAACTTGGCCACGCCCTCAGTCGAGTATGACTTTACCATCCGAGAGCCAGTATTAGAATACTTCAGCGATCAACCATGGAGTCCTGACCTGAACGAGAAAGCCGTCACTCTGGCCAAAGCGATGGTCACCAGTCTGAATCTATGTTGGCCCCGTGTACCACACGATGTGAAGATCGCAGCGAGCATCTTTGCCATCTACAACACTTTCATCGAAGATATTTCGGGCGATATTCAGGACGAGATTCGGCGATTCGCCTTTAACTTGACCGCGGGTCAACGGCAGACATCACCAGTTCTGCAGTCTTTGCAGGACTTTTTGCCCGGTCTGAGAATGCTCTTCGGGCCCTGTGCATACTCCGTGATTATAAGTGGCGTCATTCATTTTCTCAATGGATGTCTCATTGAGCAGAGATACGACGGCAAGCTGGAAGTCCCAGCTGGCGCGGTAAACTTCCCGTCCTACTTTCGCCAAAAGACCGGGAATGCAGAGGCACTTGTGCAGTTTGTCTTTCCTGAAGAAACATATCCGGAGGATGTTTATCTCAAGCAGTATCTCCTGGTAATTCCCGACTTCTGCGACGCGCTCAACTATATAAACGACATTCTGTCCTTCTATAAGGAGTCGGTTATTGGCGATGAGCAGCTGAATTATATTTCTAATGTATCAAAGGTGCGAGGGATAAGTCCCGCTGATGCTTTACGGTTGACCTGCTCAAGCGTTGTTCAAACTATGGGCAATATTCGAAAGACCCTATCGGGCAATCAAAGGATGGTGGAAGATATTGAATTGTCTTTAAAGGGCTATGTGCAGTGGCATTTGGATCAGCCCAAACGCTACCATCTTGGTGACCTGGAGATTGTTTATAGTCGCCTATAGTCCTGTCAATGTATATATTCGTTTCTTCCTTTCATAAACAATACGATAGACACAACCATGGTTATCGTGCGCCTATCTCCCACAGTCGATCTGGAAAACTATCATGCATGGATTTGACTATAAGAATTTTATCGTTCAGGATCTCGGTATCCCTGTCTAGCTCAGGTGTCGTTTTGGGTATAAGATAGACTACAAAATGCATCACGTCAGGGCGACAGAAACGGATCTTACGATTGGTGTTCCTCAAGTACCATTCCAGGTGGAGAAAGAGAGGAAAAAGGTCAAGGATGAAGCTGAGTTGACGAATTCTGTGGGTTTTAGGAGGGTTTATTGGAGGTTTTTGTCGTGGTTGTTTTGATCTGCATAACCCTTGCAGTCTAGCGCTTGGCTATGGCAGTGTTATATTAAGCATCAATTTGATCCCGAATGCAAGTGATTTTTAGGTTGGACCAAGTGTGGCATACATACCATGACTGACTACACTGGCCATCTGTAGTCAGCAGCACTGCCTGGTTTCAAAAAAGCAATATCCAAATATGTTGAGACGCATGACCTGCTGAAGATTCAATTGTAACAAAGAGGAGCGGGGAACTTGACAGGGTTTGATTGTGATTAGGCAAGGATACTAAATCACTCATAATAAACTAGCGAATTTTATCTCTCGAAAAAAGCAAACACGGTGTGATGTTCATCACAATTATAACCCATTGGCTGGTATACAACAGCAATACGAACGGCGGGGCGTGCTGCCACCTTCCATTCTGATTTGTGGACTTACCCCAGACATATAAACAAAGGACGTGCCCCTTTTTCTCCACTTCAATGCTTCAGGAATCCTTCATCGTTCATCTAATACCGAGTACTCGCTCTAATATGGTCTGCAAAAAATTCGTCCTCTGCTTCGACGGCACAGGCAACAAATTCGCCGGCGATGGCTCCGACACCAACCTCCTCAAAATCTACCGCGTACATACCCTCCCCTACATACCACACCCATACTGACCATCCAGATGCTCGATCGTACCCAAACCCACCAATACCACTACTACCAGCCCGGCATAGGCACGTACATCACCTCGCACTCCTTCGACAGCACCGGCCCGTTCCGCCGTGTGCAATCGGCGTATACAAAAGCCAAAGATGCTGCGATCGGGTCCTCCTTCGACCAACATGTACTCGGTGGATACAAATTTCTGATGCGGTTCTATTCCCCCGGCGACGAGATATATTTTTTCGGGTTTAGTCGGGGCTCTTACACGGCACGGTTTCTGGCGGAAATGCTGGATTGTATCGGGCTGCTTCAGCCGGGGAATGAAGAGCTGATTCGGTTTGCGTGGAAGACGTTTGCAAAGTGGGATATGAGAGGGGATAGCATGGATGATGGGGAGAAAAGTAAATTGGTAGCGTATATGAGGGCGTTTCGGGAGACGTTTAGTAGACCTGTGACTCGGGTGAAGTTTATGGGCTTGTTTGATACGGTGAATAGCGTGCCCATGTTTGAGAATGCGTGGATGGATCGGAGGGGGTATTCGTCTTTTGTACAGAGTTCGGCGAGGACGATTCGGCATGCAGTGTCGATCGATGAGCGGAGGGCCAAGTTTCGGCAGGATTTGATTTCGATGAAGAAGGGGCATGGGGGGTTGTGTGAGGATAAAGCAGATATGAAGGCATTGCATCCTGGGCGATACCGTCCTGGTCGTGAAGATGAGGACGAGCAGGATGCGTCTGAGGTGTGGTTTGCGGGACAGCATGGCGATGTTGGCGGTGGTTGGAAGCTCAACTCGAACGATCCATGGCCGTTGAGCCATATTCCACTCGCCTGGATGGTGAAGGAAGCACAGACTGCCGGAGTCGAGTTTGACACGATGAAGCTAAAGTACTTCAACTGCGATGAGGATAGCACCAGCTACAGTGGTACACTTGAGGATACGATGAAAAACGGCATCGTTCACGATTGCCTCACCTACGGCGGTGGGGTATCAGCCTTATCGACGCTCTCCTGGCGACTGATGGAATACATCCCCTTTCGGCGAATGGATTTGCAGCCGGACGGGACGTGGAAAGCTATTCGGTGGCCTCTTCCTGGGGGAGAAGTGCGTGATATGCCGCATGGGGCTGAAATCCATGGTTCAGTTATTCATAGGATGCAGATTGACGAAAAGTATCGACCGGGGAATCTCATAGTAGGGGGTGGTGGGAGAGGCGTGAAGAAAGCAGAGGAGAAAGATGGGATTGGAGAATGGGTGGTGTGTAACTATAAGGGAGACGCAGTAAGAGAGACTTATGTTAGACGTTCTTGAATAGTTTTATATTGATAGCAAGTCAACCTTAGTAATACAACAGCAAATATGGATCGATACAAACCAAACTATTCGCTCTGAGCAGCTGCATCCAAGATAACTTTGATCTTCTCGGTGGCCACTGTTTCCATATCCTTGATAGCAGACACTTCATCCTCCTCCGCATAGTACTTCAACAGCACCGAAGCGTTGTCCAGCAGATACTTCACCCACAAAGTCAACATCTCAAAGTCCTCGTCTACCGGACTTTCTCAATCATTACGCTGATTCTCATAGACGCTGTAGAGAAATGCCACGATCATCTGATGCAACGTGCGAGCCGAAACCCGGTATATCTCATCCGTGTAGCATTCCTCACAAGCAGATATCTCCCGCATGGCGTCCACCATGTCCCAGAGGAAGTCGAGGGGGTCGGTGCTTTCCAGAGCAGCGCGTGGCATTCCGGGCATGACTGAGAGGAGACCGATGATTTGGAGGGTAGTTTCTCGACAGTCGGCGTCGAGTTCGTTGGCGCTGATTTGGCATCGCTCGTGAAGGGAGATTTCGGTATTGGTTGTGGATACAGACCACACGGAGGCTGAAGAGGAGGGTCTTTCTGCCATGGTGTTGCTGTCTTGAAAGAAGTAGTTGGTGGAGTTGATGGTGTTAAGATGGTTTGAATTATCAAGGAAGTTGACTGTTCAATGCCCCGTTGCCTAATATTAATTGGAGCCTGGTAAATAACTCTAATCCCCAATTAGGATGAATGATGCCATACAAACATGAGTTTATCAGTTCAAGATCACTACGTCTCATCTCTTGGTCATATATGATGATGGGAACAGTGTTTTATAGTAATAGCAATACATCATACACTCCTTAACTAGGATAACATCTTCTAATGAAGTATATGATCAAAAAACTTCATAGTATCATCCCGCGTCTCTGAAAACTCATCACCCTCATCCTCATCTTCAGCATTACTGATCAACACCTCCGTAATCTCGCCGATATAACCCCTGATCCGCACAGCTTGGTCCTGCACCTTTTTATCAGACTCAGCATCAAGCTTAAGCATACACAGTCGATACGCGATGTCCAGCATTTTCACACACATCATCTGGACAGCACTGCGTCGAAATTTACCTGTAACAGACTCTGCATTTAAAGAGACAATCCATAAAGTCTACCAGGGGCTTGATATTATCTATCAACTCGTTGAGGCGATCTGGGTCAACTGGGCCCTTGATGCGAGGGGTTTGGGACGCCATTATTTCGATCATGCCCATCATGATGAGGGTTTGGGGGTTACAGTCGTGCTAGTTGTCTATGTTGTTTTGGCTAGTTTGTTCGTTGGTTTGGGTATCACCGTCTAGTTCGGAGTTGATGTGGATAGCGACCAGACGGACAAGGCGGGAGATGGGGGTCTTTCTGCTGAGTTATCCATAGTCTTGGTTTGATGGATAGTTATAGATTGTAGTAATGATGGTTATTTGATTGAGACCGGAATCGAAGGAAGACTTGTGCAGTAACGCCTGTGAGCTGAGGCCTAAAATAACTCTAATCCCCGATTAGGATGGATGATGCCATGTCGAGATAATAGGTTAAAGTAAGCAGAATCACATCCATTTTGTCTAGCATTCTCTCTATTAATACAAATGAATGTCCACAGGCCATCAAGTAATAGCAAGTCACCACATACCCAAATTCAAATAGCAAGACGCAACAAACCCAACATCTATACAATCATATCCACAAACCGCCACCCATTCAGGCCCTCCATCATCTTCAAAGCAAGGACCTCATCCTCATCATCCTTTCTGACAGACCTCTTCACCATCTCCACAATCACCTCCAAAATCTCCTTCAACCTTGCCGCCTGCTGTCGCACACTAATCCCAGAAACCCCATCATACCACCCATACTCCCCCTTCTGATAAACACGATGCACCATTTCCCCCATCTTGTCGCAGAGCGTACACACCGCAGCACGATGCATCGCGTCCTCGTAGCATTTCCCCGTGCAGCCGGTGAGTTCCTCGAGTGCGTCAATCATGTCTTTGATGACGCCTAGCGCGACGGTTTTCGGGACTCGGGATGGGGACAGTCGGGGGGGTGGTTATTTGGATTATGCCTAGCATTGCTAGGGCTGCGTCGGTGCAGCCGTGTTCGGCTGGTTGGTCTTGGACGGTTGGCTGGGTGGTTTTAGGGGAGATGTCTAGGTCTGAGATTGTGGAGAGAGACCAGACGGAGGGGGAGGGGGAGAGAGAGGGATATTTTGCCATTTTGTTTGATGGATTTATAGTATGTTAGATGTGGTAGTTGGTGAAGATAGTTGTAAAGAATGAAGAGTTGAACAAGTTCATAGTGGTGGATGGCGTGGTGCCTAATTAATGGAGCCTAGTATAAGTTTTGTTCCATGGTTATGGGTGATGACATACGACTACACGTATAGTGTTGAGAAATCTCTATTTATTATGAAATAATATAAAATATTTGTACAGAAAGAAAGACAACAGGCTCAACAACTCTATCAATGCAAAAGGTTCAATATGCAACAACGTTCAATCAACAACAGATCGCTTAAAGCGCAGACAAGATCTCATCAGCAGCCTTCTCAGCAACCATGTAGGTGGAGACGGCAGTGAAGGTACCCGGAATGCGGGGGTAGACGGAAGCGTCAACAACACGCAGACCAGAGACACCGCGGACCCGGAACTTGGAGTCCAAGACGGCCATCTTGTCGTCGTCGGCGCCGATGGGGCAGGTGCAGGAGGCGTGGTGGCCCCAGGCACTGTTGCGGACGTACTCCTGGATGTCTTCCTTGGACTTGACGTCGGGGCCGGGGAGGACCTCGGTGACCTTGACGGGCTGGCGGTCGAAGGCGTCACGGGCGAGCTCGATGGCCTCGTAGAGGGCCTGGAGGTCCTCGTCGGCGCCGTGCTCGAAGTAGTTGAAGGTGATGTCGGGGACGTCGAGCGGGTCGGCGGACTGGAGGGTGACGGTGCCGGCGAAGTTGCGGGGGTGGGCCTTGAGGATGGCCCAGGTGAACCAGTCGTGGTCGACGGTGGCGTTGATGGAGTAGTCGGGGAAGTAGCCGCGGAAGTTGACGGGGCCGCCGAAGCAGAAGATGTCAAAGTCGTCGTTGGCGGTCACGGAGGACTTGTAGAGCATGGTGGCGGCGAGACCGGGGGAGGAGTAGATGCCGCGGTTGCCGAGGACGGGGGACTCCCAGCGGTCGACGCAGGGGTCGTCGCGGTCGTAGATGTTGAAGGTGCAGCCGTCGAGGCAGGAGAAGTTCTTGGGGGCGTTGGCCTGGACGGAGATCTCGTAGTGGTCCTGCAGGTTGGTGCCGACACCGGGGAGGTCGGCGATGACGGGGATGTTGAACTTCTTGAGCTCGTCAGCGGGACCGACACCACTCAGCTTGAGCAGCTGGGGGGAGTTGTAGACACCGCCGGAGACGATGACCTCGCGGGAGGCGGAGGCGGAGCCGGGGGTTCCCTTGGCAGCGGTGGCGGAGCGGGGGCTGGCCTTGTAGAGGTACTGGCCGTCGAGGAACTCGACGCCAGTGGCGCGGGGGGTCTCGCCGGACTCGTCAAAGGTGACCTTGGTGACGTGGCAGTTCATGCGGACATCGAGGGGGTACTTCTTGGTGCCATCGTCGTTCTTGGCGTCACGGACAGCCACGATGAACTCGCGGGCACCGTTGCGGTGGGCATCGTCAGTACCAATGGGGATCTGGTAGTATCCATTCTCGGTGTCGCGGGTCTTGGCAGCGGAGTTGGCATCGCCCGCGAGGAGAGTGCCAAAGTTCATGAGGTTGTCAGTGAGGTTACCCAGGGCAAAAGCACCGCCAGTGAGCATGCTCAACAGCTGGGGATCCTCGAGGACGATGCTGAGAGGGGCAGTCTCGGTGCTGAACCAGCCGTCGTAGCCGTGGCCCTTCATGCCAGGGAGCAGGTAGCCGTTCTTCTCCATGCGGACAAAGTAGTCGCGCATGTTGTCGGGGGCCCAGGAGTTGTCACCGGTGAGGGTGGCGATGTATTCAAAGTCGGACTGGTGGGGGTAGACGGCAATCAGGGCGTTGTGGGCGGTGCATCCTCCCAGCGTGCCGGTTCGCGGATACAGGGTTCCCTTCATCTTGGAGCCCTCGGGAGGGGCGAGGCCGGTGTACTCGCCGCCATCGGGGGTTTCGTAGGTGGTCTTGAAGTCCTTGGCCTGTCTCTCGTCGTCGGCGTAGTGACGGGCGAAGAAGTTCCAGGCCAGGGCCTCGTCCTCGGAGGAACGGGCAGAGTAGGCGGGGATGGTGTAGTTGAGGTTCATTCCCTGGTCGTCACCAGCCTCGATCAGAAGAGTCTTGTGACCAGCCAGGGCGAGACGAGCAGCGAGAGGGCCACCACCGGCTCCCGAACCGACGACGACATATTCATATCCAGTGAGGTTGGTGGCGTGCGCCAGACCGGCAGAGGCGGCCAAAAGGCCAACGAGGCGTTGAAAGATCATGATGGATGAATCTGATGGTGATCAAACAGCAGGGGTGAAGATGGCTTTTATAGACGTGGATGCTCCTCCATCCTGACCGTTACGCTATGGAAGATGCCGCGGTTCACACACCTTAAGCCGGTTAAGGATGAATCCCGACCGATCGACACGAGGTAAATTTCGTTTCCCCATCTCGGACAGGATCCATGGAGAACGATTCGTCTGATATCCACATGGCGCTGATTATTGCCGCTTCGGGGAGTGGAGATGACTGCCTAGCGCTGTCAGATATTAACTGCCGAGACTATGTCTAGTGACCGTGGTGACAGTCAGTTGACAGTTGACAGTTACGGAGTCAATGATAATATGAATGTCATTATATTAACACAACATAATAGAGAGCTCCATTATCCGAATCAAGTTACATTGCACTATTATACATATTATACAGATACCCAATGCTTCCGAACTCCGAGGACTGGGGATATAAGTGTGGGGATACCCCTATTAGCAGCATATCTAGCTTGCAGTAGCCATTTGATTCACAGGATATTCTTCCATATCTGTTCCTGCATATCCTCGCAGGATTCACCCCCCTGCCGATCTCTCGATTCTGTGAGATCCTGCAATGCAGATAATCATGATGATCCTCTCGATCAGTCACCACAGCTACGTACAATATATTACAACAATTATATTCTCATCCCTGCCAATAATCATAACCGCGATAAATAATATTCTAAATAGGCAAGAGTCCTATGGAGTATGGAGTAGGAGTATGGAGTCCTCAACGTCCGGCTTCCGGACCGCCTATACCGGACCCACCGCACGAGGATCGGTGTCAAAATACTAAAATAGTTTCGTATTCCCTCTTCCCTATCGCCGAGATGCCCGAACAGAAATGAAAAAGGGGTAATTTATCCTTTGAACGCCGTGGCAGACTGGCAGGTGATAGCAGAGATTTGCATGTAGACTATGGAGTAGCGGGATTTGGTGTTTCAGATAGTTAGGCCGTAGGGTCTGATCCCACAATAGTTTTTTTAATATTCTCATCAGGGGTTTGCTGCTCGCAAGGCTGTAAGGTTTCTGATCAGGGGTTCTGCATTATTTTTCTAGTTTGGATAGTTGTGATGGATAGGGGTATCTGTAGACTGTCGCCATCTGCCATGTAGATGAGTCCAACATGACCGTCACACTTGAATAAGCATAAAAAGAAAATCACAATGACAGCCGAGGGATTCAGCCACGGTTAAGAGTGGAAGCCACTGATCGTAATATCCGTTGATGAAAATAGCACATGTTGTGCTGTGGGTCTGTTTATCCTCCGAATCTGTACACAATGAAGTTTTCATTATTCCCTGTCTCGATCATCATAATACGAGGTGTTAAGCTTCATAATGGAGATTATGTGTATCATGGTGTAGTCTGGGGATTGTACTCCATATCGTTCGTATTAATAAGGCTGATTATGATTCAGGTTGTTTCTGGGGATTATTTATAGTATGTCATGAATGTTTTGCCCGTAGTCGGGGAAATATATATATTGACTACCTATGATTGTATATTGTAACTTGGACTGGAGTATTTATTTATTTAATTCTTTAATTCTCTTTATCATTCACATCATTTATATCCATCAACTCTATAATGCGACCATTACTTCACCAACGTAGCAGTCGTCCTCGCCCTGAAATCGCGACTGCTAAAGCCAGCCTTAAAGGTGAAGCTACCACTGGGAATGCGCCAGTCCTGCGCAACAACATCCCAGTAACTCACATCCCTACGCATCAAGTCGAAAGTAACAGTCTGTGTCTCACCCGCAGCAATCCAGATCTTGTCAAATCCGCGCAACTGGCTGGGCGGGGTACCAGCGGGGGTCGACGTAGGGAATTGCACGTAGAGCTGCGGAATGGCGAATCCGTCGACAGAGCCGGTGTTGCTCACCTTGGCTGTGAGAGTGTAGACCGTGTCGAAGAGGGCTGGATTACCGCCTGGCTGGATGGGTCGTTGTTCCGGGAGTGCAGAGAGGTTGGAGGGAGCGGATTTCGGGGAGAGACTGGTGATGTTGTAGGTGGTGTAGCTCAGTCCGAAGCCGAATTCGTAGCGGACGGAGATGTTGTGCGCGTCAAAGTAGCGATAGCCGACTTCGAGCTGCTCGTCGAACCAGCTCTGCCAGTCGGAGGTGCCGTTGGTCTGGACGGCTGTGGTCAAGGGGGCGTTGTAGTCGGACTCGTTGTAGGCGATGACATAGGGCAGTTTGGCGGAGGGGTTGACGTCGCCGTACAGCAGGTCGGCGAGGGAGTTGCCTGCTTCTTCGCCGGGGTAGTGGGCGGCCAGGATGGCAGTGACGTTGGGATGGTCTGCGAACGGCATCACGTTGACGCCGGCAGAGTGAGTCACCACGACGGTGTTGTTGCAGTATTTGGCGACGGCGTCGACGACCGCACTGCCGTTCCAGTCAAAGTCCAGCGTTGTTCTGTCTTCACCCTCCACAGCATACGACTTGACAAAGACGAGACAGACATCCGGTGTTTGGTCCGTCAGCAGCGACGGCAGCGCATTCTCAAGAACAAGCGTGTTATTCAACAGCGACTGCACAATCCCCCCATTCTGCTTGACTCTCGCAGTGATGGCCTCCAGCGGCGTCGACAGAGAAGCGAAATTGCACGAGCCCGACGAGCCCGAGTTGGCCAAGACGCCGAATTCGTAATTGCCTCGCACGGCGGTCGCGGAGATGATCGGGCCAGCGTCGTTGCCGGCGATGACCACGTTGCGCGGTCTGTGCAGGGGCAGTGCGTTGCGCTCGTTCTTGAGCAGCACTGTTGATGCGGCGCCGTGTTCGCGGATGAGGCTGCTGTGGTTCGCGCGGACGTCGCGGTTGCTGGCGCCGGTGAAGGTCCAGTTGTACATCCAGGTGTCGGGGGGCGAGTCGACGTTGAGAGGGCCAACGGAGGAGTCGACGCTGGGGTAGGTGTCCTGGCCGAGCCAGAAATACGGCGTCATGATGCGGACGATCATATCATCGACGCGGTCCATCTTGACGGTGCCATTGTTCATCGCGTCTGTCAGGTTCTTCCCAAAGAACGAACCCTCCGTCCACAATTCGCCATACAAGGTGAAGCCACCCGGCATGGTCATGTCCATTCCACTCTCGATCGACGCGACACCGCTGTGAGTGGCACCCCAGTCGGACATGACATAGCCCTGGAAGCCCAGTTCGCCCTTGAGCAGATGGTTGAGCACATACGAGTTCTGGCAGCTGTGCGAGCCATTGATCCGGTTGTACGAGCACATGAAGCTGGCGACACGCGCCCGGGCCGCGTTGGCAAAGGGCCACAAGTACAGCTCGTGCAGGGTGCGGTCGTCGACATTCGACGAGACCGAGTCTTGGATGTAGGTGGTTTCATTGGCATCGGGCGCGTAGGTCGGGTTGCGCTGTGTTTCCTGCTCGTTGGCGATGAAGTGCTTTGCGTTGGCCTGGACACCGGCGTCTTGCATGCCGATGATGGACTCTTCCATGCAGACACCAGTCAGATAGGGGTCGGCTGCGAAGCCCTCCCAGGCCCGGCCATCATACGGACTGCGACCAAGAGGACCACCGATGGGACCGAGGATGACATGCGATCCTTTGGCTTTGTGTTCCTGGGCTTGGGCATAGGCACGGTCGTAGAGCAGCTTGCGGTCCCAACTGGCCGCAGCAGAGACACCACTGACAAAGACACTCGAGTAGTCGCCCTGTTGAACACACTGCGGTCCGTTCTGCAGACAGAGACCGGTGAAGTTCAGACGGGGAATGGGCAGGATGTTGCCGACACAGGGACCAGGCTGGCCGGTCGCCATCCATGCCTTCTCTTCGGTCGTCAGTTGAGAGACAAAGTCTTTGGCCTGGGCCATGGCCTTTTCCCAGCCTCCATTTCCGGTGGTGTTTGCTGCTAGAGTTAGAAAGGAAGAGATGAAGAGAATGTTGGTACATACGCGACGGAAAGACAGCCGGAGAATGGCCATACGGACTCAGAATGGTGGTGTTTTTAGGCTGCACATAGCTGTACGAGCTGGCATCGACCGCAGAGGCCAGCAGCAGCGAGAGTACTTCCACCTTCATCGTGAATCGTGCTTGGCTTACCCTTATTTCTCCCGTGAGAAAACAGCATATTTATACCTGACCGTCTCCATTACCCGATCCGGCAGCCTGTGGGATCCCCACACGGTGACATCAGGGCTGGGTTTCCCCGGCTCGCGTGGGAACGCAAAAGCCGGGGATAAATCTCGTCTCGAGTCTCTCCGCAAACTGGAGTCGCACACGCGGGAAATAACAGCCAATCATGGCCAGTCACTGGCTTCATCCCCGCTTGTGCCGAAGTTCTGCCGGTCGCCGATACTCCGCGGTTCTGCATCCCCCACGCTATCAGGGCAGAAAGTGTAGCCGACATGGAGAGAGTGCTACTGATTACTGAATGGGGAAGTGAAGTCGGTCCGATGCCGTTGCCGAGTCGGGTTGTATAGAAACCGGCTTGAGATAGTATGAGGCATTTCGGCCTGACCATATCAAGCCATCTTGGCATGAGCTTGCAGTCCCTTGGCGCTCAGCGAATAAAGCTTGTAAAGGCTTGAGATAGTGGATGTTATCGTCATACGGATATGTACGGGTCTTGATATCGTCATGGCGGGATTTTACCTAGTGAATGTCTTACTGACAGGGACAATACATTCTCATTACTAACGTATATTGAAGTTGTAGAATCCTTCATTCTGATTAGCTGCTTCTATCACTGCTTTGAATTCTACTTTTCCACTCCAGTCCGTTCCTTCACTCAACAATCGCCAGTTCAAGTCATGGACATTTCATCACTAAGCAACTGTGTGCCAGCACACAATTCGCATAATGTGTCTATCATACAAACCTTTCTCATTCAACCAGCATGCTCAGTCTTCGGCTGCGCATGAGGCCACAACTCTCTCGGCTTCCCCTTGGGCATGGAATGGGCATTCTTCATATCAAACGCCCAAACCTTGGTCACCTTTTTATTCTTCTTGAGCTCCTCAAACTCCCCCGTCCAATGATTCTTCCGACTGGGCATATGATACGGCAGAATCACATGGACCTCACCTTCAGCGTTGGCCGCAAACGCATTCGACACCACCTGCATCGCCTCCGACAATTCGTTGTCCGTCCATGTGGGCTGGTCGTCAATCTCGCGCATGGAGCGCTCGAGAAACGGGCCGCCTTCCATGGTGGCCCAGTGGGAGCCGTCGTCTGCGTCGCTGATGATTTTGAGCCCGTGCGCTTTGGCGTATTTGTGTACGGCGTCGCCGACTTCGCTGAGGTAGAAGATGGATTTGTCTTTGCCGACGTGTTTGAGGTGTTTTTGGGCTTCGGCCACGGTGGGCATGGCCGGGTTGAGGGTGCGTTTGTCATGGGAGAGGGAGGTCGGGTAGCTGGTTGCGGGGAGGATGCAAAAGGTGAAGAGGAGGAGGAGGAGGGAGAGGAGACCTTTGAGGGCTTTTGGTTGCGCCATTTTGGTGACGGTGGATGGAGTAGGTCGTGATGGAATGATGGATGATACATTCAAGGGATGGATCTTATACACTTGACATGGCTACATGTCTTTCAACAGAATAATATGAAACACAAGAAATACATCAGACACTAAAGCATCCCTCAGCCCTGCTGATTCTGAATGCATCCAGGCTCTGACCAGCAGAAACTTCTTCCTCATTCATCACATCCAAGTCAGGCTGACGGGTCAGCAGCATCTCCACAGCCGCAACACTCCCACCCGCAATGGCCCAATGCAGCGGCGTCCCTCTTGTGCTGTAAGAAGGCTTCGGCTTCTTGCTGTGGCTGAAAAAAGCCACCACCTTCATAAACGGGACCTCGTTCACGTCAGCCCCGTAGTCAAGTAGCATCTGCATCCGATCCACATAGCCCAGATATGCTGCAACATGCAGGGCACCCGTTCGTTCGAGTCTGGCCCCTCTGTCCAGAATCGCTTTCAGCCATTTAATGTCGTGGGCATAGCGAACCGCCACGCTGACGGTCGGCAGCCAGGTCCCGAATCCGCCCATGTTGACGTCGAGATCCTGCGAGAAAAGAAATTCCAGCAGTGGTTCGTGGTTATGTCGGAGGGCGGAGACGAGTGGGGTCCCTATGTAGCCCATGTTCCGGTTGACATCGTCCCCGGCGTCCAGGAGAACCTTGTAGGTCTCGACATCGCCATTCTGCAGGGCGAGCAAAGTGATCGCGTTCGACCACAGACTCGCGCCGTGTTGGAGGCATTCGCGGACTTTGGGTGCATCCCCGCGCAGAGCTGCGTCTTCTGCTTCTTGTTGTATTGCTGATTTTTCTTCGTTGGTAGAGGCCATGACGAGAGAAGAAAGAGATCGGTAGTAAAGATGGGGATGTTGAAAGAGGGTAAATTGGCCTATGCAATTGATGTTGAATCGGCTGCAGTAAAGTAGCAGCCTGATAGGTAGGATTTGCAATCGCCAGATGGGAGAGAATCTCGTTCATGAGGCTACATGTAAGCTGACATAATGATATGCTAGTGCTTAAATGAATGCTTATCAAGTAACGTAATCGGTAAGCGATAGAAAGGGCCGTTTCTGCTTTGAAAGCCGTCATTTTGGCGTCAATTTCACAGATCCTCAGATTTTTTGTGATGTGATTGATTCTATTTAAAATATTAATGCCATGAAGATTAAGCATCGTGATCAGCTTTATAGTTAAAGTAGACATGATTGCTCTTAAATAAAATTAATCCTACTACTCTTAATAATTCAAAGCAGTAAATAAGGATAGTGGGTTGTCTTGGCTCGAATATATATATCCGCTCAATGGAGAATCAGACATCAGATGCTTTATTATGGTGTAATAACATGCACGTCGTCCTTGAACGACAATCAATGGCTTAAATAAAGTACAGCAAATAGATATATCCCATCCCTTCCAGCAATAAATCACATAAACCAATAAATCACCCCTTTCACGCATTCCACTCCCGGCCCACCCTGGCTTCTCGAGTATCTCTCCGTCGGTTGCGCCAGAGAAAAAAAGTGCAAACACAAATGGCAATGAGGACAATCCTATCATGATTAATTTCTTATCCATGATAATGATCGATAAATGACTTACACTCCGATGATGATGCCAGGAACACCGCTTTTCATAAACGTGCTCGTCGGCTTCTCGTCGTCGCGTACTCGGAGGACATCCATGGTGATATGTATTAACAGACCGGCTGTGACTGATGAAAGGGAAGGGAAGAGAAGAGAGAAAAAGGGAGGTGAGGACAAAATTCGAGTCTGACAGGAACTGGCAAATATGAAACCGTCATTTGAGACACGGTTTCTAAGCCACAGGCTAATTTCGTGCGCCACAATCTGCTGCGATCGGCGTGTTTCATTTTAATCGTTCGCTCTGATTCGCTGCTCCACATGCTTCTGCCCCTTTTCTTCCATCTCCATGAATTGATAAGATAGTCATCTTCTATTTATTACAGCTTCGCCCTGCTGAACGCATCCTGGACTAAATCCACCGCGGCCTGTGCACATCCGTACGACGACTGATATCCAGCCCCTCCAGCGCCGTAATTATGCACTATCCACACATCGCCCATCCGCTCCTTTGCAATCCTCGTTCCTCCCTCTCGAACCGGTCTCAGCCCAACCCCATGTCGGATAATATCTAGATGCTCAATCCCCTTTCCACCCGTCAATGACGGACACATTTCCACAGCCCGCTTCATAATCCTCACAGCGAGATTCGGATCAGGCTGCGACTCCCAATTCCCCTTCTGGTATGATCCGCCCAGGATGGTTCCCCCGCCGGCCGCGCGGGTCATCACGTAGCATGCTTCGTCCTCGCCGTCGTCTGTTCCGGAGATGTCGAGCATTTTGCCCGCGTCATTACGCACAATGACGATTTGGCCGCGGGCGGGAATGACGGATTTATCTTCCACGCCTCCGAGTGTAGATGCCATCAGTCCGGTGCAGTTTACCACGAGATGGACCTGAGGGAGGACAGAGGTAGCGTCGAGGATGTGGTTGAATACGGCGCGCTTGAAGACGACGCCGTTTTTGAGACACTGCGAGACGAGCCAGGGGAGGTAGATGGCTGTGTTTATACAGACGGATGTGAAGACGGTGGCTGAGTCGATGCCGGGGTTGAGGGTATTTTTTGGGAGAGAGCGGAACTAAGATGTGAGTATACTTGATATAATTTATATAGTTGGAACGTACATTCGGAACGACATCTTTAAACCACGGATTCGGTGAAAGCAGCTCAGCAAACCAAGTCGCTGTTGCTGAACCGACGTCTTTCGATCGACTGTGTATCTCACATTCTACCAAGTCAGTACGTGTATATAGCATCATGCAAAGTACACACCCTGAAAATGAACACCCGCTTCAGGATGGTTCCTCGCCAAATCCTCTAATGGCACCCACGTCTTGCGATCCCATTCTGCTGCGTCTGTATCATGCACGGAGACACTATTCTGTCAGTGAGATCTTATCGGGGTGAATTCACATACGGCATGTAGTTTGCCCCCGCCCAAGGAGATGCGTATTCAATGTCATAATCGCCGGCCATGTGTTTGGCTGCCACGACTATTTTGTATCCCGGGATCCTGGATAGGAGGAGGGCAGTGGTGAGTCCGGCGACTCCGGCTCTGTGATATTAGTGTCGTAGAGTATGTCTGTATGGTGTTACTTACCCGATCACGACGATGTTCTTTGACATTGTGAGAAAACTGATGATGGAAGATGATTGAATTGTGAATATCTGTAGATATCTATATCAAGAAAATGTTCTATCTAGAGGTATTACCACTTTTGGCAGGAGAGACAGTATCGGATCTGGCCTGGAAATCTCAGTTGCCAGATTGGGATATGTACCGAAACCGTATTTATGTCTCTATAAATCCACACATACTCTGTCAGTGTAGTCTACACTCAACTTCCAAGTATTGACATTCATCAATACCATCACAATCACACGATCAAAATGTCATCCATGGAAAAAGTCTTCGCCGGCTACGCCGCCCGCCAGGCAGCCCTCACAGCCAGTACCAACCCCCTCTCCAAAGGCATCGCCTGGATCGAAGGCGAATTCGTCCCTCTCTCCGAAGCCCGCATCCCCCTCCTCGACCAGGGATTCATGCACAGCGATCTCACATATGACGTTCCCTCCGTCTGGGACGGCCGGTTCTTCCGTCTCGACGACCACATCACGCGCCTCGAAGCCAGCTGTCGCAAACTCCGTCTCCAACTGCCCCTTCCCCGAGACCAAGTCAAGCAGATTCTCGTGGAGATGGTGGCCAAAAGCGGTATCCGCGATGCCTTTGTCGAGTTGATCGTCACGCGTGGTCTCAAGGGTGTCCGCGGCACAAAGCCAGAGGACATCTCCAACAGTCTGTACATGTTCGTTCAGCCGTACGTGTGGGTGATGGAGCCGGAGGTACAGCGTGTAGGCGGAAGCGCCGTCATCGCCCGCACTGTACGTCGCGTCCCCCCCGGCTCAATGGACCCAACCGTCAAGAACCTGCAATGGGGCGATTTGACGCGGGGTTTATTCGAAGCCAGCGATCGCGGCGCTATGTATCCGTTCCTCACAGACGGCGACGCCAATCTCACCGAAGGATCGGGGTTTAATGTCCTCCTGGTCAAGGATGGTGTGCTGTATACGGCTGACCGAGGCGTTCTTGAAGGCGTGACGAGGAAGAGCGTGATTGATGTTGCGGTGGCGAGTGGGATTGAGGTTCGCGTGCAGGTTGTGCCGGTGGAGATGGCGTATCATTGCGATGAGATCTTTATGAGTACGACGGCTGGAGGGATCATGCCGATTACGATGCTGGATGGAGAGCCTGTCAATGGGGGAGAGATTGGACCGGTTACAAAGGCGATTTGGGATGGATACTGGGATTTGCACTACAATTCGGGATTTAGCTTTGAGATTGCCTATTAGATAGAGTATTACTTAGAATACACTTTCTCATTGACAATTATTATGATTACATCAAATAGTAGTTGTAGTGGACTTCTATAGATGTGGCTATAGCCTGGTCTGTCCATCGAAATGCATTGCAAATATTTCTAGGAGTTTTACAAATTAATAGGAATGGCGATATTACAACATCCACAGCGACTTAGTAGTAGATGAAAAGATTGTTAGTTTAGGGTAGGTGGGGTTTATTGACAGATACAATGAGGGTGGGCTCGGTTGCCTAATCGGGTAATATTGTCAACTCTGATAAGACCCCGCATGACGAAATCCAGAATCTAGAGCGACGACTTGATATAAATGTTGAATATACATTGAGCTACATGTCTAACCATACTGCCCCTTATCAACAATAATTCAATCATTCAGTTGAATAACGAATTAAATCAACCACGATGTCTGACTTTTCTGGTCTCTCTCTGAAAGGCAAAACTGCCATTGTCACTGGCGCCTCCAAGTACGTCTGCCTCACCTCTACGACAATACACACAGCTAATATTCTACAGAGGAATTGGCGCCGGCATCGCAATTCTCCTGGCCAAGCGAGGTGCCAACGTGGTCGTCAACTATGTCTCCGATGGCAGCACCAAACGAGCCCAGGAAGTCGTCGACCAGATCACTCAGATCGGCACAAAGGCCATCCTCTGCCAGGCCAGCGTCAGTGTGCTGAGTGAAATACCCAGACTGGTCGATGCGGCGTTGAAAATCAGCGAGACGGGCAAGATTGACATTTTGATTCACAAGTATGCCTGCCATGCCACGCTCAAGACAAAACTAACAAAACCAGCGCCGCCCAAGGCCTCGAAGCCAATCTCATGGACACAACACCAGACTTCTACTCAACCCACTTCGACTGCAACGTCCGCGGCCCTATCTTCCTCACGCAGGCCGTCGTCCCTCACATCGCCAGCGGCGGCCGTATCGTCTTCATCTCCTCCGCGGGTGCCCGTCTCGGCGTCGCAGGCCAGACCGTCTACGCAGCCACCAAAGCAGCCGACGAGGCGCTGGTGCGTGTCTGGGCCAAGGAGCTGGGCCAGTCGCACAACATCACGGTGAACTGCGTCAACCCTGGTCCTGTCGCTACTGGTGAGTTCTACTCCTCTGGTGGAAAACTGTGTGCTAATTTGGCAGATCAATGGTTCCAGAGCGACGAGCAGTTTATCAAGGATATGCAGCCGTTGATTGAGTCGACTCCTGCTGCGGCGAGGGTGGGCGAAGTCGATGATGTTGCGCCTTTGGTGGCGTTTTTGTGTAGTGATGATGCGCGGTGGACGACGGGGGCTTGTTTGTCTGCTAATGGAGGTCTTTACAACTAGATTGTCTATTGGTAGAGATGATTAGAGTATATACTTCATCATGAATAGAGCAGTTGATAACCATGTGGCTGTGTTGATTGTATAATAATTCACCCAGTAGATACATTAAAAGTGTTCATGTAGCTAATCGACCAAAGATAAACACCAATATGGACTCTGATAGAGCCACTATTCAGAAAGTAAACCTTCAGGATAGATACAGATAAATCATAATCAACTACTCGGCAAACAACACCCCCTCAGCGGCAATCTCAGCGCTCATCCCCTCCCCCAAAACCCCCTTAACAACAACCGTCGTCCACGTCGGCGAATGACCCGGAAACCTCTTCCTGAAAACCTCCTGCATCACCCTCTCATCCTCCGCCCGAAGCAAAAAACTCACAAATTTATACGCATGAAACAGGCCGCCCGTAACGCCTGCATTCTTCAACGCCGCATCGAGACAGTCGTAGATTGCGCTGAACTCGGCTTCGATGCTGCTGTTTACCAGTTCGCCGGTGTTCAAGTCCAGCCCGATGTGGCCGGTGGTGAAGACGAGAGAGGTGGTCGGCGAGACGGGGACGGTGGCAGTGGTGGAGTAGGAGGCGGGTTTGAGACACTCGCCTACGGGGCCTGGGAGGATCTGGTAGGTGATTGAGGACATTTCTTTCAGTTATCTTTGGATGATATGATGGTGGAATAGTGGTTGATTGAGAAATGACTGTATATCAAGCCATAATTCTACGTGAAATATAGTGCGATATCAGTTCCTAATGTGGAAAGAGAAATTCTATATTGGAAATGCCGGTCAGGCCTATGTAGTGCTTCAGCTAGATCGGTTTCCTAATCAAGCAAAAACTGTCGTCATGGAAACGCCAGTACGGAGTCATATGACCGTTCCATAAATCAACCTTATTACCCACGACACATCAAAGCCTCCATAAGGACGTTAAGCAACAAGATGACGAAAACAACGGACGGATACTCGTGGACGGCAGCCACCGGGGTGACAAGTGGCAATCTGCACTGCAAGGGAGTCGTTGAACCTGCTGAAAGGCGAAATGCCCCAGTGGGACATGTATACGATGCCATCGTCATCGGCGCTGGGTATAGTGGTTTGATGGCTGCGCGTGACTTGACGGATCGGGGTATGTCAACTTATCTCGATGTAGGATTATACTCATACAACTAGGACTGTCGGTGTTGATGCTTGAAGCTCGTGATCGTGTGGGAGGACGGACGTATACAGTTGAGTCAGATGGTAAGATCACTCTAATAAAGCGAATTGTTCTAATTGATAGGCTTTCTATACGAAATGGGCGGAACGTGGGTGACGCACCACATGGCGTATTTGTTCAAAGAGATGGTGCAGTATAAGATGGACAAAGATTTGATGTTGACCCATCATCGCGGATACGACAATGACTACTTTACGATGAATGTTACTGGTATGTCTATATATATATATATTTTTAAAAAAAAATTAAATCAAATACTAATAATCAGGCGCAACGCAAAAATTCTCCCACGAAGAAGCCGGCCAGATGATGGGCAGGGCATGGGATATATTTGTCAACGTCGACGACCAGAACTGTCGACAAATATGCCCACTGCCACATTCCCAACTCGACAATATCCTTGTAGATCGAAAGGAAGTAGAAGGCTATGATCAAATATCCTGCCGTGAACGATTTGAGGAAATCAAACACCTGCTGAGTCCCGAAGAAGGAGGTCTGCTGACTGCATTACTTCTTCACATCTCCGGCGGAAGTATGGAAAACTCCAGTCTATGGGACATGATACGGTCCCACGCTTTAATGTCGTATAGTTCAGACAACTTTGGCCCTGTCTGGACGACATTCAAGCTGCGCGAGGGACAATCAGCGCTTGCTCGTCGCATGTTCAACGACGCTGTCAGCAACGGCCTGCAATACGCCTTTAAAAAGCCAATTCGGTCAATCCATGACCTATCTACAGGCAAGGTGGACCTGGTTGAAGTTATAAGTCAAGACGGTCGAATTCACCATGCCCGTCGGGTGATCAGCACAATCCCGCTTAACGTGCTTCACTCCGTCGAATTCCAGCCTCCTCTTTCATTGAAGAGACAAGAGGCTATCAAAATGGGACATGTCAATTTCATGACCAAGATACACGCAGAAGTTAAGGGCCCTGGATTGACATCCTGGAATGGAATGCGATATCCCAATCTCCTCATGTTTGGATACGGCGATGGAGTGACACCGAATGGGAATGCTCACATCGTGGGATTCGGAAAGGACGAAAGAGATACATTCGTACCAGAACGAGACCCGGAAAAGATTATCGATTCCTTTCAAAAGCTGCATCCAATGGAAGTACAAAAGATGGTATGTTAACGCTCATCCTGTCACTCTGTTCAATCTAATAAGCAGATCTTCCACAATTGGATCACAGACCCCTGGTCCCAAGGTGGCCCAGCTTGGTGGACTCCAGGATACATGAGCAGATATCAAGATGAACTACAGAGTCGACATGGAAATGTTCTATTTGCCTCTGCGGATTGGGCGAATGGATGGCGAGCAGCGATTGACGGGGCGTTGGAACAGGGGTCTCATGCTGCGATTGAGGTTGTAGCGGAACTTAAGGATAGGAGTGTCAAGGCGAAGTTTTAATTAGTTTTATGGTTGTTATGCTTGATTGTGTTAAAATAGCAATATTACTGTGTGTTATTGTACTTTGTCTTGCGAGTTACTGGAATCAGTGTAGTTCATTTTATAGATTATGACGATCAGCCCTACAGAACGAAATAACTTGAAGAACAAAAATTGTATACTAGGATACCTAAATGTCAGTGCTATCGATTTATTGCTATGCTTATGTTATTACATTCAACGTGTGGATTAGACCCCAACTTCTGCGCCTCGGTATATCCCACTATTTTGAAAAACATTACACTTGTCCTCGGAGGCACCGGAGCAAGTTTTTGACAAAACCCGAGCCGAATATCACGGCCCACTCCCCCACAGTTGGCGAATATACCCGAATAGGCAACAGAGACAGCACTGTCCCGAACGTCGGGCAATCTTCGGGCTTTCTACTAGCCCTATAGCCCCATACGGAAGGCAAAAACTGGCTTCAACGAGGTGACTGGTTATTTATTGAAGATGAAGTGTATCCAGGCCATTGTCCGAGACTTCAATAATCAATATTGTCAACTGCATATCACAATGGCAGCTACTGCAAAACGCCCCGAGATCATCGAGATAGCACAAGGGCTCAACAATGTGCCCATGTGCGAGGATTACGAGCGGATGATATCCGGCATGATGTTAGTTTTCACCTGTATTGTTATCGTGATACTGATGATCATCAGGTATAATCCCAACACACCCAAGTTGCTTGAGGCACGGCACCGGTGCCGTGGTCTCGCGGCCGACTGTAACAATCTCGATACGAAGACTATATCATACGACCAGGTTTTTGACAAACGACTTGAACTGTTGAGAAAAGTGGTTGGAAAGGCTGGGGATGGTACATTTATCGAGCCGCCTTTTATGCCGGATTATGGATGCAATGTTTCTATTGGGAGCAATTGCTTTATCAACTGGAAGTAAGTACAACAATTCATCTTCTACTACAGTATAACTAACTATCCAGCCTCACAATCCTCGACACCAGTCTTGTCGTAATCGGCGACAGAGTCCAGATCGGCACGAATGTCGGTATCTTCAGCGCCGGCCATGACACGAGCATTCTTTCTCGCCGGAAATTCGTCGAGTTTGGCCATCCCGTCTTCATCGAGGATGACTGCTGGATTGGCGGTAATGTAGTCATATTACCTGGAGTGCGGATTGGAGCTGGCTCTACCATTGGCGCTGGATCTATTGTTACAAAGGATATTCCCCCGTTTTCTATTGCCGTTGGTGCTCCTGCCCGTGTGAAGAGGACGATTGCGTCGGCGGAAGAGGAGGAGAATGATCCCAATAACGCGTATCGCAACTTGGTAAGAGAGGATAGATGATTATATCGCAGTCAATTCTAAACGAAGTCCAGGAAGTTGCCAAGTTGTGAATGCATGTATTTTTACACGGCATCTGCAATAGTGTACTATTTAGATAGACCTGGATGAATTGTAGAATGTGGAGATGGCTGCCGATATTACCCGATTAGGCAGGACAGCCAGCGCCATGATGGAACCACGGCGTCACTTTAACCTCCTTAGCATCCACGTTGACTCGACAAAAGCGGGGAAATAGAACGAAGCAAGGGTCCTTATATAACCGAAGTTATTCCGAAAGCAATAAGCTTTCAATTCACCATATTAAGAAGTAAAGATACTCCCAGGGAGCAACATCCCAACGAACATGCCCGATGAATCGACATCAACTGCCCCAAAAGGCAAAAGGACCAACTCGCTCGCGTTCTGCCAGACTGACTGCCACACCTGTTCCTCAACTGGCCAGCGCTGCAACCGTCAACGACCGCAATGCTCGACCTGTCTCAGCCAGGGCCGGAAATGCGGTGGATTCGTGACGCCGCTCCTTTGGGATAATAGGAGGATGTGGACGAATGATGGCCCAGCTAGACAGCAACGTAAAGCAGGACAGACATCGACAGCTGCATCTGCAAGTTCTGATCTAAAGCGCCGGTTTCGATTCGTGAGTGGCCCTTCGCGGGCAAGGAGACGGCGACGCGCATGTGCATCTGAGGATGCGGTTCAGAGATCGGCGGAAGAGGCCTTGCCTGATGTGACGGTGGATGATGTTGTCCAATTGCCGAATACGGATAAAACGAGTTATCTAGACGATTTGGGTAAGTGTCTCAGTCCCCGTCGAGGACGTGTGTTAACCATATCAGGAACAGATGCATTCTTTCTAGATGAGACCGGCTTATTCGATACCGGTCAGCCCCCACTGCTAGATCTCGGCCAGGACGTGCTAGATCTGATGGCGTCTTCCAAGACGCCTAATAATGGCTTTGACCGAGATCAGCCGGATCCGTTGAGCCATGATCTTGACTTTCTGGGGGATTCATTGCAGTCGAATACTGAGAATCTCAATGCATCACGCATCGAGGAGATCAATCTTTCCTCGCCTCAGTTGGCGGGTGCTTTGGAGCTTTCAGATGTTATGACAAACGAGCACGATGGGCTTCTCGAGATGTGTATGGACCGGTCGTACAATGTGAATTTGATTTTATGCTGATGCGCTGAAGATAGACGATTCGGAATTTTGCGTGCTGCCCTTGACATCAGACACAACAATCAACCCCTTTCGATGTCAACGGCAAACATCGCAAGGATCACGACTGCTTTTCCACTCCATTCTCGCCCTGTGCTGCCAGCATCTAGACCGGCTCACAGGGAGCTGGTCATCTGAAGCATCCAAGCATCGGACCACAGCTTCCCAGCTTCTCGAGGTCGCATTACAAGGTGGACAGGCTAGAAATGGAGTTCATCTCTTAGAGCCTATCCTGATCATGTTTACTCTCGATGTAAGTTGAGTTCCTTGTCATAGTAACGATAGAACGTAATAATGGTGTAGTGTACGTTATCTGCAGCTGGGAAATGGACAAGCCATCTCGCCCATGCACATTCAATTCTTCAAGCGTGCGGTGGTCCGAGTGCACTGAAGAATGCCCGTGTTCGTGCTCAAGTGGGCATGTTACTCTGGTGCGTCTGTCTTCATCCGCTTATAGTCGTGTCTAATGTATTCTAGGTGGGATGCAACACTGGCATTGGTATCCCGACAAGGACCGATCATCGACCAGGCGTATCTCAAGTTCCTCGTGAAGTGGGAAGAGCAAGATGAATGGTCATTCTTCGACCTCACCGGCTGTCCCGGAGAGTTGCTAGTTCATCTCTTCCATCTGGCAGAGCTAGCGAAGCAAAAGGAGATGTCCTGTACAATGGAATGGCTAACGTTCAACATGACGCCCATCATAGCAATCGAGCAGAAAATCATGAACTGGACAAACAACCACGTACTTCCATCCAACGACACAGATACGGACTCAGAAGAGACATTCCATGCCCACCAAGACCGGCATCACTGCGCCGAAGCATGGCGATACACACTACTCATCTACATTGAGCGGGTCTTCAAATGGGAGCGACAGCAACACCGCCCCCGGTGCATGCCTCGCCTTGTCCGAATGACGCTGGACCATGTCCGGTCCTGTCGACGGACATCGCAAACACAGAAGCAGCTTCTCCTGCCTGTGTTTCTGGCTGGTAGTGAGACTGCCGATAAGGATATGCAGGGATTCGTCAAAGACTACTGTAGATACTGGGGAGAGAAGATCCGGTATAACATGTTTAATTCTGTTCCAACGTTGCTAGATGAGATCTGGGCAGATTCGTCGTGGTGGGGAGATGTCATTGATAGAAAGACCAAGGCATCAGGGCAGTTGCAGTATTTATTTGGATAGCGGTATGTTATATACATCACTGTAACTGCCTGGTTGCATCCAGCAATTCCCAGTTGATGTTTGGCCCTGAAAACTTCTTCCGCCTCTCAATCCAGAGCAGCAGGATGATGGCGAAAATACCACAGATAACAACCGAATTACTGCATCGTTAGCACGCATCCTATAGAGACACAAGGGAAAACATACTAATTCATATTCCCAATCGTGGGCGGATTCGTCGTCGGGAAGCAAAAGAATATCCCACTCAGAATCAACCAAAGCACAGAAAAGATATTCACCGCGTATCCAGCATATCCTAGATTAAACGGCCGTTTGGGCAGTCTGTTTCGGCCACATGTAGCAAGGATGCCCTGCGGGACGGTGTATGTGATGTTCAGCATGAGGACGGCAGTGTTGATGATGGAGTTGAAGGCTTGTGTGCTGGCGATGTATAGCAGACCGTATATCACGCAGAATCCGGCGGAGAGGAAGGTTGTTCGGACGGGCATGTTGTATTTCGTGTCGACGTGGGACCAGTACTTGGAGAATGGGAGGCCGTTCTATTTTGTCAGTTTCGTCTTGAGGGGGTATGGTAGATATACATCACGGGAAAACGCCCAGGTTGTTCGACTGCAGGTGATCCATTGACTGAGGACGCAAGCTGAATAGTTAGCCATGAATATATAGACGGCATGAGAAACATACTATAGTATAAAAATGTCAGATAAACCTGAAGGAATGCAGCAACTGCCCTATTCCCAGTCGCCTGATAAAACAACTCCAAGCTAGGCAGAAACGAGTTCTGAACGGCCTCCATATCCTGCACCACCGAGGTCATGGCAACAATCCACGGCACGGCAGTGAGAATCCCAATGACCATGGTTAGATTTCTGATCATCAGGTCAGCTCTGCAAAATCCATAAGCTATAAAGATACTCACATCACAAGGGGTATTCGCCGACTTGGTTGAGGCAATTCCTCGGCAATATGCACACACGCACCACAAGCGGCAAATGCATATTCGCCATTTCCTATTGCGAGCAGCCAGGCTGGACCAGGACCCCATCCACTGCTACCACGGTATTCGACGATGCTATTTGCGTGGTATGTTCCTCGACCCATCACTAGACAGACGATGACGACCATGACGAAACCGAAGATGGACATATACATGGATGTTTTTGTTAAGTAGTCGATATGTCGATGAGGGACAACGAAGACGGGGATTACTAGACAGGATTAGTATAGACATAGCACTAGGAATATACGTACACGTCAATATAATAGCAAGTACATAGCCCAGATACACCTGCCACTGCGTCCCCGAAAACCCCGGGTTGAGGAACGTCGCTATACCGAAGGCTGAGATGGCAACGTAAATCGTCCCTGATGCAGTGTTTACCCACCAGGCGACGATATTTACCATTCCGATGATATATGCGGCAACATTTCTAAAGTATGAAGGGGCGATGATGTAGGTAAAGTGGTATTGGCCCTGATCGGGTTAGCAGGATCCAAGGGTGTATATATAACATACCCCTGAAGATGGAAGCGCAGACGACAACTCAGCCACGCCTAAAAGGATAATCCATTGTGCAACAGCAGATAAAAGCAGGCTGAATGATGCAGTGAGTCCCCCTCCATAGCTGAAGGCGACGCCAAAACAGGCAGCGTATGTCAACCAGGAATTGACGATACTGTAGACGTCAGCAATATTCACTTCAATGCAATACAAACAGACCTGAATGCTAGGCCAAGTGCTCCAACCCAGGAAAAGGATCGTTCTAGTTCCGCTTCATGGCCTTGTGCTCGCAGAACGGCTGCGTCGAGGTCAATTATATCGCCATTATCTTTGATATCAGAGTCAAAGACTCCAGGTTGATGGGATGGTTTATCATTCATAATGTGAGTATCACGCCACACAAGAAAGATGTCTCGTGATATTAAATCAAATATATTAGGCTGGTTTATATGGACTCAACCCCTCAATTGCATCCCTTGCGCCGAGCCAGTAATGCACCTGGGATATTATGCACGGCATAAACATGTCTACAACCTTGCTACCTACCAGTATCATTATCTTCCTAACAGCCATTTCGGCTATCGCCAATGGCAGTAGGCTATTATCTACCAGGCAGAGAGGATAGAAAGTTATCCCGAAATGCGGAGTAAAAGGTTTCACCCCCGCAAACAGGACGATCTAGATGATAGCCAGGATAGTCTCAGTTGCTTCATTGGGATATAATACTTTGGTTCTTACTGGAATAGGAAGTTCTATTGTCTATCTCGCTCCTTGCAGATTGTCGTATCTGGAGTCAAGCATATCTTGTGTTGATATGCCTTATTGATTACTGAGCTATGATATCAGCGGCATTGGCCGAGTTTAAGTGATTGGCGCTATCTTGCTGATATGCTATCTTCAAGAATTGATAAGTCTTGTTGTTTCTAAGATAAACTTCCTCCTGCTATAATCACAAATGAGGCATACAATCCAAATCCAACCACGCTTTCGAAACCATGTCCAATCCTTCTTTCAACCACGGCGTCTCCAAAGTAGCATCCAAATCAAACCCATGATCTCCATTCTGAATAACCAATTTCACCTTCGACCCAGGTGCCTTATCCCGCAAATATCTCACAAACCTCCTAGATCCCCCAACCGGGACGGCAGAGTCCTGCTCTCCATGAAATATAAACATCGGAGGGATCTGCAACACTCCCGCAGCAGCTAGATCTTCCACCCTGTCAATAGGGAACAGGGAACGAACAGTCGCACCGAAAAATTCCAGAAACCGGCCATTCTGGACAATGGCAAAGGCGAGTTCGAGTCGGTTTGGAGGGTCCGCAGCTGTGATGGATGCTAGTCTAAATTTGGAAGTCACAGATAGCATAGCCGTGTGTTTGTCGACGACTGCGTTGGATATATTGGGGACGCCAACTATGGGCTTTGGGTAAGATTCGGTGTAGAATCGTGATCGAAGGTCAATCATGGGATATGCGGTGATAATGGCGCGGATCTGCGACGGATAGCTCAGTGCCAGTTGAATGGCGAGATAGCCTCCTTCATTCAAGTTAATATTATGAATATATGGAAATGGAATATACAACTTACCAGCACTCTCGCCCACAACCATGGCCTGGTCAGGATCGGGCACGATATCAAAATGTCCCGCATCTCTCAACAGCTGCTCGACAGATCCTTTACGCAGCCAGTTCCAGAAATCGTGAATATCTTCCAGAATCTCCTTCCCGGATACCTCGGGAAGAAGCCGATAGTTTGGCGATATAAGCACGGCTCCATGACGGATTGCGTAATCCAGAATCCAGTTTGAAAACCAGGGTGCATAGCGACTTGAACCGGTGACCTAATACATTAGAATTCGTAGATATGGAAGATCAAAAATGAAGAACGTACTAGAAATCCCCCGTGAATACGGACAATAACCGGGCGTGTGCTGACCTGTCGATCGGCGAGTAGAGTCTTTGGAATGAGTACATCTGCCTGGATAGCGGATGAACCATTTCCTATCCTTTTATAATCCGCAGTAATGACTTTGAAAGGGGCGAATTTGTCGATATTGAGCGACGACAGGGCGTCGAGAAGGTCGAAAAACGGCGTGGCCGGCATGTTGGATGATTGTGGGAAAAAAAAAGAAAGGAGAATGCTAGGGTTAAACTGGGTCTTTATAACGTAGCATATGCTAGACTTGATTATGGCATCTACTAGTGCGATATGCTGTCTGACATTTATGTATTACTTTCAGTCTGACAGTACTAATGGGTAACTCTTCTTTTACTAAATACTATTTCCGCTGTCCAACCCTTTATATATCATTCCTTCGACGGCATCGGAACACTCCAGTACTTTGGCATCTACTCCAATTAGCATCATATCCCTCAGCATAGTGTGTATACTCACCTCCATACGGCAGAATCTGCGACGCAATAATCCCACCAACGCCATTTTCGCGATCTGCAAACCAGAACAGATTCGCCAGCCCCTCCCAGAAAGCAGATCCTGCGGCTCTCCCTGTAGACGATTTTCTGTGACTCAACGAGAAGGATAATCCCCATCCTTCGGTCAGATCATCGGCACAGGGGAAGATCGGACACGGATTAGCAAGGTGAGGTTTGGCTGACGGTGTATACTCGTTGCAATATCGGGGCACATCCGGGATTTGGTCGGTGAACATTTCTATTATCGTTAGGCTGTTATTTATATAGAGGTGGTGACTTACCTTGAACTGTGGATGGTTTAAATATACAAGCTCCGGTTTTTGGACTCGTGCCATCGTTCAACAGAGTGGCGATAAGTTCTGTCATTGTTAGATTGGACAATGAGAGGATCGTCAGACATACGGCAGTATTCGATTGGTTTTCCAAAACATCCAGCACCTCCCATGCAGAATTTCTTTGCTTCAGATCCAGAAAGAAGGGGATACCGATAGAGATGGTCTGTCACGCTCAGTGTTCCGTCGCTCTGTCGCTGATGCATGTGCGCCATGTTTTCCTTCATCTCTGCTGTTGGAAAGAATGTTATATTCTCGATACCCAGAGGATGCAGAATGTGCTTCTGGAAGTAATCCTCCAGTGTTATACTCATGACTCTCTCAACAAGCACACCAGCCCAATCTACTCCCACGCCATATTGAAAGCAGGTCCCTGGCTGGTTAACAAGTGGTCGATGGAGAACATCGCTTTCCACGCCCGAAAAGTCGTCCAACCCAACTGGACGTGCCCAGTCGCATAATTTCGTATCTTCAAAGGCATATCCGAATCCAGCTATCTCAATAAGCCAGACTATTCACACTATAATGGGGAACATACATGTATGGTTCAGAAGCATCCTCAATGTAATGCCCCTATTCTTCGGCACCAAACGAAAGCCACCATCAGCCCGTTCCAGCACTTGAACAGCTTTCAGTTCCGGTGCCAGTGATTCAACCTGCTCAACGTCGTCGAGAGCCAGTCTGCCTTGCTCAACCAATTGCATGCACGCGATACTCGTGATCAACTTTGTGCAAGAGGCTATCCAAAATGTCGTATCCAGAGTCATTGGAGTTTTGGAGCCCAGCCCTGTTTCACCGGATGCATGGCTGAAAATGATCTCGCCCTGACGGTCCACTGCACAGTAAACGAGGCCAGCGACTTTGGGGGATGAGCCTGTTGTTGTGCTGTCGATTTCAGCGCGAGCATCAACATCTAGAGTGGGGGATAATAATGAAGCCATGATGGATGGCAGATATGCTATTCTTGCGAGATAGAGTCACGATACAGAATGGTCGGCTACACTAGCTGGATAACAAAATATACCATTTTGCCCCTCGTATTGTGGACCTTCCAGTATTGAGTAGGACAAGCATCGATGCCATCTGTCCCAACGTTTCTTTGGCTCAGAAATGGGACGAAGAGGCTGGCCGAATCCAATGTGGGGTAGCTGTGGGCCCCCGGGAGGTTGACACAATTACCCGATTAGGCAACCGAGATGGATCGGAGGGGAGATGCTCCGTAGCCAATGTTTATTGCCTGATATGTTAGGATGAATATACTACCCATTCAGGCATGTCGTATTATCAGGGATAGACTGTCTCGGATAGGTGTGTGGAAATGACGGATAGAAGGCTGTAATGTAAACATTGATAAGAGTTGATCAAAGTTGCAATTGGGCATAATTCCAGACGCAATCTTATCATCTTCGAGACCTATTCCAAGGATCCGCACTATCATGGAGGACAGTGTATACAACACGCCAGAAGGATGGCACAATCGACATCCATCGATACCCCATCTCGGCAGTCTCCTCGAATACAAGACTCTTTACAACGAATCCATTCACAACCCCAGTGCATTCTGGGCTCAACAAGCTCGCAGCCTCCTCACCTTCGATCACGATTTCCACACCACCCAAAATGGATCTCTTGCCAGTGGCGATAGCTCCTGGTTTCTCGGAGGTCAATTGAATGCATCCTTCAACTGCATCGACCGCCACGCAATTCAAGATCTAGACCGTACGGCCATTATCTATGAAGCTGATGAACCAGATGCTGGTAGGAATATCAGCTATGGGGAGCTACTCAGAGAGGTGTGTCGTCTTGCATGGTTCCTCCGGGTACGGGGTGTCAGAAAAGGTGACATTGTTACGATATACATGCCCATGATCCCCGAGGCAATCTATGCAGTCATGGCATGTGCGCGGATTGGAGCTGTCCATTCGGTGGTCTTTGGGGGCTTCTCTGCAGACGCACTTCGGGATCGGATTACAGATGCACAATCAAAAGTCATCATCACTGCAGATGAAGGCGTGCGGGGTGGAAAGATCGTTCAGATGAAACGGATTGTGGACGAAGCAGTTTCGACTTGTGGAGTCTTGACAGTGTTAACTTTCAAACACACAGGTGGTGATATATCTTGGACAGAACGAAGAGACGTATGGTGGCATGAAGAGACAGACAAGTATCCAGCGTATATTGCACCAGAGCCTATGGACTCGGAAGATCCGCTTTTCCTGCTGTATACATCTGGCTCGACAGGAAAAGCAAAAGGTATTCTTCACAGCACAGCAGGATATCTTCTCGGGGCAGCAGTTACGGGCAAGTATGTTTTTGACATCCATTCAGAAGATCGATTCTTCTGTGGTGGTGACATTGGCTGGATCACAGGCCACGCCTATGTGGTCTACGCACCGTTACTGCTCGGATGTACGACTGTTGTGTTTGAAAGCACTCCTGTCCATCCCAGTCCATCTCGGTACTGGGATGTTATTGCCAAACATTCTGTCACTCACTTTTATGTGGCGCCCACAGCGCTCCGTTTATTGAAACGAGCAGACAATGCTATCGAGATGAATCATGACATGTCACATCTGCGTGTCCTCGGATCTGTGGGTGAACCAATTGCCCCAGAGGTCTGGAAATGGTTCCATGACTATGTTGGAAAGGGAAAGGCACATATCACTGACGTAAGTTCTTTCCCCTATTGTCAAAATGAATACTGACAGTCTAGACATACTGGCAAACAGAAACAGGGTCACATCTCATTGCACCTCTAGCCGGCGTGACTCCAATGAAGCCAGGCAGTGCGTCCCTTCCATGCTTCGGCATCGAACCAGCCATTATCGACCCTATTTCTGGCGAGGAGCTCAAAGGAAACAATGTCGATGGGGTCCTGGCTATCAAGCAGCCCTGGCCGAGTATGGCTCGAACTTGCTATGGAGACCACCGGCGATATATGGAAAACTACTTGAATGTTTACAAGGGATACTACGTATGTTGCTTTGATAACTGCAGACCAAATACTGACTGTGATAGTTTACTGGAGACAGCGCCCACCGCGATAATGACGGCTACTACTGGATCCGTGGCCGAGTAGACGATGTCATCAACGTATCCGGACATCGAGTCTCGACGGCAGAAATAGAAGGCGCTCTACTCGAACACCGTAAGTGCTGCACGATAAATATCTGCATGGCTCTCAGTCTGACTGCTATCCAGCCAACATCGCAGAAGCCGCAGTCATCGGAATCCCCCATGAACTAACTGGGCAGGCTATCAATACCGTTGTTGCACTCAAAACACCGAATACTGCAGATGGCATCGAGAAGGAGTTGATTCTACAGGTACGCAAGTCGATAGGACCATTCGCAGCCCCCAAAAGAGTGCTGGTCGTGAGAGACCTTCCAAAAACAAGGAGCGGGAAGATTATGCGACGTATACTGCGAAAGGTGCTGAGTGGAGACATGGATTTGGGAGATATATCTACTTTGAGTATTTGCCTCTGCTTGAATGGTGTTTTACTGACGATATAGTTGGCTGAACCCGGCGTGGTAGAAGAGATCATCACCGCTTCAACTGCCTGCATACCATGACGAAGCTGGTGGATTCCAAGGTACACTTAATGATTGTCATTCAGAATGAAGATGTGGTTTTGAACACTAATAAACTATTGATGGAGTAACATCGAGGAACTGATTAGTTTCCTTTTGAAAAAAATTAACCGTAGATGCCAATGACTGAATGTAGTTCCAGAGGTAGAGTATAGAGTCGGGGACTCCTTGACATAGGCAACAAGAGTCTGCACTATGATCCTAAAGCCGGGGATGTACGATCCTGGCAAAGCAAGATCAGTGTGTGGAAGATAACGACGAGGAGAAGGAGACCTTGAAAATAGTTCCCATTATCCTCTCGGTACTTTCATCTTCACCAAGAAGGTCCCATCCGCTGTAGTCGAATTTTAGACTCGCGGAAGAGACTTTGCATTTGTTCTCCGTGTTGTGGCTGGAGCTCGTGGCACTTTTATTTTCATCATGAGGGTGGGGTCGTATAAATCATTGAGGAAATCTCGCCCTTGATCCAGCCTCCTCTTCGCTATAAGAGACCGCAAGGCGGCCCCATCCAGTCATAACTCAGGGCTTGCAGAGATATGCAGTGCATCTGCGACGGCCAAATCACCCACGCAAGGCTTTTTGGATATCCAGAGGGAAAGGACAACAAGAATGGCGATGATGCAGACTTCCGGGGTCTTAAATCGGGAGTCTCGCCCTTGACTGCGATTGTGACGGAGTGGTGGTGAATATAAGGCGTAACTGGGAATGGTTGCATAGACTTCACAAGGAAAGAAGGCACCACGTCTGCTTAAATTTTACCAACAAAAACGTCACTTTTATCTACAAAGGGGAGTCACAACAGCAAGAGGCTATCACAATATACCCATTAAAGATCAAATAATGATTGATGATATCGCAGAATATCACATCATCATGCGGCGTATAGCAAAGTTAAATGAACTATATATCCTCATAAGGAGGTTTGTAAGAAGCCAAACATTATTCGATCAGTTTAAATGCAGGACAAGGATAGATGATGTCAGGCATATTCGCATATCTGGGATAATATCTCGGCCCTGTAATCTGCAGCTTTTGAAGCCAAACATCTGCCCCTCGAGGTGCACCCACCTTCATCCACGGCCTCAACGCTTTGCAGGTAAAATAGGAATAGACAAATATATCACATTCGCGCAAAGCCGCCTTCAGAGTCGCCGACCTAGCCTCTTCTGACAGCCAAAACTGGGTTTCAACGGACTCGTCCCAGAACGCCCATTTTTCCAGACATGGATACAAAGTCCACTCGTTTAGTGGATCGTATAGATCGCCCATGCGTAGATGGCCGTTGTGTGGTTTCACCAGCAGCTGCTTGTAGTATCTATCTTGCATATCACGGGTAAACACTTCGATAACGCCGATGATAGAGGTGGGAGGCTGCTGGATGAGCATCCGTCGCCAACTGGCTTCCTGTCGCGTGTATGCACCTGGTTGTATATCTGACAGGTGATTTGTATGCTTCCGGCCTCTGGATAGCTTGTAGTAGTAAGTGTTGAATTTGAATTGAGGATACAGAGCTTCTTCCAGGAGGGGGTTGCGTGTTCGTTTCTGTTCTGGGGTGTCTGATCCCTCCATGGGCTGGAAGAATAACGCTTGCTGGAGGGGCCTGGAGTCGTTGATTGTCTTGTGCCATGTGCGGCATACTTTCTGGGACAATAGCAGAGTACGCAGGTCCAGATTCAGGAGAATGTGCTCAAGCAGCTCCCAAATAAAGAAAACGTTTGAAGGAGGAGATGCCATTTTGCTGTTGAGTATGATGTTTTAAGATGGTGTTGAAAGGATGTCTTTTGTCGTTAATAAGAGAGGACAGTAGACATGTTTAGGCATCAGCAGTCATTCTACGCAACTATGACAATTAACGGATTATTTATCAAAAAGAGGTATCCAGGCTAAGCAGGAAGTATATTTATAGCTTCACGGCTGCTTTATTATATATCCAATCTATCTCAGTATGCAAATCATAAATTCGAAACCACCCTGGTATACTACAATCTTGTACATATGATTAATTCAGTACCATTAACAACGACCTTTGGAGTGTTACTCATTTGTACCTAAAGTAACTGTATCTAGATACAACAGATGATCATCGCATTGATTTCCTCAACAAGAAAGGTCGCTCAGCCTTGTCAATTGTTCTCAGCTTCCCAGCCACGTCCATCTTCTCAACGTGTCACGGTTTCCATCCGTATTCCATCTAAATGTCAAACATTCAACGTCCTTCGAGATTTCAATGCCTAAAGCACGATCACACGATGACTACACCGTGGGGTGGATATGCGCCCTCCCGCTGGAGATGGCCGCAGCCAAAGCAAGGCTGGATGAACTCCACCCTCCCCTAGCACAACCCCGACATGACCACAATTCGTACACTTTGGGTGCAATATCCGGGCATAATATTGCCATTGCATGTCTCCCTTCTGGGATATACGGGACGACCTCTGCAGCCGTTGTCGCAGACCAAATGCAGTCCACCTTCGGTTCGATCCGCTTCGGGCTGTTGGTCGGCATCGGTGGCGGTGTTCCTTCTCAAGCAGATATACGTCTTGGTGATATCGTCGTCAGTAAGCCCACCGGCACTTTGCCGGGTATTGTTCAATATGATTACGGCAAGAGCATGGTATCAGGACAGTTGAAACGAACCGGGACGCAGAATCTGCCACCACACGAGCTTCTTACGGCGATGGCACAGGTTGAATCCAACCATATTATTGGCAAGTGCGAGTTGAAAATTTACCTTGAAGATATTATATCCCCAAATAAGGACGGCGGAGATATCATTTTCCAGTTCCCAGGGAAAGAAAATGATGCACTCTTCAATGCTTCTTATGAGCATGAAGCGTCATTACCAGACTGTTCAAACTGTGACCGAAGTCAACTAGAGCAGCGGAAAGAACGATCATTCACTACCCCCAAAGTCCACTATGGCACGATCGCATCAGGCAATCAAGTCATGAAAGACGGTAGAACACGCGACAGTCTAGCACAGGAATTGGGCATTTTGTGCTTCGAAATGGAAGCAGCTGGTCTTATGAACCATTTCCCATGTCTTGTTATCCGAGGGATATGTGACTATTCGGACTCTCATAAAAATAAAGACTGGCAGGGCTATGCAGCTATTACAGCAGCTGTTTATGCAAAGGTATTACTATCGCACGTTCCTCTAAAGCAATTGAGTAATGGACAGTCTTCCAGAGTTCAAAAAGCTATGGGAGGTAAGCTTATACACTTGCCGTATTCATTTCAATGACTTACCAGATTATAGATTTCGACGTCCGATTCAGCACGATCGATATACCACGTATACCATACTTCGTGGGCCGAGAGCAAGAGCTTGTAGATATCCCTAAAATGCTTCAAGATGAAAGCTCGGACGGAACTGTCGTTCTCCAAGGGCTACCCGGAATAGGCAAGACTCAGCTTGCCGTAGCATATATATTGCAGCATCGGCACGAGTACTCAGGGGTGTTCTGGCTAGATGCTACCGATCCAACGACGTTGGAATCCAGCTTCGTGAGAATGGCACGGCGCATTTATCTAGACCATCCATCCGAGAGTTTTATAAAAGCACTCATAGATGCTAATGATATGGAGCAATTGCAGCAAATGACTTCCTGGGACAAAATGAAGCTCGTTGTCCACCGGCTTCCAGAAGGCAGATCCAGAAAGACGCCCGATGACCAGAAGTTGAGCGATATTGTGTATGCGATGATTACGTGGCTCAGCAAGCCTATGAATAACCGGTGGCTAGTCGTGTATGACAACTACGATGCTGGAAACTGGCCTGGATCCGGTGAATCCCGTGATAGGATCAAGGCCTTCCTGTCGGATTCACGACAGGGACACGTTTTAATCACAACGCGAATATCCGATATTTGTACTGGGCATTTGATTAGAGTTAGAAAGATTCATACTGAGTATGGTCTTCACATTCTATCACACACATCAGGCCGGCAGGACATATCTGATGGTAAGCTTATACTCTTCTAGCTTTATCAGTGGTATTGGGCTAACACATGACGTAGATCCCCATGCCACTGAGCTGGTGAAAGAGATGGACGGGCTTCCTCTAGCTGTTGCAACTGCAGGGAAGTATATGGAACAGGTAGCCATAACATGTTGTGATTACCTGGAACTATACAGAAACGAGTGGACGCGAATCCAAGAGACAGGCCCTCGATTGCCTTCATACGACAGAACACTATATTCAAACTGGTCCCTCACTCTCGCAGAGATAACTCACAAAAACAAATTGTCGCGTGATATTCTTTTGGCATGGACCTATCTCGATAGTCAAGATCTTTGGCGCGAGCTGCTCCAAGGAGTTCCCACACCTCTTCCTCTGGAATTCCTAGGGAATGATGCAATCGCCTTCAATGAAGCAATGCGGCTTCTTCTCAATTATGGACTGGTTGAGATCGGTCCTATCCCAAGAAATGGGACGGATGATTCGAGGGGCTATAGCATGCATAGATGTGTGCATTCCTGGCTGAATGATGGTCTAGAGCCCGCTATTAGCATTGCAGATCCTGCAAATGTGGTTCTATTCTCTGTCAGTATCTATGCACAGAGATCCCTTGAAGAAGGTGACCGCACACGATACGCTCGACTGCTTCCTCACGTCAATCGGTGTCTGGATCTCATCTCCCAAGGCATTATGGCTCATGATAAACCCAATCCGTTCTTCATAGATTGCCTCATACTTCTTGGCCATGTGCACTGTCAGGCGGGTTTTTGGATTTCCCGACCCTGTAAGCCCTATTTCCATGCCCTCGCAGCGAGAGTCAGGCATCCTAGGGTGGGGAATTTGGCCAAGGCAGAGACTCTATTTCGAATGGCCCTTGAAAGGCTGGAAGGGGCCGATCCTGCATCGTATTCAGACTACTATAAGAAGAAAGCTTCAGCTCTTGGCGCCCTGGCGGGTATTTGTAGAGAGAGGTGTGATTTCACCAAGGTTCGGCAGTTATCTCAACTGGAGCTTCGGGCCCATGAAGCCACAATCGACCGTGACGAAGCCGCATATCAGTCCTGCCGCTCTGATGTTATCTTCTATCGCTATCATCGAACAATCGCCCAGTTTCTAATCGTCTCTGGCCCTTTTACGTTGGCTGGATATTTGTACATGATTTTCCAAGACCCAACCCCACTTCGGACTAATCTGCTATTCCTCGCCATAGTCTTTGGGTTATGCCTCTCTTTCATTGCCTTTGTGGCGTACTGGACCCAGCGATGGAAAACTATTCTTCTATTAATTGCACTCATAATGTGTCCTGAGGTGCTCCAGGGTGGATGCCTGTGCAGTAATCCTAGCAGCTTTGATTCTTACGTTGGCCTTATCATGACGCTCCTTTACATGACAACGCTAATCTTCGAGGAAGGCGTTGATTGGAAGACATGAAAGTACCCCTGGTCATAGCTGAATATTCTTGTTAGCAATTTCTCATTAACGTTCTCATTCTCTGTCTCTTGAATATGCGTGCATCGCCGATTAAATGCTTCTAATAAGTCACAGGCAGTCCAAGAACCGCGTCTAGTAATGCGATTCTAATGACTGTTTTGAAACCTGCTTGGTGATTTACGTTGTTCAATCGGTCTTCGAGGATATATCCAGGAAGCTTCACTTTTTAGGCTCCAACGCCGGTCACTACAACGTCATACTCAACATCCCGATGCCTATTTTATCCCGTCGCCGAAGACCAGATATAGCTCAATATATGCATTGCGATGACTATACATCATAAGTCAAGGTAAATTCACTCTGCTGCCTGTAGGCCCGGAGCAATTGTACTTTCCGCCTATTGTTTCATTTCCGAATCACAGTATACCCTGCAAAATCGCCATTTTCCGGCAAAATCAAAGGAATCTCATCCTCCGCCAAAGAAGCAAGTGTCTTCTTCTCCCTCGCCTTCCATCCCAGCTTCCGCAGTCGAGTAGCTCGATTCCGCGAGTTCGCCCCAATAATCGTGCCCGAGTACTCACTAAAGCAGTCATTGTAGTTCCCTGGGGAAATGGGGTCTGGGCGATGAATCATCCACCCTCCCCGCAGCCTGTATTGCTTTTCCTGAAGGAGAAGATCGATTATTTCGCCACCGATGAAGCCGAGAAGGAAAACAGATGACATGATATCTTGGTGGTAACTCAGATAATCGGTATAAAGTGTCTTGCATTGGTAGTCACAGTCTGGAAGATAGCTATATACTTGAATGGACTGCTACATGGTGTCTGACTGACTATATATCTCTTCATTTTCAGCTACGCCCTTCGTCTTCTATACTAGAATTAACTTCATGATTATTTGATATTACTGTGGTTAAGCATGGAACAATTGATATCTGAAGTAGATAAGGACGCGGATCTCTACAGGGAAATTCATAAAGGTGATTGGCTTCTCAGATGGTTTCATCGTGATGTTGAGTGTGGTTTGCTGGAATGTGAAACGATTTGGAATGTGAATATTTGATTCTCTCTTGACGTCAATATATCTACTGGTCCAGGCACCAATACTCATAATAGAATTACCCGATAGTTATCATTAGGCAGTTAGCTACTAGAAATGGATTACTTCATTTATGACTATTATTAATCATGTAACCTACAATATCACAACTAGCATTTGAAGCCCCTGAATAACAGCCTTGAGTATTTGAGAGAGCCCATCCCTCTCTCATATAAACTCATCAAGCCTAGTACCCAGTAGCAACATCATCCTTAAACTCCTCAAACAGCGCCGGCAAAAACGTCCCCAAATGCGTCATTTCATTCGCACAGTGCACTGACAAATCATGCGCCAACTGCTTCGGCCCACCCGCAAAGTTCATTCCCAGCACCAGCAGATCCCCAAACCAAAATCTCGAGCGCACTTCATTCCCGCTGCCGTCGGGCTTCTTGCGGAGCTGGTGCACGAGGACCGCAGAGAGAGGCGTGAATCCCTTTTCGGCCTTGGTGGGCAGGTCTTCCTCGGCGTAGGTGAGGAGGGTGACGAATGCCGAGACGAGGCCGAGCACGCCGCTTTCTTTTGTGGAGGTGGAGAAGCCCATTGATGCTGGGTCGACGAAGCCGATGGAGAGTTTGTAGGGGGTGTTGCCGATGTATTCGTCCACGAAGGAGGTTACGTTGATGTATCGGTCGCGGTAGGACTGAAGCGTTAGTTGATACAGATAGTAGAGGAGGGCTGACTTACTGGTCGCGATGCCTTTTCATGGGGAAGAGGGTTGATGGCTGCGTATTGATGGGCAGTGGGATTCCAGATCTTGTATTTCGACGTCTCGTTTGTGTGCCACGAGAACCAAAAGTCCAGCCTGATCAGTTAGCCACGTATGGCAATATGAACCATGATACTCACATTTCACCAGTCATCGTACTAGGGACATCAGATCGAATGGTAAGTGTCATTGATCCATCTTCGAGGACAGCGAATCCATTTTCCAACTCCGAATAGCCAGGGGCATCTAATTCTTCGGGGGCAGCGCTGATGTTGACGCCGAGGCTGGACGGGTGAGGGGATTCCTATACAATCAGTATATTTAATTCATTTGATTATCGAATACATACAGCAAGACCAGAAAGAATCTCCCTGCTCAAGACCGGGGGAGTATCGTTAAAGTATTTCGCCCAGGAAGTATTGCGATCCGCATCGCGATAACCGAGATAGTAGTCTTTATCATTCTGGTCAATTTGTCGAGCGTAAAGAGGTCCAATGGGAACACCAGTATTTGCTGAAGCTTTCAGAGAAAACAGCGACAGCAGTGTACAAAGCGATAAAGTCTGACGGAAGCCCATGATGACGGTTGGACAAGCAGCAGTTTGGGGATTGAACATGGCCCATCTTTGGTTTATATATTCCTGCCGAAAACATGTGATGGATGACTCGAAACTTCAGGCTATAACAGACGCGGTTATCGTTTCCGTTGGTGTCTTGATTTTGGCTCATTTTTGGCTGTAGATCACTTAGTGCACTCCACTTGTAATCTTCACCCCAGAAAATGATGATAGAATAACATTGTCAAAGTGATTGGTAGAGCATTATTTAATCAGCAGCTAGATGATAAACATCACATATTATTATGTCTTTAGGTGTCATAACCATAGAGCATTTCGATGCCAAGAAATGAAGACCAAAATTTGATATCATCCTCAACGGTCGATCGTCATTAAAGATCCTAGTCAACCCAGTATGATGGAATGACCCAAATTCAAGTCGTCCTTATTAATTTTGGGCTTTATATAAACATCCTGCTTTGTTGTTCATTTTCCAGTGGACATCCTGATGCTAATTTTTTTCGATGCTAGATGAATCCAGCAATTTCTTTTTGTATGTATTTTCAATCCCTCCCACCAAAATTATTACAAATAGAAAAATACAAAATCTATGTGTTGTAATGATCGGAGGTTCCAAATATATATCTGTCATGTCACAAGTCAATGTTGTCAATAGCACGCGACCGTTGCATACATCTCCGTTGACTACCGAGTGTGGGGAAGATCATCATGCAGTGCTGTATGTCATTTTCTGCATAGAATGTTTCAATCCGAATTCCTGGTAAGCGACCAATTTGAGATGCAAGGGATAGAAGGGAAAAAGCATCCGATATCCCTATATGGAATAGCTTTGCATACATACCAGACGGAGGCTATGGAACCAAGGGTGGGTATAAGAGTCGCTCGTGTTGGTTTTTTTTTTCTAAAAAAGAAAAAAGTTACACAGGGCAACTTAATTCTGTCTCTAACATCTACTGAAATGGTGTTCTGGAAGAGTGCATTGAATGTGCTGCTCGCAACTGCAAGCCTTTCAGGCACATTTGCAGCAGCCACTAACGAATCCGAGTCTTTGTACACCTTTTCTGAATTATGGGAGCTTGAGAAAGGCTTCTGGGATGCATTTCTCTATCCTGCCAATTTGGATCAGATAACAGGGGAAGGGGAAGATTCGGTCTTCACGGAAGATGTGAGCCATATTGATCGAAAATGAAGCTATTCCTAACAAGTAACAGGTCCAAGGGCGCGTTGACATCACCCGCACCTTTGACGGCCGCGAGCTCAACAAGGAATACATCTTCGGGCTATTCGGCGATCCCAACGGCGTCGCTCTCGTCGGCGTGCCCATCGCATACAACATTACTCAATTCGCAGCCAACGACAACATCGCTTCCGCAACGACGGTGGTGGCATTCAACGCGACCACCTGGGGGGTTGTCGTGCCTGTGACAATCGACACCTGGATAAAATTCAATGCTGATGGCAAAATCAGCCAATACGATGCTACATTCCGATGGTTTGCGTACCTGGTTGATGCACTCGTGGAGACTGTCATCGAGAGCACCAACAACAACGCTACAACGGCGACAGAGGCAGTCGGCTTCGTGACTGATGTCTTGGCTGCGAACATCTGCGAGCAACACGAGGCACACTGCACGGGCGATAATCAGCAATACGAGAACAAGGATCAATGCTACGAGTATCTGACACAGCAGACACGGTTCGGGAAGAGTTACGAGCTCGGCCGGGATACGCTTCTCTGTCGGGAAGTCCATCAGCATATGGTGCAGTATCGGCCCGAAGAGCACTGTCCCCATATTGGGCCGTCAGGGGGTGGATACTGCGTTGACGATAGAAGCTACGAGAAGACGGTGTTGGAGAAGTATTTTGCTGATTCGTGGATTGCGTATGGATATGGGGCGGAGCAGAATGCGTGGCTGTGATAGTAATTGTGTATGGGCATTTAATTAATCTAATACATCTGTTCTTGATGAGCAATCTCAGGTATTGGTTTGTGTTATCGGCCAAGAACAGAATTTTCATCTGAAGCAATTGCGCGACCCGCGACCCGATATATTCCCTGTTGATCGTCACAGCATGCAGTTATCCCTGTTCATTCTGATCTAGACTCCCACGCCAAGCATATAGTGAAGAAATGGCCAAAAGAGGAAGGTTATATTTTATTGAATCTTATAATCGTCCATACGGAGTATTGGCGGAAATATGCAAGGTAATCAGTACTTTTGTTCATCAGCAGCAGTCTAAGTGGTATCTTGGCTAAAACAACAGCAAAAACAAAACAACAGAATAGCAAAGAAAAAAAAAAAAAAAAAAAAGCAACAAAAAAGCAAAAAAAGCAACAGTAAAACGCTCATGCAAACATCTTGACCTGCATCTTCTCCTTCCAGAAAAACCAGCTCACTGTAATCGCCCCCTTCGCAGCCGCCGCCAGAAACAACCCCCCAGCAAGACCAACATGCTTCGCCATGCCGCCCGCCGTCATCGAGCCAAAGAAGTGCATAAGCAAAGCCCCAATCCGTCTGTTTCGCTTCGGGTTCGCCTGCAACGGGCGCTGGTAGAGTTTCGCATCGAGTAAGAGGTCACAGACAAGCGCAGTCAACAGGACCGTAGGGATTTCCGGAAATCCCAGAATTCTCGAGGCGGTTAACTGACCGGCGGATTGGAACGATATGAGGAGGATGGGTACGACTTTTCGCCATTCGACGGATGTTGGGTTGTCGGGCATGGGGGGAACGGTGTGGACGAGAATGGCCGTGCCGAGGATCAGGCCGGCTTGGAGAGCGAAGCTGAGGATGAGGGAGATGCGACGGGTTGAGCCGAGGAGACGACCGCCGTGGATGAAGACGATGTTGCCGAGGAGGAATGCGCAGACGGCGATGAGGGATTTGGCCCAGAGCATGTCCGGATGGTCTGGTTTGCCCGCGACACCCAGGGCGATGAAGATGGTGTTTCCTAAAGGGGAAATCGTCAGCATGGGCCACATGCAGGTAAGGATAGGAGATATAATGACATACCGGTTTGCATGTTGGAAAAGTTTCCCCAGTAGTTGTAGGACAGACCATCGATCAGACCACCGACGTAGCAGCAGACGATCAGAGGAATGTCCGACCATTTGGTATCGATTTCCGATGATAAATATCCGACAAAGCCTCGACGGGCAGGCAGTTGTTCCTTTTCGGTCACGCAGGTCTCCGCCGTCGAGACCTCGGTGTTGCCCGTCAGAGGGCGAGGCGTGTAGAGCTGTCGTTCTTCGTCGTCGAATTTCAAGGCCATGGTGGCTGAGGATGACAAGTCTGAATGGATTGGGTTTAGAATGAAAGACAAAAAGTGAGATCAGGCCGGCCAATGCTCCGTATTTACATGTTCCATCTGCTCGAACTCTTATCAGTGCATGTCAGGATGATGCCCAAGCCAAGACATCGCCATCGCGATCAACAGGAGAGACAGAGACCAATCCCTGCAAGCTGATGTGTCGATGGCAAACCTTGAACCTCGCTTTCGCCATAATCGGCGCCATCTAGAAACGGGAGGGTGCATCATCCAGCATTGGCAACTTGGCGTTGCTTGGCGGGTCCAGGATGGAGTCGGGATGCAGTCGGGATGAAAGAGTCGATGTGATGATCGCCGTTGTTGTGTTACATCCAGTTGGATGTATCTGACACATCCAATCGTCGACGACTTGATATCTTGATATCCTGATACATCCGAGGAATTCTCCGTGCATCACCAACAGTCAATAGTATGTATCATCGCGATTGACGGTATCTGTTCGCTATTCAGGAGGTGATGATGTATGATCGACAACGAACCCACAGTGGATTCAATGGCTTCCTTTCTTGGCAACCCCCAAGATCCGCTATTGACGAATCCATCATCCTTTCATTCTCATATTCCCACAGACACAATTAAAATCCTCGGAAATATTAGGCAGCGATGTAGTTCGGCTACCCGACGGGCGTTAAAATAGATAGTAATCCAGGTCTACTAGCATCCCGAATGCCGCGGGATGCCGTGAAAGTGAAACAAACCGCCGATCATCAGGGATCAGGAGAGGATCGTCAGTGAGGAAGAAAGGAAAGCTTCTAGACTTGCAAGTGCGCTACTGGGGTGTTCTGATTGGCGCAGAGCCTACGGTTATGATGTGACCTCTCAGAACACCGCCTCGTGCCAAGAAGCATATTCTTATCGAGTATTTATAGATGGGCCGTTATTGGGCACTGTTCGCGCTGTCCCCTATATAAGCTGCAATTCCCGTTCAGACGCGTAGACCAACCTTTCTGATGAATTTCACCCTCTCACTCAGCGAATGCTTGACAGGTATTAATCATCTATACTAAACATCATCATAGAATGCGTAACTCAATAAGATGGTATCATACCACCGCATAGTAATATCTACATGGCTTATCAGTCGGCATACAAGCAGGTCCACCCCGATATGCAATGTCATTATTCCCTGACATGCAGTGTCATCGAAGACTATGTAACATCGATATCATTCCTATCTTATTCACCTCATCAAGTCACAGCTATCCATGTCAATATCCTATCTACACCAACGAACACGACGTCTCCCGCAGAAACTTCCTATCGCGATGCAGAAACCAATAGTCGCCTTCAACTTCAACCAGCTGAAACTTCCTCGCATGGACCGGTAACCTTGCCAGGGTATATCACATCATCCTGGCGTGCGCCAAATGCGGTAATCGACACATCCAGCGGGTCCTCGTCACGGCATTCACAGCCGAGGAGTAGCGCTGCATCTGTTCGCATGGATGCTAGGATTGGCCGAAAGCAATCAGAATAGGGTTCGCTGCCGTCTGTACGGGACTTCCCGGCGCTGCCAATTATGCATGAGATGCAGTGCAACCGTGCTCGCCATGACTAACGGTGGGGTTTCTACCGTCAGCGAAGCGCGCAGAAGACTTCAAAGGCGACGATTCCTCCGGGTGAATGGACCCAGGAGAGGCGCGGGGGTCGACTATTTCTGGGGAGAAACTTCGGCCATACTGGTGTCTTCGCGGCCTGGAAGTTGCACTACACTTGAGTCTATTCAGTGGGTCTAGACGGGAGTGAAAGGTGAAGCCCAAAACCCATGGAGGGGAAGCAGACCATGCGGGGGGTACGATGGATTGACAGGACTTGCCGCGGAAGAATCATTGAGATACGGGCGTCACGTCCTAGTCACCGATTGTTCAGCTGCGATTGGATCCTGGATCCCTGAGATAAGGCACTTTGAAACGACTGGACGGGTTGGACTGCGACTTTCTGCAGACTCGGGCCGTGGAAAAGCCTGAAGAGAGGGCATCAAACCCGATTCCACGGAGGCTGACACTCCGCAGTTGCACAGCCAACAGCGTATTCGGCTTTTTCCTTTTTTCCGAGATAAGAGAGTATAGGGATTGGACATCGTGAGACCCGCTGCCAGTACTGTCAGCTTGCTACTTCTCTAGTCCCACGAAGGTTCCATTGCGCGAGATACGAGGGTGCGCCGTGAGAAACGTGGACCAGTCAACTTTTGCAATTATACGCTGTGTGGATTACGGAGAAGACCACGCTCAAAGCTAGATACGATGGCCGGGAGATTCGACGCTTCAAAACCTGATGAACACAGAATCCCAAAAACCTTCTTGTTGTGCACCGAGGAGACACTGATGCCGCATACTCTCCCGGCAGCCCGAGACGCAGCACGAGTCCTGGCAGACGAGCCGCTGATCTTGAAAGCCAGTCCGTCAAGAATTGTTGGCAGCCGCATAGCTGAACTGACCCGTGAACCCGATGGCACTTGTGATAGAAAGAATCCTTCAACGGTGTTTGGCCAGCTGCAGACCGAGGCCGCTAGCACCACCAGCGACGAGACACGCTTGATCCTGTTGTCGGCTGAGCTGCGTTGGGGGTGTTATCTGGGCTTACGCTCCCTGGCATTTCTACTGCAATCTTGCTAATCTACTTGGTTGACTACGCCGGATGGCTGTAGCTGCAATCTATACTATATAGAATTGGCCTTAGGATGGAATATGCTTGCAAATGAAGTAAACAACGCCACTAGCCTACGAGTCCTTGAAGAGTGTATCAAGGATTGAAGCTACTCGAACAACTTCCTCATCCTCAAAAGGACGTCCAATAATCTGGATAGTTGACGGTTGATTCACAAACAGATTTGGATGGTCTGTAAGAACACGTATTAGACTGCATTTGTTGGTGCCTAGGGCTGACTTACACAATTCATGATTAGGCTTGTCATAGGGATTCGTTTCTAAGGGTCGGTAGTTGTCATCGACTGGGTCTAACTCAGGATCGACCTTGAAGCCAGGAATGGGTAAGATGACAGATGGATAGTCGACAGCGTTGAATAACGAGGTGTATCCCCAGTAGATGTTAAAGTCGTGGGGATAGCCCACCGCAGGCGCTGGGGGGACGATTAGAGCGTCGATAGTCCGGCCTGAGATGGTGTAGCTGGCTGTGAAATCCCATGCGTCTGCGAATTCCTCTTTCAGGGCTCTTATTTTACGGTTTGACTATCTACGTCAGTATAATCCCCGAGTGAGACGATAGAGCATACTCGTAATGCCTCTGCAGCAGATTGTTCCCGAGGTTTAAAAACATTCAGAACATCGGCAAAGGCTGGTATAATGGGCTCCCCAGAGGCTGCCATTACGGACATGATGTCATCGACCCCTGATGGGAAGTATACATCGAACTGGGTCGATTAATATAGTCCCGTCATTTGAATGGAGTGCTTACTGTAGTTTTCATAACATCCCAGCAATGAAAAGGTGGCTCGAACATAACCACTGTAATCCAGGTTAGGATATTCTGGAATACAGGTTCCAGTGAGCTCACCTTCATGTCCGGCTTTCTCGAGTGTCTGTTTGGTGTGTTCTAGAGCTCGTAGCACCGGCGGATGAGGCATCACCACTCCATCCCACTTCATTATTCCGACTGTGAGTTTGCGGTCGAGAGCATCTAGACTCCTCCAGGGAACGGGCACAGAGGTTACATCGTATTTATTAAGTGGATGCGCATTAATAATCTTCGTCAACAACTCAAGATCGCCCAGAGAGTGGCACACGGGTCCGAATGACAGTTTGATCGTGAGGTTTCCAGTATTCGTACTGTCCATATCGCCCTTAGGTACGCGATCTGACGTCGGTCGAATGGCATACAGTCCGTTGACGGCGGCAGGGAAGCGGATAGATCCCCCCAGATCAGTTGAAGGTGTGACGGCACTGCCTCTCATGGCTACTAGTACTGCATCTCCGCCTGAACTTCCGCCAGCAACTAGGTCTCTGTTATATGGGTTTGTGGTGCGGCCCCAGAGATTGCTGACGGTCTCCAAGGCCATTGCGGATTGAGGCATTGTTGTCTTGCAGAAGAAGATGACACCTGCCTCCTGTAGTGTCCATATAATGGTGGAATCGTGATCGACTATATTATTCCTGTTGGCGACAAATCCCGTTGTTACGAGAGTGCCTTTGAGTTCATGAGAGTCCTGTCACTGCCTTAGTGTTTATATAGACAAGTATAATACATATCTTTTACCTTTACCGCGATAGGCACTCCATCCAATGGTCATTTCAACTTGCCACCCTTGTCAAGATGCTCGTCGAGCTCTTTTGCCTGTTCGAGACCATTCTCGAAGAACCAACAAGTCAAACAGTTGACCTACCCAGTTAGCCTAGCTCAATCATTAAACGTCCTGACATACCAGCTGATGAGCAATAGCAGCCCGGGCAGCAAACGCCTCCAAAACCTGCACCGCTTTCAACTCTCGCGATTTGATGCGTTTTACTATCTCAACGGCTGTGAGCTCGGTAATCTGGAGCTGCTCAGTGGACATGATGCCACTCGCATAAGGCACGCTGGTTACATCCTTGAGCGAGCTGTATTCGTCGACATCGAGTCTCCACCGGGCGGGGATTGCCTCGAGTACTGCCGCTTGGGCTTCTTTGGCTGTAGCTTCCCACGACATTGTAGATGATAGAATGTTTGGATAATTCAACTGGCACATACAGGAGGTGATGTGAAAAGAGAGGATAATCATCGGGATTAGTAACCGATGAGGGGTCCAACAGATACAAAAAAAGCACTAGACAGGGAATGTGCATCGGAATATACATATCAGCCAATAACATGCAATATCCACCAACCCTGCATGATTGCCAATGATATTGCCATATCAGGCCATGGCGTGATACTACATTAATAATTCTGCATTTATAATCAGCGGTACTTATACACATCGACTCTGTTCAATTCCACTGTTTACACAATTACTCCAAAGATCGATCAGAATGAGCCACGAAATCATCGACAACATCGCCGCAAAAGGCATCTCCTACTACACCCCCGCCCAGTCCCCTCCGGCAGGCACCCAAATCGACGGCTCAACCAAGCTCTTCTCCCCCCTCACCATCCGCGGCGTCACATTCCCAAATCGCCTCTTCCTCGCCCCTCTCTGCCAATACTCCGCCAAAGATGGCTACGCGAATGACTGGCACCTCACCCACCTGGGCGGGATTATCCAGCGCGGCCCAGGCCTAGCCATCATGGAGGCGACGGCGGTGCAGAAAATCGGCCGCATCACGCCGCAGGATCTCGGTCTGTATGAAGACGGACAGATTGAGCCGTTGAAGCGGATTACGGAGTTTGCGCATGGCCAGGGCCAGAAGATTGGGATTCAGTTGGCGCATGCGGGGAGAAAGGGGAGTGCGGTTGCGCCGTGGTTGAGTGGGAATGCGATGGCCGTGGAGGAGGTTGGGGGATGGCCGGATGAGATTGTTGGGCCGTCGGCGATTCCGCAGGAGGAGGGAGTCAATACTGTTCCCAGGGCTTTGACAAGAGAGGATATTGAGGTGTTGAAGGGAGACTATGCAGAAGCGGCGAAAAGAGCTGTCGAGGCGAATTTTGACGCGATTGAGATTCATGCTGCGCATGGATATCTGTTGCATCAGTTCTTGAGTCCAGTCAGCAACCAACGAACGGATGAGTATGGAGGTACCTTTGACAACAGAGTCAGACTGCTTTTGGAAGTCAGCGAGGCAATTCGAGCTGTTATCCCAACAACAATCCCTCTCTTGGTTCGCATCAGTGCGACAGACTGGTTCGAGTTTGACGAGAACCTCAAAACGGAATTCCCCGAAAGCTGGACCCTCGCTCAATCAATCCAAGTGGCTTCCCTGCTAGCTGACCGTGGCGTCGACCTGGTCGATGTCAGCTCCGGTGGTGTCCACGCCAAATCCGCAATCGCTATCAAATCCGGCCCTGCGTACCAGGTCAATTTCGCCCAGGAAATTAAGAAAGCCGTCGGCGACAAGTTGTTGATATCAGCTGTTGGGGGCATCAAGACGGGGGCTCTGGCTGAGGAAGTGGTGCAGTCTGGCATTGATGCAGTGCAGGCTGGACGCTGGTTCCAGCAGAATCCGGGCTTGGTTCGTGCATTTGCGAATGAACTGGGAGTGAAGGTGAGGATGGCCACGCAGATTGATTGGAGCTTTGAGGGAAGAGGGAAGAGAGCAAAGAGTTCTTTGTAATGGTGCCTGGGATAGTGACTGTATATGTTGTTACAGTATAAGAATTTCGAATACTTCGACTAGGTTCCTCATTGACTATCTGATATACCTATTCAATTCCACTCGGTATGCTTCAGCTGACTCCTCGCCGCCACCATGTTAACCACCATGGCCAAAGTTGCACCTCCCATAACCTCCAGCACCGCCAGATCCGCTGCAAATTCCTTTCCAATCCAATTGCACAGTTCAACAGCGAGAAGTGAATCAACACGATATGTATGCAGCGGCGCATGAACATCCACTTCTGCATCCTTGGGAATCAACCGATACGAGTGAACCATCTTGTCGATCAACGCCTGCGTGACAATATCTCTTCCCTCCTGTAGCGATGTAGATTGGAGGAATAATTTCTTGAAATCGACTTGACCGGCCCCTTTTGATTCAGAATCACTAGATATCGTTTCCAGCTTGAGTCGACTGAAGACCTGCTTCTCAACGAGTGTGTTTTCCATATGTCGTCCGCCAGCGCTGGAAATGCCAAACACAATTTGCGCACTGTCGGGATTTCGCGGTTTATCGGCGTTGATGCAGTGGGCGAGAAGACCAAAGAACTTGTCTCGAGTGACTGGGGCCATGGAGCTGTACGATAGTACTTTGTCAAGAAAGCCAGACGTTTCAGCGAGAATACCGTCGTCCACCATGGGGCCAAGGTCCAGAGAGATTGCTTTTCGGCCGTGCATGACTTGATGCCGTGCGAAGCTATCCATGTAGGAATTACCTGCAGCATAGTTAGACTGACCAGTCAAACCAATGACATTACTAGCAGACGACAACATGATGAAGAAGTCGAGATTTTGCGGAAGGTTGACTGCCAGATTCCTTGTTCCCAGGGCTTTGCATTCCACGGCCGTACGCCAGTCCTCATAGCTCATCTTACTGAATAGGCTATCCCGTAGCACCATGGAGCCTTGAACGCAACCTTTGATGGGAGGCATTGTCTGTGATATCTCTTGCATTGCCTTCTTTACAGACAATCCATCTATAACATCGCACGGAGGGGCAAGGACACGAACTCCCTGGTTGGACAATTCCTCGATGAGAGTACGCGGAGCAGCACTCTTAGCTCCTGCTCGTCCAAGTAGTGCCAGATTGCGAGCGCCCCGAGCAGCCATCCACCGGGCTGTAGCTCTGCCCAATCCTCCCAGTCCGCCAGCAATCACATATGTCGCATCGGAGTCCAGAGGAGAGATTTTGGTCGTCAATAAGGTAGGCACCGATGCTTCTGCCGTCATATCAATCACTGTTGTGCCGGTGGTGGTTCCGTCTTGCATAGAGCGGAAAACATCTTCAATCGAGCTGGCATTCCTAACATTGCGCACTTTTCGGATATCCAGATGGCCATCTGCAACAAGACGAAGGACAGTCTGTATGGCTTCCAGTGCCATGTCCGGTCTATCCTGCATCCAGACGACGCTGTCAAAGTAGGTGAAAGAAGCCTGTCGATTCGAGTGTGCTATGTTCTTGGATTCCTGATGACCGAAATGAATCAATTGACCATATGATGCCACGCATTCCCACGATGCTTGTTGGACCTCTCCTCCCAGGGTATTCACTACCACATCAACTCCACGTCCCTTTGTGGCTCTCATAACACCACCCGCAAAGCTAGTATCGCGACTGTAGAAGATACGGTCGCTAGGAATCCCGTATGTGTCTATCAGAAACCGCTTCTTCTGTTGTGAGCTCACCGTGGTGTGTATCTCAGCTCCAAGGTGCTGCGCTATCTGAATTGCTGCTTGCCCTGTACTCCCTGCACCACTGTGTATAAGAACACTTTTCCCAGCTCGCAGACGGCCTATCTCGACAAGGATGTGCCACGCGGTGCCAAAGACAGGGATGCATGCTGCGTCGAGAAAGGAAACTTCATCAGGAAGCCGGAGCATGAAATCTTGTCTTGACCTTCCTCTCGTTTTGAATTGACCTGGACCAAAGGAGACTACCCGATCGCGGGGGTGGAATTCTGATTTCCTGCCAGCCTTGATCACTATTCCAGCACTTGCTTGACCCAATGGTCTTTCCGGAGACTTTCCTAAGACAGTGAGGACATCTTTGAAGCTTACAGCAATTGCTTTGGTTTCGATTTCAGCTTCATCATCGCTCAGTGGTTGAGGGATATCGTCGGTCCAATGCAGGGAAGAAAGTAACCCTGACGTGCTGAACGATAGCTGTACGGCTCCTACCTCACTCAATGGCCGTATAGCCGATTGCTGAGGCAGTGAGGCATTATGGACTTCACTTGACAACTGTTGCTGTGGCTCTACACGGAGAACGTGCAGCATTCCGTCAATCTCCACAAACTCGGGCTCATACGGCTCGGCTTGATGGAGAAGAACATTGTTGATCACATTCACAATATGATCCAGCTGGCGATCTTCCATTTCATCGTCCATGTCGAGGGCTAATGTGCAGATTCGACGGTTGGCCTTTTCATTCCGCAGTGTGCGAGTCAAGCCATCCACAATGCCGTATTCGGGTTTCTTGGAGACATGGCCACCGCCGGCAGTGACCCAGAGAATGGAGTTGGTGTTGTTGATCACTTTTTGTAGGGAGTTGAATGTCTCGCTGCTCATGTCACTCAACAGTGGTTTCTCAGTCTCGACGAGGAATACCAGCGTTGTTTGCGAAAGCTCTGGTAGAGATGCACATTCTTCCAGGCTGCCACTCTGGACTGTCCCCGAATAGCGATTCTGCAGTTTCTCGACAGCCGATATTTGTAAAGCAGACGTGGGATCGATGACAAAGTAGAATGATGGAGCTGGTTTGACTGCATCATTCGCTCCCAAAGCGCTCGCCACCAGAATGTTCATTTCCTGGCATTCGGAGTGCAGGAACTCGGGAAACGCAACATCAACGGCAGTAAAACCAGCTGTCTTGAGCACCCCATCCCACTGGGTCGTAGTGAGTGCTGGACTCCATGGTCGGCCATCATCGATACCAGCCCACCAGCCTTCCATCAAACCGGCAATAAACCCAGCTCTAATAATATCTGGACGGGTGACTTCGTACAGCATCAATTTGCCACGGGGTTTCAGAAGTTTGCGCACATTCATCATCGTCTTGTGGATATTCGGTGTTGCGTGGAGCACATTGGCTGCTACAATTAGATCGTATGATTCAAGGTCGAATCCCTGGATGGAAGGATTATCTTTGATATCGAGCGTCTGGAATCGGATTCGAGGGAAGGCGGCATAGCGTTCTGCTGCTTTTTCAAAAAAGGCCGGCGAGATATCCGTGTAGTCATAGCTCATGTACAGCGGATTGCTCTCATCAAGTCCACTGTCAGTAGATAGCGCTCTCAATATGTGTCCCGTCGATCCTCCAGTTCCTGCCCCGATCTCGAGAATCCGCATCGTTGGGTTCTTCCTGGCCATCGTCCGCAGATATAGACCCCATGTGTCGAAGCAGACTGGCCGGTTGTTCACTTCCGCATACCACTTTGCCATCATGTCTCCGGTAAAGAGGAACTTCAATGGCTCCTGCTCTCCGCGAAGGATGCTCACCAGGTTGCGTCCAGTGTGAACATAGGCAGCTCCCGCTTCATTTGCGCTGATTCTGTGACAAGCCGCTTCGAAGTAGGCTTCATCTTGTAACTGAGTTCGCCATTCAGGTCGACTAAGTTCAAGCTCGCCAGAGTGATATTTCGTCCGTTGCAGTCTGGCCCACTCTGTATATCGTCGGATATGTGGGAGTACATGACTGTAGTCAGATGTGTCTTCACGAAGAGCTTTGACAGCATCATCAAGGAACTTGTACAGTACAAAATTCAAGTCTCTGAAGAAGGCAACAGCCTCTGAGTCTGTAGGTAATGCTTGCGAACAATATTTAGCCACCTGCTCACTGCTCAGGAGATCCAATTCCGGTACACGGTTCATATGGTACACCGTCAATTGAGACTCTTCATCCCGACTATCACTCCTGCTGTTAGCCACGATGGTAGACTGCAGTCCTTGGACTGTCACAAGCAGGCTAGTTTGCCCCTCATCCGTTGCACCCATGTCAAATTCATGGCCGCGTTTGTGCATCGTCTTCATACTTGTTGATGCTCGAATTGCTTTCACGGATTCACCACTTGCACCCTCTTTGGCGACCCAGAGAGATTTTATGCCCGTTGGAATTGCTGTTGGAACAGCTGAATCACCTCCAGCCAGTGCAGCAGAGCTCAGATGGAGTATACCGTCTAGGGTTGCAGGGTGAATGACATGAGGTTGAGGGTACTGGCTGCTATCCCACTGGAACACTTTGATAGAGGCCGTTGCTTCGGTCTTGTTGCATCTTCCTCCAAGCACCGTCTGGAATGCAGGCCCAAATTCAAAGCCAGAGCTATGGAGTCGGCTGTATACGCGCTCATGATCGAGCTGAGTCGTACAAGATAGAACGATTTTGCTATCCTGTTGCAACCAAATGTTGAGGTCCTGCTCTTGGTCTGCGACCTCATTGACAGACTCGTAGTCGACCTTGATGTATCCGTGACAGTTCTCGTGCCAGTCATCATCCTCAAACGAGAACAGTCTGAATTCCATCCACGGCAGATTGTTCCGACGAAGCAGCAAGTTCGTCTCGATTCCTTCTGCTGTTCGTGGGATAGTCAAGGCACGCTGGAACTTAACGTCCTTGAGCTGAAATCCAGCAACATTCTCATTGGGATCAACTGTTTGATTCGCTGCCTCTATCGCCATAACCAGCATACCTGCACCGGGATAGATCAAAGCGCCGTTGATGATGTGATCTTCCACCCACGGCATCTCCGACAGTCGAATGTTGTGGCGCCAGATAGGTTCGAGAGAGTTCCAGTCCGCCACTGGCTTCCCGAGTAGATCTATACGACCTTGGCCAGCGAAACGGCTGCGTTTGCTGAGTCGGCTTTCGCGCCAGTAGGAGGTGGAGTGATTGAAGGGGTATTCCGGGAGATCGACGAGAACGCGGCGATGCTTTGCGGCTGGGTCGGCGAGTCTATTTACTCGGTTCATGTCGACTGAGATCCCCAAGCAGTGGATGCTGCCAATGGCGTTGAGGAATTCATGAATTGCGTTCTCCTTCCGTCGGATTGTTGGGAAGTAGCTGACATCGGCGCCCCAGGGCAGAGTGCTGAGCATATCGCGAATTGGCCCTTGAAGAGTCGAATGAGGACCTATCTCAAGTAGGATATTCACGCCCAGTTGGTGGCGATGACTGCCATCGAGCTTCTTTCGGATCTTGCGCCCAGACTCGGTGCAGATATGCAAGAATGCTTTGGTGAACTGGACGGGTGAAACAAGATTGGCCACCCAGTATTCGGGGGATTGCAGTTCTGCTGCTGACACTTTCTGGCCCGTCACTGATGAAATAATCGCAGTTGTACATTTGTTTGTCGATCGACTGCCGACTCCAGCCATGGATTTCTGGTAAGACGATGCCACCTGATTCATGTGCGAGGAATGGTAGGCGACAGGAATCTTCAGCTTCCGCGCAAAGATATTGTCTGCTTCAAGAAGGGCACGGAGCATTTCCACCTGGTCTGCATCACCAGAGACAGTAACGCTCTTCTGGCTGTTGATGCATGCAACCGCAGTCCCCCGATGATTGCACGCATCAGCAATCTGATCAATGTATACCTGAGTCTGCTCTTCAGACAATCCCACGGCAACCATTGCACCATGCTGTTCACCTATTCTCGCAAGCTCCCCTGCACACACGCCGCGGAAGTAAGCAATCTGCATTGCCTCCTTGATGGACAGCGCACCCAGCGCGTACGCAGCGCCGATCTCTCCTGATGAATGCCCAATCACAGCGGCGGGCTGGAGACCGATTGAATGGAGAAGGTCAACGAGTGCAATTTGCAGTGCTGTGTTTGCCGGTTGTGCGATCTCAGGGTTGTTAATTCGGCTCTCTTTACCGTCGTTTAGCATCTCTCCTGGACCATGTTAGCTGTGGTCAATTCAATTTGGCTGATCTACTAACCTCGAAGCGACCATAGGCACCCGAAATAGCGCAGAGCAGACTCGCACTGTTCGATGGTATTGCGAAAAACCGGATACTGAAACAGCTCCCGTCCCATGCCTGCCCACTGAGATCCCTGGCCTGTAAATACAAAGCCCAAGGCAGGTTTCTCGTGAGCCTGGTATACTGGCGAGGTCATGTTGTCAATGTTGCGCAAGTCTGAAAGGCTGGACGCAACAATGAAGCTCTTGTTGCTGAGTGCACTTCGGCGGGTGTTCAAAGTATGCGCAAGGTCTGCCATGTATTCTGTAAATTTTTCTTTTGGAGTGATGAGCTGTTCAAAATATGACTTGTAGGCGAGGGCCACGTCTTTTACTCCCGTTTTGCTTGCCGAGGATATCATCAGTAGTTTGGGGGAGCTACTCGGTTCTGGTACCGACATCAGAGGTGGTATCGAAGTTTTTGCTATCGCCGGAGACTCGACGGTGACATGATTTCCGACAAGTCCATGGTCTCGCAGAAAATGGAATGCATCATCCAGTACGACATGGGCATTGGACCCGCCAAAGCCAAAGGAGTTGATCGATGCTCGCCTCAACCCTCTTGTCGGCCATTGCATCGCTTCGAGAGGGAGCTTCATTTTCAGAAACTCCAGGTCGATCTTCGGATTCAACTTTTCAAAGTTGGCATTCGGTGGGATTATCCCACTCTCCAGGACCAGGATGGCCTTGATGACAGCTGCAATGCCACTGGCACCTTCGAGATGTCCGATATTCGACTTGACTGCGCCTCTTCCTTCGAGTTAGTAACTCACTCCGATTCGACAGGTGTGGACATACACAATCAAAGGGTCATTCGTACTTCTCGCCCTTCCAAATGCCTCTCCTATCGCATTGCACTCAATCGGATCTCCCACTGGTGTTCCAGTTCCGTGTGCCTCGAAGAAGCGCGTAGGCTCCATACTCAACCCAGCTCTTTTATATGTACTCTTGATGAGATTAGCCTGTGCTAAACCACTAGGCTGCATGATTCCCGACGGCGTGAGACCATCCTGGTTGGATCCTGTTGCCCGGATCACAGCACGGATTGTGTCTCCGTCTTGAATGGCGTCGGTGAGACGTTTTATAACGATAGTGCCTGTCCCCTCGCCACGTCCGTAGCCATTTGCGCGGTGGTCGAAACTGTAGCTTTTCGAATCTGGGGAGAGCATGTTGACATTGGAAAATACTTGCATCATGTCGGGGGATAAAATTAGGTTTGTGCCTGCGACGATGCCCTGCAGTCTGTTAGTTTAGTATCATATATTAGGGGATTCATAGTATGACCATCTCGACCTCTCCCCGCTGCAGGCATTGACAAGCTAGATCCATTGCCACGAGACTGCTCGAACAAGCTGTATCGATATTCATACTCGTGCCGTGGAAATCAAAGAACCAGCTGATCCGATTGGCATTCATACACATGTTCACTCCCACCACATCGTAATCGGCAGTCATTTCGACATCCTTGCAGGCCATCAGCCGGTAGTCACTGCCAAAACAGCCTACGTGGACGGAGGTCTCGGAGCCAATTGCTTTTTCCATTGGTATACCGGCTGCCATGTCATCAGCATAAACCTTCAGCTGCAGGACCTCTAGACAAACCGTTTTCCAATGCGCCATATGTGACCTCTAGTAGTTGCCGCTGCTGAGGGTCTAAAGCCGCCGCTTCATCGGCAGATAAGGAGAAGAATCCGGCGTCGAATAGGGAAACGTCTTCTTTTAGAAAATGACCTCCCTTGGGTGTGTACTGCGAGGATTACCTGTTAGGCACCATCATTCATGGCTTTCCTGTATCTGCTCACCTGTCCTCTTCGTCTCTTATCTGGATGATGCCAACCAGATACACTCATACGATCCGCCGGCGCCTCAGTCATGGCACATCTCTTCTCCATCATCATCTTCCAGAATCCTTCATCGTTAACTGCATCTCCTGGAAATCGAAAGCAGTGGCCTATGATTGCAATTGGCTCGAGTTTGTCTTCATCTAGAGAAAGTGTCGGTCCATTTGAAGATGGTTGATTATCTGCATGATTGTATGATTGATCGTCATGCCAGTCATCATCGCCATGTAATAAGGGTGCCATTTTGCAAGTACTAAATCTGAAGCTATATGAATAAAAAGAAGAAACAGAAAGACATCGCCATGAGATATAGGCCTTCCGGTTCAATTAACACAGAACCACCTTGCTATCGAGGCACTCCTTCAGGAAGCGGAAATAAATATGATGATCCATTGTCCTCACAAAGTCAATTCGGTTACAGCTGTACACAGACCTCTCCACGCAAAAGAGCCTCACGGGAACCACAGAAGAGACTTTCTGTACACGGTTTGGCCGGAGCGTATTCCCGTTAGTCGTTCTCGGTTCTTTCGAAGAAACATAAGGTGGTATTCTCCTTCGTCTGCACCATTAGATTCAGCCTCGCTAACAATGCCGTGCTGACCGTTGATCCGTCCAATTACCACTAGCCCCAAACATCTGATTGGTGGAAAGTGCAGCTGATCGTATTTCAAAGCAACGGCTGGATAATACAGTTATGGAATAATAGGTTGATGTAAGCACTATAACAGTCCTGCGCAACCTTATTTATTGAGGATTGCTTACTGCATAATATAAAAGTGGCTTGAGTGTTGGAATTGTATACAGTTGATTATAAACATCAGACCATCATCCTTGTCAGTCTGCCTCGTACGTTGGGTTTGGGGCAATCTGAGGGATGTATCCACGCTAGTAAAATATCACTGCATTAAAATAGCGGATCAAATAGAGCTGGGCTAATGACCGCAATTTGAAGAACATTTCCTCGGCCCGAGGCGTCTGCTACAACTGGCCTAAGTATACTATTGCTGCTCCTAGAGTTATTTGGTACTCATTATTCTACTTGAATGCTTTAAAATATATATTATATACCCTTCTATAGGGATAATCGGAATGATATATTAGATAAACAGTAATCAAGAGAGTACAAGTTGTGTGTGACGGCCACTTAAGTGGTCTGCGCAGGTGGGACGTCAAGGACAAGAGAAAAGAGTGGTAAAGCCATCCGGCCAATCAGACCGCAACAAACCGTCTCAAAGTGTAAAGTATGCATGCCTATTCATCTAATTGTAAATATTCAGCCCCTGGCTAACAGTGGCGGTGGGTCTTGTTATAGAACCCTCGCAAGGTAGTCAGACTGCATTACTATGTCAAGAGCAGACTATCACCGTGCTCTCTCCAAGTTACGAACAGCAAATACTCTGCATTTCCCCATCCCACTCATATTCAACCACCACAATAATGGTGGGCCAGCCCACACTTCTATCCAATGGTTTCCTATTTCTGACTTCCCTGACCTGACAAAATCGAATGCCGCCGACCCATGCCCGGGTCAACTCCTATGTGCCGGGATGAGGATGTCTAAAATCGATTTCTGATGTCTCCTGCCCACGTAGTATTCAAAATTTCTTCAAGTCTTGATATTTCTCTAGCGCAGTGGTGTGCCGTTACTTTCGGCTGAGGCCGCTTGACCTGTGGATCGCCTTTTAGTCATTAACATAGTGGATCCTATCCTACTCCTATTGTATTGAATTACAATTGCGCCTCAATCTGTCTGAAACTTGAATAGTTTGGGTTATCTTATTGTATATCTACTATGAGGCTGAACAAATACACAAAAAAGAATTACTGCCCATACAAACGTACTAATATGATCATACAATACAGGGATATGACATCGCCGATCACTTCTGGATATACAAATGGCCCCCAACCGGCCCGCGCTTCCTCGGCCCGCCCCAAATTAGCTTGGCTAATGTTCTGCTGGACTAAATCCGCCTTGAAGGATGATATCTTCACATGAAACAATCCTGCTGCAGGGTCTAGCCGGCCATCACGGCCCTTCCCACCGTCCGCCGGATGGCCCGCACACTACCCAACAATGCCTCTTTGGCTCTGGCGCCGGGGACAGCATGCGCCTCGTCATGCAGGAGTACCGCTCTCTCCTGTGGATCACACAGTGCGCATAGTGTCTCGCTCCGGTCTCCCCACAGTTCATCATTCCGGCCCCAGATGTGCGCGGTAGGAAACCCGTGCAGCAATTGACTGTCTTCGCCAGGAAGTGGAGCGTCAAGTAAGACGACTTCTCCCCGCTCCAGAGCGACAGGGTCCAATGGCGCCCCTCCGGATAGAAAGATCGCGCACTTGAACGGGAGTGGCGTGGCTGGGTTCAGGGTGGCTTCGCGGATGAGGAAAGTCGCTGCGAGTGCGCCGCCTAGGGAAAAGGCGATGAGACCCTCATATGGGCCTTCGGTTTCGAGGAAATGTGACAGGTCATCAAGGGCTTTCTTCACACTCTCTGCCGAGTCGAAGGAGAAGTAGTCGTAGTATGCCCCGTCGGTAGGGAAGAATGGCACCAGTTCTGGTCTGTCAGAAGACCATCAACATTATCAATATCAACGTGAGACACACCAGGAGCTAGAGGAGCAGGGATGGTCCCCTCGACGAAATCGTATGTGTGGATGTTGTCCAGTTCGTGGCGAAGGGCCGCTGCTTGGATCGTCAGTTCATCCTGAATCCTGGCAATTGTCTTGCCTACCAATCTGCGACTCCATAATCTGTTGGCCGTGGCTGTCAGTATCATCTGAACCAGGGGATATGGTGCTTACTTGGCTGTTGGTGCCTCGGCCATGGAAGCAGAGGAATCGCATCGTGTTGGCTTTGAAGTTCACGTTATGGATAGACAAAGTAATGTGAGTTGTGTATTAAATCTACAGTTCATCTTCTCATCCTGCCTATATTTACTGGAGCATTGCAATGATGATCACCGCTCAGTAGTTTCTTCACATCGCCTGATGCTTCGGTCATAACCGATGGTCTTCCTGGTCTGCACTCCTACTATATGCAGGCAAGATCCTTCAAGGGCCCTTGAGCTAACTCCTATCGGGCTACAAAGCCGACTATGACAATCCATTCTGCATAATACTATCCATTTGAACAGCCGCAGGAGGATCCTAATCCTAATCCTAATCCTCATTCTGATGTAACATTAACAGTGAAGATGCATTCTCATTTGGCCCCCATCACCCATCTATATTGGCTGCATGGCTAATTTAGGCTGACCTGCACAGCATAGAGTACCTGCATGGACCACGGCAATAATTCAAGTCCCCATTTCTCCCGTCTCTTCCTCATCTTCTGTCGTATTGCCAAAAGTCCCATGTCTTTGTCTTCACGATGGCTTCGTCAGAGCAGTATTCACAAGCCTATCTGAATGAGTCTAAACAATCGCTCATTGTCGGTGTCTGTGTATTCTTCATCTCGATTGACACTCTTGCCGTTGCGTTGCGGTTTCTGTCCAAGTATATTGGTCGTTTGCGTCTTGGATGGGATGATGTTTTCATAGTCTTGGGTCTGATGATCTGTATTGCCGATGCATCGTGTACAATCGGTATGCTATCCAACATACACCGATACTTCGGTACTAACTGCTGCAGCCGACGTTCGATATGGCGGGATTGGTCTTCACGAGGCACGAGTCATGCAGATTGACCCGAACATGATGATAACCTGGGGCAAGTTCATCATCATCATTCCAATCGTCTACTTTTCCACCGTCGTCCCTCCAAAACTGGTCATCCTCCATCTCTACTTGAGTATCTTTACGGATAAGAGACTTCGATACGCCTGTTGGGTGATCGTGGCTATTACCATCATGAATTGGATTGCCGTTACCATTGCTGGCTTCCTCTCGTGTATCCCGTTTGACTACTACTGGACTGGGGTGGGACACTGCATCGACACCAACTCATATCTTCGCTGGGGTGGCTTTGCCAACATCCTCACTGATCTCGTCATGCTGATCCTCCCCATGCCGATGGTTTGGAATCTGCATGCCTCTCTACGTTTGAAAATGGGCATCCTCTTCACCTTCCTGTTGGGAAGTTTGTAAGTCACCTCCTCACCCATCTATATCATCACTGACAACTGGCAGAGGTTTAATCGCCTCCATCGTCCGCTTCATCGAGTTCTACATCACCGACGCCCAAGGCGACCGCACCTGGGCCGCCAGCACCCTCGTCATCTGGGCCGTCATCGAAGGCGGCATCTACATGATCGCCGCGTGCCTGCCCACCTACCGTCCCCTCATGAAATCCATCTCCCGCCGCGTCCGCCAAAAGGGAAGTCAGGACGCAAGTACCAGCGGGCAGGGGTATTCGGGGTTCTCGGGCTCAGGGAGGAGTGATGTACGTGTGCCGCGGGATTTGAAGCATTTCTCAGCCAGGTTTCAGCGTGTCGGAGATTCGATTGATGAGGAGGAGGATGCTGTGAGATTGGTAGATATCGGGCATGGGCATGGGCGGGAGAATAAGGCTGCGCCGGGGACGATTGTTGTTGATCAGCAGTTTTCTGTGCATTGACTTTCTTTATACAGTTTTTCTTTGTGCTATATTTATATGAGTCTGTTCTATTTCACTTTTTGCTTTATTGCATGTGATAACCATGACCAATCGGAAAAAATAGTGTTAAAAAAGTAAAGTCACAAAGTAACCTAATATATCCCTATAATCCTTCGCCAAGCAAATCATGCCATAATTCACAAGGAATAAATCCACCAAAACATGATAAATTTATTCAATTATTCTGTCAGGCAGGTAGTACTCTGCCCAAACAGGCATGATGATCCTGATCCACAACGCTAGTCTTCTTTGTTCAAGGGACGATCCACAGCACGGTTGCTAGTGGCAGCTGTCAACTGCTGAGCCGTCCGCGGGCACTAGCATGCAAAGCCGAAGCGATGCTACCTTCATTTAGACCAACCGTTCCACGCAACGTCGCTTAGGCTAATCCTTTGCTGGTGGATCTGGTAAGCTTGTGGCTTTTCTGACTGTATGCGAAACCCCTTTTCTGTATCATCTTGGAGGGTACTTTTACTTCCAGGATTTTTCTTGGGTGACTTGTCGGAGATATATATTGATGTCGATGTAGTCACCAATTGTCGGATATTCATCTTTATTAATAGATGTTATGTACTGCAGAATATATTAAAAAACAGCTATAAAACCTCTATTAAGAGGCTCAAGTGGATTGCTTAGGTGGCATTGCTTGGATAATGCCTAGAGTGGGCCACTCGAACATCCCCCCTACGCCACAGAACGCCCAGACACAATGAGGGGTAAATCAAGGCTTAGCCAGAGCCACTGTAGCCTATAATGATTGAACACAATTCTGTATGGCCTATCGGGTCTATCTTTTCTATCCGATAAGGCCCGCGTTACGGAGCTTATACTGTGACTCCACTGTGTTCCTTTCCCTCTTCTCTGGCCGGTTCTCGGAAGGCCGGCATGGGAATTTTTATATAGGTACCGCGGTCAGCAATACTCGCTGACAGTCTGGCTGAACTGAATCAATTCATTCATTCTCTATTCACAATGGCTGTCCCGGATACACCTGGGTTTAATCCTCGGGTCCAACTCATCCCCCACATCATCGACCATTACGCCCAGGTCAGGCCTGATGCCGTCTACGCCGAGTATCCTGTTTCCCCGACAAGCTTTGACAATGGATATCGCCCCATCACCTTTAAAGCGTTGGCGAATGCTGTAAATGGTATTGCGTGGTGGTTGAAAGAGACGTTGGGACAGGGGAATGGGGAGGTCCTCGCGTACGTCGGAGGGAATGATTTGAGATACCCGGCTTTGGTGTTGGGAGCCATCAAGGCTGGATATTGCGTGAGTGAAATGGCCTTTCTATGAGGATACAAGCTTATGGGATGTAGATGTTTCTTACGTCGCCGCGAAACAGTGCAGCTGCTCAGCAGAGTCTGTTCAAACGGCTTAATTGCACCCGTCTAGTCGTTCCTACACCGCAACCGCCTCCTGCTACGGTTATTTTGGAAGCATGTTCGGTAGAGACGCTAAACATTCCTAGTGTGGATGAGCTGCTGGGCAAGGAATATCCTCATTTCGACTTTTCCAAGACCCTCGAAGAAGCTCGTACAGAGACGCTGGTTGTTCTGTAGGTTCTTCCCTGAATGGTAAGAATCACTACTGACTGTATAGCCATACATCTGGTTCGACCGGAATACCGAAACCAATCATCTGGACACATGATACTGCCTGCAAACATATGGAGATGGTGGTTCTGGATCCCCCAGAGGGATACGAGAGTCTCGACCACTGGAACTTTGGCAAGAAGATGTATCTCGTTCCGCCTCCTTTCCATGTAAGTGTCTTCTCTTCCTCTATAGATACAATCTAACAATCCAAGGCCGCCGGAGTAGCATACCAGCTCTTCATTGCCCTGCCCGTCGGCATCACTATCATCCTCCCCCCATCTGGTGGTCTTCCCACCGCAGCCGCCATGGTCGAAGCCAGAAAAACCACTCCATTCGAAACAGCCTTGATCGTGCCGTCTATCGTCCAGGAACTAGCACAAAGCACAGAACTGCTGGAATACTGCAGCAAGAACATGACACATCTCATCTATTGCGGCGGTGACCTCCCCCAAGCCATCGGCGACAAAGTCGCTGCCGCAATCAGACTGGTCAACCAGTACGGTGCTTCAGAAGTCGGCATGATTCCGTCTGTCTACTCAAAGACAAACCGTGACCCTCTCAAGGATTGGCGGTATATTGACTTCAATCCCCGTATGGGAGTTGAGTGTCGTCATGTGTCTGGGGGAGAGTATGAGATGGTCATCGTGCGCAACCCGGAGTATGAATCTCGACAGTTCTCTTTTACCATCTTCCCTGATAGACAGAAATATCACACGTCTGACCTGCTGGTGAGACATCCGGATCCTGCAAAGTCGGATCTCTGGCGCTGGTGTGCTCGTGTCGATGATGTGATTGTCTTTCTGAACGGTGAAAAGACCAACCCAGTCTCAATGGAACAGCACATTATCGCGTCGAACCCAGATGTGACCGCGGCCTTGGTGGCTGGTTCGCAGCGCTTCCAGGCGTCTCTGCTCGTTGAACTAGGTGGGAAGAAGCTCGACGTGACCGAGCGTGCTGCGATGATCGAGAAGCTGTGGCCGAGTATCAAGCAAGCCAACGATGCTTGCCCTGCTCATGCTCGAGTAGCAAAGACGCATATTCTGTTTACCACCCCGGATAAGCCTATGCTCCGCGCCGGGAAGGGGACTATTCAGCGAGCTGGTACACTGGCCGAGTATGCACAGGAGTTGAACGCGCTGTATGCCGACGCCGACAGTCTCTCAGCAGAGAATGACGGGCCAGTTGGACCAGGGCGCGTTGAAGATCCCGCAGTGATCTCAGAATACATCCGGGAGTCTATCCTTGCTATCGCTGGTTGGAATGCTCAGAAATTGACGGATACAGAAAACTGGTTCAACCTTGGGCTTGACTCGCTGCAGACCATCACTGCCACTCGCGTCTTCAAGCGGGGTTTTGACTCTCCCAATCTCACTCCGAACTTGATATACTTGAGCCCGTCGGTGGCGAGTCTGACAGAGACAGTACTTCGTCTGCAGAAGAATCATGAAGCATCTGCTGAGTCTCAGAAGGAGGCTGCGTTGCAAGAGCGGGATCAGCTGCTGAAGGAGCTTACTGGGCAGCTCAGTATCAACACCAAGTCTGGATCAGCCAAGCATACTGTTGTGCTGACTGGCTCAACCGGTAATCTGGGCACCTACATGCTCGACTCTCTCTTGAGAAATCCATCAGTGGGCCATGTATACTGCCTCAACCGACGAGACGACGCTGTTGAAGTCCAACGCCAGAAAAATGCAGCATACAACTTGACCTCAGATCTCTCTCGCGTCACCTTTTATACTGCTGATCTCTCTCAGCCAGACTTTGGCGTCGCCCCCAACATCCTCCACACACTCCAAGCAACCACCAACCTCATCATCCACAACGCCTGGGCCGTCAACTTCAACCTTTCTCTCCCATCCTTCAAACCCAACCTCGACAGCGTCGTCAATCTAATCAACTTCACCCACAACGCCACCCAACAACCCCATCTCTTCTTTATCTCCTCCATCTCCTCCGTGATGGGCCACCACAGCAACTCAGGCCTCACCCCGGAAGCACCAATCACAACCACCACCCCCGCTCCCAATGGCTACGCAAATAGCAAATACCTCGGCGAGCATCTCCTCACTCAGGCAGCGAAGAATGGTTTGCATGCTTCTTTTGCCCGTGTGGGACAGGTCGCGGGTTCAGTGCGCTCTGCTGGTTTGTGGAATAAGGCTGAATGGTTCCCGAGTCTGGTGCTGAGCTCGTTGCATGTTGGGGCGCTTCCTGATACACTTGGGAAGGCTCTTGATCGGGTTGATTGGTTGCCGATTGATCTGTTGGGTGATGTGCTGGTGGATTTGGCTTTGGGCAAGAGTGAGGTGAATGGATATACCAATGGACACACAAACGGTGCTACTAACGGTGCTGCCAATGGACATACCAACGGCACCATTAATGGATCCATGAACGATGCAATCAACGTCTTCCACCCCCACAACATCCATCCCCAAACCTGGGAAACCATCCGTCCCATGGTCGCCGACGCTATCTTCAAAACCTCCGGCAAGAAAATAGAGACCATCCCATCCCGAGACTGGGTGCAGCGTGTCCGCCATGACATCGAGATAGCCAGCAATAGCGACAAGGGCCTCAGCGATAAAGACCTACAAGCTCTCCTGGCCAAGAATCCTGCCGCAAAGTTGCTTGAGTTCTTTGATGGAATCATGTCGCAGACTGCACCGGAGAATGTACTCGACACGACACTTACGGCGCAGCGGAGTGAGAAGTTGCGGGTTGTGGAGGGAGTCAAGTCTGAGTGGATTGAGAAGTGGGTTGGGGAGTGGGTGCAGTAGTTGGTCATACTTTATGGTTAATGTAGACTGTTTTCTTATCATGAGATGGATTGTCATTATAATTCAAAATTTCAAAGTATCAATGCATGAGGGCTGAAACGTCATAGATTAACGATAAGTCATGTATCTTATGCAGACATGAACCTGAACTCCTTTGCTCTGAGCAATTCCGGCCAGCTACATGAAAACTTTGCATTCCGCCTCTTTGCCCAGATAGTCTCGGTGATCTTCTTCGCCAACGACGCCGAAACCAGCCCTGTTGCTTTCGACGTCGAGTCAAACCATAACGAGAAATACGCCTGCGAGTCTGGCTCTGTCGCTTCAGACGCAGCGATGAATGTAGGCCAAATCAGCGTAGTACTCGTGCTATCGTTCAAAAACCCATCCTCTTCCTGTATCCGGACAAGCAGGCTCTGGATCTGCTGTACCTCTTTCTGAAGTAGACTGGCATCGACGTCGTATACCCGACGATAGAGAAAGATCAACAGCGCCGTGTACATGACCTGCGCCATAGAGCCACTGTTTGGACCAAAGCTCTCGTCGCCAAATCCTACTGTAGACGACTCCAGCAGCATTCGGGTTCCTTTTTCTAGTGCCTTGGCCCATATACTGAAGTCCCGTAAGCCGAGTGCGTTTCTTCCAGACACAGGACTCGTTAGGGTGAGGTCTCGCTCGTTGGCAAGACGGACAATCTGCGAGAGGAGCATGAGGAATGTTTCCGTAACGCCATACAGCTCGGGGAATAAGGTTAGCCCCCATCGGCCGGGTATCGCGAGGTGCAGATCGCGCTGTGCCATCCAAGGATCTTTCTCCGTGGCCATCGTATCATCCGTCCAGCTGACGGTGGTTGTTGCCCGAAAGCGATCATTAGACACTCTGCTATCATTGAGGGAATACTCGGCAATTTCATTATTCGAGTTATCGGGGAACACGGTTGTCTCAGCCATGATACGCATATAGGCGTAGCAGTGGTGCAATGCCCTTCGCTTCGAGGAAAGCATATTCTTCTTGAATCCATGCGCGTTGATAAACCGTTCTGCGTGGAGAAGATACGCCAGTTGTGTATCTGGGTCTCCTTTGATCATCTATATAGCATATCAGTAATTGGCCATGCGATGAATCAAGCCACATACAAAGGCATTTGACAAACTCAGGGCTGCCATAAGGACTTCTTTATATTTCCCTTTAGTAGTTGAAAGAGCACCACTGCCATCCATACATTGTCGTAGATGCGATTCCGCCTGCTGTGCATAGTGCTCTCCTAAAACCACCCCACCAGCCAGAGACGGATTATTATGCTGGATATGAAAGGCGCTGGTGGCTAATATTGAATTTAGCAATGCCAGCCTAGCACTGTTGGGAGTCCCGCCCATTGTTTGTTCAGCCAAAGCACCCATGGCACAGGGCATCACCAGCTTTACCCATGGAGACTTATCTTGGTTGCGTGTTGGCGACGACAGCCTGATGATCTTTTCTTTATAGTGTGATAGAAGTATCCATGGACAGGGATCGCCAGACAGGAAGGGTAACTGTGTCGGTTGAATGATATCGATTTGATTTCCTGGTAGCTCGATATCAAGAAATTGCGGATCTTGAGTCGTGGGTGAGACAACATCTAGTTCCTCGGGTAGAAGATCGAAGGAAACACGCGCGTTATGTGTGACTTCCTGATCTATAGAATGAAAGGCTTCAGCTACATCGAGCCAGGTATCTGGTAAAGATATTGGCGAGTCTTCCGGAATATGTGTGGCAGAAGCTGCATCAACGGCGCGTGGCTCAGGTTGGCATTCTGGGAGCGTAAAAACACCAAATGGTCCGTGGAATTTGGTGAAAAAAACGCTTTGAGAGAGGCTGAAACTATATTTATCCAACTCTGCTAGTTGGTGGTTAGCATCTACTCTGGCAAGAGCATCGCTCATGTTTTGCCGTTCTGCCTCTAAGCTATCATCAGTACGAGATATGAGTCTGTAGAAAATGACATACCTGTGAAAATCGGCTTTCGGTGCCTGGATGCACTTTCAGCTGTTAATGAGTGGATATTATCGTATCCAATGAATGTCAATTGTTGACTTGATCGTTGCTGTATGTCGGGACTACTTTCCCAATTAATCGAAGAGGCCATTATAGTCGATATTAATTAAGGAATACTTTTTTAAATCCATATAGAATATTTGCTAGTGTTAAAGAAGAGTGGAATAGAACAAATCTTTTGCAATTGATGGTGTTCTACTGGCGGATCTTATGGGATCATAGTGGAAATGCGGGGAAGACCAAAACAGCAGGTTATGCCGACGACCAATTATATCGTGATGTCATATCATTCCAATCAAACATAAAATCACTAACACTATAAATACTTCGATACTCTAAGCTGCAAACAATTTGGCGATTCGCAAGTTGTTGTAATCCCACGCCGTGATATCCTCATAGTGGCACGGCGTCTGCGGTGTCACAAACTGCTTAAACGGAAACAACGACCCATTCCGGTTCGGTTTGGCAAAGTACGCAATCGAGAACCGCTCTGGAATCATCTCATCCGATCCCTGGCTCACTGTGGGAGGATAGGTGACACGATGACACGCAGCCCGGAACGTGTCGTTGGTCAACCGCTGCAACGAATCGCCGATATTCAAGATAATCTCCGTCTTGCCACTCGACTCGACGCCGTGGAAGGTGCCCAGCTGCGTCTGATCCTCCACCTGCAGCCCTCCGGTCGAATCCTGGAAGAGCATGGTGATCGTACCAAAATCGGTGTGTTCTGCGATGCGCGTCGCACTTCCATCGGCCAGCTCTGATGCGGGAGTGGGAGGGTAATGCAGCAGGCGGAACTCGTTCTCGGCTTTGTTGTGCAGCTCAACCATTTGGGATTCGGGGATTCCGAGGGCGTTGGCCAGGGCGGCCAGGATTTCCAGTTCGACTTTGAAGCAGCTGTCGTAGAACTCCTCCATGAAGCTGCGGAAGCCAGGCAGCTTGTCTTCTTCCATCCAGATGTTGTCGACCAGGTCATCGCGTGCGGATCCGAGATCGTACGTTTCCTATCCACATTAGAATCACCAGCTCCATATTCGACAGCAGAGAACATACTTTGATATCCCGGACGGCTTTTCCTTGTGGCAGACCCTTTTCAAAGCCACTGATGCTGGAGATAGACTCTTGTCCCACGTAGCTGTACCCTCTGTTGGGTGTAGACTCGGGGGGATGTTTTGCAGTCATTTTGTCTTCCAAAGGAAGCGCAAAGAAGCGACGAGTCTACAACAATATATTAGTATCATAGACTCCACGATAGTAAGCTGCACTCACATAGTCAAAGAGCTTCTCGATCAGCTCATCAGGCAGGCTGTGGTTCTTCAATTTGGCCACTCCTCGGGTCTTGAGGATCTTAAGGAGCGCGGCACTAGTCGCCTCTCTCTGCTCAGGGGTTCCCTTTAACAAAGAGATATCAAGAGCTTCAGACATGATGAGAGTGTTGGTTGGATTCTTTTCTTCAGTGGCAAGAGAATGTTGATTGAATGATAATGCAGATTTCAATGGATATGAAGCCATATTTATATCTTACTCCGGCAGAAGCATATAGGAAGGTGATTCTGAAAGTAGAACATTACTTTCCATTTTCAGCATACTTGAAGCCATACAAACTGGTTACTTTCCTTGTCCGCAGGCACGTGATCAGATTACCTTCCAGATTCATAAACCAGCCAATGAGCGGCTTTGTTTCCTCTTGTGGATCACATTTACCATTTCTGGGCCATCACAATAAGTAGGTAAATAATAGTAATCCTGTTTTTCCCTTGGTTTATGTAAAAGATAGCTTTCTTGATTCTATGCCCATCACGCTCATTGACACAGCGACGCCAATAATTGAAGGCGCAAATGTACCTTGCTTCCCTATATAATCCCCAGTTGAATAGAAAAAGTACATACATAGAAGGTTCCCTTGGCGCTGTAGTTAACCCGCGGCACTATAGAAATCTGAAAGATTACATATAACTTATTCTAAATCTAATCACATAACTGTATATAACTGATTTTAACTTCTATATTCTAATTAATAGATGGGGTGATGGCTCACCCCATGTTGCACCAGCTCATCTAGCCAAGGTTTAATACCCATGACGTTTCAATACCAGGCCAATCATGAGGAGGTGATATATTTGAAGCTGCTTTGTATATATTTAGCGTGATTGTTGTTAATGCATAGCGATTCGTCACAATGCACGAGATGATAAGTACCTATAATATGTCCTCCGGATCACTGATTGCATTTAGAATAGTGGTACTTGAGGTTGAGCACGAACTCTACCGAAAGGCTATCCAGGCGTTGTTCGGTTAGCCTTATCTCAGTACTCATCAAGACAAACAATACTGCCACGAACAACCCCTGCTAGTGCCGTACCACACCACAATCTCAATCAGGCTGGCGTCTAGAATCCAATCAGCTTGCTTGGCCAGTTAACTTGCCACAGGAAGCTATTATGTAAGATTGGGCTGTGAATGAGGGGTTGAATGAAAGCCTCGCGAGGCTGAAAATCGAGAAGTTTGCCCGCACAATTTCGTCCATAAATGCGTTTGCAGCCGTATACTCCTTGTCAACAACAACTTTCCTCTACTTTTTCTAAATAAATGGCAACACGACGACTTCGACGACTTCGCCCCGATGAATACACTGTCGGGTGGGTGTGCGCGCTCTCAACCGAATTAGCCGCAGCAGAGGAGATGTTGGACGAAGTACACGAAGATATTGGAAGGGATGAGAACGATAACAATATATATTCTCTTGGGGTTCTTGGTGGCCATAACATCGTCATTGTCTGCCTTCCAGCAGGATTGATAGGCAGCAACCCAGCAGCGGCAGTGGCACAGCAAATGAAGGCGAGATTTAGGTCGGTGCGATTTGGACTGATGGTCGGTGTCGGAGGCGGGGTTCCCAGCACAGCAGATATCCGTCTCGGAGACGTGGTTGTCAGCCAACCACATTCAGGCCATGGCGGCGTGGTCCAATACGATTGTGGAAAAACTGAATCCACTGGATTCCACCGGACTGGGTTTCTCAATTGCCCAGATACACTTCTACTCAACGCGGTTTCCAAAGTAAAAGCAGAACATCTCCGGGGAAAGAGTACGTTCTTAGAACATGCCATGAAGGTTCATAGGATGCCAAACTTTCGGCGTGGTGATGCTGGGATTGATGTGTTATTCAAAGCAACATACGATCATCAGCCAGGTCTGAGCTGTAGCCAGTGCAGTTTGACCCAGCGGGAAATCCGGCCCCAACTTGGGAGGAACAAACCTCGAGTGCATTATGGTACAATTGCATCTGGTAATCAGGTGATAAAAACGGGACAGATAAGAGATCAAGTGAGCAAGGAGTTTGGAGGTGTTCTCTGCTTTGAAATGGAGGCAGCTGGGTTAATGAACATATTACCATGTCTTGTTGTCCGAGGCATTTGTGATTATGCAGATTCACATAAGAATAAGAGATGGCAGCCTTACGCAGCGGGCAGTGCAGCAGCATATGCAAAGGAGCTCCTCCTGCATATACCAGCAACCAAGATCAGCAAAGAGAATGACTCATCTACGATCTCGATTGGGTATTCTCTTTCTCGGGGCCGCCGTAATAGAGATGATCCCGAAGACATGGACATAGAAGAGTCAAGCGACAGTGGCAGCTCTGATGACGAAAGCGACGGCCCATACTGGCGTCGTGTTCAATGCTTTGGCTGTGAGAGATACGGTCATTTTCAGAGAGATTGTCCGAGTAGTGTCGAATGCTTTAATTGTGAGTTTATACATTAAAATTTACAAGACTGGTGCTGATTCTGGGGTAGGTGGCTCAGAGGGCCACATTGCCAGTGACTGTGATCGACGAGATGGTAACTGCTATAAATGTCAGTAACAGAAGCACTGTCTTTTTTATATTTACTAACTTAATTCTGTCAAACTCATAGGTGGAACATATGGCCATCATTTGGCGACATGCCGGGTAAAGAGATTTTGAACAGCTAGAAGAGGTATAGAAATAGCATCCTTTGATGTTCATTGGCTTCTATTCTGCTCCAGTTATCATATAATGATTGTTTATTAATATTATCATTATACTCCGGTTGGCCTGTTGCCATACAGTCCATCTCTAGTTCCGCCCTGCAAGCCTAGGTCTGCCAAGCTTCTCGCTTTCATGTTCCATTAGCGCACTCTACTTATATATGACTTGCACCCTTTTTTCTTGAATTAACGCCAGAACATTAGCCCATAATGAGCCTATTAGCCAGTTTGAACTGGCTAACTTCCTCCATTCGGAGGAACCACCGCACTATCTTTTTCACCGCTACCTAATTTTGAAGCCAGGTGGTTGACGTTAGTGGGCTTAATAAAAGAGTGTGTACATGATTCTTGTGCACTTTTTTTAATCAAGTCTTTAATCTCCTCACCACCTCACCACACCCTGTGGTAGTATGTGGTCGACCAAGAGAAGGAAAGGAGTATAAACTATTTAGAGAGCTAACTTTGAATGTAAATAGGGATAAATGCTACAAGAAAAGTTGGAATAGAGTGATTTTCTTGCACTCTAATTAATATGAAAAGAATTTACTATGTCAAGGTTACGAATTTATTGTTTTTAATGAACATAATAATAATAAAATGTAGTCACTAGAGTAGACTAAACTTTTGTTTATAAGGCATAAATATCTATATCAAAGTGAGCACAGTGTTCCTACATCCTTATCGTCTTCGTCCCGGCTTCCAAAGCTTCCATAACCTTAGCTTTGACGTGCTTTCCCAGTCGAGAGAGAACCCTTCAAGCCTTGGTCTCCCACCACCGCGAAGTGGCACTGAAAAAGATACATAGACACAAATTAAATTCCTTTGTTGGATTTCTCTGCTGGAAAGCTCCGTATATCAGCCAACTGGACCAGCTCTAATGCTAGATCGACAATTCAAATACCTAGACTACTGATTAACGATAGAGGTCACCCACAGTTCATAGGACGGATACTATGGCCTAAATTCCAAATTTAGTTAACACCACTAGGATCGGTTCGAATAGAATAGGCTACTACTATATGCATTTAGTTAAATTTTAGATCCTAAAGTCAGCACCAATCATACACCACCCTCTACTCCGGAGTTTTCTGTGGAATTACTATAATTATACACCAGGTTTAAATCATTAAATTAGTTACACATGAATATGTGGCTAGCTGAACGGGCCGTCCCTAGACTCCATGACACACAACATGTAACCTACCCCTCATTTATGCACCAATGGGATTTCAAGCCTCTCTACTAAATGTGGCATATGATACAGCACATAAGACAGCATAGTACCCGAATATAGCAAATACATGGGTATTGCACGCAGTAACTAAAGCAGTCAGCCAGATTCGGCTGCCAAGAAGGCGCGAAATGATTATCACCCCGTCAATTGCCTGATCATTCTATACAGGAATGACAGGATCCTTGCAACTGTAGTGATATGACCTGTCATTACCCATCTTGATACTTCAAAGGTTCATATCCAATAAGCTTCTGTTTCGATTCTCTCACCTCTGCTCACTCTTTGTCACTCCACTGGCAATGATTACAAGACAAGAAAATCAATCAAAGAACATAACTTCCATGCACTGCCTTTGCATTTGCATAATAGTACAGGGAAACCTATAGCAGGGCAAAACCTATACAAGGCAAGGGCAAGAAACGTCTTCCGCTTGCAGCCCGTCATCGTCACCCTGCTACCACATCCGCTCCATCATCGTATATTAAGCTTCAGTTGAAATCAAAGTAATAGTAAAGTTGTTATCACCATCCTCTTCATGCTTCAGCTGCTTGCTCGGCCAGCCTTCCTGATCTATAATTACAACTTTCTCGTTTTGCGAATCCCATTCAAAGTAGATCGACCCAATGACAACATAGACACCCGTCTTCAAATCCCGAACATATAACGCGGTTGTCACGGGTGGGCCATCACGGGGCATCGTACCGGCAATTGCATATTTGTCCGTCTCGTCCGAAAGTAGCGTAACGTCGCCAATTTTGGCAAGCTTCAAGAGCAGAGAATAGGCTTTTGGTTCGGCTCCGGTGGCATCCTTGAACCTAAAGCCAATGACTGACGTGGTGCCTTTGAGAACTTGATAGCACTGCACTGAGCTGGATTTTGGGATGTCGGACTGGTCGGTAGTCCATTCTGTCTGCTCGTAGTAGTTGGAATGATTCCACACAAGCAGCTTGGTTCCATTTCCAAGATGGCAGGAAAGATAGCTGGTCCCTAATACTTGGTGCTCAACCTCGTCGAGGGGCGAGGTTTTGACGAGATCCACGTAGTTGGCCTTGGAGTAGAATGCAACTGTATTAGGATCGGCCATATTTCTGTAACTTGGAATAATTTGTTAAGATATATGATACTGAAAGGACAGTACCAAGCTATTTTGAACTGAGGAATGTGATCAACTGAACGATAATAGAGGGCGGGCAGGAGTTGGGGAAGAAGACCGTATTTATGCTGAATATGAAGCCATTTTATCTAGCTAAATACGGTAGTAATATACGATGAGAGAACGTCAGCGTGGTGCTGAAAAGAGGGGGTTCTGCATGTTTGCTGCAGAAATGAGGTCTTATCCCTGCATCCTGTAGAGGATATACGATATGACCGTAGTTGCTTCAACATGGATCCCTTCAAGGATTTGTGGCGGAGGAGCGCGGGGAACCATGCCAATGTACTGGCCATGTTCTACTACATCTTCATCAGTCACACTCTCCAAAAGGGTATTTTATTATTGACCGGACTGTTCGTTTTTGAATCGGATTGATCCCAAAGATGCAGCCATCGCTTGAAAATTCCACTCGCCTTGATGAACATTCTACTTTCCCGTTATGAACAGACATCATGGGAGACTTGCATGATATATCCAATTATACTTCAAATACACCACATGCCATGACTCGCCAACTCGGAAGCCATGGAAGTGAATCTGTTGGATCAAGCATCAATAGCCTGGACTCCATAATCCAGGCCGCCCCTTTGCTGTCGATAGGATTGCATGATCTGCAGTCCGGTGTCCGCTTCTGGGCTGCTGGGCTGCACAAAGGAAGAAGGGGTTCAATACTGAGGGATGGAAGAAGCAGCTTCCGGATGTGGTCTGCATTGGGCAAGAAATGGGCCATTTTGTCGTGCAGTCTGCGCGAGAACTTCGAGGACGCCGCTGACAATAGCGATGCCCCCTTCCCCAGCAGCTTGGGCGTTGACAACAGAGGCCTCCAGATCATGTCGCTAGCATGGTTGAGCACGCCCTGAGCACGTCTTATATCCTAGGTTTACTGGTTCAATGGCTATTTAAGAACTGGTTGTACTGTTACGATATTTCGTGTCATTCATAAAATAGATGCTATACATACATCCATTCTCTATCATTCCTCCAGTAGAAAAGAAAAGAAATAATAGACCCACATCAAACAAGGGCAGAGCAACAAGGCGGCATTGAGAGTCGACAGAATAGAACATCAGCAACCATACTTGTCAATAATAGCTCTGAATGAAGGGTCTTGTAGAAGTTGTGCTGCAGTCAGACGCTTCTCTGGGCAGGCGTTAAATACTTTGCCCATAATGGAGTGTACATGTTCTCGCTCAATCGGATCAGCGTCGGGACGAAAGCGTGCAATTGTTGAAGCAAGATCATGGTTTGGATCAGGCTTGTTAGACTGGTCATACCACGAATCAACCTGAAGGCCTCCTGGGTCAGGGTAAAGGCTCCTCCATTGCTCAGGTAGTGGGCCCAAACATCTGACAATGCCAGTTATTATTCCACCTTTAAGCCAGGTAGGGAACGGCGTATGTCCAAGGTAGAGCTCTGCAAATATGACCATATAACTCCACATGTCGCAGGCAAAACTTGGATCTTTGCCATGGAGTCGATCTGGAGAGCAAAATTGCATTGGGGGATAGCCACGTTGAGTCACAGGGTCGCCGACTCTCATGCCAGACCAAAGTCACCGAGATAGAAATCCTCTGTGCGTAGCTCCTCAGGGATTTTGATTGGACCAACAAGCTCCCCCCGTTTCCAGAGCTCGACGAATGGTATGGGCTGCTTTAGTGGTCGACCAAAAGCCTCATATTTAGCACTTCTGGTGAGATTGAGAGGTGCCATCCCCTACATACAGTTTCTCTCATTCAAGTCTGTTAAATGTCTGTTTAGAATGTGGAAGACCAAGGAGTAGAAGACAGAATTTACTAACCGCGGTGTACGATACCGGCGTTATGCAAATTCTCCAAAGCTTTTAGCAACTGCTGAGCAGCCGACATGCGAGTGGCCATGGGCATTGTTTCTAGGATGACAGGGTAAAGACATGGGCCCTTTAAGGGGAACTTGATTTTGCGTTCACCCCATTCTCCTAAAGACATAACTTTGAGGGCTAGGTTCCTCTTGTTCTGAAGGTCACAGCCCATCCAGACAGTGGAGAAGCCCCCAGAGCCAATTTTGTGCTCCACCAGGTATCTCTCATTGAGCAATTCTCCGACACAAATGGGATAGAACACACGTGAAGTTTCTTTTATATCATACTTGTGCCAGGGCTCGACAACCTCCTCCAGATCAAGTTCCTCCTCTTCATTGCTCACAAAGTCGCCGAAGTCTGCAGTGTCTTCGCCTTTGGAGGATCGAAGTGCTGCTACCGTTATTAACATGTCTGGCACATCATTTTGGTGTGTTTCACTGCCAGCCATTCAGGGCGAGGATGCACCGATGCTAGAGGGGATGACAGGGAGGTTGTTAGGAGGGGGTTATCGCGCCGCTAGTGGTAATAAAGCCCACTCTGAAAGCAAGTTGTGAGATATAACACAGAGAAAGAAGTAATTGCAGAAGACTTGTCTCTCGTCTTGCAGATATAAAGTACTCCAGTGTAATTGATTGTGTTTGCTTTGTTTAGTTGGCGGCGGGGATGTTGGAAAGATAATTCTGTCAGGTGACCTATTGAGCCTTGAGTACGGTGGATGAGAACTGAGTTATGCCTAAACAATAGTTTTTCCATTTTTATATAAATATACTTATCTTGTTTACTGTCTCTATACTATTTACATACTTAAATAATATATATATATATATATATATATAGATCCTTACTTAATATAATATCTAGGTAGATTTCATCCTTATAACTCTCTGGAAACGGTACATTATAGAAAATGTTTATGGGATAATATAGGTATAATTGAAATTCGATGTCCTATAGTGTTTTCCCTTTTCATTTCCCATTCACTGAAGCCTCCTTGTGTATTTCCTCTATGAAGATGCCATTTTCCCTCAGCACTTCGCCTGCGGAAGCACCTTTGCTGGATTGAATATTGGGGTCTGCCCCGTACTGAAGCAATATCTTGGCCATTTCTTTGCCCTTCGTTGCAAACAGGGCAGTGTTGCCATATGATGATTCAAGGTTAGGGTCAGCATCATGGGAAAGAAGAAGGTGCGCAATATCCCCCCACCCATTTTCTGCTCCCTGGTATATCAACGACTCGCCCTCCTCGATTGGACCGTCAGGATCAGCGCCATAAGATAACAGCTGCCTGACAACGTTTGTATGTCCCTCTCTTGCAGCGAGGAAAAGCAGGTTATCAAGCCCCCTCCAGTAATGATTGCTGAGGTCAGGAAGGGCCCCGTGGTCAAGTAAAAGCTCAACAATCTTGCCGTATCCGTTTTTGACAGCTTTGTAGATGGGTGACACATAAAACTCGTCTGATTCTGTGTCCGGATTGTACGAAAGCAATTTCCTAACAAGAATCTCGTCCCCTCTTTCCGCTGCCTCTGCCAGCCATGATCTCCCACATAGGTATTTTGACTTAACATCTATTTCGTGTGTTATCAGGGAATCCGCAGAGTCCCAGTCCCCATTTTCAGTGGCTACACTCGGGATACTCTCATTCGACACATCATACGGTCGAAACGCAATACCATGCAAAAGTAGCAGCTCGGTAAAATCACTCCCTACATCCTCCGCTGAAGGTAATGTGAAATATGCTATTTCGTTCTTGACCGTTGGCTTGACTGTTGCGTGATGTTTTACCAGGAGTGAAAATGTGCTCTTTCTCCCTGTGCGTATTGCATACCATAAGGGGGACAGACCGTAGCGTTTGTCATCCCTAGAATCAATATCAGCCCCAGATGCTAGCAGCATTTCGACAATTGTATCATGTCCATTTTCTGCAGCCCTAGAAAGTGGCGTTCGGCTCATTTCATCCTCAAAATCGCGTCCAATTTCCGTCTCCTGGAGGATTATTTTGACGATATCTTCCTGACCACACTCAGCAGCATGAGACAGAACGCTTCGCCCATCCCCACTCTTGGGGGATTTTGCATCCAACCAACAATCATCACGAGCCATGAGCATACGGAGCACTGTCTGTCTTCCTGCTCTTGCAGCATGGAACAGTGGTGTTCTTCCTCTTTTGTCCGTTGATTTAACATCTATTCCACTTAGTGTAAGAATGATCCAGACGACGTCATCATGTCTTTCTTCATCGGCAGGCAACAAAGGCGATCGTTGCCGATCATGTTCGGTAACTGACAAACGCAACACAATGGTCAGGAACCATACTATCTCTGACTGGCCAAGCCTGGCTGCTTGACAAAGTGCGTCATTTACTTGGTCAGGATCTCTTCTGTCCTCTATGCCAAGATTATCTAGAAATAAGGAAGTATTGCTTTGAAAATCCATTTTTGTCCACTCCATTATTGATATGTATCCATGTGTATCTTTCATGCCAGTCAATGTTCATCAACCGTCGCTTGAAATCAAATCGACTATATTGTAGCATATCGAGCAACCTTATCTTATTGCATCGAACCCTTTTGAATCGCTCCAGGGTGAGGGTAGTGTCTCTCAGATAAATTGCAATTCTAACCTTATCTTCCTTCCTACTCTTTTGGCAACCTAGAATGGCCAGTCCCAGACCGCCTGGGCCAAGTGGCACAAATTTTAGTTCGAGCTATAGCCCTTTGTTGCTCAGATTCCAAGGGATTTTTGATGACGATTGGAAGATGGTGATATCTGCGCAGTCTTCAAATGCACTGGGGGGATCAGCCAGGAGACCGCTTCGATAGCCGTGACTGGATTTCCATGCAAAAATACTCTCGTCGCTTGAGATTCTGAGAATCTCCTCTTGTAGTCGAATAAACGCGTTCTTTCCTTCTCCGTACAGCATGGGCATGTTGATACCAAAAATCCCCAACAGGCAATATGCTTGATCTTCCAATCTGGCCGTCTCTCTCTTGGCTGCCCAAGACATTCTCTGCGCAATACAGACACTTTCCAGATCGGCAGTCTGGTCCAGAATACTTGTTGCAATACCAGTACGGCCAGAGATCAGCTCTTTCGGCTCTTTCTTCGACCCCAGTTCTCTCCAGTCTTGATTAAAGAAAGTCATCTCAGCTGAAGCAATCAGCTCTTGGAGAGTCCAACCTCTTGTAAACCATTGGCTCTGTGGCACTTGATCCACTGTCTTGATATCGGCCAAAAAGGCATAGCAAACTCTGGCCTCCCGATACCAGCAATACATCGAGTTGATGGCTTCTGACAATTCACTGCTACTTGTCTTGTCGATACAGCAAGTGTCAATCCAGACATAATGGATATCATTTGTAAAAGCCATTGCACAACATTATCGAATCTTTTCATATCCCTTCCCCACTGGTGGTGTCAATTTTTGTACATCCTGGAATGACACCTTATCTTCCCCCCATCGGTGCGACAAAATGGCATAGGGCGGTATATTTTCGTCGACGAATTCCAGGTTCAGGTGGGGGTCTGTGGGCTGGATGGAAATCAGACGCATTTTCAAATTGGGAGATGTTTGAATTGACGATCGGCTTCGCGGGGTTGGGCAGGTATTTATGGCAGCTGAGTCGTCTGAGCAGCGCTGGGCTAATCCTTGTCGCTCATGCATGTTCGACCTATCATATAAACTGCAGCAGTGCCAGTTCATCAGTTCGAGCTGACCCTCTCTTGCTTTACCTCTCAGTACCAACAGATACCTTTCTATTGAACCTTCGATAAACTATCAATTCCATATAAACTGTTTGTTCTATACGTGGTAGAGACTGATACGTATGGGTAGTGTAGGGGACCGCCATCCACGTATATATATTTATATATACATATACATATATGCAGATATAAGTTTCTTTTCTTTTCAATGGAAGTTACATTGTGGTTCCCAAATAGGATTCAATTGAAAATTCCTTACCATCCTCCAATATAACACCCCTCTATGCTGTATCGAGTACATACGACCACGGTGTGTGGAGAAGTCTGGAGATAAAGTAGCCTAGTAGCCGACACATGGTGCCTGTCTGCCAGACCGGTTTATTAATATTTATTTATCATGTCTGCGCCCCCATCAATATTGATTCTGATTTTCGTGTCTTGTGCTGCATCTCTCTGTTGCCCCCGTTGATTGATTTTTGGGGACTGTCACTCTTTTAAAACAAGATGCTCCTCCACATCTGAAAGTAACTGAATCAAAGGTTCTATTCGAGTTAGACTATTAAAAATTCTCTAAAAATAGTTATGATTTGTACAGCGCCTACCTACCTCTTTAGATTCGATATAGAAACACTATAAGTCACACTAATACTACTTTAGATATGCGTATTATTACCCATCCCATATAGGTTTATAAGGAAGGCTAATGGCTAGAAAACCATGTGTAAAAGAATAGCTAACTGACATGGACACTAACAGTTCAGCCCTACTTACTACGAACTATACTAGAAGAAATCGATTAAACTTAAATATTAAATATGAAATTTAATAGTAAAATAAGATTCATATTCTTAACAGAGATGGCGAGTCCGAGCCCCCTAATAAAAGCCACTGTGAACGAGGAGCGGCTTGTTTAATTCCTCAGCACAACCCTCACACCTGCTTGACGCCGATGACCGCTTCTTCGCCCATAGCTTCAATAACAATAATATTTACATCAAGGTCTTCTTCATCTTTCATTCGCTTGATCTTATCCCCAAGCTCACCATCTGGAACATGAAGACTGTTCTTTTCCTGGTCACCTTCATTGACCATGGAAAGAATAGTGTCATCGATAGACAACTAGAAGTTATAGAAAACCAGTCAGTTGTTATTAAATTAATAAATCAATTAATCATCCATATTGGCTCAGTCATTCATATGCTAGGGGATAGTACATACCAAATGATATTCTCGTCGTGTGACGTCTGGAACTTCTACATTTGCATCATGTGCAACTGTAGTCTCAACATCCTCGCCTGTAAAGATGTTTTTCAAGGTAATATTGTATGCAGGATGTGGTGGTGATATTCCAACGATTCGACAAGGACGGGATTCTACTACCATAAATCCATTCCTTCGGAGAGCCGAGGCTGTCACAGTTTGTATGCCGTTCGTGACTGGTGGGCATTCGACCTCATCATCAGGGTTCTGATTCCAAGACATCTTGATTGTGTAAAGGGAGATGGTGTGGGAAGAGGGGTGACCAAAAGATTTGTACGGAGTAGAATGACCGACGTGGCTAAGGGTGGTCGAGCAGGATTTTATATGGACATAACCAATTCAAATTAGTAATCCCTCATGCGTATACCTAGTTACACCACAAATATTATACTTTTTGATTTTCAGCTCAAGCGGGGTGTTGTTGTCTTTCAGCCCGGGTGGGGAATGTTGCTTTCAGCTCGGAGGTTGCCCTCTTCCCACTCTGACGAACAGTATAAGATGGAGGGAAAAACGCACCCAATCATTATGAAGGAATTGCCTAATGACCTGGAATCAAGCGTGTTAATTGAATGTTGATTACTTACTGAGATGCATACTCTAGAAGACGATTGTGGTAGTTTAGTTATGTCAGTGGGCCCATGGTGTTGGACAGGTGATTTCCCCACTAGGCAAAAAGAGCACTAATTACTCGGTCGCTTGGCAAAATCTTTCAATCACGAATTATTGGGACGAAGTATTCTCGAGAGTGATTTACTATATGTAGGTACCAAAGAGCGATAAAGGTCTGATTATTCTAACTACATTCAGCGGTTCACTAAACATCGCTGAGCTATCAAGATAATCGGTTGAACGAATGTAACGATTTGATTGGTCAGATCTGACTATCATATTGCTCTAAAAAAAATGCCTGGAATCACTACAGAGTAGCGTGCATACATAGCTTGGAATCATCTGTTGTTCTAACATATGGCTGCTTGTTAATGTGTCCATTAGCGGTCATGGCTCTATCCTGAGTAGATTCCTTATCTGATAATGGCTGGGTGCATATGCCAACCCCTACCATATTTCTATATGTCCCCCTATCCTTATATTTCCAGTACATACGACCACAGGGTGTGGAGAACAGGGCTTCCCGTCCGCTCAGCCGTACTTAAGCCACACGCCGGCAGGTTAGTAGTTGGGTGGGTGACCACCAGCGAATCCCTGCTGTTGTATGTTTTTCTTTCTTTCTTTTTCTTCTTGAAGTGTTTCTATTTGTTAAATTTTGCTCCTGGGTAATAGAAAGTAGGTAAAGAATAGTATTCCATTGGTTGAAAGTACCAGTCCTCTGATTCATGAGGGTATTCAGTGGCAAGGGATGCCGATGCACTCTACTACCTCACAGAATATCTCCCCTCACCGGGTCCAGTGTCTCCCAAATACGCTCGAATGTATCGAGACACTCCCGTGGCAAAGGACCCTGGCGGATGCTCTCGATATTCGACTTGATCTGCTTGACAGAGCTGGCTCCGAGGATGATTCCGTCATTTTCGTCTAGTGAGGAATGATAGTACGCCCAGCGCAGCGCAGCATCAATTGTTGTGATTCCAAGAGTGCGTGTTGTTTCCTCTAGCTGCTTAAGCGCGGTGTGCAATGATTCTTGGTTATAAAGGTTCTGCATTAATTTGCCTATAGGGCTATCGCCACCAAAGCGTGTGCCTTCAGCAGTGCCATTTGTGAGTTTGCCGGATAGAAAGCCAGATGCCAGGACTCTGGCGTGTGCTATATTAGTAGTTAATTTCTCAGTGTGGTGGGTGTAAATGACATACCGGAATGCATTGTAGGCAATGCCGTATTTCTTCAGAATGGGGAGGAGCTTCTTTTCCATTCCCCGATTTACAGCACTGTAGTCGCCCTGGTAGACAGTGGGCTTGACATAGCCATTGGCTTCGCAGATGCCGATGAATTCCTGCAGCAGCTCTGGTTGGAAATTAGAAACACCAAGCTAGAAATGAACATTAGCTGTGTTCTATTCAAGTAGCCTTGTTCGTTCGTGGCATAGTAATACATTTTTAAACTTGCCAGCCTTGTACAGACTGTCAAAAGTCTCTGCCTGTTCATTCAACGGGGTCGCCATGTCTGGAAAGTGGATGTGGAGCGTGTTGACCTGCTCGACCCCCATGCGCTGCAAACTGGTGTTGAGGGACTTTTCAATCGCGGACCTTTCCAGCTCGCCCAGATGGTCTGGAGACAAGGTGAGGATCTTCGTGTCGACAGTGAATCCCTGCGAAGAAGCTTTGGTCTCTCCGATCAGTTCCTCCGAGCGCCCAGGCGAAGTGGGAGGATATCTGCCAGCGGTATCGAGGTGGGTGACATTGTTTTCTTTGAGATAATCAAGAACTTCCTGGACATCTTCAAGATTGACAAAGTTCATGCCAAAGGAAGCAGCGCCGAAGATGAGCTTAGGATTACCCATGCTGCTGATGACTGGTGAATGATTGGGGGTTGAGAAATAGATGGACGATGGAGGGATAAAATTAAGGAGGGGCAATAAATACATACTGACAATAAAGAATTAAAGCCGGATGGAAAACTTCCGGTGCATTAATATTTGTCAGATAATTCTAATCCTGGTCGTAAAGTTGCATTTTCATTGGCCAGAGTAATACAATTATTGCTTGCTTTGCCGTGCTTATGCGAGATTATAGTATAGGTTGTTGATCTTGATAATGCATTCTACCAAGTCTGAATCTCTGAGAAACATCATCATATGTAATTATATATTAGCCTTGGGGACGTTAGAAAGGAATAAAACGCTTCGGCTCTAGCCTTTACCCTTGATAGGTCACTGCTTGTGGTCCTCATTTTGAAGTCCAAAGTAGCACTTTCTAACCTCTATTAGCTAGCAGAATCTGCCCTGGTGCTGTGAATTAAATTGTAGACCGCACGCTGAAAATACTGCGCTAATCAGGCTTAAATGAAGGGATGATTTTTGGTTGCTGATACGCCCGGCACATTTTTCTATGACCTTCACCCAGCATAAGATCCACGAGACCAGTATCTAAATCGATGGGACTTACAGAGGAACATACTTGCTTTGGGAACTTTAGAGGCGGTAGTAATCAATTATTGGGAATTTCCTGAGGCTTGAAATGTCTATGATCGAATTTCCTTGTAAAGACCAATATATTCCACTATCGCGAGTCAACAGAGTTCGTAATTCTGGTAGTTCACATTCCTCAAAAGTAATCCACGTCCATGTCGTCCGTGGTTCCATATACCGGGCTTAAATTGGGGTATTGTGCCAGTACCTTAGCTCACTTTTCTTCGCTGAGAACCAGACAGGTCTTCAGATCAAAAAAATGAAAAGATGGGACGAGCCAACAGACCCAAATGATACTTCTTCAAATCACTATTAACCAGAATGAGTCATTGCGCTCTACCATGACCTTTTCTCCAGTTCTGGTTGGTTGACCAAATATATTCTGCTTGCCGGCTCATCAAGGTCATCGCGTGAGTGACCCCCGTACATCTTTCAAAGAGACAGAAAGCATACCCGAATCGGAATCAATCTCATTACGTCGACAGATCAACGGACCCGATCTGGGCGGATGCGATTAAAGTGTTCCAGAATCAAGGTTGACGTTGGATTGCGGACATCACAGCATAATGATGTCACCTTTTCATTCAATTGAATTCAATTAAGCCCCTTTCCCAACGCGAATTAATTTCCCATTTCACTACAATTCACCAGTACCTGCACCGTAGCAATCAATTGTTCGAAATGCCTCCCCAAGACAAATACACAGACCCCGAGCTTCGAGATGAAGTCAAGGAAGAGATGAAGCAGAGCGACAAAGGGGGCAAACCCGGTCAATGGTCTGCGAGGAAGGTCAGTTCGAAACCCCCACACGCAGCATCCTTCCAATGAATATAAATTCTATTTGCAAATAAATCCAATCAAGTAAGTATTTACTAACATGATCCAGGCCCAGATGATGGCATCGGAGTACAAAAAACGCGGCGGCGACTACACAACCTCCAAAGAAAATGGCCAAGACGAATCCCAAAAGAACCTCGAACAATGGGGCAATGAGGAATGGCAAACGAAAGAAGGATCGGGTACTGCTAAAATGAGCGACGGAACTGAGAAGCGTTATTTGCCCAAAAAGGCTTGGGAGAAGATGAGCGACAAAGAAAAGGAAGCGACGGATAAGAAGAAACAGGAGGGTTCAAAGAAGGGGAAGCAGTATGTTTCTAATACGGGGGAGGCAAAGGGGGGAAGGAAGAAGGCGAGCGAGGAGACGAAGGAAGAGAAGGCCAGAGAGGAAGAGGAAGAGCAAGACAGTGAGGGCGCAAGTGAAGCTGAATATCAGTCTGGAGACGAGCCTGAGGATGGCCATGAAGACGAGAGAAGCAAAGAAAATGAAAAGGATGAGAAAGAAGCTGGAAAAAAGCGCGGTGCTTCTCAAGGCAAGGAATCGAACAAAAAGCCAAAAACCCGTCAGGACAGTCGGGCTGAGCGTGATGCAGCCGAGGGCGACAGACAAGCGGATGAGTGATCAATCGACCCGGGGCGAGACGAGTGCTATCAGCATCAGCGCCCTTGGCCGTATCGATCAGTCACTGGATTATGGTGGTTTTAATATAACAGATACCGGTCTTTATGGGAATTAATGTCTGGCAATTTGGTCATTCCGATGACTAAGTGATTATAGGCATGATTTGATAGAGGGGCTTCCTGCAGCTCGGTATGAAGCTACTATAAACCTTACGGAATTTATCGAAAAATTTGTTATATATAATGGTTATTATATATCATTAGCACTCATAACCCGTTACTCTAAATTATATACAAAGATGGTCTATATACAAATTCTATCGTCATTAATAAAGCAGTCGTATCTCCGTCGTCGGCTCCTGTTCCACAGTGCCAAACTCAACCAGCATATCCTGGCCTTCCAGAATCTGTTCCACAGCCTCGTCGTCTACCAGGACTTGTATCCCATCGGGCTTGACACGAACCACACGGGATATGGAATCAGGGTTGCGGAGTTGTTTTTCGCAGACCCTCTTTACTAGGTCTTGCACAGTTCGTTGGTTAAGGTAGATGGCTCGATAGTATATTTCGTTGGATTGGTGGAAGAGGACGTAGAGACATGCGACTGATTTGTTAGTTTCGCCATGCACATTGGGGTGAACACACTTACTCGATCGCGATGGAGATTGTGACGTCCCGACTGTAGAACATGTTCGGTAGTTGTTTGTGCGTAACCGTTCCAATGAATCGGAAGAAGTGAATGATCGATCTCGTAGACTAGATTGGGAGCTGAGATATCCAGAGCTATCCTCGTCGTGGTCTGCTTGTCGACTTGAATATTGCGATGGTTCGATCGAATCGAGGACACCAGCCTGGCGTGATCCAGATGATTCACTTCTGATATCGACCGGCTCATCTGATGGCTGGGGAATGAAGCCCATATCATCCTCACCCTCCAATGAGAGAAGCGTCACTGGTTTCGAAGAGGAAAGCATTGTTTGCATCCTCTTCAGATCAGATTGCGGATCGCTTTTATCTTCATCGCTCGAGTTCATCAACGTCCCGGTGCGTTTTCGCTTTCGATTGCCCTTTTCAGCAAGGGCCATTTGCTGTTCGGCCTTTTCGATCTTTTTTCGAACGTGTGCGATATCGTTGGAAATCTTCCGCTCCGCCCCGTGGTCTCGGAAGAGCTTCACTTTGCAGTAGGTTATCTCGGCTTTATTCTCCACTGCGGGGTCGGACGAGAGTGTTTCGGTTTTTGCGCATAGTCGGACTGAGATTCCCTTCGTCCCCTTGGTTAATATAAAGTCGGTGGAGAGAAAGTTGCATCGGATTGGTATTGAGCATCCGGGTCCCATGGTCGGATCAGCAGTCCAGGTAACAGAGAACCCGTCGAACGTGGCACTCTCCAACTGCGCACGCGGATATTGCTGCTCTTTACTTCGCCCCGTCGTGAGATCGACAAATTCAAGTGCCTGTAGCTTTGCCTCCCGTTGCTGTGCCTCTTTCCATCCCCGCGTTTCCTTCCATAACTGCCAACACGCAGACGCCTTCGGTCGTTGCTCGTCCTCAAACGAAATCCAGAGTGTCGTCCTGTATGTAACCGGTTGCGTGCTTGTTGGCTGTCGAGCGGAATCCACCACGGACAGATGGTAGATCTGTCCCCTATTCAAATACGTCACTGGCGGCTCCGTCTCATGCTTGACCATGGCGGTGGGTACATCCAAAACAGCCGGAAACCAGAATCTAAAACACCCAGCCACGTTAATAGAGTGACAGGATGGGATTAGTACTCGTTCAGTTACCTCTCGTTAGCCAGGGTTTCCTCGTCGCCGTGCGGCGAGGATTCTGCCGTCTGGGCGGTGAAGGGCGAGTTGGAGTCTTGCTTGGAGCTGGAGGAGATTCCGCCGAAGAAAGTGTGCTGGACGTCGGCATGTGGCGGTGGAAATGGCATGGAGGCGGCATTCTGGGCCTGAGAATGCGGGGTGAGAAATGGTTTTGGTCGGACGTGATCGAGGTTGGCAGTGTTCTGGCGGAGAGGATCCTTGAGGGGATTGATTCCGTCGGAGGCAAACACGTTGTCCATTTGGCCGCCAAGCTGGTTGCCGAATGGGAAAACGGAATCAGTGCTCTCCATCGACGACGAAAAGTGCAAGCCGTTGTACATACTTCCACTGGAATCATCAAGGCCCAGGAAATCATCGCTGTCGTTCTACATGAGTGATGATCCCCGCTAGCACTAAACGCACTACATACCCAAAGCAAGCCACGTCGAACGGTTCTGGATGGATGGGAGCCCGCCCACTATTCACGTTCGACAGGAAAATCCCAGAAAACTGCTGTTTGAACTGGTTGACGAGCATGTCGTCCATTTTCGTCTTCTGTCTGGAGGGCATTAGTATGGTACGTGTACATATCGCATTTCCCATACATACCTGTTGCAAAACATCGGGAAATGACGTAAAGCTCTGGCCAACAGTTAAGATTCGGGAGAAGTTACATTGAGGTGAGGCAGAGAAGAAAAAGAAGAAAAAGAAGGAAGAAAGAAAGTCGAGGGTTTTAAACGCACATCGCGGTGGGGGTGATTTGCGGCGGCGGCAGACACGATAGGGAGAGATAAGAGGTGCTTACGACTGGGCAGGGGCACCCAAAGCTTCCGCATCGGGCAATTGTGTAGCAGAAAATGTCCAATGCTGGGAGAGAAATCGATCGATCAACCAATCAGCGCTGGGCAGCCCAAATCGATCATTCCAATTCCTTGGCAAAGTGGGGCTCCAGGAACGCGCCCATTTTTTAGCGGGATTCATTCTTGTTTTGTGGGGACAAAAAGTTCTCTTCTGCCAATCAGAGTGGGTGTTTATTCCTTCGTCTCCGTGCTGTGATGTCATGGAGCTCTCCCGAGACTTATAATGACGTTTGCTGTACAGAACCGACTTTACAGTAAAGGATGATCGTCGATATAAGTTGCAATGGCATCACACCCACATAAAACCTCAACAGAGATCTCTGGTCAGGAAATGATCCAGGGAACAGGGGTTCAAGCTCTCCACCGTCGATTTAGGCTCAATCCCATTTCTTTATATATAGCACAGGGATCCGCCGTAGCCCCCCACCTAGCTACTTATATGCAGGCTCAAGTAGGAGGCAGGGAGTATTCTGGCCATATATGCACTTTAGGCAAAATACTAGTATTCTAGGATGCCGGTCCTTGAACCGCTCACTATACTATATAGTAGATCATCACACTGACCAGCGCAATCATGTCACAGCACATTGCTTCAGCTAGATACCACAAGAAGCAGGCAGACACACTAGCTTAGTCTCATGCTGAGTACTAGGCTCATGGTACGGAATGTCTTTATCATTGTAACTTGAGCCTCACATGCAACAAGCCCATCTATCCTGCAGTAACAACATGTTCTTTGAGACAGTAATAGGCAGCAGTCACGTGATGTAAATTTTGATATGATGTGTTATACAGCCTAGATGGGTTGTTGCCTTGAGCTGCAAGGGAATTACCGATGAGAGAAAGAGAATCATAGAAGCTTAAATATAAATATGGGCATCATCCATCGTACTCATTGTATCATATTCATCAACGGAAAGCATTCGGTTGAGAAATGGCTGATACAAGCAACGGTATGACCCGTTTTGTCTATACATACTTTGTCTAACTTCCACAGAACCCCAGGTCGAATGGACCTACAACATCCCCAACTGGTTTCTCGAAGAGAACATCAAAACACCAACCGAGCTGGGGGAATCCAAAATCGCGATCGTCAAGACACAATCGCCCACCCTCGAGTCCCAGCAGGACCCAGAAAAGTACGAACTGCACGAGGATCTCTATGGGGAATTCCGAGACATGGTTGCCGGCACTCTACTCAACAGAATCGAAGGTTCACCAGCAACAGTCGGCTTGGATCCCCACCACCCTTGTTTGACCCTTCAGGCCCGATCGCTGGTCTACGGAACGGCGGTCCTCACGCACTTGGCTAAAGATCTGAACACGACCTTGGTCCATCTAGACTTCAGGGATTTGCAGAGCCTTGCATGCGACTTTTTCATACAGGATACGACCTCCGGGGCGCAAGAGATTGTCCCTGAGGAGAGCGCCTCGAATGGAACTCCAAGCTCAGATGATTCCGGCGATTCCCCGGGCTGTTTGACACCGTTGAGCTCCAATTCTGAGGACCTGGGAATCCATGCTTTATATGAACAAGCGGAAGCTGAAAGCCAGGACATCAAACCGGCCCAGCCAGAGGATGACGAAGAGACGATCAACTTGCTCAATCGGCTGAAGACAGAGCCGAGTGCGGTAGCAATCATGGACGTCTTCTTCGCTCCCCGATGCGAGAAGCATACAAGAACAAAAGGGCTCTTTCGCCGTGCAAAGCAGTCCATTCAGAGTATTGTCGAAGCGTCTTGGAAACATTCCCAGACGGTATGCAGTCCCTCTACAATAAACAGATCTCCGGTTATACTACACATTCGAGATCCCCAGGATATCCGGGACTTGCATTTTGGAACAAAGATCCTCAAGAACATTCGAAATGTTATCCAGGAGTATCGACGAAAGCAAATACCGGTTGTGGTTATCGCCACAGTGCTAAAAACGCCAACGGGGTCCATGGCCCGCAAACTGCTCACCAGCACGTCTACTGTTCAATTCGACCTCGACACTTCACTGTTGTCTAAGTACGAGGCTTTATTTGAAGAGGAGAAAAGCAGATACGACATTCGGCAGACAAATCGAACATTCAAGCAGTATATACGGCTGGATCGCAACTATCACCTCTGGTCACATCTCGTTCCTGACGACTTGGATCTCATCACACATGACGATTGCCCGGATATCTCGCGGACTGCCAACCAGATTTCTGGTTTACTTATGACCAAAGGGACTTTGCAGGTACAAGATTTCCGAGACATACTGGCGAGAAACGATCGGTTGAAGCAAAACAACCCATCACCAGAGCCACCAAAGGAAGAGAAACAGGCGAAAACCATCTCAGATCGCCTTGAAGAGATCCGTGACTTGTGCGATGAATACGAACAGGGTCTCTTTCCAAAGGTTATCGACACGGGTAAGCTTCTTTCAACAGGCGAATATATTGGGAGCTAACAATAAAACAATAAAACAGAAAAGCAGAAAGTCACATACGATAATGTCATCGTCCAAGACAGCGTCAAGGACACCATGCAATACCTGGTCCGCCTGTCCAACGTCAAATTCGAAGGAAGTTCACAGGCCTTGATCGACAGTGTCAACGTCAAAGGAGCATTGCTGTACGGCCCTCCAGGGACGGGAAAGACCCAGCTCGTTCGTGCAATGGCCAGCGACTCCAACTCTGCCATGATCGTCATCACAGCATCCGATATCGAGAGTAAATGGGTCGGGCAGACTGAGAAAAACATCAGCGCAGCCTTCTCTCTCGCACGAAAACTGTCACCGTGTATCCTATTCATCGACGAAGTGGATGCCTTGCTCTATCGCCGCTCTTCTTGCGATCAAAGCTGGAGACGAGAGAGCCTCACCCAATTCCTCCAGGAGATGGACGGACTGTCGAATAATAAAGATGCTCCATTTGTTATCGGGGCTGCCAACCACCCAATGGATCTTGATGAGGCGTTCCTCCGGCGTTTACCTTATAAAGTGAAGTTTGGAATGCCAGGCTTGGAAGAAAGACGGAAGATTCTTAGTATCTTCTTGAAGCAGGATGATCTGGATCCATTATTCACTATTGACGCCCTTGCCCAACAAACAGAAGGGTATACTGGCTCTGATCTGCGCGCGCTATGTGGTCAAGCGGTGTTGGACTTTGCCATTGAAAAATCCAAGTCCCAGGCTGCCAACGAAGATGGCACTGAGGCCGTCATCAAGGTACAACTTGGTGTCGATCATTTTGCGAGAGTACTCCAAAGGGTGCAGCCAAGCGTCAGTGCCAGATCTCACCTGGAGATTGACAAGTTCAACAGCCTTTTCAACTCTTAAACTAAGGCAAGTCCATTCTTAGGATATAAACTATCTAATGCTTACAATTGCAGAGTGAAAAGGTCTTCCAGGTGATGGCATTGAATACGCGGTGTCATTTTGAGATTTTGATCAAGAGTGATAGTAAAAGCAGCCTCAGGTAATGCATTATTTCATATATCTTTCCCCTTATATAGTTATGTCTATAGATGAAATATCTCTGTAAACAAATCAATATGAATCTGAGTGAGGTTTAGTTTACCAACCAATGAACTATGAACCGAAGTCATCTCCGCCTTATAAAACACCCGTTGATAAATGCATATGCCCATGTCAACGCATTCATAACCTCAATCTGGACTCGCCCATTCTTGTCAACACCTGTCACCGTAACACTACTCAAGTCCTTGGTAATCCAATATGGGCTGGTCTCCTGCAGCGTATCCAAAGAATGTGTTGTGTTCACTGCAAGCACCTCGAATCCCGCCGCTTTTCCCGCCCTGATCCTCAACGGTGCATCCTGCAACACCGAAATCGATGTTGAATTTCCGAGTTCCAGGCATTTCCGACCCAGGCGATATCCCCGCGGGTCTGGCTTGTCTACCTGCACGTCTTCAGCCGCCACAAACATTGTCGGACGAGTTGGAACTTTTCGATCCAGCCAGAATCAACGACAGCGTCCCGGATGTCAGGACACCTCATTTTGCACCGTCCCTTTCCAGTACTGCGAGCAGGTCGCGACTGCCGGAATCTTAGTGGTGTTGGAGCCGAATTCAATCGGGATGCGCGCTTCAATGGAGTTGACGTCTGGATCCGTTAGTATTACGCAGTTATCAGAGATTTATGAACTCACAGTCCCAATTGGTCTTGATTGGATCGTATAATGCGATTGTATGGATAGTGCGCCGTCCATGCGATGTGGCAAGGATGTATCAGCATTGACATTCAAGGTTGCCCCAATGCTAAGAGAGGATATCTTCTGGGGCGGAAAATGATGCGGGGGCCAACAGTCCCATTGTGGAGAGACGTGGAGGAATAATGTAAAAGACCTTGCCACACTGGATGGTCAAGTGTAAAATAAAAGAGATAAAGAATATCAAACTGGGCAATCCGACTAGACAGAATGTCAAGATCCATTCTCGTCAACAGCGGGAATTTATATTGCTTCTCTTTTGCCGCAGTCGGAGGTTTCCGCATTGAGAAATTTAAATACAAGAGATTCTTTAGTTAATCCAAGGGATTCTGCAAAAATATGGCCTCCAGAGTATCAAAAAAAGCTACTATGACTCCTCTAGGAGGAGAGGCAAAAAGAACGACACGGGCATGATTCGAACATGCGCACACGAATGTAATTGATGTCAGAATTTTCTTCCGAATTCGAGTCAATCCCCTTAACCACTCGGGCACCGTGTCAGCGGATATCTACACTATTTGCATTCCACGTCTGTAAACTTATATCTGTATGGCCGGCTGTTTGGGTGGATTGCAGAGCCTGATGGAATGTGTACGATTAAGCAGGCCACGTAATCTGGGTGCCAGCCCTTTTGGGGATCTCGCAATACTCCAGGGCGATCGCAGCTGTGCAAGTGAAAAGCCAACCGTAGCACTGTATTGTAAATATTCCATCCAGACCACCAACAGTAATAATGAAGCGCATCCTTGTTCTACAGACCTGCAGAGCATTGATGATGCCGAGCCAGTCATCCAGCGAGCAACCGACATGGTCGAGCCATCTTGCTTATTTAATTTGTAAGGCAAGCCAGGCAATCAGGAAAAGCGTTGATAGTGTGAAACCGGCCAGAGTTCGTGTCTTATAGCTAATGACACGGTCGAATCGGAGGGACCATTTAAAAAGGAATGTCGTTTCATAGGCCGAAACCCGAACCAAAGAGTTAATACCAGGCATGTGATGGTCTCAACTTGGCCAGGCCTCAGCCACCATGTAATGCGGACGTTGGTTGAAAGAAAAGAATGTATGGACACAATTTCATCTCAGCGAATATCTGTCGTGGTTAGTCATCTGTCCATATGAAGAAAGTAACATGGTTCCAAGAGGTTTAGAGGATTTAAGGTGGCGTGATCTGCTAAAGTCGCAAACTTAAAGGTGATCTCTCTAAGGTGATCTCTCTATAGTAGTAGTAGTAGTAGTGGTGGTGGTGGTGGTGGCTGCCACATAATATCATACCAAATGTACGCCACATTTAGAAGAAATCAGGATCGCAGGATGGTTACTATCTCCGCCCAATAATTCACCTTAAGCCACCCTTGTGATTAGCCCGTCTGCCATCCTGCTGATGGTTTGTCATTAATTATAAATGGGTGATGCTGAGAGCTGAATCTCGCTGCCTGGCATTTCTGTCTTCTTACTCCCTAGGTTGTTTATTTGCTGCCGTTGGTTCTCCCACCTTGTTTTTCGGGACCTCTAACTGACTACTTCCTAAGTAGCCCTCTATAAAAAACTTGAATGTGTGTCATGAACAAATTGTAAATACGATCATGGTTCATGGTTCATCATAATCCTGACTCGAGATTCAAGAAATAGCTTTCAGTACAACTAGGTACAATTTGAATTCAAAATCAGTTCCAAAGAAAGTCAGTTCCGAGTATCACTATATCCTCATATCTGTCTCACTCAGAGGTCTTCCTTGATATTAATCCGCTTCGTCTCAGATGATTGCTGAGATTTCGGGACAGTAATAGACAACACACCATTCTTCAAGGTCGCATCAACATGATCATCATTAACTGCGACTGGGAAGTTAAAAGATCGCTTGAAGGTTCCAGTAGATCTCTCTGAGTACAACCAAGAATGCTCAGGATCTTCTGAGGTTTTTGAATGCTCAGAATGTCCCTTTATGTGAATTGTACTATGATCGGAGAATTCGATGTCAATATCCTTCTTCTCCACGCCAGGGACATCCACGACAAGGTAATATTTGTCCTTAGTCTCATGAACATCGAGCAGTGGAGAGTAAGAAAGAATGTCGTGGGTTCCTTTGCCAAGGCGTCTGAAGGGGTCATAAATTTCTTCAAGTGCGCGATTCCACCAAGGGAATGCGCGTCCAGTGTGAGGCATCAGTGACATTTTTTTTTGTATGAAACTATCGGAGAGCTTAAACGGTCGTTACTCGAGGCTGAAGGTGGATGACTTTTGAGGTATAAATAAGTTATTGATTTGAAAGAAAATCTCATGTGGTAGGTCATGGAAAGATATACTCCCTAATTAGTGCAAATATGCGAAAGGCGTAGAAGCTGCATTACGTCATCCTGAGTGCTATCAATTCCCACCTACCTACCACCTATTAATGGCTTAGCATGATGCCACTGATGTCGTATAGCGGGGTCATTTAACAACAGGTCCAGGATCTAGGCCACTCACCATACCACGGACATAGATTTGTCCCCAGCACTATCAGTATTGTTACTGGTGGATGCCCTGGTTGGTTTAGAAATATGATTTCAAGTAAGGTGCATAATGTGCATAATGGGTCACCTGTAGGTATCATGTGGCTGGAAGAGTGGTATATGTCTCTAGGATGACATTTTTCGAATTCTTTTATATGTGGCCAGTTGCGAAGAATGTGTGATAAAGCTCTGACGTACCGTAGTTATTTTTGGATAACCAATTTCCACGAGCAAGAGATTCATGTTCACGTTTGGTTTAACTTTTCGCCCGTTCCTGGTCCAAATTTTTGAATATGTCAATGCAGCGGGCACTTTCATTTCGCAAATTTGGTCCAGAATGGTCTGTCCACTTTCTGTTAAGCGTGGATTGGGAAAAGCATATTCCTAGATGATCCTTGGATTTGATTGATGAAATATTTACGTCAATAAACGAAAAGAAAAGAAGATTCAAATGACTAGCTTCATCTAAACAGCGCATCTCGTAAGACCTCTGTACCAAGCTACATCAAGAGCAAACGTACACAGGGATTCTTCTTTGCTCCCAATGTCTTCAATCGGAATCATTGGCGTTGGCCAAGTTGGCGCCGCCGCGGCGTACGCACTTGTTCTTGGCTCCATTGCAGATGAGCTACTGCTGGTAGACGTCAAGGCAGATCTCCGAGATGCCCAAGTGCGCGATCTGTCAGATGTAGCGTATATCAGCAACAGCAAAACTAGGGTGCGTGCGGCTGCCCACCATGAGGTAGGCCAGTGTGACATTGTGGTCATCACGACCGGATCCAACTTATCCCCAGGTCAGGTTTGATACCACTGGAGCTGTACTGGGAGCTGAAAGCTGATATAATATCAACGCAGGCGAAACCAGCTTTCTCCACATGTACCAGAATGTTGCGATCATTCGAAGTGTCATGAAATACATCGTGCCCCTCCGATCGGATACCATAGTGCTGGTTGTCGCGAATCCGGTCGACCTGATTACCTCCCTTGCTCGAGAACTATCGGGGCTTCCAGATTCCCAGGTCATAGGCTCAGGCACTTTCCTCGATTCGGTCCGACTTCGCGGACTGCTGGCAGACCAGGCTGGGGTGGGTAAACCTTTCTTCCCAACTGAGCATCATTTTATTGGACTCGCTGAATCAAATGTCTATTATAGGTTTCACCCAAATCCATCGATCTCTATGTCGTAGGCACGCATGGATCATCGCAAGTCGCCGCCTGGTCAACCGCCACCATCGGCGGCATTCCTATCAATATATCCCTCTCTGGAAATGCAATCGATCGCGCCAAGTTGGAAAACGAGTGCAAATCTCGGTCGGAAACAATCATCAAAGCCAAGGGGGCTACCCCCCTTGGAATCGGCTCGATCGTGTCGGGTATCTGCTTTTCCATCATGTCGGACAAGCGCGATGTCCGTCCCATTAGTCACTTCCAACCGGAATTTGGATGCTGTTTTAGTTTGCCTGTCGTGCTTGGGAGGAAGGGTGTTGCTAGGACGATCGAGATGCCATTGAATGAGGAGGAGAGGGTGAAGTTGACCGAGTCAGCCTGGGCGTTGAAAGAAACTATTGATCGGGTCCAGGAGAATCCTGGAACGTAACAAAAACTTGGAACCTGGATTTATTTTCTTTATCTGACATTGAGGATTTGGGTAGCTGCTGGTGAAAATTGTATTAATGGCTAAGGTTGTACATGAAGTATGTGTCATCTGTCTACCAAGATTACTGTATGATTCTTGATTTGCAATCTGGACACATTTTTAGTGCAACAGTCAGTTCGACATCATCATTCCAAATAACCTAGAAGCTAAACTACAACAGATCTGTGAACTAGCTACTCCCCCGTTGTGATGGATCACAGCGGCGGATTTTGTAACTCTACCTATGGTAATTTCGACCTAAACACATAACACAGAAACCACTGCTCAAGGGATCAAGGAATCAACATAAAACTGAATACCCTTCGAAGAGAACTGCAATAGTTATTCTGACGGTATGTTACAACTGATAAACTAGACCACAGCAGGTTTAAGAGAGCCTCCAGAAAGTCCTTCTCTCTGTATGAACGTATTCAAGTCAGTAAATAGATGAAGCAACCTGCATATCGTTTAATTTCGAAAGGAACATGATGATAGGACGGTGAACAGTCTGAGCCAAGACAACCATCTTAATCTCAAAGGTGCGCTAACAGCATTACACTCACAGCCCTTATAAATCCCATCTGCTGGTTTGATATTTCCTATGCTATCCATACCTTAATAGTTCAAGTGCTATCACAGAGAATTGACAGGCGCGTTGATGTTGTGCCACTTCCTGAACGTATTATGAGGATCATACTTTTTCTTCAGTTCCCGGAGACGAGGAAGGTTAGCTCCAAAGATTGCCTTGATAGGCAGGTCACGACCTATGATCTTGTTAATCGATTTGCCTTTGTTCGAGATGCTTTAAGACCCAACGAAAAGATCCACTACTCTGGCCACATACCGGCATAGTTCGCATATATCCCTGTCCCGTGTCTTGACATGCTATAGTTCGGTTGCCTTGTGATGCCCGCCCGTGTCCCAATTTGGTTCATCAGATCCTCTTGTAGTGTGCGTATTCTGGCGTCTAGACGTGTCTCGTTCCATCTGAAGAGGGTGCTGACGTTGTAATAAGGACCGCGACTGGCAAACGCAGTGGCATCATTAGAAACTTTAGTGACCTGTATATTTGGCAAGAGCTCAAAAAACAATCTGCTGTCCCTGGTCTGTGGACAGTCGTTCAATATGCTATTAAATCCGTTGTATATCGACAGCACGAAATCGATATCCAGAGGGAGAGTGACATTTGAACCTCTGAGACTCTTTCGAGGACCCACGCTTGTATCGGCAGGATAAGTGGTATTGAATCTCGAAAGGCGTTCGCGGCAAGCCAGTGTATCCACCGTGTGCAGTATGCTGTTGAGACTATCGTAAGGAAGCATTTGTGTCCCATCCATCAGAGACCCCAGCGAAAGCAACGGAGAAAAGAACTGCTCTGCGGCTGTCTGAGTCCCATTATAGAACACAGCCACCAAGATGGAGCACTGGGCCATTGAGGGTAGCATAGTGAATCCAAACCAGAAACCCTGCTGACCGTTGGTGAGAGTCTCAAACTGATTGGCAAAATTGACAATCCCAGGTAGTTTGTCCGCCGAGAAGAGAAGCGTCCCAGCAAACACAGGGTGATCCTGCTTGTGGGCTCGGAAGCCCAACTCAACAGCCACCCCAAAGCTCTGACCTGCGCCTCGAATGGCCCAAAACAGGTCTGGGTGTTCCTCTTCCGATGCGGTGACCACACTGCCATCAGCCAAGATCATCTTCGCCCAAAGCAAATTATCAATCGCCAGGCCATACTGGCCGGTCAACCATCCATAGCCTCCTCCCAGTGTTGCCCCAGCAGCACCAATCTGGTTCAGTGTACTTCCGACAACTGCCAACTTATACTGGGCGGCTGCGACATCGATATCTTCCCACAACGCTCCGCATTGGGCAATGACAACCCGAGAATCAGGTTCTACGTGGACCTTTCGCAGCTTGGATAAGTCCAAGACGATACCACCGTGAGTGGTTGAAGCACCGCTGGTAGAGCAACCCCCTCCTTTGACTGCTAGGGGGATCTCATGGGCCGTGGCAAAATGGACGACTGTTCTTGCTTCATCAATCGATGTGACCCGGACCACTGCACCCTGGAAAGAAATGTTCAGTATTTGCAGGGAAATAGCCGTTTCAATCACGACTCACAATGTATGTATCACACGTTTCACTCCATTGTTTGGTACAGTCATAGTAGCCATCGCATCCCCATGTCGAGATTTCGGCATCTGTCCCCTCCAGTTCCCTCCTCAAGCTCAGGATATTAGAGAAGGGCAAAAAGGGCATTTGGCCATCATATGAGTCTTGAATCCTGTCTATGATAGAGTAGAACGTATCCTTCATGTTCCGCGCGAGAGAAATGTACATGTTGATTTTAGGGATGGTGATGCTTGTGGCAAATACACTGGGCCTAAGATGGGCTGGAGTGAATTTACCATGGGTAATCATCAAAAGGCTACTTCTTTCAATGTGGAATTTAGATCGTATTGATCCATGGATCAGTCCCACCCGCTGCGACCCTATTCCACGCAATGACATGCGGGGGTATACTTAGAGCAGACATGTCATTATACGTCATCATCTCACTCGGGTATCCAGATCTGGCAAATCATTAGATGGATCTGTTAAGTTAGGGTCACAAGACTCAAAACGGATTTGTAAAATCCACTCCCATGCCATCATCTGTTCTTGACAGTTCGATTTTCATTTATTTTCTCTTTTTTTCTTTTGGCTTTCCCCATGTTCCAGCCCAGGTCATATTCGCGTGTAAGACCGAAATTTCAGTAGTCTGAAGATTGGTCCAATATCGGCGGTTTGGGATGTAACTTTTAAAAGTCTACTACTACACTAAAACCTTGCTAAGATTTGAGCATTCTTGTATTAGTACCACGTCAGTATGTAAGAAAACAATACAGTATTGCATGTCCTTTGTACTGCAATCGCAACGTTTGACTCAGGCTCAACGAATGGTTAGAGAAGCCCGCTATGTTCAGTAGAGTACCATTGCTGGGCTAGGTGAGCTAGCTCCAATATTGGAATGTCTGCTTTCCGAAGTAGAAAGAGGGACTACGCGCCTATCCAAGATCATACTTTTCCCACCCTTTAAGCTCGGAAGACTCCGCCTGCTCGGCAGCGATAACATGTTTCTTGACGGCAACAAAACTGTCAGGGCTCACAGAGATGGAACTGATACCAGCCTCCACGAGAAACCTCGCAAACTCCGGATGGTTGCTCGGCGCCTGACCGCAGAGGCCAATCTTGCAGCCGGCCTTCCGAGCCTCGGAAATCACGCGGGCGATCATCCACTTGACAGCCGCATCCTGCTCATCGAACAGATCTGACAGCTCACCAGAGTCGCGGTCCACGCCCAAGGTCAGTTGTGTCAGATCATTCGAGCCAATGGAGAACCCATCAAAGTGCTCGGCGAACTCGGCCGCCAGAATGACGTTCGACGGTATCTCACACATCATGTACACCTGAAGCCCGTGCTCGCCACGCCGGAGGCCATTCTGGGCCATGACGCGCAGCACCTTTTCGGCCTCTCGGATCGATCGACAGAAGGGGATCATTACCACCGCGTTGGTGAATCCCATCCTCTCCCGCAGGACCTGGATTGCGCGGCATTCAAGCGCAAACCCTTCTTTGTAGTGCGGCGAGTAGTAGCGCGACGCACCGCGGAAACCGATCATCGGGTTCTCCTCCGTTGGTTCGAACTCGGCACCGCCGATCAAGCGCGCATATTCATTCGTCTTGAAGTCGCTCATGCGGATAATGGCTGGCTTGGGATACACAGCGGCACACAGTGCCGCAAGCCCATGCGAGAGCTTGTCAACAAAGTAATTCGGCTTGTGGTCGTATCCAGCTGTTAGATCCGAGATTTTCTCCTTGGCCTGTACATCCTTTAGATGGTCAAAGCGGACCAGCGCCATCGGATGCACCTGGATGGCATTGGCTACGACAAATTCCATGCGCGCCAGACCAATACCGTCAGCCGGCAGCCGCCACCAGCGGTAGGAAGCGGCGGGGTTGGCAAGATTAATCATAATATCTGTCTGCGCAGGTGGAAGTCCTGCCAGGTCGACTGTCTGTGTAGTGATGTCTGAAATTCCATTGTAGACAAAGCCGGCGTCGCCCTCGGCGCAGGAAACCGTCACATCCTGGCCAGTGTGGAGCACATAGGTGGCGTTACCAGTGCCAACTACGCCTGGAAGACCGAGCTCACGGCTGACGATAGCAGCATGGGAAGTGCGCCCGCCGTGGTCGGTGATGATGGCTGCAGCACGTTTCATAATCGGTACCCAGTCAGGATCGGTCGCTTTGGTTACCAAGATGGAGCCGTCGATAAATTGTTCGATATCTTGGGCATCTGCGATGAGGCAGAGGCGGCCAGACACAGCAGCATCCCCCACTGCAAGGCCAGTGGTAAGAACACGTCCCTTGTTGTGAACTTTGTACGTCTTGAAGACGGCAGTGCTTTCACGGCGCGATTGTACTGTCTCCGGACGTGCTTGGACGATGAACAATTTCCCCGAGATGCCATCCTTAGCCCACTCCATGTCCATGGGACATCCGTAGTGCTTTTCAATGATGCATGCCCAGCAAGCAAGCTGTCGTATCTCCGTGTCGCTGAGCACGAATGCGAACCGTTCAGCCTTCGAGGTCGGCACATTGCGGGTTGGCATCTGGTCATCCCCGTAGATCATCTTCATGCCCTTCTCGCCGCGCTTCTTTTCGATGATCGGAACCAGATGGGCATCATCCAAAAGCGGCTTGAAAACCTGATACTCATCGGGATTGACGGTGCCCTGGACAACGTTCTCACCCAGACCCCAGGCCGCGTTTATGAGCACGATCTTATCAAACCCCGTTTCAGTGTCAATGGAAAACATAACACCCGCACCGCCGGTATCAGAGCGAACCATCTGCTGAACCCCAATGGAGAGCGCAATTTTCAGGTGATCGAACCCTTTCGCCTGGCGATAGGTAATGGCACGATCCGTGAAGATAGAGGCATAACAACGCCGACAGGCGTTCAAGAGTCCCTGTTCACCCGTGACATTGAGATAGGATTCCTGTTGACCGGCAAAGCTTGCATCCGGCAAATCCTCTGCCGTTGCACTAGAGCGAACAGCGACGCTCGCATCTTTCGACCCGACGCTTGCTGAAAGCTGGTGATAGGCATGGATAATTGCGTAGGCCAAATCAACCGGCCAGGTGCCGCGAAGGAACAATGCGCGCACTGCATGCCCGGTTTCGGCGAGAGTAGCCTTGCCAGATTGCCAGTCCGCGATCATCTCGGGCAGTTTCTCCTGGATGCCATTGCTTTTGACATATTCCCGGTATGCGTACGAGGTCGTGGCAAATCCAGGTGGCACCGCAATACCCTGGTTACTCAGGGACCTGATCATCTCGCCAAGCGACGAGTTCTTTCCCCCGACTGAGGCTACATCGTCACGCGTTAGATGCTCTAGACTGCAAACGAGGGATGTGTTCCGGTCGTTCATTGTTTTGATTTATCCGGCTATGGCTTTAAAGGAAGAGTACATATGCCACATAGGGCGTAAAGATTCTATCAAAGCATATTTATGGCGGACGACGATGCCTCTAGTAGTCGAAAGATCGAGATCCCTGAGTAACCCAGAGTCATTATTCTGTCATGGCAAAGCCGACTACCCCAATATCACTGGATCTAGCCCGTACAGGATTTAGAGAAGCGTCGTATGACAGCTTTCACTTTTGTAATTGTGGGTGCAAAGCCCATTTTAGGTTATAGATCGGACCAGCCCATTCGGGGACATGCTCGTCATAGTGATAACTGCTTCTGAATGGCTGCTGCAGACAGCTAATGTGTGTTTAGTTGACTGATTAAATCTTAAGAGTCTAGAATTGCCCTGGCAAACTTAGATTAGGAGACATCCATGTATCGAATTCTTCTATTTTTATTTTTATTTTTATTTTATTTTTTATTCTCGATTCTTACCACGCGGTGTCTCTGGAGGTCTATATAAATGTCACACCCTGGAACTTGATTAAGAGGTTTGCGGCGGATGGCGATCTGTCGTTGGATTTCTGGAATCCGCTGGACTGTTTGCCTATTAATGCGTCGGGAATCTAATGCATCAGATAATTTGACATTATTCACAACTACCTGGTTTAGGAGCTAGATTAATTGTGCATTTGATTAAGCGCCTTTCAAATGTGGGGACCATCCCTATACCAGATCCAGACAGACTCATCTTTCCCATACAAGCACCCTGTTGCGTTAAGTTCATCCCGTATAGCGATCAACTCTTGGATTTGTGGATCCCGCAGGATCGATTGTACGATTTCTCGATGCTTTGAGTAAACCCCGTTTTTTCCTTACTGGATATGTTTTCCTTAGATTATTGTCCCTTGTACGACCTGCTTTGTTCTTTTATATATGTTATAGAAATGTCTGAACAAGACTTTTTAGCACGTCTGCCTCAATGGCTGAGTCATTGGCTGGGCTATCATGCAACGAACCCAAAGCCCCTTCTGCAGTATCAGATCTGGCTCTGGTCATTCATTACTGCATTCTGTGGTCTATCAGTCTTATAAGCGCTGTTCAACTACTCTGGGTATTTCCTCGAACGCAGTGTGCCTGGCATTATTACCTCATATATCAGTACCCATCACCATCCCTTGTTCTCTCTGAAATGTTTCTAATAGAAAGTCACAGGGAGTATTAGCAGTCCTCATTATCAGCATAATGGAAAGCCCCCTGGTCTAGGATTATACTCTTATCTTCAGATACTTTTTTAGCGCTCTTATTGGTATCTATATTATAAAACTTTTCGGCCTGATGCCCAATAAGGAAAAATTTAACTCTCTCTACTAGCTCGCCGCGTTGCTTTCGTCTGCGATGGTAATTATGGTCATGCAGATCACATAAATAACACACTCCCCAGCAGGCGTGACGGCGCTTCTCCCCACAACTAATGATGCTATCTGGGGATTGTCCTGGTACTATCTTCCTGTGGCTTTACTTTCTTCGACAATGATTATGGCAGTTGCGCTTATGGTGAATAATATCCAGCGCCAGTATCAGGTGTTTTGGATTGGGCTACCCAAGCTAAAGCAGCAAGCGCAGTCGAGTACCCTGCCTAAATAAGTGTCATTCTTCTTGAATAAACACCAGAAACTGCCAGCAGGACTGGGGACAGACCCTTGATATTGTGAAAGCCACCTTTCATCCTATGATAAACGCATAACGAGGACATCCTCGGTTGTGAATACTCATCCACCTGATACCGGTATAAACATCTCTGCCTTCACACCTTATTTCCAACACGAACTAGGACGATCGATTCAGCGGACAGACTCTTATCGAAAAATAGACGTGATGTTTAATATAAGAATACTAGTGATATAATAATCTTAAACCCCTTTGTATTATTATCGCGACTCGCTGTATTTTCCTCTTTCTTTACTCACAGTCACGCAATATTCTGTTGAAATCCTACGAATACATTTCTATAACATTTCTTTGAGGTAGTCACATAGTTAAGAGTAACTTAATTGTATTCCAAATCACCTGGTTTTTTACGACTCAGTCACCCAGGGTGGAGAAAATGGTAATATACTGTGATGATATCAAAAAACAAGAGATTCGAGTGGAATTCAGAGAAATAAAAATGTCAATTTATTCTTCTAGGAGCCGCTGCATGATCTAATGTCCACGTTGCCTTCAGAGACTGGTAGGTTCTCTCCCCGATGCTCCAGGAGCAGCTGCATGATCTTATATCCCTTTTTTCTATTTGTTATAGCAGCCTTAACCACATCTTCAGAGATTAGTAGGTTCTCTCCCCAATGCTCTAAGAGTAGCTGCATAATCTCATGTCCATAATATCCTTCATTTGCTGCTGCTGCCTTAACTACATCTTCAGAGACTGGTAGGCTTTCTCCCCGATGCTCCAGGAGCAGCTGCATGATCTCATGTCGATATCGATTTGACGCTGCGGCCTTAACCACATCTTCAGGGACTGGTAGGCTTTCTCCCCAATACTCCAGGAGCAGCTGCATGATCTCATGTCCATTATATCCATTTGCCGCAGCAGCCTTAACCACATCTTCAGAGACTGGTAGGTTCTCTCCCCACTGCTCTAGGAGCAGCTGCATGATCTTATATCCCTTTTTTCTATTTATTGCAGTAGCCTTAACTATATCTTTAGAGATTGGTAGGCTTTCTCCCCAATGCTCCAGGAGTAGCTGTATAATCTTATGTCCATTAGATCCTCCATTTGCTGCTGCAGCCTTGACCACATCTTTAGAGACTAGTGGGCTTTCTCCCTGATGCTCCAGGAGCAGCTGCATGATCTCATATCCAATTGATCCTCCATTTGCCGCAGCAGCTTTAACCACATCTTCAGAGACTGGTAGGCTTTCTCCCCGATGTAGAAGTAGATATCGTATGTGGTTTCCAGTATTGTCTTTCTCCAGCATCTGTATTATAATATCATCTATGATGAATGATACAGCATGGAGTCTCTTTGCCTTTTCACAATTCTTCTCTTTGTACTGTGGTGCCACAGACCCGAGCCCATTTTGATCTTTCAGTCCACTGTTGCTTTCCCTATCAGCCAAGGATATTTCCCAGGTCATATAAAAATCATAAATGGACCCTTGTATAGGAAAATCTTTTTGAGCAGGAGCCACATCACAGCTTCCCATATTTCTGTCTGGCCGAAGTATTGCTGTACTCACAACAACAGCAAAGCGGTCGTTGCAAAGCTTGATAATGATAGGATCTAAAGCTGCTTGTAAAAGACAGATAATATTACCTTTTTGAACTGGCTCTGCAGAAGCTTGCAGTGTCCACTCAGTGCCCCAATTATGTTCACAATTTAGTGATCGAGCCGTATCGTTATAGATGACATTGACCTTTTGACAGCTATACTTGGAAGTAGCCTCTTCAACAGAATCAACATAACCTAGAACCCATCCTTTTCCTTTGATCACAGCGACTGCTGCCTCAGGCCACGTCTCCACGGAGCATGAACTTGGAAATACATGCATAATGACCTGCTTGAAGACATCATTCCATTGAAGATCATAGTTTGGTTTCAAACTAGCTTTATCAGCATTCTCAACACTCAACCCTAGCAATGCATAAACTTTATCATGCAGCCTAGTGGCATTATGATTGCGGTACATATCAAGCAGCTCCCCTATGGCAAGTGTTCCATATGAATCAATTTCGTATCTTGGTCGAAAAAGCGCACCCCTTATAAGATAAAGGACTGGTTGGATATAGCTTGGCAGAGGGGCCCTCAATTTACTGAGGCCTTCACAGAAAATATGTCCATTGATCTGAACAGAGCCATACATAACAGAAATGCACTGGGCAACCCCAACTTCTTGTAGTACCTAGCTCAGGTGGTTAGTATTTATTCCTAAGGCAGTAGAGTTATACCATACCCAGATACGGCCAAACCAGTTCCGTTGCAACAACCTCTGACATGCATCATGGTTTTCTTTTTCTATTCTTTCACATGACAGTATGTTCTGTTCTCTTCCAAGATGACTGATAACTTCAAGCGCGTTGTCACTGTCCTCCAGGACCTCTCCCAGCCAGACAATGACACGTCTGGCTTGCGCATAGATCATGCGCATAAGTGGAATTTGCCTGTTTTTTTCAACTGTATCATTCTGGTTTATGCTTATTGCATCAACCCACAGTATTCTTTCCAACTGACTGGTTCGGAGATACAACAATGCAGTATGGAGGCTCTCAGTGATGTGAAGCGTACAGCCGTTCAGGATGATTGAATGAGTTGTGTCTGGATTCCCCCAAACATAGGAAAGTGCCTCATAAAGGTGTTCCCCGCCGCCTATTTTTGAAAAATCATAGTTGAGAAGCTCGCACTTGATCGGGGCGCTCTTATCACTTTCCGGCAAAAGGCGAATCATTCGCGTAGTATAGGACTCTGGTGGAAGCTTTGAATAAGTGAAAGAGCGAATAGTTACGTTGGAGACTTGCTCATGAGTTGAAGACATTTTCCAGGTATGTATGGTTCGTATAGTAGCCTAGTATTGGTCCTAGTAGCCACTATCCAGGTTGTATCAATGAAATATGTACAAGTTTCCTAATAATTTAATCACAAGATGTTGTAGACAGGACAGTTGAGCTGGCCGTGGGTTCCTGTAGTTAACTAACTTGGCGGGGTAACTGATGACTAAAAATAAGAATGTGTGGCTGGGCACGATTGGGTCGGACCGGGCCGGGCACCAAGCCCCGAAAAGGGTTAGAAAGGCTCAAGTGAAACCTTTTAGTATGTAATATGTCTAAACCCCGAAGTACTCAGCTTAGTAAGGTAGTCTATAGAGTAAATGGTATTAAGTCTTAGCTGACTTTTGTGTAACTTCTGGCTCGGAGATCCCAAAATAAAGTCCCTTAAACCATCCCCCGTCGATCTAAAGTAGCTGTTCTAGCTCCCCACTCTCGACAATAGCACCCTGATCCATAATCACGACAAGATCAAATAACTCCCAAAAGATATCCAGACCACGCACGACTGAAATTACGGTATAGTCAGCAAATTTCTCCGTAGCACCCCTACGACATAGGGTGAAGATTTTTCCTCTTTATTTATCTTATATGGTAAGCTCTCTATATTAATGTTATCAACCATTATACGTCTCTCTAGCACCTACTCTGACTCCAAGACACTAAGAATATGTACTCCATCTCCCTAATTAAGACCTACCGCCTAACCACCTTTCTATAAGCAACTTTACAGATTTCCCAACACCGGGATGATCCGTTAAATTATTTCCTGTGATTCAAATCCACTGCCTCGATAATCGTTTCGATTCCTGTATCTCGGGATCTCATTTTGCAGGTGAGAGGTCGACGTGCTGGGGGAAATGGTCAGGAGGATTTGGGAATCACACTCGCCAAGTATGATTATTTAAGTAATCTGCTGTATGACTTGAACTTTCCATTTATCAAATTGTACAAAAGCGCTTTTTCTTTCTCTGTTCAGGGTTCAGGGAGTGTTCAGTGACTGAATAGGGCGGCGAAGCGCACACGACCAACTGAGCAGACTTGGGTGTCCACCACCATACTTACGCTGTTGTATGTTTTGAAGTTTTTAAATTATATGTTTATCGTGGCGCTGTATATATTTTTTCGGGGCGATTGATTAAAGATGTGGATTGCGTGATTGTCAATTTCATTCTATTCGATACGGTACATAAACGAGGTGACTACATCCACAACGGTTGACTTTTCTTGACAGCCATGCCAGAAATGAATTGGTGGTTGCAAAACTACGGTATACTAAAGGTAAAGCTATAATGGGCGGATATAAGTGAGAAACGCCCATTACTTCACAAAGAGTGCACAATGTATATATACTGTAGAGAATCTATGTATCTGGTACTTGGTTTGCAGATTGTAGCCACGAGGATTCTATACTTACGGATAGTACTATATGCTTGTTAAGTCTTCCTATGGCCATTATTGACCGAGTAATACTTGGGGGTCCTTTACACATTGAAAATGCAGTCGAGAGGTATAAAGATGCCATCTATAATGAATATTTAAGCCCAGGACTTTTCACATAGCACAGGATTTAGCTGCCATATATTTAAAGCCTTAAAAAGAAATTACTCCCCATATAGTGAAACTTCATAAGCCTCATCTTGGCCTTTCTCATACAATCTTCTACCTTGGTAACCTTGAGATGCACTCAATGCTTTAATAATTCAGTAGGGAGGGTATATAATACGAGCCATTATGAACTATGTTGAACGAATCTACAGATAAACACATCATTATAAATATTTCTATCATACACTGCATCGGCGTAATATCGATAGCCCAATATGACAGGATCAGAGTTACGTCGTTAAATATTTAGGTTGGTCCAGCCACATGGTAAGGGGTACCCGCAAGGCTAAGCTCTTCAGGCTTTGCCATATATCTCTACAAGAGGTCCTCATTCATTACCAATTTATATTTCCACTACGACAAGTCATGGGAGGAATGACTCTCAAGTTGATGAGCTCAGATATGTGGCTATCAGCCCCTCCTTGCAGGAAAAAAGAAAATCATGCAACTGCAGGGAAGAAAGAAACAGGTGAAACAGTAAAAGGCGGTATATCCATCTCATGCGCTTTTCTTGCATATTCGCCTCAGCACTTCGACTTTACTCGCCACCAAGGCAATGTCTTCTCTGCAGGCAACTGTATTCCATACAGTGGAACCTATTTTTCGTGTATCTCGGGACCATGAGCAGAGTGCGGACATCTGATGATTTCTGTTCTTCGCAGCAACTCCCCTCCTTCCGACCATCCAAAGGCTATCTGGAAGCACAAGTAGAATCCCCGACCAATCTAGACATATCGGACCGACTTGCCATCTATCACAGCAGATAATTCTGGTTTGACTCTCCAGTTGCAATGATATACGTCACCCGACATGCATGCACGTACTTCCCAGTTGGGTATGGAAGCATACATGCCCGACTGTTGCCAGCTGTATAAGACATCTCACATTACGGTATACCAGCCATCGACCTCAGGCAGACATGCTTTGTATAGTATATTAGTATATTACCATCATGCAGCAAATCCTTGTCGCCGCTTCACACCCAACGCGAGCTAGAATACACTTATTGCGTCCCAACCCCTCCACGCGATGCAGATTATTATCGACCTGTTTTTATATATCTACCATCAAACTCTCTTGCTTCTATTTCACCGAATCACCAATTCCCCGCCTCAACGTGAGCCACAAGAAGTGCCAACACGGTCACTGCCAGAGCCGGAACCACCAGAGCCGGAACCAGAAGAACCACACACAGATACAGATAGCACAATGTCAACGAAACGAGCCCTGATGATCGCCGCCCCATTCGAGGGTCTGCGAGGTCCCATCCGCGACGCAGAACGAATGGAAGCCGTCCTCCGGAAACAAGACTTCGAAATCACAACCTGCTACGGCGCCGATGCCACTCGCAGTGGTATTCTCAACGCGTGGCAGAATCTTATCTCGACCATCTCGACGGGCGATGCAGTCGTCATCTATTACTCCGGCCACGGAGGATTAGTGCAGTCCAAGGACGGCGAGAGCAGTTCGGGAAAGCCGTGGCAATACCAGTTCCTCGTGCCTGTTGACTATGACCAGACCACCGACGATGATTTCAGGGGTATTCTCGATGTGGAAATCTCACATATGCTGCAGGATACGACGGATAAGACGCGAAATGTCACTATCATCCTTGACTGCTGCCACTCGGGTCGCATGTTTCGTGCTCCAGGGATGGGCCAGAAGGCGCATGCGAAGAATCTCGAAGAGACGCAATACCACCAGGTCGCAAAATACCTGACTACACTGCGCGAAGCAGGCCATTTCCACGGCGAGGTATCCCTCACCGGCAACCCGTACGCCGTGCGGGTGGTGGCTGCTGCGACGTCGGAAACGGCATGGGAATACATGGACTCGAACGGACAATGGGGCGGTGCGTATACAGAGGCGTTGGCGAGAGCAATAGAAGAGACGGCCGGCCATGAACTCTCGTGGAGAACGACATTGATGCGTGTGTCGCAGCTGGTCAATGTCAAATTCCCAACGCAGCATCCCCAGGCTGAAGGACCCGAGACACGGATTCCCTTCTCGATGCAGCATGCCATGGCGGGGGCATTTCATCTGAGAGTGGTGAATAATGCTGCTATTCTCGAGGCAGGAAGTGTGCTGGGCGTTCGAAAGGGAAATGTATACTCGATTGTGCCACTGGACTCGGATGACCACGGCGAAGGCGATGAGTTTCCTGAAGCGACCGTGACGGTGGTTGCTGCGTTCAAAGCAAAGGTGAAGCTGACCTTTATGCCGTCTTGGGAGAATCTGCAGCATCTGGGTGCGTTGGCGTTTCTGAAGCGGGAGACCGTCGAGAAACAGCCGGTGTCTGTGACTTCGGAGAATGAGAGTCTTCTTGAAGGAGTCGATAGTTCACGATACCTTCAACGTCGAGGAGAGGAGGATACCAGAGATGCTATCCTCGACTTCCGCCAGGAAGAGCAGTCTGTCATCCTGAGCAATGCAAAGGGGATTGAAGTTGGATCCTGTCCCATGGAGGGAGCTGAGGTATCTCAAGCCTTTGACGACCTTCTCCTCACAGCCGAACGATACGTCAGAGCCCAACGGGTTCTCGACCTCCGCTGTGCCCGAATCGAAGACAGACTCGACCATCTCCTCAATGTGGAAATCGGCATCGTCGAGGACGGGGAAGTCAGCAGGAAGTTCGAAGACGGCGGCCCGAACCACATCGACCAGAAAGATAAGATCTACATCCAGCTGCTCAACAACGGCAACACCACCATCTACATCTCCATCTTCGACGTCAACGTCGCTGGTCGGATCTCGTTGATCACCGAGCCGTATCCACTCGGTATGGAGTTGCCGCCTAGCCGCTCAGTCACGCTCGGAAGCGACGAGTTTGGAGATCTCGTTGGGCTGCAGGTATCGTGGCCGGACGAGGTTCCTAAGAAGGTGCCTATCGAGGAGAACTATGTCTTCGTCATCACCAGTTCACCGGTCGATCTTCGCCATCTCACTGACTCGGAAAGCCTCAACGTCAGGCTTGTTCGGGATACAGCCGTAGCCACTAATTCTGTCAACATCCGTTATGACATCCTCCACGTTCCATTCGATATCCGCCCTGTGGAAGAAGAACCCCAGCCAGCAGAAGAGGAACGACAGATCGAATTGCCAGATATGGAGCATACTGAAGATAAAGAATGCCCCGCAGATGGACTTCCAGACTGTGACTGTCTACCGGAATGTGAAAGCCTCCCCGAGTTTCCTCCGATGGATATGCCAAAGGTGAGCATACTTACGCCTACTTAACGCATTTACTGATTAATTAGGGAATCATCGGTGGCATCATCCGAGCAACCAAAAACATCCCACCGTGCATCTGGGTCGTCAACAAACACACCGAACCCATCACCGTCGTGGTATCCAAGTACCGTCCCAACCGCATGTTGACCGGCATTGGCCTCAATGGCTCTGCCACTGGGGCTGGTGTCAACTTCAACTCGTCCGTATGTATCCTCCATCACATATCTAAATATCAGCTAACAAAAATAGACATGGGTCGGACCCGCAACCAAAAAATCCCTCCCACCCGTCGGATCAACTGGCAAATCGATGGCAGTCTTCCCGCTGTGGACACGAAGGGAGGGATTCGGCGTCATTTCAGTATTCAAGGGCGAAGAGCAGAAGCTGTTTATCGAGAATGACCAGGTGCCGCTGGGTGCGACTGCTTATTTCGAGAATAACCCCGACTTGGATATTGTTCATTTCGCGGGTGGGAAGCAGAATAATGGGATGTTCTAGGTAGTTTATATAGATATAGTTGCCGAATGATATATAATGCGAATTTATGTCTATCTTGCTACATCCCGATCAATATAGACCAAGGAATATAGCATCAACTCTCATGTATCTCCTCCGGCCATAGTAGTCTCCTCGTATAAACACCCCAAACATGTGCACCCCCAACAAATAACCACATCGCCACCTGTAAGATAGTCAAGATACTCGACACCCACAAGATGGCATTAGATTCCAGTGCCTGTCCGATCTTGATAATCGCGAGGATAAACCCTGTATTCGGGAAGACCATACTCCACCACGCTAACGAGATGCCCATTTCCCCTTTCCCGTGTAAGTTGCATGCGGACAGGGTACTTAGTGCTGCGATGCAGAAGAAGAAAAACGCCATCGTCCACATGAATACTGCTGTCAGTGTGGCTAGTACTACGGCGATGTCGGCCGTTGATACTGCGGTGTTTGCTCTGGGGGCGTCGAATGCAGAGATAATATACTGCTCTGGAAATTTCGTTGTCGCTTCGCTTGCCATGCCGATTATGGCGATGGAAGTGAAGCTTGGCGGGCCTACGGCGATGAACATTTCAGGTCGCTCGGATGGTTTCGGTAAGCCTGATTTGTTCAGTCGGTAGACGAACTCGGCGTAGATGAAAAGAGACATGAGGAAACCGAAGCCTTGTAGAGTCGTTCCACCAAAGAGGATGGGGATGGCTTGGACGGGTGGTTCTCCAGATACGACGATAGATGCCATCGTGCCACATAGCATTGCTGGGAAGGAAGGTAATAGTCGGACGAGGGCAAATGGTTGTCGACTGGCCATTTTGACAGAATAAAGATACCAATTCTGGATGACGGCGAAGAAGATCGACACGGCGGCGTAGATCCAGAAGAGAACGCGGAGGGCAACGTTGAGCCATGGACCGCAGGAGGAGGTACCATATGATGCGATTCCCATGATGATGGTTGCGATGGCGAGGATGGCGGTTGCCAGGAAATGCGATTCATTCGGATCTTGGAGAGAGGCTTTTAGAGAGGATGGATCAGAGGTGAATCGGATAACCATGGCCGTGCATATTGAGAGGAACAGAACCAGATTGAAGATGAAGAATATCTTTCCAATGGTCTGCAGGCCTGTGAATTGATGCGGTGTCTGATGCAGCAGAAGGGCAATGCCCCCCGTGCTCATCGAACTGGCATACCAGCCCCAGGACACTTGGCAGATGCGCTGCCTCAGCCATACTTTTTCTTTCATTCTGTATCAATTGAAGTCGATGTAAAATTGGAGTCAATGCAAGATAAATTCAGGTAAAGAAAATGCATTGTTCTATGACGTTATGATCCGAGGCATAACTTGATTCGATAAAAGTGGGTCTGTATCACCACTACAATATAACATCATCTGAATCTCATATCAAGATAATTATTAAATATCAGAATACGCCAAATGCCCCAAATCCCTCCCCACCTGTTTCGTGGCCGCCATCGCATCCTCACTCCACGGCGCCATCTGCAAGAAACCATGCGGGAGACTTTCAAAATGCCGCCAGACAACCGGATTGCCGGCATCTTGCAGTTTCGATGCGTATTCTACTCCGACGTCGCGAAGAGGATCGAATCCATTCGTGTATACTGCTGCTGTAGGTAGATTCTGGAGTGAAGTCGCAGGTTGCATTCCGGGTGATATATACGGATGTGAAGGGGGGACTCCGCGTGGGAGATAGTGGTCTGCAAAGGAGAATATTCCATTGCCTGTTTATTAGTATAAAGCAAATAAAAGGATGGAATGCCTTACACTCGAGATAAAAGCCAGAATGATTCTCCTCGGCCGCTTTCGTATCAAACGGTACTCGTGCTTCAGGGTATAACAAGATCTGCGCATGCAACGGCTTCATCTTCGCCTTTTCATCTCTCAGCATCAACGACAGAGCAGCAGTCATATTCCCTCCAGCACTATCGCCCCCTCCACAGACTCTCTTCGGATTGACGCCTCGTTCTTTCCCACCCCCATTCTGAACCCATTCAACGACCGTTTTATATTCGTCCAGCTGAGTCGGAAACTTCCACTCCGGCGCCAATCGATACTCCACCGCATACACCTGTACACCACTTTCCTCTGCTAGAATGCGACATCCATTCTCAAACTCATCCACTGTGCCGACCGTATATCCCCCGCCATGGAAATAGATTAATGCAGCTGAATCGCGGCCTCGTTGGCGGTCTCTACTGCTGGAGGGATAAAAAATCCGAATTGGAATCGTACCGTGTGGTCCGCGAATAGCAGTGTGTTCAATACGATCAATCGGAGCATGGAGCGATGCTCGAAGGGTGTGGAACCCAAATATTTGAGAGTGATGCTGTCGCTCGCGGAGAAAGTCTGGACCACCGAGATGGAGATTGGGATTGTCGGAGAGGAAGTTTTGGATTTGAGGGTCGAGGGTGGAGCGAGTGGCTGTTTGGGGGATGCAGTTTTCAAACATTTTGATTATTTATTGTATGTGAAGCTATTATGCTGGGCTCGTTGCGGTTAAAAGTTATAGATGGGATTCGGGCGACGTCATAGCATGGTAATATCTACGCTTATCAGATATCAAGATTTACAGTAGATCCTACCACAGAAGAGATGGATCTAATATAAACTCCTCAAATCCTTGGTTCTATCGCCCACACGCGATGTATATCGGATATATGGTTGATTAGAATGGCCAGTCACCATAACTCTAATGGATCTTAGGATATCATCATAACGCTAACGCTAAAGCAACTCTAGTATTCATAAGAGGGGATATATAGAAAATAAAAATCTAACTAACATCTACGAACAAAGATGCTCTTCCAAAAACCTCGTCTGGGTCTGGACATTCCGCTCAAAGTTTGACCCCGAATAAGCACCGAAATGGCCGCCGGGAAGGATCTGCAGTTGTTTAGGCTCTAGGGCACGAGAATATGCTTCCAGTGCGAGATATGTTGGTGTGACACAGTCATCGCGAGCAACAGTCATCAGCAGTGGTGTTGGAGAGATAAGTTGAATATGTGAAGAGGGGATGTATGAGCGGAATCCCTCGAGTCTAAGATATCAGAGAGATTAGTTCTGTAAATGAATGGATGGACTCACGTTTTTACAGTTACTTCATTCTGCCAGGTGCTCTTTTCTTCCCAGCTGGAGAAGAATTTATAACTATCCGGCGAAGGGAGAGCAGATGGTTTATTGGGATCGATGTCCACGACGGAGAGAGAGCCCGGTGGTTGTCCAGCAGCTCGATCAAGACGGTCTATCATGGTTAGACGGACTCTTCAACACTGGTATAATCTTATAGACTCACCCTGTTGAAACAACAAATTCAAAGCATCGAGAAAATCCGGCCTCACGACACGGTGAAACGTCGCCCAGCCATCCACCAACGGAATCTGGCTCAGAACAGACTTGACTCTTCGGTCAACAGCCCCAACATACAACACATTTCCACCACTAAACGAAGTCCCCCAGATGCCGATCTTATCTGCGTCGACGTCATCGCGAGATTGCGCGTAGGTAATCGCATCAGACAGATCACTATTCTGCTCCGCGGGAATAATCTCCTGGCGAGGCTGGCCTTCTTTGGTGTCGCTTTCGCCGAAGCCGCGATTATCGTAGACGAGACAGTGGAGCGGCAGGTTTGAAGCGAAATGTCTGGCGAATGTAGCTATATCCATTTCTTTAACTGCGGAGAAGCCGGGGCTGAGGACGAGACAGGGCAGTTCGGATGAACTGGCGGTGCTGCTGAAAAACCATCCTCGCAGAGTGACGCCGTCGGCGGTTTGGAAGGAGATGGACTCCGTCATTTTTAGTTTGTTGTTTTGTTTTATTGTATCTTATTCAGATTTTAGTGCAAGACACCGGGTTATAACTAATGTGGAATAGCTGCATGGTGAGGTGGCAGTGCCCCTCGATTATAATTACCCCGCTTGCTCCCACCATCTCTTCGTCTATACGAGAATCATCCTCGCCATGGCAGATCTCTCGGGAAAAGTCGCTCTCGTCACCGGTGGAGGGTCGGGCATCAATCTGGCCTTTACTAGACTGCTTATCGAAGCCGGGTGTAAAGTGCTCATCGCCGATCTAGGCCTGCACGCACAAGCCGAAGAATGGATCGCCTCTATAGAATCCGACGCTGAAAAACGCGCCCGCGTCCACTTCCACAAAACAGATGTGACAGAATGGGCGCAACTTACGGCTGCATTCGAGGCGTGTGCCGAGAAATTCGGGACCAAGGCGCCTGATATCGTGGTGCCGGGAGCGGGGGTGTTTGAGCCGACGACGAATTCGTTCTGGGGCGATAACGATACCGACTCGCGGTTTAAGGTGTTTGATATTGACCTCGTGCATCCGGTGAAGCTGTCACGGATGGCGATATCGCGGCTGCGAGAGGCGAAGAAGCCCGGGGCGATCGTGCATGTCTCGAGCGTGGCGGGGCAGTTTGCGTCGCTCTCGGCGCCGCTGTATTGCATCGCCAAGCATGGGATCAACGCGTTTGTTTGGGCGATGGCTTCGCTTGAGGAGATGTGCGGGATTCGCGTAGTTGCTGTGGCTCCTGAGTACCTCTCTCTTTCCTTCTTTGATGGATATAGCTGATGTGATGATAGCGCCACAAAGAGTCCGCTATACAACGAGAGTGCACTAGCAACACAACTGGCGGCTGCAAATTATAGCGTGCTTGAAACCGAGACGGTCGCAGAAGCCATGTTCGCGGTGATGACGCAGAAGGAGACATACAAGGGAGGAACAGTGCTGGAGGTGTGCCATCCAACAGACTGGCGGGTGGTGAACCGGTTGAACGATCCAGGGCCACAGGGACTGCCGGCGAATGTGCGTAGCAAGCAGATAGAGATGGTGGGACGTGTGTTGAAGGTGGATGAATGATCAGGATTGAGCTGAAAGTATTTTGATTATAGTTAAATAAGAGTACTATTTTGTCTATTTGGACAGGACAGAAAAAGAAAAAGAAAAAAGAAAGTAGCATGTCCTCGTTTCGATCGAGGGACCTTCGGGTTATGAGCCCGACGCTCTTCCCCTGAGCTAACATGCTGGGGTTGTTGAAATAGCAACATAATTTAAACTTATAACCCAGCACGGGATAATAATACCAACACCTGCTGTATATCCTTATCTATTTAATGTTTATTTCCCTGTTATTGAAGGCTGCTGCATTCTAACTATTGAGCGATTTATTCACATAACATAATTGCGGCCTGCACTGCTGCCTGTTATCCCCCGCGTCTACCCCGCACGGTTATATACATCCATCCATCTCCGCCATCTATTCTCCTCATCACAACAAACCATCAACAATCATAGCAACAATGGAACCAACACCAACTCTCCAAACTCGCCTCGACCAAATCCAATCCTTCAACCTCTCAGCTTCCATAAAAGCCCTCGCTGAACTCACCCCAAACCTCACCTCCTCCATCACACCCACCGGCGACCGTCTCATCTCCCACTTCGCATACCCAGGCACAGCCAATCTCGATCTCCTCGCCAAGTTCTTCCTGAAAAGCGGTAAAAATTGCGCAAGGGAAAATGCAAGTCTGGAAACTCGTCTGCTGCATCACTCGATGGACCCGATCTTCTACGTTCTCTACTGCGGGACGGAAAATGCGTTCCGAGAGTCGGGTATTGAGGGAAATTACTCCACCGAGCTCGGGGGTTGCTGCGCGCATTGCAGTGGTGAGCCGGCGGCTGTGATTCCGGACCAGATGGCGGATGGGGAGGCGCTGTTTTTCGAAGAGGAGCATTATAATCGACTTTGGGGGGATCAGGAGTCTCTCGGGATGAGGGTTTCCTGGCCAAATGGGGTGAGGGGGGAGACGTGGTTGAGAGCGTCGAGGGAGCAGGTTGAAGATGCTATTGCGAGAAATGCGGAGGGGAGTGCTGCTTCTCAGGCTATGCTGTAGTTGTGTTGATTTTATTTTACAAAGACTATATCTAATATACATCTTGTTTAAGAGCAGCTGCTGCTTCCAGCGACAAAGGTTCCATCCGAGTTCTCGCAGCCACAGGTTCCGTCGTCAGGGCTCTTGATGCAGCTGGTTCCATAGCCGGAGGATTCGCCATTGTCACTGAATGCGTTAGTATTATTATTTCACAGAGATTGAATGCTAATACTTACTTCCAGAAGAAAGTCCAGCAATCGTCGTCGCTGTCGGTCATCTCACTGTCTGTAGGGGCAGTGCAAGTATAGGCCTTGCAGGTTCCGTACGGAGCGCCGTGAGATGAATCGTACTGGTGGTCAGTCACGAAGACAGCAAATGTTTGGGTTTCTATTCTGTCAGTGAGGATCGGAAGAGGAGAAAAGATGGCATACCCGATGTTCTGGTATTGTGGGAACATTCAGCAGCCTGAATGGCAGTCGATGTTTTGGCCGCTGTATATATGAGCTTCATTCTTCACCAGATAGCAGATGACATACGATCGCAGTTGACCTTCCCAGGGCATTTTCCCTTGGTGTTAGACGATGCCGGGTCGAGAGTTGCAGCTGCAAGACCAGCAAGAGCAAGACCGAGGAGATACTTGGCAGAAACCATTTTGAGTACGAAGAGTGAAGATGAGATACTCCGATGAAGATAGGAGATGGTCGATACCTATATATGGGTGAAAGTGAGACATTTAGCTTTCTCAAACAATCATCTCCGCTTTATCCCGTCTAGCTAGTTTCATATTTTGGTCGTGGATCAACATGATTCTAGACTTTGGGAGTTTTTGACTTGTTTATGAGTCGATTTATGGTGTAGATTAAGGGGTGTTTGAGGTTGGATCCACTTTATATCATGCCACGCAATGCTTAATAGGAGTAGTATAGCTAACATATCGATCGGAAATAGTTGTTTATAAATATAGTTTATAGAAATAGTTTATATGAGTGTAAATAACCTTAAATTATTCAAGAAATCTATGGATTAATTTTGTTAATTAACCACTCTGCTATAGTACTGCTAGATAATTATCTATTACACGTCCTATGAACAACATTTATTATCTGTCTATCTGCCTGATGGATGTCGAATATTATCGAACCATCAACTATATATTGATTTATGGGCATAATATTTCTGTCATGCATGACTAACAATGCACGATGGCTTCATACACAATGGCGATGGTGTCATCGAGATCATATAAAGCAGTTTCCCCTCACAAATACAAAAACACCCACATCACCATGTCTACTGGATTCGAGCCATTCTCTGTCCCTGGAGCGCAAATCGTCCACGGAAATGAATTCCCATACGGTCTTCGAGTAAAATCAACCAACAAAGACATACCAATTGAAGACTCGGTCAATGCGATAACCTCCCTATCCGAATCCGGCCAACTATCGCAGCTTCTCCAGAAACATGGCGCCGTAGTGATCAGCGGCATCGGCCATCCCTCTGCAGACAGCTTTGCAAAGCTAATTAACGCAGCTGAAAAGGGCAGAGGATCGTATCCTTTTGTACAGATTGGATTGGCTGGGAAGCGGAACGTCGTGGGAGAGAATGTGTGGACTGCGAATGAAGGGCCACCAGATCGGAGGTTCTATCAGCATAATGAGGTGAGTTTATTATTGTATATGGTGGTTTAGCTCTGATTGGATAGTATTCGCGGTATACTCGGTTTCCGGCGAATATACACTTTTATTGCGAGAAGAGAGCAGATGAAGGTATTCCCTCTCGCCCGTTTCTTTTGGTGTCTTTGATTCATAAATATAGGCGGAGCAACACCCATCGCCCACAGCGCCCTAGTCTTCGGAAAAGTCCAAGAAGCAGTCCCCGAACTGGTTGAAAACATCCGCCAACGCGGTCTCGCCATGAAAATGGCATTTCGCAGCCCGGGGAACGAAGGAAAAGGAAACGAATTCAACTGGGCTGGGGAGTACAGCTTTGGACAGGAATTCCAGCCAGACGATGACCTTGCGACGAGAAAAGCCAAGGTTGAGGTGCAAGTGCGGAAACTTACGGAGCATTTCAAGTGGGATGAGGATGATAGTTTGGAGTTGACGCAGTTTATCCCTGGTGGGTATATCCAAGGTGATGAGTGATGTTTTATGCTGAGAGAGGACAGGTATTCGACGTGCACCTGACAGTGGACGTCCCGTCTGGTTTAACGGGTTGGTTGGACGATTCGGAATGACGAGGGATATTGGGGCTCTTGATCCGCCTTATATTGGACGGGATGGGATGACATGTAAGCTTTATTGTTGTTATGCTGTGCTATGCTAATGTGTAGATCTCCCATGTGATTACGGTGATGGCACGACTATTCCTAGAGAGTATTTGGAGAGACTGGAGGAGGTTATCAGCAAGCTGGAAGTGCATCTCACTTTGGATGAAGGAGATATTCTGTTGGTGGACAACTTTCAGGCTTCACACGGTCGGATGCCGTGGAAGGGAGACCGCAGAATTCTAGTCAGCATGTGGGATGGCCAGACCCCTATTCAGGCATTCTGAAGCCTTCGTTATTGATATACTTTATGATGGAGAGTGTCATGGTGCTGCCTGTGTATAGCAAGTATCCATCCATCTCTTCACTCTTCACTCTCTATCTATTCATCTATTCTTTATTCATCTACTCATCTCTTCATCTCATAATATCACTTTACACTTGATAACTTAACAACAAGCAGCATGGCATCTCTTCATCCCATCCTTGCCATCCTTGCCATCCCAGAGCTCATCGAGCTTATCCTCCTCAACCTGGACACGCGTACTCTCCTAACCTCAGCACAAAGAGTATGCCACCAGTGGCACAAAATAATCGCCAACTCGAAGCCTCTTCAACAGGCTCTCTTTTTCGAACCCACCGAAGAAGAACACGACAAACCAAACCAAAAGAGAATACGAAACCCTTTCATCGAGAAGATCTGGCCGCAACTCTTTACCCAGTTAGGAGCCTTCAACCAAAAGAAGGATGAAGGGAACAAATATCTGCGCGAGAGCGCCAGCTGGCGGCGTATGCTCATTCAACAGCCGCCAACATCGAAAATCACCGTTGTCAACCCGGTGAACTCATCCAAGTTCATCAAGGAGAAGGCGAAACACTATGGAGAGGTGTGCTACGGCGCTCATCTCCGTATGCACGTCTTGTATGATCTCTTCAAGAAGGATGTGATCAATTTTTGCCATGAAGCGTGGACACTTTCCTCCGACGACCCAAGGTTCCACATGACGATGATGGGCAACTATTACAAGATTGTCATTTGGCAAGCACTGCAGAAGTGCGCTATTGTCGTGTTTACACCCCATGCCCAGGACATTCTTAACCCTGCGCAGTATGTTCGCAAGTTTGAGCGCTGCTATTATGCCGAGCCCGAGTTAATACAGTGGTTTAATGAATATAGGGCCAGTTACGAATGGAATGAGAAGTATGGAATTTGTATTGAGAATGTCTAGTATTGATGAGTGGTGTTTGTATTTTCATTTCTTTTTCATTCCTTGTATCCCTGATGTGTATGCTTACTCCCTTTATGTGTGTGTGTGTGCGCGTGTGTGTGATAGTCGTGTTTTAAAATAATACAATGTATACTTGACCTGTCAAAGATCAAATCCATTTGATATTGAGTATTAAGACTACACGTAGAGGCACCTGCTTACCATTAAATTCGCCACATTTCACCAGTATCTGTAAGGAAAAAATAACAGTAGACTGCAGAAGGGTGAATTTGCCACTATTGTCTGATGGATGCCTAGACACTTCTTCGTATGACGTCTTTGAAGTATCCCATGCGATAGCTACCTAATATAGCACTGTCTCACTATGATTTCATATATCTTCATGGCTCCCTAGCAATGCTAGATTCTGAATTGCAGCCAGACCATACAGAGCACTTATGTTGGTTGATATCCAGCTCGTCTCGTCAACAGCGATAGGCACTGAGCTTCCTGTAATAGCTTGACTTTCCCAGGATACGTCCGTGTAGCCATCCCCTGTATAGAATTCCTCCCAAGCACGGCGCAAGAGAGTGGAGTTATTTAGTATCTTTGCTGCATACGCAGTCAGTCTGGAATGGCCTTGACGGAGAATAAGAGATCCAAAGTCCACTCCATATCGTTCTCGCTGATCTTCTGCGCTGGCATTGAAATTGCGGCAGTAGCCCAGCCATGCCTCTTTAAATCCATCTGGTATGTCAGGCAGGTTATCGATGATCTCTGCACATATTTCGAATAACCCGAACATGGCAGATAAATGAGACACTTTGACTGTTCCTTTGTTGTCGATATCGTGAGAGGGAGAATAGATATCCCCAGTGGAAGTATTGTATAGTGCCATCCCAGTCACGAATCCATTGTGTAGTCGACCAATTCCTCTCATCGACGTAACTAACTTGCTCAATGCATCCTCCCAACCAGGAACTCTCCTCTCCCAAGCTGTAAACCAAGCAGCTGCAAAAGCAGACCAATCCGTCCCCAGTGAAATCGACACAGCATCCACAGCAGGACGATACGAATCTCTATCGCTGCGAACCTTTCTATACGGATCCAACGTTAACAACGTCCCCTCCGCATTAACCGTCTCATCCAACACATCCCCAATCCTCTCATCACCACCAGTGAGATAATAGAAAATCCGTCTATACATAGCACTCGATACACGAGCCTGTTTGCAGCTATCACTCCAATGCTGCACGCCATGGCGTGTCCCAAGCCCTTTCCACGGCCCAATATGATAGGTGTCTACCTCGCTTGTATGTCTAGTCAGAGACTCCGCTAGACGGTATACATCCTCTCGACCCGTGCGGAGAAAGTATAGCCAGAAGAAGAGATCAGGGGAGAGTTCGGAATTGTCCCATGCGTAGCCTCCAACGTCGTAGCGCCAGGTGTGTCGGTCTTCATCGTAGGTGTGCATGATGTCGCCGTGGTCCCAGAATCCGTACCAGCGACGTTGGTGGATTTGGGTGCGGTAGAAGGTGAAGAGGAAGTTGAGATTATCGTTGATGAACTTTTCTTTTGAGGATGGATTTGGTTTCATGGGGGACCAGTACTCTCCTAATGCTCGAGTATCTGCGATGTATTCAATGTCTGGAATCAAAACAGGAGGATTGCGCATGTATTCTGTCGTACTGGCCAATTCAGCTGAACTTGGCGTTTTGTCGAAAGCAAAGATATAGATCTCGTTCGTCCGGGAAATACCATATGGCGTCCCTGTACCCTCTTCCCAATCCTCGTACGTGATACGCAGCGCATCAAGCTGCTCATCATAGCTATCCTGCTGCAACCCATCATGATATGGACGAAGATCCATCACTTCTGCAGATGGACTATATAGCCACAGGGTAATCTCACCAACATCACCATTCGCATCTCTCACGTCGATACTAGTAGGATATCGCTCCCAGAAATGGCGCATACCAATCCCCAATCCCCCTCGCGATGCACCACCAAGATAGGCCAGTCCACCAGCTCGAGTACCACCGGGTATATTAACCCAGCTGTATTTTGCGCCCGTTCTCTTCTTCATAGTGTATCCGTCTGGTGACAGCTGAGAGAGGGTGTAGTCATTCCAGCACGGAATCCACTTCATATAAGACCCGACATCTTCACCCCAGGTATCTGGAGCAGGAAGGGACTGACCATCTATCTGTGCTTTGCGAATATCTATACCAGGATCTCTGCGGAGACCTGTTACTCCTTGGATGGCCTCACTAAACACACCATCAACACCGGCGAATCGAACGTGACGGTTGTATGGGCGTTCATCTTCCAGGGGAACATGGAATCGAATGCCGATTCCTTGGATAAAATCTTTCTGCGGATCGCCATCGTAGATGATAGTATGTATAACGCGAATTGCTTCCGAGTTGGAATATAGATAAAACCGTAAGATAAACGGAAGCCACGCACGATGGCCCAGATGGTGATTTCCACGAATGACCAAAACTGCTCTGATATGGCCTTGTTGCTCGATAGTCACACTTTCAATGTGGCTTTTATCTTCTCGACATTTTCCAAGCCCTGACCATTCAGTTCTGGACAAGAGGATTAAATGTCCCCTCGCACCAATACGATTTCCATGACTGTTGGTAATGCTTTTGATGACTTCATCTCCTGTGGTTGGAAACACCACGCGAACCTTGCCTGTATCAACAGTGATGGAATTTCCTAATGTGTCGTGTGCTATCTTGATTCCCACATTCTTCGTCTCTTGCGATGGTATAGCACGGATCGAATAATTGTTCGTTAAAGAATGGGTAGCTATGGCATGACCAGTCCATTTGATAGATCCATCGGGCCAGTATGCCGTAATCCACGACCGCAATGGAATCTCCCCATTATCGGTGGTACAGAGAAAAGTTATTTTACTAGGCCAGTATATTCCCCTCGGCCATGGCACTCCAAATGTCGTCCCGAAAGTAGCATTCGGTGGAGATCCGAGCCATTTGAGATGTGGTTGGTTTTCCGATATCGAAGACATTTTACTCAACTGTAGGATGGTTGAAAAAGAGAAGTTTTCGATGTCAGTGAAGTGGAAGATAGGCCATGGGAATGCTGTTGGGTAGTTGTGTTACCATCAAGAGCAGCGATGACGAGCTTGATAACCGATTCTAGATGCAGTGTCTAATATAAATTTCTCCATCAATAAGAATAAAGAATGATAAAATGATAGAACTATTATTATCGGTGGCTTTAGCTTATTACCGATGCATGTGTTGGTAAATGAGAATAAGCCCGAACTGATGCCATTCGTACTTATATGGCAACATCGCCAACTGGATTTTTTCCACATTTTAGATGGATATGATATTAAAGAATGAATTGAATGTCGTGCTTAAATATGAAACTAGTTTTAGAATAAAGGCAAATATATTAACTTCTGTCAGAGTATTCTATACTGATGCTTACACCATCTTCTGACAGGAGCACGTATGGCTGATATCAATATTCGAAGATGCTATAAAGTCATATCAATAGACACACTGCATAAAATGTTCCATATGTTTCTTCATAATGTCAAATACACAGTCTAATAAGCTGCCAGACGCAGCCAAAGATGGAACTATCATCAATCTCGCCGAACCAGAAGAGATTCAACACCAAAGCTTTCTATCTTCCTTTTTCTCGCGCAAGAAACCAGTCGACTTGGATGCCATCGCCACCACGCGGAGTGTATTCGACGACCCCAATCTAGCCCGCTACTACCTCCCTCATCCAGAATACGAAAACCGACATCGCTTCGATCCGTCAGAAAGATGGACACATCGCGAAGAAAGAGCAGTTCGACGCAAGACCGATCTGAAAATCTTCCTCTGGATTCTCGTCATGTTCTTCGGTCTTAATCTCGATCGAGGCAATCTGGGGAATGCTTCTGCGGATAACCTTCTTCCTGATTTGAATATTAATACGAACGACTACAACAACGCGCAGAACATGTATCGTATTGGCTTTCTCATTTCTGAAATCCCATCGCAGATGATCGGAAAGAGACTTGGTCCTGATCGATGGATTCCCGTGCAAATCATCCTGTGGAGTCTGGCATCTGGCGGACAGTTCTTTATCCACAATCGTGCTGGATTCTTTGCCTGTCGGTTCTTTCTTGGATTGTTCATGGGAGGGTTCATCCCTGATGCCATCTTATATCTATCCTACTTTTATAAGAAAACGGAAATGCCGCTCCGTCTGGCATTCTTCTGGTTTGTCGACTCCATGTCTGGCGTGATCGCCTCGTTCATTGCCTATGGAGTCCTGCACATGCGAGGCGTCCAAGGTCGAGCTGGATGGCGATGGTTATTCCTGATCGAAGCGTTGATCAGCTTGGTCATTGGAATTTTCAGCTTCCTATTCCTCGTTCCCAGTCCGACTCAGACTGTGACTTGGTGGAATCCAAAGGGATATTTCACTGAACGAGAGGAGAAGATCATCGTCAATCGTGTGCTTCGCGACGATCCATCGAAAGGCGACATGCATAACCGGCAGGCACTGACGCTGAAGATGCTCTGGCAAAGTGTCAAAGACTACGATTTATGGCCGATCTATCTTGTCGGTATCTTATTTGAGATTCCTACGTCGCCGCCAAAGTCGTATCTCAGTCTGTCGCTGAAAGCAATCGGATTTAGTACATTCCAGACAACATTACTGGGTATTCCGGTGACAGTCTTTGCGGCTATAAATCTACTGCTCATCACGGAATTGTCTGAACGAGTGCACCAAATCTCCCTCATTGGCATTCTAACCCAGCTCTGGTCCCTCCCGCTCCTCATCATCCTCTACCGATCAGCCAGCACCCTCTCCCACTGGGGCTTATACGCCGTCACCTTTGTTCTTCTAGGCTGGCCATCTCCCCACGCAGCCCAAGTCGGCTGGTGCTCACGCCTCAGCAACGCCGTCCGAACTCGAACCGTCAGTGCGGCACTATACAACATCACGATTCAGCTCTCTGGAATTGCATCATCGAATATCTACCGCGATGATGATAAACCGTACTACCACCGTGGAGACGAACAGTTGATTGCGATTAATATCGCGACCATCGCGGCGTATATCCTGGCCAAAGTGTACTATGTGCAGAGGAACAAGTGGAAGAGTAACCGATGGAATGCGATGAATGAGCAGGAAAAGGCAGAGTATTTGGAGACGACCAAGGATGAGGGCAATAAACGGTTGGACTTTTTGTTTGATAGTTAGATATGATGTGTGTGGTTGGTTTATATTAATTGATATCAGATGTGCTATTATGGCGTGACATTAAGTCCACCAACAGTAAGATGCCATTGCTAATAGATATAAAGACAGCAATCTACCATATTTTAATTGTCCAAGTAAATATCAAAATGACTCTTCAATTCCCTGAAAAACCTCACGGCCTCCCTCATCCAGAGTACACCACTCCTCGTGGCGTCTCTCCCCTCCACTCTGTCCGAGAAGCAGGCCTCCAATATCCCAACTACACTCCATTCAAACTCCCAAACCTCGAAGAAAAGCCGTTTACAGACCGCGGCCTGAACGCAGACCCAGCCAAAGCCAGACTCCTCAACGCAGCAACCGACATAATCCATCTCACCCCAGAAATTGGCACCGAGATAGTCGGCCTGCAACTCGCCCATCTCACAAACGACCAACGAGATGATCTCGCCCGGCTAGTCGCCGAACGAGGCGTTGTCTTCTTCCGCGACCAGCAGATGGACGTCCACGAGCAGATCTCGTTCGGGGCGTATTTTGGTGATTTGCACATTCACCAAATGGCAGGCATCATACCGGATCTGCCATGGGTGCATCCAATCTATAAAGATGAGACAGCCGTAAACGGACGATCGCATCAGATCTGGCACTCCGATGTGAGTTATGAGATTCAGCCGCCGGGATTGACGATGCTCAAGATGGATACGTTGCCTCGTGCTGGGCCTGAGGGGAGTTTGGCGGGTGGTGATACCATCTGGGCGAGTGGATATGCTTTATACGAGTGTATTTCTCCTTCCCCTTATATGTGACTATTGCTAAAAAAATATAGCTCTTTCGCCCAAGTTGAGGTCAATCCTGGAAACGCTGGAAGCCAAACACAGCGGTCTTGAACAGGCAGAGAAAGCACTCCGAACAAGTGGTTGTCTCCGACGAGATCCAATTGAAACCATTGTAAGTCAATCATCTATATAGCTGATATGATACTAATGAGAAAGCACCCCGTCGTCCGCACTCACCCCGTCACAAACTGGAAAACGCTGTACGTCAACGAAAATTTCACCAAAGAGATCGTCGGACTCGAAAAACGCATCGGGGACGCCATTCTCGACACCCTCTATCGCACCATTGCCGAGGGATATGAATTCCAGGTTCGGTGGAAGTGGACAGAGAATGCAGTTGCGATTTGGGATAACCGGGCCACTTTTCATACGGGCATTTTTGACTACTGTAAGTTTTCTGTCTATACGTGATGTGAGAGGTGCTGATGAATAGTTCCCCATCTTCGACATGGGCTGCGGGTTGCTCCCCAGGCTGAACGGCCGTATTTCGATCCAGAGTCGAAAACGAGGAGGGAGAGTCTGGAGAAATAGTTCTAGCTGATATATACTAGATGTCGCAATTCATATTCCAACATCATAAAGTAGTCTTATCAATTGTCTCATTCACTTTAAGATGAGCTCATAGAATATGCATATTGACATTAATTAATCGCGTCACCATCCTTGACCATGCCATCGGTCCAGCCCGACATAGAAACCTATAAATCCCTAGAATCTCTTCAAAAATGACTCAATCATCATCGCAATGTATCTCCTCACTCTCCTCTTTTCCACCCTCGCGACCGCCCAACTCATCGGCCCCGTCGGCCCAACAACCTCCCTCTCCGCCAAAACCATCGAGTGCAACATCCTCGACTATGGGGGCGTAGCAGACAACAGCACCGATATCTCAACCGCCCTCGAGTCAACATTCAATGACTGCGTCCGCACAAACCCCGGAAGCCGCCTCATCGTCCCCGAAGGCGAATATCTCATCAACCGTGGTGTTGTGCTGAGCAATGCTACCAACTGGGCATTCCAGCTAGATGGCCTCATCACCGCTGCGTATGGAGGGAATTGGAATATTGACCGTGCGTTGATCCTTGAAGGTTATGCCGGGGTGGATGTTTTGAATGCCACTATCAATGGGGAAGGTGACCAAAAGTTTTTGTTAGATGTGTTGGTTATTGTTAATGGTGAGTGCCATATTCATCCTTTATACTGTGTCTAACAAAGCAGCCGTCGACTTTGAATTCTACTCGTCCAACGGTCTGGGTGCCTTTCAAGGCCAGGGATATCTATATCGTAATCTGAACAAGTACGTCTCTTACACATCACGCTGTCGATGCTGACAATATAGTACCGACCGACCTCGTCTTGTGCGACTGATATCGCCCACGAATGCATCAGTCCATGACTTGATTCTCGTGGACAGTCCTAAGTTCCATATTATTCTGGACTTTGCAGTCAATGTTGAAGCATATCATCTTACTATCCGCGGTGCCAATCTAGGTAGCTACGATGGTCTTGATGCGATTGGGACGAATTATTACATTCATGACAATGAGGTATGTCTTTACTTATCTATGTATAGGATCATTCTAATATAGCAGGTGACAAACCGCGATGAATGCGTCTCGGTAAAAAGCCCCTCTCACCACGCTCTGATTGAGAACCTCGTCTGTAACCAGGCAGGCTCTGGTATCTCCATTGGGAGTTTGAATGTATCTGCGGAAATATCCAACATTGTAAGTCTTCGTAAGCTACTATCGAATATCGCTGACTGTTTAGGTCGCTCGAAACATAAGCATCATCCAAGGAAACAACATTGCCTTTATAAAAACCTACCCTGGTGGATCTGGATATGTGACGAACATCACCTTTGACAACTTCCGTTCAAAAGCGAGTCTATACGGGCTGAATATCAACCAATACTGGCAGAATACTTATGAGCCTGATACCGGGGCTGTCACTCTATCTAATCTCGTTTTTAGGAATTTCTCCGGTATGTCTTCAGCTACCACATATCTATCTATCTAGCTAACAATGTAGGCTCCGTCGCTGATGGCGCCAAACGACCACCTCTGTACTTCATCGGAAACGACCTCACGTACGTCACCAACGTCACAGTCGAAGACTTCTCTGTCTGGACCGAGTCCGGAGATTTCGTCGTCAACAAAATCAACAACATCTTCGGCACAGGCGATGACTCGTATGGAGAGAACAACGGCATCAGTTCGCTGGCAGCCGGAGAAACGCCCCACACTTATACGAGCTCGTACACAATCACGGCATCGCCGACTTCATGGACTGCGCCGCCTTCTCCAGCGTGGGCTGCTCCTAGCACTGGATATGGAAGTAAGTATTCTATCCTTATTATGTTTTGATGTTTGCTAAGAATTAGCTGCGTCTCCTATTCCGGTTTATTCTCCTGCGCCGTTGTGGAGGGCTGGTGGTGTTGATTATGATTTGCATTATTGGGGGAGCTTTTAATCATATCGCTACATCAGCATGATGATGGTCAACTGTATATACAGATCAATCAGAAGAACGTATCCTGGGGAATCCCATCAAGAACCGGCCTCAAATCCGGATCGCCCTTCTTCATTGCCCTTTGATACGCTTCCCTCTTCCCAACCCGGTCCAAATAAGCCATGATATTCGGAAACTCCTCCAAACTATACGGCAAAAACAACCGCATCGTAGTCAGCGAGAAAACCATCATGATATCCGCCCCGGTCAGCTCATTCCCAGCGAGATACTCAAACTCGCCTAGCCGCTTATCCATCCCGCTCAAGCCGATCTGGAATCGATTGCGCATGATAAGCTGTCCTGGATCGTCGGGGGAGATTTTCGCAAACTCCGCAAACACCATCGTGGTGATGGTGGGCTGGACGCTGCCATTCGCGTGGTGGAACCAGAAGAGGTAGTCTGCGTAGTTGGGTTGATCGGGTTTGATCACCAGCTTCCCATTGCCGTACTTGGAGAGGATGTATTCCACGATAGCGCCGGATTCGGCGAGGGCGAGTTCGCCATCTTGGATGACGGGGGCGGTGCCGGACCAGTGGATGTTGCGGTATGGCTCTGGGGCTGAAAGGGTCGGTTCGCGGGCGTAGACTTTCAGCTCGTATGGGATGTTGAGTTCTTCGCAGAGCCAGATGATGCGCTCGGATTGGGAGCGCTTGAGGTGGTGGACTGTTAGGGTCATTTTGATTGTTGATTGATGTTGATGGGTGGATTCAAGCTGATTTATCAATGGCTGTCGTACTTATGCATGGCGGGGTGCTGTAATCGGAGCCATAATATCCGGATATCCGGACTATTCGGAACGGATCCTTGCTCCACCGGAGACAACAAGAGCAGAGTATATTACTGGTTATATTCCTAGTCTGATATATCACAATTAGGGACTTCCTGCAGATTGAGTTGAAATGAACCGTTAGGAATAGATTTCCACTGAATAAACCCATGGCTGGCCTGATGGTGTGTTTGCACTGTTTGATATTCCATCTCCACTGATCTTTGAGAACACAAATGATATCCTTGGAGCGGGGCGTGAGCTAAATTTCGAGTCTTGTTAGGGCGCTTGCTTCACTGGTTCTGCTCGAGCCTTGGTTGATTGGGGCTAGAAATGTATCGGTGTCTATATATATATTCCATTAGGAAGGTGGATGCCAAAATATAAGATAAAAGGGCAACTTACTATGCTCTGGGGTATTTTTTTACGCATCTCTTCACGAGAATATTGAGGCCGAGGCCACAGGTCAAGCACCGCCAGAATGGAGATCACGATTTGCAAGAATTATTTCCCTCTCAAGATCCAGCTAGACACTACATGCAGATGACAATGATAATAAGAGTCTGTAAATAGCAGACTCAGTCTAGCATGGATAATCCGTGTCAGTTGCATGCGCAGTGCCAGTTGTTCAAACCATAGCCTAACCAACCACAACAAAGCCAGATACAGCGTGCGGGGTTATTAGACTCGTCAATTTCCCGGACCCAACATATCTGATTGGCTTTGATTGGATAATACTCCGTGCCTCCAAATAATATCGAGAGGCTCTACTCGTAGATAGCTGATAGATGGCCCGTCTGAGCCCCGAACCTTGGGCAGAATGAATGAGTGTGCCAACTCAGTCGGCTTAGCATAACTATTAATACGACTGAGACTCGTATTAATCTGGCAACTGTCAATGGCCAGTTTAAGGAACAAGGCTGCATGCGGATCCGACACTTTGGGTTGGTGCATAAACTAGTGGCACCTAAACAAGCTATTTATCCCTAGTGGAAAAGGCGCGAGGATCGGAAAATAGTGATTGCTCACAGTCGAAGAAGTGGACATATACTGTTTTGAAATCTAATAGTTGGAAGACTATTTCTCAAATTCACCCCTAGATTATGTTTATTTCTAATAGAGGATTTCTCAATGGAGGAGCATGGAAGCAGCGGTGGATGAGTATTAATTAAGTGCACCACCAACACATCAGGCTGTGAAGTTGGAATTTAGAATTTGATCTTCACCCAACACTTCCTTATTACTTGTTTAAGATCACGAATCATTGACTCTACAGATATACAGCAGTGGGTCTCCAAGGTGAGGCTGCTTGATTTTCCACAGCCTTGTCACCCAACCACTCATATATACGCCATTACTCCTAATATTCTAATGCTTTCTGGGTCTCTTAATATTCCATTATGCTTCTTTAATGACTTGTTATTCATAACCATTCATCATGAAGCTATACGCGATCTCTTATTTAGTCGGATTAGGCGCCGCTTTCACTCCCTTTCAGCCTCATCAGACAAAAAGCTTTGAACTGAATTTGACTTGGGCATCAGGAGCGCCCGATGGAGTCGAGCGCCAACAAGCTTTGATCAATGGCCAATATCCCGGTCCCCCGCTTATAATGGACGAGGGCGACGATGTGGAGGTAGTAGTGAATAATTTTATGCCGTTCAACACTACAGTGCATTATCACGGTATTGAGTAGGTTTCTCGGTATAAAAATAAATGAAGATCATAGCTAATACTGAGACAGACAGAAGGGGACGCCGTGGTCAGATGGTGTACCTGGACTTTCCCAGAGGCTTATTCCTCCTGGTGGAAGTTTTACCTCTAATTTCACAGTCCAGCAATATGGAACATACTGGTAAGAGGTCGTCTGTTCTTGTATGCAAGATCTTACTGACAATTACGAGGTATCACTCTCATTCTGCAGGGCAGATAATGGATGGTCTATACGGACCGATGTATATCAGGTCTGTTTATACTCATTTCAGCACCGTATTACACGCGACTAAAGATAGCATATTTACTCAAGACCTCGAAATATCCCCGACAATCTGACCGAGTATATCACAAACGATACCCTGGCACAATTCCAAATACAGAAAGCCATCGAGAACCCTAACTTGGTACTGCTATCCGACTGGTTTCACATGACATCAGAAGAACTACGGGATATTGCAACCTCAGCAGATATCGATCCATTGTAGGTGACCAAAGATATCATGAAGACAGTAGCTAACCAGGCATCTAGATGTGGAGACTCTATCTTAATCAACGGCAAAGGTCGAGTAAACTGCCGCGACCCTGGATATCTGACAAGCATGGTCCCTCCTTCGCTAGCCTCTATTCTCCAGGGCATGAATTTTACCACAAAGGGGTATGTGAGCGATATACGGCATTGTCAATACAGAAATACTGACACTTGATTAAACTGAAGATGCCTTCCACTTCCAAACACCTACGCTCAGACCACACTCGCGCATAACTACAGCGCTGTTCCACCATCTCTGTTTGACCAGTGCAATGCGACAAATGCGACTGAGGAAGTGATCAAGGTTGACCCCCTGAAGGGCTGGGCAAGTCTGAATTTCATCAGTACTGCATCACTCTCGGTCCCGACAGGTATGTACTTGAGTGTGGCACACTCATTCTCCGGCTAACCGAGACAGTGTCCATTAACAACCATTCCCTCTGGGTATACGAGGTTGATGGTCAATTCATCACCCCCACCAAAGCTGATGTATGGCAATCGTAAATCCATCACATCTGGAATGTTGTATTGACAGAAATCTCTTTTAGGCACTGACGATCGAAAACGGTGCTCGCTATTCCTGCTTGGTTCAATTGAACAAGACGCCTGGAGATTACCTGATTACAGTAGCCAATTCCGGATTCAACCAAAAGGTCGCAGGCTTCGGTACTCTCTCCTACATTAACGGAGACCCCTCCATTGTCTCGACGCCCTCAATCAACTACGGCGCAGTCAACACAAGTGCAGATGTTGTCATCTTGGACAGCACGGAAATCGAACCACTTTTTCCAAGCCAGCCCCGTGAAGCAGACACCACCCATATACTTACTTCCGGCCGTATCGAAAGAGCCTGGGAATGGTCTCTCAATGGAAACCATTCATATGGGCTCTCATTGGAGGCAGAAAAGCCCATGTTGTGGGATCCTGAATCAGTGATGAATAAGAACTTGGTTCTTTCTACCAAGAACAATACCTGGGTGGATATTGTCTTTGCAGTATCTGGAAATGCCTCCACGCTTCAGCCCAGCCATCCGATCCACAAACATTCAAACAAAGTCTATGTCCTTGTGAGTATTCTATATAACCGTGTCTGGAGGATATATGCTCATTATAACTCAAGGGTGCTGGCAGTGGCATGTTCAACTGGGCTTCTGTCGCTGAGGCTGTGAAGGATGTTCCAGAAATGTTCAATCTAGTCAATCCTCCAATAAGAGGTTCGTCACTATCCAATTACCCCGGAAGCGTTATACAAGCGACAGAAGCTAATTCGGGGCTTGCAGATACTTTTACAACACTCCCTGCTTTCCAAGGTCCAAGCTGGATGGCCGTTCGCTACCATGGTTGGTCCTCTTATCTGTAACTTTTGGAATAAACAAGACTAATGATTGGTGTAGTACAAAACCCGGGAGCTTTCCTGCTGCATTGCCATATCGATCCGCATCTAACAGGTGGAATGGGGTAAGTTATAATAAGTCCAGACCGTATTGCTATGACGATACTAACCGCAGTGCAGACTCGCCATTTTGGATGGCGTGGACGCATGGCCTAGTATTCCAGCCCAGTATGGGCCAGAGGGTCACTGGAATAGAGTGTAGAATAGATGATTAGATTGATCCCACGAAGCACAAGATGCAGTTTACTTGGAATATAGTATTAAATGTCAGTATTAAAAAGTGCTCTATGTATGCACAGGCCAAGAGACAGATTTTGATATAATTGATACACATATAGTGGTTATACATCAAGCAGCTCTCCTCACAACAGCCAACATCTCATACCCCGCCAGCCCAACCTCATCACCCCCAACACTAACATCCCCAAACCCCTCCCCCCTGAAACAAGGTTCATAATCCTCCCAATCCGCCCTCGGGCCCAACCACACAATCATGTCCACCGCCCCTCCATACATCTCAATGTACCTCTTCACTAGTCCCGGTTCGCGCGGATACACAAACATCCACGCCTGCGCCAGTCCAGCCCGAGGATGCAGATCCCACGTCCCATTGACGACGTTAATGTCTTGTTCTGCGATATATGCATTGACAGATGAATTCACTTCCACGCCTTCAACTTGGGTGTTTGGATGATTGTGGGAAATGAGGGCTTCGAGGAGGCCGGATCCACTGCCTATTGAGAGGGTGAATGCGGGTTTTTGGGGGAGGAGGGATGATAGATAGGTGGTTAATGTGTGGGAAATTGCTAGGCAGCAGCCTGGGAAGTTTCGGGGGGAGGGTGAGAGTTGGGTGGAGATTTGGGAGATGTCCATATTTTTAGTGTTTTATTTAATCACTTGATGTATAATTGTATGTGGATGGATGGACATAAAAACGTGAAGAATGAAGATGTTGTGAAAATATCGGATGTGGATTTATCCATGTCCGTTTTGGCCAATCAGATGTGAATATTAGTATGTCTGTTCCACAGCGTCATATAGCCGGGGTATATCTGATTTTGATATTTGAGACTTTGTATTGCGATATTAGCAGGGTTGTAGATAAAAGGTTGTTTATACATGGTTTCTATGTCTATTTGTCTAACTATCATCCCTTGAATGGAGCAAACTTGGACATCTTCCTCAACCGCACCCCATAAATCATGAATAAAAACGGAACAGGAATGGCTGCCGCAGCAATGCCTCCTAAGATAGACATGGCCGGACCAACACCGAGGTTCCTGAACATTGGCTGCGAGAAAAGCGGAAAGGCAGCAGCGAGCACACTACGTAGGAAGGTATTGGACGCGGTAGCAGACGCCGCATAGGGCCCATACGTATCGACGAGAAAATTGATACACTGGCCGAAGATGATGCAGAAGCCACATCCAAACATGCCTGCCGCAACGACGGGTAGAACCCATGAATAGGATGGTTCGGCGGTCCAGCCGAACCAGAAGAGGCCTGTGGCGAAGAGGAAGCCGCCCACGGCCATGGGCATAAGACGTGCTTCGGGGACGGGCTTACCGCCTCCTTGTTCGTATTTCTTGAGGTAGTAGGGTTGGCCGACGAGGATGATGAAGGTGGAAGATAGGAGGACGCCGACGAAGAGGCCGAGGAAGGGGAGGGTGGCGACGACACCCTTCCACTGGCGGATGTCGTCGAAAACGATGGGGAATACTTCGAGGGTGAGATAGAGCAGGGCGTAGGTGAAGGAGGCGTAGAGCGCAATGACGGTGACCATGGGTTCGGTTACGAGCATGACGAGGGGCCGGGAGAAATGCTTGGTGATGACGCTGTGGATGCTGATTTCAATATGTTCATGCGGATGGTATAGATTCTTATTGCCGGTATCCTTACGCAGACGAACTGCTTTCTTATGAAGCAGCACGGGTCCATATACTTCCGGCAAACAGAAGAAAGTGACTGTAAAAATAAAGAAGACGACGATCGCCTCCATGTATTCCGTCCAGCGCCATCCCAGATGCGGGTTTGCAACCAGCGCTGCTCCGATGATGGGCCCCATGGTTGGTCCTCCGACGACGCAGATTGCGTAGGATGTGCCCGCAATGCCCCGGGCCTTCATATGGAATATGTCTCCCAGTGCAGCTGACACATTGCTCACAGGAGCAGAGCCAAAAAGCCCTGCAAAATAGCGGGTGATGAGAACAGAGGCGGTATTCTTGCTAGTTGCTGTGCCGATACTGAATAGACCCAGCATGAACACTGCTGGGAGCATCGACCAGCGACGGCCCCAGAGTTCGGAGATAGGGGCCCAGCATAGAGGACCAAATGCGAAGCCAAGACTATTTCCATAATTAGTACCCTTGTCCATTGTGTCGGGCGATAGGAACCTACATGTAGAGAGAAACCGGGAGAATACTGACTTCAGAACCAATATGAAGGTATTGCTTCAATGGTGTCTGAGCAGGCGAGATAATACTCGACCCCAGACTGGCACTCAAAGCCAGCATCCCCAACTGAAAAGTAATCCAACATTTATACGCGGTGGAGAAATTATGCGGGTTTTCCGGATCGTTGTCCTCCCAGCCGACGACATGCTGGTCCGACGATTCCGGAGCTACTTGTCGCACGGCTTTTTCTTCATCTTGAGGTTTCACCATCCTGAAACCACTGATCTGCCCGATGTTGTCTTTCTTTTTCTTCTCCAGAAAACTTTTTTGCCTCTCATATATGCCCCGCGCCGGATACCGGCACACCCCTAGCGTCGGACGTCCGAGTCGGAGATAGCCGATGGGGATAGCGGAGATTGCCTTCGGATATTGGAGCTTATGTGCAGTGCTTGAACGATGGCAGCCATTGGGATTGCATTTTTCATTGGAAGTGGGGACTGTTTGCCACTACAGTATTACCCGCTCACTGATTAGTCTAATACGACACTGACATATAACCGTCCATATTGCTTACCCTGTCTATCATATGCTCATAAAATCGCCCTAATCACGTCATCTATCTAAAAGCTGGCCCCATCCTTTAAACCCTAGAGATGCCTGGCTCTGACATCCTGTCACTTCGAACGGATGCATTGGTATTTCTATAAATGTATCATAGATCAGAATCACACTCCTCCGGTAAAGGCGCACTGCCACAAACGATCATTTCCTTTCGATATTGCTCATATAGCTCATGATCAATATCATGGGCCACAAAATCCTACCAGCAGGGTATTATGTTAGAAAACCCTCAGAAGTTATACTCAAGAAATCATACCAGTTTCGAGTCTTTATAAAGCTGTCGCGCAAGTGCCAGAAAAGGGCTTCTGAGATCGTGCCATCCTGTCCTGCTTGATCCCTTGATAAATTCAACTGGCTGCATCTCAGTAGGCCATGTGATGGATTCTGGGCTGACTTCTCTGGCTGCCCCGGTTATGTCCTTTTTTGAGCCATAAACGACGAAAGGGATGGGTTTTCCCGTTGCGTCCATGAGCTCCCCTATAAAGTTAGCAAACATATGACAGAGGAACCGGGACCGTACTATGCCAGTTTACTACATTCTCAAGCGTTGACCGTTTAGACAGGTCAAACATGATGATGGCTGCATCTGCATCTTTCAGATACTTGGCTCTCGTGGATGCTCTACCATGACCACCAGGTATGTCCCAGACATCAAAATCGACGGCAGGTTGGTCTATCTATTATATGACCGTTAGTGCAGTGCAGAGTGCGACAAATAATATCTAACTATACTCACTATATCAAATGAGACCACCCGCTTTTCATATCTCTTAGTTTGGTGATATCCGCTTGTGAAACTCCCACCAACATTCTGATGTATAAATGTAGTCTGTATATAGATTCAGCTACCGAGTCACACTTTGAGTGTGTAACAAACCTTTCCTACACTAGCATCGCCAATCAGGACAACTTTGAATTTAGCGGGAGACGTCATTAAATTCATGATACAAAGTGTGTTATACAAAAAAAAGGGTGGGTTTATGCTAAATCTTGGATACTGACGGATGTATGGATTAATACGGGCATTTACGAGATAGTTGGCATCAAGACTATCTGACCTAGTCTAACTAACTACAGCTAGCTTAGTTTCTGTTTTTGTCTCATCTACTTCCACAAAAGAATACGAAGTTTTTGGAAGGGTCTAGACTCTAGCCATAGGGAGTGGTCCACTTGACCTTCAGGTAGCTAAAATTCTTAAGATTTCCTTGAATTGAACATTATTCGAGATGACAATAAATTATGAATGAATAATTGGAAATCAATGCGATTAACAGCAATAAGCACAAATAAATGCTCACCCGTGGGGGTCGGGAATACCATTTTGTCAGACATCGGAAATGCCACTATATTCCCGACTCTCGGCAATAAGAATATTATAAAACATCCCGTTTGATGCCTTGAGCAATGAAACAATTACCACCTAAATCATTTGCCTCCCATGTTCAAAATGGTAAGTGATGGGTATTATTTGCATACCCGAAAAACTCACCACCTCAGGCAACGCCAATTCTCGGAAGACCTCTATACCAAAGAGATGCCTCTATCCACAGACTCATGACGAAAATCATTTCCTGCCAGTCTATTCAATCTATCACAGAAGCCGAGAGATCACTATTCAAATCATCGGATGATACAGACCATGTTATCACAACAGAAGAAACAATATTCCATCCTCAAGGAGGGGGACAACCCAGCGACATCGGCCAGATGAAATCAGAGCAAACCGACCTTTTATTCAACGTGAAGCTTGTCCGGAAGACACCCGAAAATCAAATATATCACCTTGGATCTTTCGCAGATGCAACGACACCATTCCAAAAAGGCGACTCGATCGTCCAAAACATCGACACGGTACAACGAAACTATCATTCTCGCTACCACACCGCCGGACACATCCTCGGACTCGCAGTGAAACAACTACGCCCTCAAGTCGGAGAAGTATCAGAAATCAAAGCCAACCACGCCCCGGGAATGGCATTTGTTGAATTCCGCGGCTTGATTGGCGGCGAACACAAGGGCATCATCCAGGAAAGAGCGACAGAGTTGGTGAAGCGGAATCTTGCAGTCACGGTTGACTGGTGGAATGAGGAAAAGGCAAAGTCCCACTGTGTCGCGCTGCCCGAGGGCTTTTCTGTTCCTGATGAAGGCGATATTCGCGTTGTGGATGTTGAAGGTGCGGGTGCTTATCCGTGTGGAGGGACGCATTTGCCGGGGACTTGCGATATTGGGGGGATTGTGGTGAGAAGGATCAGTAGACAGAAGGGGGTTACGAAGATTTCGTATGAGATTACAGATGTTTGATCCAGTAGTCTTCATCGCTTCTATAAGTGTAGACTAAAGGTAGAAGCATTGGCTTATGCATACATGTATACCTCTTCAGTACATGTAATATCAACGTGACTGGTATTTAAGCGCATACGATCTGTCATGCCCCTGCCCAATGGGAATATCTATGAAAGTCAGATTTTAATCGTCATTTTGAAAGATGTTTCATGTGCATCCTACGACCTCGAGATGATGTAGTGATGTTGTCCATATCACAAACTTTTATATTGATAATTTCTAAATCAAGGCAGATTATCATTATCATTAAATCACTCCGACTGAATCTAGATCGCTCTACCTCTCAGTAGTCTCCATCTTCAAGGTTCTGTAGTGTAATGGTCATCACAGTGGATTCTGATTCCACTAATCCCGGTTCGATCCCGGGCAGGACCTGATCAACATTTTTGTTCCCGAGTGGTTGTCGGATGCATCCCGAGGGTGTCAATTCGATAACGATTACTGGCTGCGCAGGTTCGGATCATGCCGAAGTCGTTGTTTTTCTTTTTGCAGAACGCTATCTGCACTCCTAACTACTTGTTACTTTTTCTACATATCTAAAGGACGCTGGTCATATCTACTAATTAGTCTAGTTTCTCACAGACCTCGGTTTATATATACCTGGCATGTTTATTGAGATAATTACTGGGTAGTACCGCTATATATTCTCACCATGTTGTCTAAAGTTATCAGGCATGGTAATAAATTATTCAAGGACAAAGGTTCCAAACCGAGGCTCTGCACTGATCCATGTCTTCAAGTATCCTTCTGCAATCCCAACACGCCGGCTGATCCCATCGAATGTCTGCAGCACCATGAGGTGTACTTTCACATTAAGTTCCATACGCCGGGAATTGCCGTTAAAATCGGTCACAAATCGATTAAGCCACTCCCCTTTCGAGTCTTGCCAGCGAATGGAGTCATCGGATGATTTCGAACTATCACCAGTGGTGACCGTTTCCAATGAAAGCGCAATGGTCTCCAAGAGAAGATCCCCATCCCGGTCCTTCATGGCGGCTATTTTGCCATGGTCGGTGTGGCCGTTTAACAAATGGAACGTATTACCACGCTCATCTCGGAGCCAAGACGTCCCCGTGTGGCTATCCGACGTCATATCTGGTCGCAGTCGAAGAAATTGGGTGTAGACTAGAAGTCGTCCGGGATGAGAGGATTGCCGGATTAAGGCATTAGGAAACTTTCGATCCCGATCTTTGATACCCTTCGCTGTTATGCCGTGGGCTTGAGCAGACATTGCCCGGATGGAAGACCACTTGGATCGAATGATCTTCTCATAGCGTCCCCATGTTGTATCTTCCAATAGTGCTTGAGGGGGCTTCTCGGCAAAGCATCCGTGTTTCCAGGCTATCATGACCGCGAATGCGTTCCCCATGATGGACTGAGAAGATGTTACATCTTCCCAGGGCGGCTCCTTTCTACCAGAGAGTCGGTATGCACGCGGTATCCTCCGTTCCAGCGCCACGACCGTGGATTGCATCAAATTCAGTTTCTTGTCCAGCCCTGATAAGCATGCGTTGGAGCTGTCGCGAATAATGCGCACGTGCTCTCCAGAGCCGCCTCTTGGTATTGCCCAGACGGCCAGGGAGACCGGAATGGGAGAAAGAAGACCATCATTCTTGAGCAGTTCTGATTCTGGAACATCAATTTCGCCTTTCACCGATAGCCATGACCATGACGGGAAACTATCGTCGTATCGTGGGACTCTGGGATTATGGTACCCATCTGTCGACCATAACATCCCTCGACTGAATTCACTGAACGGGATACCGTAGTAGTGATCAGTGCCATATTGTGTATGCAGGATTCCAGACATGGCGTCCAAGGCATCGGAATCGAACGTTAGAGCTCTCTTGGTATATCTTTGCAAAAGCAAGCGATAAGATGGCAAGGAGAACCGGCAAGTTTCTCTCTCCGGAAGGAAGACATACGGATTTTCAACCTCCAGGTGTTTCTCACGTATGATGCCGTTCTCACCGACGGTACCATTGTGATGTGTACCCTCGAAGAAGACCCCAGACGGAGCGAAAAGCAAGAGTCGCGGAGAGAGCAACGCCTCCTGGAATGTCCAACCGCGTGTGGCCCATGTGGAGCGACTCACCTGCGATGAATACGACTCACGCAGCTTGACCAAGTACGCGCCTGGCATTTTCACAAGGGGCGAATGCGCTCTGTTGATATTCGACACCCCAGGCAGGCCGTGATCAGCATTCGTACCTTCCAGAGCGACCAGAGTCACATGTGAGCGTCCATAGATATCCCCCATAGCATTGATTTGTATCTTCGCCTCTTCCCTGGCTCCTTCGTCCTGCAAGATGCAAAGTCGGTCCACCCAGAGATACGGGACTCCCAGACGATTACAGGCGATCATCGCGTCGTGAATTGTCGCTGGAATGGAGGCACCGCGTAGGAAGCCTTCCTCTTCCATTCTGGTGATGTTGGAACTCGTTGCTTCCAGGTCTGTCTCTTTTCTCGCTCCCCACACATAGCTCAATGTGGCGTATTTGCACTTTGAGGGAGGAGAGACAATACACCCCCTTTGAATATCAATCACGCGAAATCCAGGCGGGTTAGGAGAGAATGTATCTTCGTCCGGTCTATTCTCCAACCAGCCGGATATCAGAGACCAGTCCACCAAGGGCGCAGGTCGGAGTGTGGATCTTATCTTCCCAGTCTCTGGCTCATATTTGAATCCAAAATAGTCGACGGGTCGATGAAGGTCTAAAGGATTAGTTAGTCACGACCGTGATCTGTTTCTCCATGTACTCACTATTGGAATCAATGAAAATAGACACTTCAAAATCATACACAAAATCGGGGGATCTCTCGTCCCTCTCCCTCGCTGCACTCACACATAATACAACCTGATCCGCTGGCAGATATTCGTCGTCTGACTCAAGTTCCTGGACAAACGAGTAACATAAATCGCAGTTCTGACTTCGATGGAGCAAATCATTCACACTCCCAACATTAAAGTAAAGCCCACTGCTTCGACTGCTTAAACTGCCATCTTCACGATAGAGTTGAAGATCAGGTAGCACGTGCAAAGCGATATGATCGAGTCTCAGGTGCGTACACCACTGGCATAGACGCCGTCCAGAGTGATTCACGCATTTTTCACAATCGGGGTGTAAAATGGCGTCCTGGGATCTAGCATAGTCGATATCATCGCCGTATCTCTTGCATATCCTCAAGTCCTTGCACAGATTGCAGGTATGGTCAGTCGAGCCTTGTGGGTCAGCTTTGCATGCAGATGGTTCATCCATAGGAATGTTATCAAATAGTTGTCTGTATGTACATTGAAAGTTCATACATTTTCAGTACTGCAAGGCTGTCTTGAAATGGCCCCTTTTAGACGTGATAGACTGACAGCCTCGTGGCATCATCTCATTGGACATGGGTAATTGTTCCTTGACAGCAGACACACACACCTTTCAGCATGAATTCTCACGTATATAATACATAGTATAGTAAAATGAAGCATTTGGTTCAAAGGTCAAAGCATAGGGAAGCCTGTACATGCAGACGAATAGTGCCTTAGGAAATAAACCACCCAACCTGTGGAGTGTGGACTAGTCAGCCCGAAACACCAAATATATATTTACCATTTATCCACTTTTACGAGGTGACTGATTTGTCTGTCTGGACATAATTGCCTGAAGTAGTATAATGGTTCTTATCATTCAGTTTCAATCCTCTGATAGAACACCCTATCTATGAATGAAAAGCCAAACACAGGATCTGAAAACCAATCGTGAACCGACGGGCTGCAACCCTATTGGCCAGATAGTAGACGGAATGGTTACCCAATCTAGGACTAGCGGGTGGGGCAATTCCCCTCATGAGGGGTGAGGGGTAAAAAAAAAGGCCAACAATCTCTGCTAGTTTCAGCTTCCCCTCACGGACAGCAGCGATTGACGAATCGTGGCAGTGGAATTAGTGACGGTGGATCGACGGCCGGCATCCGCGAACATTCTAGAGTAGAAAGATCACGTAAAAAGCGTCAACCGGAAGAAAAGAACTCGGTATCCCGTGGAAATGGTGGAAACGGGTTGATAAGAGTGGAATTAGACAGGTGTTAGTACGGGGTTGTTGAGACGGGCCGAGGAGCGTATATAAAGCTGGAGGTCCACTGTCGCTGTCATTCCGGTTGATATTTTTTTTTTTGCTACATTTACGCTCTCATAATTCCATATATATACACAATGTCGAAGCCGGTCTTCACCCTGGCCGAGGGTATGTTTATCTCGACAATGGCTTCATCTGTAGCTAATGCAGTCCAGGCCAACCCGTCCCTGACCCTGCGGTCAGCCAGACTCTTCCCACCTTTGGCGGAGGCAGTCTGATCACAATGGGCGACACCCTGCTGATGGAAACATTGGCGCATTTCAACCGCGAAAGAATCCCGGAGAGAGTGGTGCACGCCAAAGCAGCCGGTGCTTGGGGTGAATTCGAAGTCACCAAGGATATCTCCCACCTTACTTCGGCCAAGTTCCTGAATGGCGTGGGCAAGAAGACGCCTCTGTTGCTGCGCATCAGTACGACTGGTGGTGAAAAGGGCAGCGCTGACACTGTCCGTGATGTTCGTGGCTTCTCGGCCAAGTTCTTTACTGAAGAGGGAAACCATGACATTGTCGGAAACCACATTGTATGTTCCTGAACCGGAGATGAGGCACCAGATATTAACGATATGATACAGCCCGTCTTCTTTGTCCGTGATCCGGTCAAATTCCCCTCCCTGAACCGCAGCCACAAGAAGCACCCGACAACAAACTGCGCCGACGAGAACATGGTACATCATCTCACCTCCCCCGGTCAACATCCATACTGACTCTCTAGTTCTGGGACTTCCACTCCAACCAGCCCGAGAGTGTCCACGCCCTCATGCACCTCTTCGGCTCGCGCGGCATCCCCGCCTCCGTCCGCCGCATGACCGGCTTCGGCATCCACACCTTCAAACTCATCGGGCCCGATGGATCGTACAGATACTGCAAGTTCCACTTCCGGCCGGAGCAGGACATCGCCAACGTCTCGTCCGCGGAAGCCGCTCGTCTCGCTGGTATCAACCCCGATTTCCACACGATTGAGCTCTTCGATGCCATTGCGCGTGGCCAGTTCCCCAAGTGGAAGTTGTATATCCAGGTTATGGAGCCTGAGCAGGCGGAGAATTACGGGTTGGCGTTGTTTGATATCACCAAAGTCTGGCCGCATGGCGACTTCCCGCTCATTGAAGTTGGGCGGTTGACTTTGAATAAGAACGTATGTTTTCCCTTTTGCTTGATTCGCAGATCCTTCATACTGATCGTCCCAGCCTGAGAACTACTTTGCCGAGATTGAACAAGCAGCCTTTTCGCCCTCCAACTTGGTCCCTGGTATCGCACCAACACCCGATCCCAGTAAGCCAACTCCACCACCTCAACACAGAACTATACTGACAAAAACAGTGCTCCAAGCCCGCATGTTCGCCTACCCCGACGCCCAGCGCTACCGTCTCGGCGCAAACTACACCCACCTCCCATCCAACCGCTCCCTCGCCCCCGTCTACGCCCCCTTCCAGCGCGACGGCACCGGCCTGCAAACCAGAAACTACGGCGGAGACCCGAACTACGTCCGCAGCACTCTTGCGCCTGGCGTCAAGACACAGACTGTCCAGGACGTTCGACACCCTGAGTTCATGCGCGGCGGCATTCTCGGCCACAATGAGATCCCGGTGACGGATGAGGACTTTGTGCAGTCGCGCAACCTGTGGCTGAATGTGTTTGACGATGCGGAGAGGAAGAAGTTTGTCGAGAATGTTGCGGGGAGCTTGGAGAATGTTATTCCTGAGATCAGGAAGAATACGATTGATATGTTTGCGCGTGTTGACAAGGGGCTTGGACAGATGCTTTCTGCTAAGTTTGAGAATACGGCCAGATTATAGATGGCTGGGGGTGTTTGTTTGTTCGTTTTCAGCATGTTCGGATAGAATGGATGGCGTTGGAAGTCATTATTGCTAGACCTCTCTTCTCTAATTTCATGGATATAGTATCTGAGTATATTCTTTCAACTCCCATAACTTACTCCTACTACAACCACACCTTCTCATCAGACCCCAGTGGCTTAGGCATGATATCCCATCCAACCTCCACCCCCTCAATCGAAGCAGAATGCCGCACCGCAGTGAGTTCCCCAAACCCAGTATCCCTTTTCTCTAGATATTCCATCAGTACATCCGCCGCACAGGTATAATTTCCTGTCTGAAACCCCAATCTCCCCTCCCACTGCCCCAGAGACCATAGATACTTCATCACCCCAGCAAGTGAAATATCAACCACCCACAACCCACCCTCTGTTATCTGTTTATACAGTGCAGCCATAACCCCCACAGTGAGAAAGTGCCCCCCAGCATGATCAAGCGCCTAACATGGCATTGGTTGAGCAGCCTCACCGGCGCCGAAATGCTCTGCCCCAGAAACATTCATCCCCAAGCATGTCTGGACGAGAGAGTTGAAGCCTTATTTATTACTCCAGGGTCCATGGGGCCCATACGCAGACATGTTTATGCAGATTATCCCCTGGCCTTAGTATTATTCTATGACTGTTTCCAGGGATAGACCGTGGGCTGCTAGGCTGTCTGGTCAGAAGCCTTAGATGAAGATGTGGCAGTCATCATCTAGGAGGTTCCAGATGTGTTTATTATCCTCTTTAGACATAAGATCCAGCTAGATATTCCGCTTGCCCCAGCCAAAATCACAATCCATCGTGGGGAGATCAGGGAGGTTAGGGCTTGTTACCCAGAGGATGTCAGTACCATGGGCTGCCAGCATTTTGCCTACAAGAGGCGCAGCAATGACGCATGATAGCTCTAGGACACGCAGTCCACAAAGGCATTTGTCTGGGTTGGTTAAGTCCATTCCCCAGGGTAGACCAGCGGGTGCATCATTCAGCTTATGGAGGAGGATAGGAAAATCAGCAACAGTGTGGGCTTCAGGCAGAACATCCCACTCTAAATAGCTATACAAGGCAGATATCACCAGTCTCAAGTCAAACATGGCACACTCGAGGTTGACAGCGCGCCAGGATGCCACTTTTGCAGCAATCTGGTTCCAGTCGCATCTACGAGATGGTACACATTGAACCTGAACACCGGCCTAGCTGCTGTCTCGTGGGGGGATAGAGGTGAGGCAAAGTTGCCCGTCGTGGCCACCTGGTTGCTGTATGGCATATGCAGGATCGGTGCCTGGGCGTTGTTGGAGCCAACTCCTGTGATGGCGCCACGACTTCGCCCAGAATGCCCAGATCATGGCCAGCAATGGGAGTCGGCTCAATAGGGCCCACCGTGCCATTGCGACCGTAGAAATGGAAGAGCAGCTGGCACTGAGGTAACTAATCCAGCTCTGGGAAGAGATTCTGGGTATACACTTGCATGTTGTGCAGGAATGCGTTGATCTGGCTGATCAGGATGGGATTGCGGATGCCTCTGATGAAGATGATGTGATAGCCCAGCTTTTCCACGCCTTCCAGCTTGACCTAATATATGTCTGTTAGAATAGATGCTGCCCCTCACACACGCACTATCTTTGCTATCAGCTGTTCATAGCTCGCATTATCTAGAACTAACACACCCCCCAGCCCAGGAAGACAATAGAGTATGCGCAGCAACAGACAGCGGTGTGCACCTCTCCTTTGGAGACAATGGTGTCAGATCAAACGAGTCCTCGCGCATCGGGGCAACCATCGATCGACCTTTGGGGATGGCACAAATACCACCGCATTCCATAGTCTTGCCCATATGCCAGGCCACTGCAGGCTGCACGCCATGATACATGGAAATGGCAGCATAAGGAGCAGGATCATACGAACGTCCACCGAGGATGATATCCGACTGCAACCCCAGTGCTTTCAGATACGGTTCTGCTCCCATCTGCGCGACAATATCAATGGCCGATCGGCGCTTTCCGCCGTCAGCTCTTCCACAGGACCACATGGTGCAACCATCTAGCTGGCGATGCGTTCTTTAAGCAACGATCGATTGAATCCAGCAGATATTGTCGCCACCTTGAACGAGTGCCCTTCCTTCGCAGCAATTTCTTCAACCATCCCCAGCATATCCCGTACATGTTTATCACTCCCATCCCCTCCCACCAACCTGATCAATACTTGAGTCTTCCGATGATAGCACGCCTGCAGGATAGGAGTAAGATCTTCAATATATGAATCCCGCCCGCAGGTCATTTTATTCAGCCCGAGTTTATACGGATCGCCGTCTGTCGAGCCGCTGTCGACGATGATGGCTTTCGGGAAGATCTCGATGCCATACCAGAAGTGCTCGATGCGGTATCCATAGCCGAGCATGGCATTTGGAATAAGGATGCTGAATTCGATCATTTTACTCGTGGTCGTTGTATCGTCGTTGGATGGAGTTTGAGATGGATTACATGTCATGCGACGATCGGCGTCATCACGGGTTTCCCCTCACTTCATCGGTGGATTTCCGCTCCATGACGGATGACTTGTAGTTATAATCTTCCCATCTACATTACGATAGAATGATAACCAGACCAACATTCGACAGTCTCCCGTTGAATCCAGGAGACCCCAAAGGGTCAGCATGGGGTCTTTGGGGTGAGGACGATGAGCTGGGGACGCTGAATCTGATAACCGACGATGTTGTTCGCAATGCTGCTTCTGAGGTGACGTTAGGAAGAGTGATTAACTTGAAGTATTTCTTTTCTTCTCTCTGTCTATCTTGATATTGATATTGCAACAGCCTCCCGCTCAATGTCCCGTTAAAACCGATGAATCCGCGCAGAAAGCCCTGCAGACATACTCTAATTGCCAAGGGACATGCAAATGATGACGAGGTAGGTCATCAACCGCCTCTGGAATGTGGCTAAGAAAACAGCTTGACTTTAATACGCAAGGCTCGAGTCACTGGGATGGACTACGGCACTACCCATACAGTGAAACGAAACAGTTCTACAATGGAGTCAGCCAGGAGGACATCGCCACAACGCATAAGATTGGGATTCAAAGTAGGTCAATGTGACATTCAGGCGACTGTTCTGACCATTGTAGATATAGCAACAAACCCAATCGTCACTCGTGGCGTTCTCCTCGATTGGTACTCTTACGCCTTAAAACACAACCTGCCTTTTACCCCATTCACAAACCAACACATCCCACTCCACGAACTCCTGGAAATCGCCAACAAACAAAACATCACCTTCCGAAAAGGCGACATCCTCCTCATACGCACAGGCTGGACAACAGCCTATTCCCAACTCACCGAAGCAGAAAAGCACCACCTTGGCGGCCGCGACGATCGAGCCTCGTGCGGGGTCGAAGCCACCGAGGAAGCCATCCGCTGGCACTGGGAGCAGGGATTCAGTGCCGTGGCGAGCGATACTGTCGCGTACGAAGCCTGGCCATCATCAAAGCCGTGGGGAGTGTCTATGCACGAGGTGTTTCTGAGTGGGTGGGGGATGCCAATTGGCGAGTGTTGGGATTTGGAGGAGCTGGCGGAGGCATGCAAGGCGCGTGGTCGGTGGACGTTTATGCTTACGAGTCAGCCGTTGAATCTGCCTGGGGGTGTGGCAAGTCCGCCGAATGCGATGGCTATTTGCTAGATTTGAGTAGGGATTTAAACAATGTTAATTTGATCTAAGTACTTGGCTTTTTATTTTCAAGGCGTGATGTGTATCTGTGTTGAGGGGGATCCGCTCATTCCAACCCCGCTTCCTTCAAGTGGGGTATTTATGTATGCAAGGGTGATCAGAGTCAGTACACATCTTGAGGATTGAGACCTACTCATATCTTCATTCTTGATTTATTCTCCATTGACTGTAAGCACTACATTTTCTCATGCCACAATATCAACATTATTATACTTCCTATCAACCTTTCCTGGCGTGCCAAGCAACAGCCACTCCCCACTTGGCTCCACTCGACCCATCGATCAATCTAATCTACGGCATCAGTATACAAACATCACATCCTTGGTCGCATTATTGAGCAGACTGTCTTCCTATCAGATATCCAATCTATAGGCCTTTCTGATTGTTCTAGCTGTATAGCATGAATTCCACCGAGATCAATTTTGAAAAAAGAAGCAACCATGCCGAGGCAGAACGAACAGACGGCACGAACAACGGCCACAATCATTCTGCGGAAGAATCACTTGCCGCGTATTCCAATGCTGAGAAGACCAAGGCTCTCCGTAAGCTCGACTGGAATATAATTCCTCTGTACGTCTTTATCCCTTCCTTCACCCCTTTGGAGGCTGACGATTAGACTCTTCGTCTTTAATATGCTCGCTTATATCGACCGAGGCAATATCGGAAATGCATACACAGCGGGAATGGGCAAGGAATGGAACATCACCTCGAACGAGTACTCCTGGCTCATTACAGCCTACTATCTCTGCTATATCGGCTTTCACTGGTTCATTCTTCTCTGGAAATTAGTTTCCCTCCCGGTATGTCAAGCCCACCTCCATCAACATCCAATAAACTGAAACACCAAGACGTGGGTCGCCCTTATGGCTTGTGGCTGGGGAGCTGTTAGCATGCTGCAGGCCGCAACGCACAGCTTTGCAGGAATGATGGCATTGCGGTGTCTACTTGGGGCTTTTGAAGCTGGATATACACCCGGTGTTGCCTTATTTCTGTCGTTCTTCTATTCTCGATCCGAAATGGGGCTTCGATATGGTCTCTTTCTGTCTTCTGCGTCGATTGCAAACTGTTTTGCATCTGCGCTGGCTTATGGTATCGTTCATGCTAGGACTGGCCTTGCGCAATGGCGGCTACTATTTATCATTGGTGTGTTCCGTGTCTTTCTATTTATCTATGACTCCACCTCAGCTGATCATATAGAGGGTATTCCCACCATTCTAATCGCACCACTCGCTTATCTCGTCTTACCCAACGGCCCCGGGGAGTGTCGATTCCTCGGGGCAAAAGTAAATGAAATCGTGCGTCTACGCGCTGTGACTGCCCGAGGACATGAATCCAAGGGCCGGCTGGACATGAATCAAGTCTTTGCTGCGTTCTATGACTACAAGAATTATCTCCAAGCTGTGATTGTATTCTGTCTGAACGCATGTCTCCTTACCTTGCAAGTACATATACTAACACATCTATAGGCCGCCTTTGCAGCACTCCCTGCCTTTCTCCCCACCATCATCAAAGACATCGGATACTCCTCCGTCCAGGCTCAAGGCCTTTCTGCCCCTCCATATTTCATCTCATTTCTTCTCTGCCTCGCTATCCCCTTCCTATCCGACAAGCTCGCCAGTCGCGCATACTTCCTCGCTGTCCTCAACGTTATCGGCGCAGTGGGATACCTCATCCAAGCCCTAGTCACCACCACCGCACTCCGCTACTTCGCTACCTTTCTCATCTGCGCTGGAGTCTTTCCTGCCGTCTCGTTAGCCTTTACCTGGGTAACCGATAACCAGAGCTCGGCTTCGAAGCGCGGTGGTGGGTTGGTAGTTTTCGGGATGCTCGGGCAGGCAGGTTCCATTGCTGGCTCGCGATTCTTTCCCGAGGAAGAAGAGCCGTATTATGTTAAGCGGATGGGTATTTCTGCTGGGTTACTGTTCTTTGCGGCGATTGTGACGATGGTGTTGCGGGTGCTGCTAGCTTGGGAGAATAAGAAGCGAGATGGTCGTGGGTTTGAGAGGAGTTTGGTGAGCTCGAGTGATGGACATCCGGAATTTCGCTTTATTCTGTGATTTGGCTTGATTATGCATAAATTTAGAATGTGGAGTGCACTTTTAGCATCAAGGCATCAGCATTCTGATATCCTGCCTTAGGCATACAGATGTAGACTATATGATTGGTCAACAGTCGTGGTCTGTGTGGTCACATGATTGGATTCAACCACAACCGTCATTCGCGTGAATAATAAATGCCAGTTCAATTGCACTTTGAATATCTTCAAACCATGTCTACAGGCCAATGGCGGGTGAATTTCAACCGGCAGCTTCCACCGCGACGAAGGCGTCCTCGCCGTTCGTGTAATGCGTGTTATGCCAGAAAGGTGCAGCCTGATCCGATATAGGGGTTTCCTCACACTAACACCATCTGTAGATTCAGTGTGATGCAGCAAAGCCGAGGTGTAACTGGTGCTCTCACCAGGACCTGCCATGTACTTTTGACGATGCCAGTCTTCGAAGTTCAAGGTATGAGTCTAGTGCATCTGATAAATTGCAGGAATGACGGATCATGTCTAGCTCTGGCCCTGCCCTATCACAGCAAGCACGCCACCCACCCAGTGGGTCTATATCCACCACCTCAACAGACACAGGCAAGTTTCATCTGCATAAGCAGGATTATGATAACGTATTCAAAGAAACTGCCGTTCCGACACAATTGCTCAAGACATGGGCCTCGACCTTTGCTCATAATCTGCAAATCGCCGACCGTCATCTGGGCAATATCTGCACCTTCAATGGCATGCCGTTCCTGTCTACCAGTGGCCAGGAATGGATCAAAGCGTGTACGGGGGAAGACCTGCATCTGGAGCAATGCCCTAATGCTGAGCTTCCCCATTGGCAGCATTCATCGACTGACCCGAACGGATATGAACTGCCGGAACTGGGGCTGCTGTATAGGGTGATCGAGCAGTATGACCGGTCTGTATTCCGGCTGTTCTTTCCCATTCTTGATCCGGACCTCTTTGAGAGTACTATTCGGACTGCGTACTATGGGGAGACATCGACCGTTTCACCTGGTTTGCAGAGCGCCAAAGCATGCGTCTTTGCTTTTATTGCTCTGGCGTCTCTTGTTCTACACGGAACAGAAGGATTCTCTCTCAAGTTTAGTGCTCGATATGTGCGTGCAGCACACCATTTCATGCCACAGGCTTTCCATGAGCCATTTACCTTGGATGGGCTACAGGCGATCCTATTACTGGTCAGTAAGCCAACCATTCTCGACGTGATATACTAATCCCACCAGTGTCTCTGCTCCCAAGGCCTCGCAGCAGACTTTGCCAGCATCGACCATCTCCTCTCCGCCGCCTCCCGCTTCATCTACCAGCTCAAAGGCCATCTCCCCGCCCACACAGCATGGGAGAACCCAACCCCCGTCAACTACCACGTCAGACATCTCTTCTGGATCGCCTACATCTGCGATAAGGGAATCAGCCTGGCAACCGGTCTCGCGCCCGCCCTCGAAGACGCCCAATGCGACCTCACCTTCTCCGTCATCCCCCCAGAAACCATCGACGACAGCAGAGGCCGCCGCCACGTCTACGGCGACCCGTATCCGGGGTCGTATGTGCACACGTACGCGCACCTCGCCCTGATTCAGTCGCGGATTCATCGCAATCTGTATACCCCCGCTGCGCTCAAACAGCCAGATGCTGATCTGCTGTGGGCCATCCGAGACTTGGACCATGCGGTGGAAGAGTGGAAGGACTCGCTGCCTGCTGATATCCGCCCGTCGTTTTTGCAGGCTGTAGGGAATGCGCCGGGGAGTGTCGATATGCGGTTCTCGGTTTTCCATCTGCAATATCACCATTGCATGGTGATGATCCACCAGACGAGTAGTCGATGTGCGTCGTGGGCGCAGAACCACGATACACGGACAACAAGCTCAAGTCTGGCTATCTCGGTCACGGCGAGTCGGTCATTGCTAGACAGGTTTCTGTACTTCCAGCTCAAGCTGGGCCCTGAAAATCTCTTGTTCGTTTGGCCTTCCTACACTTTTAATTGCGTCGCTGATGATGGCAGATTCTCCCTCTCATATTTCCTCCAAGCCAGCATCAACCTATTCAGTAATATCCTCTCGAGACCATTGGATTCAGGAAATCAGGATGATATACGGCTGATTGGCATGATTGCCGAACTCATTTCGAACCATCATACAGTCGATGGGCCGCTGTGCTATCACGCGAAAATCAAGTTTGCAGCCAGTGCCATTTCAGAGCTGAAGCGTCTTGCGCAGTGTGCTGTTGACAAGGCGAACAGAGAAAGCAATGGTTGATGTTGTCTTATTTTCATTCTCGTAAATACTCTGAATAATGTATCCAAACACGTAATCACTCCCTATACTCGAACCCTTCTATACTATTGTGCATTCAGATATTCTGATGCTTCCTGCACCTGCCCCTGTGTCGGCCGTTGGACAACCATCAAATACAAAATATCCTATCAAGTCAGCTTCCATACAACACAGATTAATGAGAACTCACCTTTTCAAATAGCCTCTTCGCCATCGGGATCACTGTCGCTGCACCAACAGGCAATCTTTCTCTCCCTCGCCTGCCTAGTTGACCACCACGAAGACCACCGAGACCTCCAAGACCCTGGAGATGCCCTCCAGTCAACAGCGCGATCGGATCACCACAGCTGGCAGGATGGTTGGGATCGGAATACCGCGAGTGGAATTCCGCCTTGGGCGCCATGTTGGCCATTTCGCTGTCTGGGTTCTTGCCTGTCCATTTTGCACGACCTCTGCGGTCCATGTACTCGGCGACAAAGTTGCTCGATCGCTTCAGGGCATTCTGCTTCTTCTCCTTCTCCGCATCTCCTGCCAGATCGTCCAGAACGGGGAATACGAGCGGTGCTGTCTCGGGCCATTCAAAGGCCGTGGCACCGCTGGACTGCGCGAACTTGTGCCTGAACCTTTGGAACGAGCCGTTCTCATCCGCGTTGTAATTCGCTGCGGACGCGATGGAGTCCTCCATCTTGTCCACGTCGACTGTCGTGACCATCTCGCCCGACTGGCCCGGTCGCCAGGTCATGATGAGCGCAACGAGCCCCCGCGGCGCAAAGAAGGACTCGTTGACGCGGTCGAGAAAGCCGTTGGTCTTGTACCGGCTGTGCGCTGCGTCTGCCATTTCAGTGGCTATCTTGAGCGTAATGGCGATCGCGAGGGCAGCGGGTGCTGGGGCAGCGTGGCCTGCCAGTGCTGCCAGATTGACGGCTTGGATCAAGCCGTTTGGCATGACGGCTTTGTTCAGATCGTCCATGAACTCGAGGAAGGTCTTCTGGTCGATGCCGACGTCCGCGAGGACGGGCGCATATGCACGGAGGAAACCTCTTGCCCGCTCTCCTGGTCGTCGCTGGGTGATAATCACCGGGAGAGCCAGTTTGGGGGGTTCTGTAGGCATCGCCTCGGGCAGAGGGTGGTTTCGCAAGAACGTCTCGGCGAGTTGAGGCTGCTGGTGGTCGTATTCGGCGTACTGGGGAGGATCTGCCTGTCTGATGCTGTCTTGCACCTCGTCGAGCTGCCATGAGGCCTCGTCAACTTCCCTTGAAAGGGCGGCCTGGTGCTCGTCGTATTGGGTCGGTGTGAATAGTTCTGCTCGTTCTGTGTGAATAGTGTCCGAGTCGCCTTTTTCATTCTTCCCCTTCTTCTGCTTATGGTGATAGACGGCCTCAGATGCGAGGCCGATCCCAGAGGCCAGACCGCGCACCAGCTTACCTCCAGGGCGATGATGGAGTGTCTGTAGAGCCAGAATCAGGATGTCCTGAATTCTTCCTGCTACTGAGTGCAGAGGCGAGCAGCATGATTATAATTATATGGATAGATTAATGTAGAAATCGTCAGATTGTTTCTTTGAGATGAAATATGGAAGGATGCAAGAGTTGGTAGGCCTTTATATAAATACTTCGTGCTTTGGATAGAACAACGTTACCCAAATAGGAAAGAAAATGGCCAAGACTGCCGATCTTCACTGCCACAAGTGGGGGCCATGGATAGATGACTCTTCAGTCTACAAGGCTCACAACTGAATTCCATATATACAGAGAGGCTGAGACTTGCTATCAAACAGTTTCCATATGATGCTTGAACATTTAAGTGAAAGATGTCTATATTTATATTCAATCTCAAGGTGTACTCTGTCTTATCTACTCGTCTTAGTCAGGATGGGGGCCATTCTACCCCGCTCTGCCCCTGGAAAACAGCCTGCATTCTTCATCTCTCGCCAAGCGATGTTTATTTCGCCAAGAAGGGAGTCAGATCCTGCCCAGAAGAAGCATAAACAACACTGCTGGGAGTGTCGTCGACACCGTCTCGTGTGTGACTTTACGCGTCCCAAATGCCAACGGTGCTCTGCGAATGGCATTGCATGTCCGGGATACGATGATGCAAAACCATTACTCTGGCTGGAGCCGAATAGATCCACGCGAAAGAGGAGATCGCGATCTGACCGTGAGGAAAAGATGATGGTTGAAAAGGCGATTGCCCCTCGCATCCAGAATATCCAATTGAGAACCGACATATCCGCTGTGTTTGAAGCAGCCGAATACTGCAAGTAACAGCCTGTGCCGACTTGGCTATACAGACTGACGGAGACAGACAATACATGCATCTATCCAGAAACACTGCCGATCTGCGACCTCGGCCCCAATCCCCACGTATACCGTCTGTCGCCGATCCATCTGCAGAACGTGCCCCAACGCCCCGACCATGTGCGATTGGCCTTTGTCTGCATGATCCTGAGCCACCGGATCAACCGGACGAGAGATGACCCACAATCCCACGCTCTTGGTGTGACGCTATATCGGTATCGTGATCTGGCCATTCGCTCCCTGCGTGAGCATATCATCGCCGGTGACCAGGGTAATCGGGATATCATCATTGCTTCTGTCATTGCATTTCTTCTTGCTGATGTGAGCAGCCTCTTCTATATCATTGGCTATTCTAATAAATATAGGCCCAGCAAGACGGACTACGCAACTGGCAATGGCATCTCGAGGGCGCCCGCAAACTGATCAAGTTACGAGGGGGTATCCATGCCCTGGCCAAGATACAGCCATTGGAGCAGCTGCTTTGTTGCTTTATTTTGTACGTGCTGTTACTTGTACGCATCGCATTGTACTAACCCCCTTAGCCTCGCAGTCATAGGAAACACCACCTCTCCTGCGTCAGACCTCACCATGGCTGCCTCGCACCTCGCTGATCTCGACTTTATCGTAACCCTGAATAGCAATCCCATCTTCCCCATCCAACTGTGTCCCCCTGTCCTACTCGGGGAGATCATCAAGATCAACCACGTCCGAATGCGAGCTACCACCGAAGGGGGCCGTCCAGACATCTTACACGAGGCATACGCACTCCTCAACAGCATCGACAGCTTCTCTGCAGAAAAATGGGCCTCCACCAAACCCTCCTCCAACGAGGAATGGGAACTAGCAGGAAACACCTACCAGGCCGCCGTAGCGCTGTACTGCATCTCCTCCCTGCAGAGCCTGTCGGTCCTTCCTCGCGTCCGCTCAGTCACACGTACACAGTGTCTGTATGGCTTCCTCAAACAGGCTCTGTCATCGCCACGACTCAACAGAACCCTTCTGTGGCCGCTTGTTGTTCTCGGCATGGACGCTGTGCGTGGGAGTATCGCAATGCGCGGGTTCGTCGTCAAGCAGCTGGCAGAGATGAGCCGGAAGGCTGGGACCCATGTGCCTCTCACCGCTATACATGTCCTTCAGGAGTTCTGGAAATCAGGGGAGACAGCTTGGGATGCGTGCTTCAACAGACCGTATGCGTTTGTCACGCAGATTGCGCTCAACACGAGGCCAATTCGAACTTAGCTATATTTTAATTTTCAATATTGGATACTATTTGGCGTTACTCTGCCAGCTGGCTATATACCTAATAATAAATTCTTCAATCGAATTAACATGTTAACTAGTATAAGCTATTCAAGCCATCCAACTCTAGAACCGAGCATCAATAGCACAAAGTATAGTCACTTCAACCGGAATCAATCCAAGGCACTCTTTGGCAATTTGACAAGCTCCATTGAAGCTCAATCGATCTTCTATTTAATTACCTTCTCCAGAGTCCAAGGCTCCGTTCTCTGCGGCTGATGTATAGGAACTTTACCCAATAAGGGAATTTCGTATCTTGAAACATGCTGGACGGAGCCCGCAGGACCCGGAATCCACACATGAAGAGTATCTACGTTCAAGTATTATAGCTCACACGAACTTAGTTTATGGAGCTCAAATGCCGAGAAGAAATATAAATAATTGTTTGTCATCAATGAAGCTGTTGTTTATTAATACATTTGCGCATTGCATGATCTCTAAGCAGCATATAAATATGTATACCCCCTCCATTCCACTGACTTTTACAATGACCACAACTCAACAATCCTTACCGTGAATCCTCTACTCGACGCTGCAATGACTTCTAAACCAACTATTCTCATCATATCTGGCGGTGGCCATACCCCAGCGCACTTTCGTCCACTTCAGATTCTCTTCGAACACCGCAGATACGCAGTACACTCTCCACGACTACCCAGCAACTGTCTCTTGCTGGCAAATGATTCATCTGCAGAAGATGTTACTCTTGCCCGGAAGATTGCCACACGGCTCTCTAATGAAGGAAAAGAGATTATCGTTTTGATGCATTCTTATGGTGGTTTTGTGGGCACCGAGGCAATGTGTGGACTGGGTCTGATACAACGCGCTCGGGCAGGGTTAACGGGGGGCGTCAAGTGGCTGGCTTATATGACTGCGGTTACTCCAATGAAGGGGGAATCGACTATTGAGGCGGGGATGGTTGGTGGGGGGACATCTTGGACTTCACCCGATACTCGTTCAGCATTTATAGAGGTATGCACTACGTACTAGTCAGAATATAGTATACCTGATACTAACTATTTAGACTGATCTGATCTCATACCCGAGTAACCCGCATGCAATATTCTATCATGATGTTCCGACGGAGGCTAGAAAATGGGCAGTTGCTGAGATGACTGGCTTTGCGCAAAATGCATTAATGGCATGGATTGAGAATGAAGCATGGCGCTATATTAACATGGCATTTTTAAAGTGTGAAAATGACCAAGTGTTTCCTTTAAAAGCACAAGAGGCCATGCATCGTTTTCGGGAATTGGGATATGAGGTGGACGAGACGAGTTGCAACTCTAGTCATACTCCATATTTGAGCCAGCCCGAGACCGTGGTTGGTTGGATTGAAGGTTGTGAAGTCTTGAATTCCTCTTGCTCGGCTACACATGAATGACTACAATATTTTTATTGTGAGATCAAGAGACATGCTATCAAATTCATTCGACTAAACAGTCTTTCATTATGATTACCATTAATGAATTATGTTCTGGCAATAGCTGCAGCCCGAACAGCTTACCTCTAGTCGCTATGGATTTCGTCATAAACAGCAAATTAAAATTGCAATCTCACCTCCACCGCAGGCGCCGGGGTATCGTTGGCAATAGACTTAGCTTGGTCTGAGACATTGACGAACTCGACCAACATATCTTGTCCATCAGGGATCTGCGCAAGGACCTCATCGTCCAGCAAGATCTTCATCCCGCTAGGTCTGACGTGGATTACACGGACTATCGAGGCTGGATTGAGCAGTCGTTTCTGGGCTATCTTATCCACCAGATCACGGACGGTTCGCTCCACCAGATAGATTGCTCGGTAATGAGGCTCGGGCTTCTCATCGGTTCTGGAAAACAGAAGATAAAAACATGCAACTGGACACGGTAAGTACTTTCTTATCAATAGGGGTATTGAGGGCAGGGGTTCTGGTGTACTTGACCGGTTCGAAGATGTTGAGTCGGTCTCTTGGCTGGATTGCATCTTAATACGGCTCCTAGGGGGACGTTGGTCCCAGGATGCTATGGAGGAGCCAAGTGAGATACCCCTGAGGCTGGGCTGTGAATTGGAGTATTCTGTGGTGTAATCCCCTTGAGCATCGAGGGCCTGTCGATTCGCCAAGTGATGCGGCGACTCTATTGAGGTTTTGACACTGCGTATGGATGGTACGGACGGTACGGATGGTACTGATGGTACTGATTCGGGTTCGTTTGTGCTTGGTCGTTTCTCCATCGTCGCTTGTTCGTCTGATGACTGGGATGAGGACGAAAACATGGCTAGATCATCTCCTTTATCGTCTCGCAGAGAGAGAAGGCTCACTGGACGAGCAGACGAGAGCATACCATGCATACTGTTGAGTCCTGCCTTGGGGTCATTCCGGATATCCCTATCCTGCGGGTCAGTGGACCATGGCTGTGCACGTTTGCGTTTCCCGGTTCCAGCATCAGCATCGGCGATTTGCAGATCAAGTTTGTCTATCATCCGTTTCACATAGGCGATATCATTCGAAATCTTTCGCTCGGCTCCATGATCACGGAAAACCTTCAGTTTGCAATAGGACACTTCCTCGTAACTATCTGCTGCAGAGTCCTGGGTCACAATCTTTGTCTTCGCGCACAGTCGGACCGCAGCCCCCTTTATACCCTTGGAGAGACTGAAATCTGTAGATAGAAAGTTGCACCGGAGGGGAACGGTACAGCCCGAGACTCCAGCCGCCACATCAGCAGTCCAGGTGACAGAAAACCCATCCAGAGATGCCTTTTCCAGCGGTGCAAGAGGATACTTCCAGGACTTGGATCGTTCTGCCGCCGGATCAACGTACTCCAGCGCGTGCAGTTTTCCATCTCGTCGACCGGCCTCTCTCAGCCCCCGAGAGTTCCTCCATAATTGCCAGCATGACGAGGTTTTTGATCTTAGCTCTTCGTCTTCGAACACGATTCGGACAGACGTTTTATATTTGGTCCCTTGTTCAGTTGGAGCAGAATCAAGCACGGACAGATGATAGATCTGCCCTTTATTGAGATAGGTGACCGGGGTTTCGTTCTCATGCTTCACCATCGCAGTGGGGGCGTTCAGCGTTGCCGTAAACCGAAAACTACAGGATTTAAGGCCAAGTTAATTTGTAAACAGTGGCAGCGATTGCGAGGCTCGAATTACCTCTCATTATCTGACGACTGTCCATCAGAACCTGGTGGAGAGTCTGGTGTCAGAGCAGTGACGGGTGAAGCGATAGGGTGTCTCGGGTCTGGGTCTGAAGGTGACCACCCTCCCTCATAATCATTAGAGGTGAAAAGATCAGGAGAATGAGAGGTATTCTGTTCCCAAGGTTGTGGGTTTTTATATGTCTCTGGCTGGTAAAAATTCTCCAAACCCATGTTCATATTCTGGTGATCTAGCGTGCCGGGGAATGGGCTCGTAAAGTACTGGGGGCTCTGGCTTACTGCGCCAGGGTAAATCGGGTTGATCTGGGCACGAGGCAGACCGCCGAGTCCATCAAATCCTGGGGTAAAAAAGCCGGGTTGGTGAGGTGTCCCCATAAAGGACTGGCCGCTGTCGTATATAGACGACGACGGATATCCAAAGTCTTGGAAGGAGCTCGCCGTAGGGTCTTGGGGCCCGTGGAATTCGCCACTGTTTACGGCAGGATCAGCCAGCCTGTCCGCATTGCTACCTGCAAATTCAGTGAGACATACCTGAATGGAGTCATAGTCTCCATGGCCGTCAATGGAACAGGCGCTTGGGCATTATGGAAGTTGGAGTCGAGAACTCCCGCAAAATCCCGCCGAAAACGACGAATGAGCGCATCGTCAGGGATTTGAGTACTGCGTCTGGAGAAGATTTGAGTGAATAAGCGGAATGCTACGCCCATAATGTCGCCCTGTTGATCTCGAGGATGGTAGTGTCATACCTGTTGCCAAACATCGTGGGCCCGGTGGCGTTCACGATGCACACACACCCCGAGAGGATGTGCTCTCGTTACTGGAAATCCAGTATTGCACTTGTGCTCTGGCGGCTTAATATCGCAGCATTTGGTATGGAGGGTGAAAAGCGACGATGGCAGTGGTTGTTGGCGAGGGAAAAAAGGGTTAAAAAAATAACACGGATTATGCGGGAACTGCGGGGAAGAAGGCGACAGAAAGCATTTGGCGGATTGTGCGATCGACTGATCGACGGGGGAAGGCGGGAAGAAGACAAGGGAAGATGCGATCTTTTATAATATTATGCTCGAGCAGAGCGGTCCTAGCGAGCGAAAGGTCGAGTCAGCCTATCCACATTTCCAACGCATGATCACGCTGTGTCGGTCAATCAGATTGCTTCATGAATATCCTTTCCCATTCAGTGTCTGGAGAAATTTGCCACAGTTCCACCCCAGTCACCAACGGTGTTACTGTGAGAGGTCACTCTGGCCATCACGCCGTGTTGCATCTGTATCCCCCAAGTCTTGAACGGCCATGCATTCACTCTGCTTCAGTCTGTCTATTTTATGCAGCTTCAACGATGTGGATACCTTCAGCAAAGTGACACTCTGATTGGTTCAAATGACCAGGTGGGGCAAAAACCGCTTGACCAGGATAGATATGATTGGCTGTTAGCTGTAGCTCTACTGGTCTGATCCATGGTTTGACCCACAAAACCCCACCATGGCGAATCAATCACAATGTAAGGGACAACATCTCCGAGCACGTGCCCCATAGAGAGCAATGGCGATTGCCTGCCCAATATAAACCCATCAACCCAGAAGCCCGCAACACGGAAAAGTGTCTCTGCTTGATTGATCCAACTGTATGTATCTTTTATCAAACTATAGACAATATTAACCCGCAATAGGCCAGCATTCATATCAGAAAGCCCACCAACACCTATCCAGAATGGGACTTCCAAACCAGACTTTAGGCTTCATCCGGTGGCATTTTCGATGCCTGCTCTTCTTGGGTGTCAGAACTGCCGCGAACGAGAAACTGAACTGATAGAAGAGATCCAATTACGTGATGCAGCTATAAAGGAACTGAGGGAGGAGATTATTCATTTGAATGGAACTCGGGTTGATGATACTGGGGTGTAACTACATTCCTATTACACACAATAATGGATTTGTCAAGTCTTCAATAAACATTACTCACTCTGTGTTGTTTGAGAAAGACAAAAATCAGAAAGGCAAATCACCTGACCTGGTGTGCTGGCACCTGATAACGCCCCTCACAGCCAATCAGCGCCCAGAGTCGCCGCCGTGGCACGGGACTGCCGAAAGTGGAACCACCCGCTTCGTTTCTCCCACGGCTCAATTTGGCGGTTGTGTTTTTCCCCCTTCTCCCTCCCCGCGGAAGGTTTGGATACACGAGACACCACCATTTCATGGATTCCCTGCGTACATACCCGCCATGACGAGCTCCTTCACACCCGTACCATCGGGGACTCGTGGCTTCAGACTTGCCCAGGAGCGGGAATTCCACAAGTACGTGCCGATCGTCCGGATTTGCGCCCGCAGATAATCCGTTGACTTCGACAATAGGTACTACCCTCATCGTTCCTCCAGTTCCGATCTCAGTTTGCAATACCAATCCCAAGCTCCTCGAGGCACGACAGACGACCGTTGCATCAGACCATGTCGCGACACTGCCCTTGCCGCTTTTGCCCAGTTGGGTGCCCTCCGCCTCAACGCCCGACGGGCAATCATTTCGCTTTTCGATCGCACCCACCAACATGTTCTTGCCGAGGCGACAAAGACCCTGAGTTTACAAAGCGACACCGTACACGAGCTGGAGGATAGACTATGGTTGGGGGTCAGGGTAATACCAAGGGAAGACAGCGTCTGTAGCCACGTCACAAGCCTTCCGGTGCCACACTCGTGGAAGAAAGGTAACATGATGACCACGGATGGACCCGTTCTGATCGTGTCGGATATCCGAGCGGATGAACGATTCCAGCAGTCAACTTTTGTCAAAGATACCCCTGATGGCATTCCCCATGCACGATTCTACGCCGGTGTGCCGATTGTGAGCCCGAAGAGTATGATTATCGGCTCATACTGCATCTTGGACGACGAACCCCGCGATCACCTCGATGCTCCGTCGCTGCAGTTTCTGAGGGATATGGCGATGACAGTAATGAACCACTTGGCCATGGCACGTTCCAAGGACGAGCGCCGCCGTGGGGAGAGAATGATTGACGGCCTTGGCAGCTTTATTGAAGGCGAAGCTACTCTGCGTGGATCGAAGCCACGGAAAATCCCGACTTCCAATGGTGAGGTGGCAGAGGGACGCCTTGACGCCCGGCAACAGAGCTTGCAGGATGCGCTCAACGAACAACAAAGTACATCCGACGAGTGTCGCGACACGTTGATCGGCTCCTTACCGCAGCCCCATGAAAAGCATGGGCATGGAAAGTCTGCCGAATCCAAGGCGTCGGATAAGAAGGGACCTGTAAGTCGTGATTCTTGAGAACTCTCTTTTGGCTCAGTGTAGAGATTTCAAAAGGATCCGCAAGTCATTGCTGACTTGCCATCAAGGACAATCCTAAAAATGGTATACTTTCAACCGGTGTCGAGCAAGCGTTCGCTCGCGCTGCCAATATTCTCCGCGAATCCATCGAAGTGCAGGGAGTGGTCTTCTTCGATGCGAGTATCAGCTCTTACGGCGGGAGGGTGCACAGTTCAGCCGATAAAAGAGTGGACCCTGACCAAGCCTCTGACAGCCGCGTTTCAAGCAGTGATGATGGGAAATCTTCAGATGGCTCAATAACGCGTGATAAAGGTTCACGGTCGGCTGGTAGTGGTAGCGCCACTGGCTGTCAAATACTCGGTTTCTCAACATCCACGGCTTCCAGCATCAATGGCGACAAAGGGTTCATGGATAAGATTAACATGCGGGAATCTTTTCTCCAGTCTCTCCTTCGCCGATATCCCCAGGGAAAAATTTTCAATTTCAACGAGAACGGTTCTTTGTCTTCTGGTGAGACTAGCGATGGAATTATTAGTAACACGAAGGAAGTAAAAACTCCTGCGCCGGGTCTAGGTGCAGAGCTACAGCGGCGTCCTGTACGCAAGAAGAAGACGCGAGAAGAAAAGCGCAGAGACGAGGCCGCAAATATCATAAGCATCTTCCCTGGAGCCAGAAGCGTCGCATTCCTTCCGATGTGGGACTCACATCGAGCTAGATGGTTTGCGGGTACCGTCGCGTGGACATGCACTGCCGAGCGAATCTTTACTGCCGAGATGGACCTTTTGTTTCTCTATGCATTTGGCAATAGCCTGATGGCCGAGGTCAATCGGTTGGATGCCGAAATGAAGGTCAAACAGCACGCCACTCTGGTCAGCAGTATATCCCATGAGCTACGCAGCCCTCTCCATGGGATCCTTGGAAATTCCCAACTTCTTTACGACACCCAGATGAACTCGATGCAGCTCGAACTTACCAACACTATTGAGTCATGCGGACAGACCCTTTTAGATGTGATTAATCATCTATTGGACTTTGCAAAGATTGACCATCTCATGGCGAAACCTGCACTTGACAAACAAAAAAGCGGTTCCAAGTCTCCAGGCCGACGCAGTCTGCTATCAAAAGCCGCGCAAAACAAAAATAAAGTAAAGGCTGGCACTGGAATGATCAGTTTGACTGAGACGGTTGAGCTCGATGCCATTGTTGAAGAGGTCTTGGACGCTATATATGCGGGGCATTGTTTCTATCGCGTACCAAAATGGAAGTATCACGGATTGGACACGGTCATGTCCGCGGAAGATCGGCGCACGTCTACTGATAATGCCAAACTTGCCGGCCTGAGAAACAATGTATCCATTATTCTGGACATAGATAAGGACGTCAACTGGAAATTTGACACTCAACCGGGTGCCTGGCGTCGAATTCTGATGAACATCTTCGGCAACGCACTCAAGCACACTGACAGTGGGTTTATCCATGTGAGCGTACGGTCTCTGCCATTGCACGGACCTGTCAGGAAAGAGGGGTTGTGCAAAGATAATATGAGTCTAAGACCCGTACAAGGAGACGAGAAATCACGCCTGCTACTCACAGTCAAGGATACCGGCAGTGGTATCAGCAAGGAGTACCTGGAAAACCACATATTCACCCCCTTTTCACAGGAGAATCCACTGTCTCCTGGAAATGGACTGGGGCTGAGTATCGTTCGTCAGACAATCCAATCACTCGGTGGAGAGGTCAACATCCGATCGACCGTGGGAACAGGAACTGACGTGTCTATAAGTCTCGATCTTGGCCAATTGCACGCAAACACTGCACAGGACAAGGAACCAAGCTCCTTGAAGCAAGCACAGCAAGCCGTGAACGGTAAAACCATAGGATTTATGAGGTTCAGTCTCCTACCCGAGGGAGAGTGCGATGCGCAAGACCGCCTCCAGGCATCTTTCAAGGCACAGTGCGAACACTGGTTTGGGATGAAAGTCAAGATCATCGATATGGCGAACGACGACTTTCAGTGCTGTGATTATTATTTTGTCACACAAACAGATGCTGGGAATGTGGAGGGACTATCTACTCATGTGAGTATCATCAATAGGAAGAAAAAGACACAGTGCCTTGCTTCTCCATTAATCGCTCTCTGCAACATGCCGAGTGACGTACAGGCAATGATTGCACTCAAGAGGGAATGCACAGAGCCTGGGATAATCGAGGTTATCAGCCAGCCATGTGGACCGCGCAAGCTGGCCAAGGCTCTCAACTTGTGTCTTGCCCGACGTCTCAGCCCTACTGAAGGATCTGGAAACGTTATTTCCGAAACAGTTCACGACGAGTCTGGAATTGCAGAACCGGAAACTACAAGCGAGAAGAGATTACAGAATGGAGACGATGAATGTTCTTTACCAATGGGGCGTGTTATTAAGAAATCCAAGCATGCCGTCGAGAATCCAGAGCTCGATATTCCAGGCTCGCCAACCAAGCTCACAACCCTTACATTACAGCCTCCCAAGACCGGAAAAAACGGGAAATCCTCCCCTTTGACTGTGTTAATAGTTGACGACAACAAAATCAACATGCAGCTCCTGGTGGCCTTGATGAAAAAAGAAAAGTACCCCCACGCGACAGCCACCAACGGACTGGAGGCATTAGAGGCGTTCAAAGCAGACCCCGGCCGGTTCGGGGCGATTCTCATGGGTGCATAGCCTATACGAAATTTACAATCTACAAGTCACGCTGACTTCATTTAGATATAACAATGCCCGTCATGGATGGCCTTACGGCAACACGAGAAATCCGTCGGGTGGAGCAGGAGTATCACACCGGCCTCGATACATGTGCTAAGGAATCATGGAAGCCGGCGACGATTGTTGCCGTGACCGGTCTTGCCAGCGCTAGTATCCAACAGGAGGCGTTCAGTTCTGGCATTGATTTGTTTTTGGCCAAACCTATTCGGTTTCAGGAGTTGAGGGTTATTTTGGAATCATCAAAGTAGGAGTTTATCTGGGCGTACGGTAGGTTACATAGATGGGTGTACTATTTGTTCACTGGTTTAGATATAGATTAACTGGGGTCCATGATCCCAAAATTGTAACAATCAACTTGTCTACAGTTTTACTTATTGTGGTTTGAATGATACAGACCTAGTAATCATATGTGTACATTGAATCCCCGCTTAATTAACATTCATGTCCTATATATTTCACTAATATACATCTCTTCATTGAGGAAATAGTGCCCATCACTAAGCAAGTTGAAGAACCTCCCCATCTTTGAGCGCCTGGATCATCTCTGCATTGAACGGATCTTTCTTATCGAAACTCGCCTTTTTGCGCTCCTGAGTGGTATACGTGGTAATATCCAACGAGTCACCACCAATCTTTGTCCTGGTGCTGCGCGAAAACGGAGAGACCATGTTTCCACGCTCGTACGCCTTGAAAGCCGTCGCCCATTTCCAGGGGTCTTTCGGGGCAGTGGGTAGGGTGACATCCTTCTCCTCGGCCTCCTCTTCGGCTTCGGCGATTATATCGTCCAGATTAGATGGCCCGCGCATGCTGATGTTGTGTTTTCTGGCGTATGCGAGGAGATAGGGCACGAAGTACTCTCCGTGGTATGACTTCTTCCTGGATTTGGTGTCCACGGAGATGAAGCCTTCGGATCGCATCACATTAGCCTCACTGGCAAGCAGGCCCATTATCAAGCCAAGATTGCGGATCTCGGAGTTGGCGTCCAGGACGCCCTGCTTCTCGAGCTCGGCGAGGGTGGTGAGGAACATCTGTTCCAGCAGGATGATTGTGTCGTGGAGAAGATTCGGGCCGTCGATCCTGTTGGATCGGTCAGTTGCTAGTCTTACCAAACCCAACAATCGCTTCACAGTGATGATATTGATACACTTACATCAAGATGGATCCGAGAGTGTTGCAAGTCAGCATCAACGCGAGCGCTTCACAGACAGCCCACTGCTCTTTCCAGTTACCCGAGGCTTCGTGAAAATCAAGCAGCATATTCTGCGCGACTTCAATCCCACCGTACCCAGCATGGTCGTTGAAAGTATACATGGAAAAGGAATCCGGGTCTCGCAAATCCACCATGATGCGGTACGTGTTCATTCTCCGCATGGCAGCCTTGGTGAATACCCACGGATGGTCAGGATGATCAACGGCAGGCTTGCCGCAGAGACACTTTTTGCCGCCGTCACACTCGACCGGCTCGTTTTCGCCATTCTCGCTGCCTTCTTCTTCGTCGTCGTCCTCGTCATCGTCGTCCCGTGGTCGTTTGCAGGTGCACACATACTCGTATGCTTCTGGAGTATCCTTCAGCCACTTGTGATAAGCGGCATCGGCATTGGCGGAGCCCGAAACCTCGGACCAGCGCTTGTTGCTGGCAGTACAGTACTCTGGTTGACTTCGGTGATTTTGTTAGTACAGTGGCCAGGCGGTATATCATGAGCGCAATACCGCCTCCCTTAATAGGGGTAGTCGTTGATGATAAATAGCTTAGTCAGAGAGATAAAAATTTATGACTGGCTAAGGTAGAAGTAAAGTCTGGCAGAAATAAGTATTTAAACCTCTGCTAGTGTGGGCATAAATACATACTAACAAAATCACCGACGGATCAGAGTACGACTTTATCGGTTGACCGCCCGAGGGAAAGATAGCAGAATGAGGGCGGCATCCTTTGGACAAATCAGAGATCGATTCAGAAAACGCGCTAAAATGAAAAACACAATATGGTTTAGTATCAGATTTAGTAATGATCTGCAGCTGGGATATCAATGGCACGAAAAGTCAACGGACTGGACTGTGCTTCGAGCAGTGTATGTTGAAGTTAATCACAAATTTTGCAGAACCTGCAAAGATTTTCATTTTTGATAGACTAGGAACCCACATATCATGACTGTCAAGAGAATTCAATTATCCGAGTTCTGTAGAACAGGCAGCACTTATTCTCCATGGTACTGTCAGACACTAAATGGGCACCACAATTCTGAGATATCATAGCGACTGTGGCTTAGCATGTCTGCCTGTTCCTGGCGGTTTAAATTCATTCAAAAGAAGAAAATAATATGCGAAACCCAGACATTTTGCAGGCTACCAAATTATGCCCAGCGTCTGTTTCCGGATAACGACGGCAATTTTGCCAACACCCGTAGGGCTACTCCACATGGCTTCGATTAAGTTAAGTAATGATAACCCTAAAACTTGGTTCTTTTTTCTGTCAGTATGAAATTTCAGCTTCAGCTTTAATTAGCTTTCTATAGTAATATCATGGGGCCATTCGTGTGTATATATAGGTTGTTCCCTCGGTTGGGTTGATACTAAGCAAATAAAATCGAACAATTACCTTCTGATACTTCTGTTCAAACCATGGGACCTATACAGCTTGGGATTCATGCATTACAATCCTTGATAGCAGTGGTTATTCTTGGCTGCTCTATTGGCAAGGTTACAACGTCGTCAACAGCTGGCTTTGGATTGGCCATTTTTACCGTAAGTACTACCATGTCCATCTAGATAAATCCCTGCTGACTGGCTCTAGGCTATCGCAACGATCCTCGTCGGCGTTTATATTTTCACTGCGTCATTCATCGCCAAAAGTCTCTATAAAGTATGGCTTATAGTTGGACTCAACTGCATCACGGCAATCTTCTGGATTGCGACAGTAGGAGAAATTGCAGCACAGACTTCTAGGCACTGTACATCAAATGGACACAATCATTGTTACAGGAAACGCTATGAAAATGACAACCATGGCTTGGAAGGTGCAACAATTGCATTGAGTGTTATAGATGGGTATGTTATTCGGATGAGAAGTATGATTCATACTAACTTGTTGCAGCCTTTTGTCAATTGCATCGATTGGCTATACTGTATATCAGAAAAGAAACCGTCGTACACAGACTCCTGCAGCTGAAGAATTCAGGCCATGATTAATGCATAATCTATCAGACTCAGTGGTAGATTAGATAAGATGGTGGTTATGGAGGGCTTGTGAAGAATTGTGGAGTAGTACCCCAATCTTTGTCCAAGTGTCTTACTTTCACAGTTTAAGCTCAAGCCATGAAAACTTCAAATTGAATTCAGTTTCCAGTATCAATATACATCATTTATGGACCATTCTAAAGCCATTCCCCATCATCTCGGCCAACCGCCGAATCACCCATATATTGATAGACAATATCATCTATGCCCGACTGACTCATGGCTATGCACACATCATACCAGCCAGGCGTGAAGTATTGCGATCAACAGCCCAGTTATCAGATAAATGAAACGTCGAATCTCCCACCAATCACAGCAGGCATGTCCATCGGTCTATACTCGATATCACCGGGATCAGCGGTCGATCATTTCCTCTTTATCACACATACAGGGCCTTGCCTCGGCCAGTTCACCTCTCTCCGGCATCTTACCGACTGCCAAGATGATTGACACTGTTAATCAGGGTCTCATTATCAATCTATGAAAACTTGCCGCTCTTTCCTGCCATATTGGGCGATATTTTGACGCTGCAGTGGACCATCTCCTCTTCATGTCTCACTCTGCCGTTTGACGGTCATGCTATATAAACATCCTGCATTCCGTTAACAACTCTTCAAAACAAACATCTCACTTCATTAACCTTTCTTCCCTCCAAACTCCATATCCCAAAATGGTCCTCCTCCGCTCCTTCTACGCAACCACCGTCTTCGTGGCTGCTGTTGCTGCTGCCCCCGCCAGCTTCACTCCTACTCCTACTCCCTCGGTGCTTCCCACTCCTACTCCTTCTGGCGTTTACTCTATCCTCCCCATCGCCAAGCGCTGTGTCGTCGATGACCCAACTCCCTGCCAGACCGAACTCGCCCAGCGTGAAGTCCCTAAGAAGCGCTGTCTTCCTGACGACCCGACCTCTTGCAGCCCGGGCGACTTTTAGGGTGCTTGACGATATCATATGAACGAGATGGATGGGATGGGGTATTAAAAGGGGGAATTCAAATGTATTTCATGAGTTGAAGTTGCTTTCAAATAATATACTATACATGGATAAGCCCATCATATTCAGCGCGACATGACAAAATAAAGTAACCATTAGATCCATAAAGGCAAGTCCTGATAACGTCACCCAGATGATCTTCTATCAGTTGGTAATCGTCGCTATCTTATTCAAATACCTCGCATCTCTTTTCATGACAAGATGCTCTGCAATCCACTTCCCCGTATCTTCTCTGGAAATACTATATCCAATCGCCTTGGACTCTGTACCAGTCGTGGAATCCTCAAGTCCCACCCGGACCATCTTGTCTGTCTCGCCATCAACCAAACGACTTGCACGGACAATCGTGTAGGCTTCACCACTTTCTGCAAAGCGGTCTTCCATGATCTTCTTGTCCTCGCCGGGAACCTTTAGCATGACGGTGTAAACAGGTACCATAGGGAGTGGGACATCACGGGCAAATCGGGACAAGCCCGTCGTGCTACAGGCGATGATGTGTGGATTGCCCGTGATACCACGAGATCGTAGATAGGTGATAGCCTCAAGCAGGACAGTTGCGCCTTGCTGGCAAACGTGAGGATCGTCGAGTGTCACGCTCATCTTGGATATGATGGGTTTCCCGCCGATGGTGGTCACGATTAGGTCGACTAGTTTGCCGGTTGGGGTTTGGAGGCACTTGGATACGGCATCGACATCATGTGCGTTGCCCTCCATGACGGTCAGATTGGATGTTGATGCTGGAGGGAAGATAGCTGTGAGCTTCGAGGGATTCCGGCAGAGAGCGATGCATTGATGGCCGGCAGCGAGGGTGTGGTTGAGTGCTGAAAGGCCAACGCCGGCGCTGGCACCGAAGAAAGCCACAGTTGTGTTGGTCATATTTATTATTACTCGAGTGGATGTGGTCTGAGCTGTGTCTGCTATCCAAGCCATTCCACAGGATGAAGTGATGTTTTTATATGCATTTTGACCGTCTGGATAGCACGATCGCACATGCCGAAGACTGACCGAGTCTCGCGTATTTTCGCTCTTTTCTCGCCCCCAATCAATCCCTGCACCGAGAGAATCTGACAACGGTCGCGATCACCTGGCTTGTTGGCGAGGGACGAAATAAGCAATCCAAGCATCCAGAAAGTGATCAGAAGATCCAGCGATCTGATTTGCAACATGTCGCAGCCAGTCTCGGCCCTGACTTCGGCCTCAGGCCCCGAGAAACACGCGAGATCTCGCGCCCCCAAGGAAACACCAACAGCCAACCACACCACCAAACCGCGCAGCTGCGTCATATGTCGCAGTCGAAAGGTGCGCTGTGATAAATTATCGCCATGTTCAAATTGTCGTCGGGCAAATATCGCGTGTGTCTTTCCGGCAAAAGATCGCTCGCCACGATGGGCACGCCGTCTCGATCGGCTCGGCAACACTGCGGTGTCGAATCCGCAGGCATCGCAGGACGTCATGGAAAGAGTTCGAGATCTTGAGAATCTCGTCAAGGAGCTTAATGGACAGCTCGAACAGGCCAACAGAGGAGGTCATTCTGCTAGGTCGTCACTCACCTCGCCTGGGAGCTCCACGCACCAGGAAGGAGCATCGTCGAGTGCACGCCATGGACAGAACCAGTTTGGGCGGCTGGTTCCTGAAGATCCCAGTCGAAGTCGCTATGTTAGCAGCGGCTTCTGGTCTCGGGTTAATGATGAAGTATGCCGTCTCTGATTGTGGGATGGATGAATACTAACTTTGTCAACTCTAGCTAGATGGATTGAAGACGGATACCGATGGTGCTTCGCCGGAGGATTTAGATACATCGGATGAGACATCGCTTGGAAAGACGCCATCTACTCAGGAACTGAACCGAACGCCTTCAGAGCGCCATGCCTTCTTATTTGGACACAACTTGAGTTCTTCGACTGTTGACCTTAAAGCACTTCGTCCATTACCATCCCAGATATCCTACCTTCTGGACGTGTTTGCGGAGAACGTCAACATCATCACCCAGGTGGTTCATCTTCCCACCGTGAAGAAGATGGTCCGTGGTATGCGTGGCAGAGACATGAGTCTTAGCCCAGCCAACGACGCTTTACTATTCTCCATCTACTACGCGGCCATAACATCCATGGAGGAAGACGATGTAAGCTGCATTCCAACAGCTAAGTATTTCAAAAGCAGTACTTACGATTGTCAGGTCATCGCCGACTTTGGTTCCGCCAAAACAGAGCTCAATCTCAGATATCGTCTCGGTCTAGAGCATGCTCTGGCAAGGGCCGATTTCCTCGCCAAACCAGATCTAGTACTGGTACAAGCATTCTCCATCTTTCTCCTCCTCGCTCGCCGGCACGATAGTCCACAGTTCGTATGGATGATGACTGGATTAGCCATCCGCATGGGTCAGTCTATTGGACTACATCACGATAGTGCTCATTTCGACCATCTAACCCCATATGAGATTGAAATGCGACGGAGGGTCTGGTGGGTTTTGTGCATGCTAGATGGGAGAGCATCAGAAGACCAGGGAACGGAGTGCACCATCCCACTCGGTAGCTTCGATACAAAAATTCCCCTGAATATCAACGACGGCGATATCGGGTCAGACTCAAAAGAGATGCCTCGAGAACGTGAGGGCTTAACGGACATGTCGTTTGCGCGCGTGTCAATTGCCATGTGCGATGCTGCGAGGCAGATGACTACGGCTCACAGTTTCCAGGTCAAGACCCCAAGTCCAGAAGACCAAAGCCGTCTGCTGGTCGAGATCGACCAGCGTCTCCAGCAGAGCTTTCTTCAATATTCTAATGACCCGGAAAACATCACATACTGGGTCCTCGCGACAGTTTCCCAGCTTGTGATGTCCAAAATGAACCTTCTCATCTATCTTCCCGTTCTCTTTTCCTCTCCAAGCGAACACTTTTCAGCCGATCTCCGGACCAAGCTTCTAGTGTCGGCCATCGAGGTAGCCGAGTACAACCATGCCCTGAACGCAGAGGAGTCCTGTCGTCAGTGGCGCTGGTTGTTTCAGACTTACACCCACTGGCATGCAGTTGTCTACATTCTGATTGAAATTTCTCGGCGTCCATGGTCGCCTATCGTCGAGAGGGCCTGGATAGCCCTCCATAGCATCTGGTTGATCCCGAACCGATTTCTTCACACCAACAAGAACCCGCAGATCTGGTTTCCCCTGCGAAGGCTGATGGCCAAGGCAAAGAAGCATCGTCGGACCGAGCTTGAGCGACTCAGTAGTGACATGGAAATTGCCGAACAGCTCAGAATAGAGGATGAGAAGATACCTCTACCCTCAAGCTCAGGACTGTTTCCAGAGGGGCCCGATACTGCTGGTATCTATCTCCGCAGATGGAGTCACCTGGTAACGATTTCGAATGCACCCGATGTTACCAATCCACCTGGGCCTTCTACTTATGCAACCCAGCCAAGCAAAAGTTCCATCCTTGAACATAATGAAGGCGCTGCTAGACCTCCATCGGATGGGAATTCTTCAAGCACAGACCTTGGACAAGCTCTTGAACCGGATAATAGTCCATTCTTCCCCACGTTCCAGGGAAACGCCACTTCCATTGACCATTTGCTGTGCGCTGAGGCTTACCCGGCCCTTGATCCTTTCGGAAATGTGACTGCAACTCCAAGTGACATCAATATGGATCTTGATGGCAACGTAAACTGGTATGATTGGGTCGAGTCTGCTAGAGGGGTGGAGCTTGCACCTAACTCCGAGTAAAAGGTAATTTTACATCCTCTACGTAGTGTATATTTAAAGGATAATCCAATACTGATGAATTATAAAAGGTCGTAATGAAGCGATAATCAGTCAAATAAAAAAGCAAAATAGGGCCTCATGTTATCCAGTTTTCCATCAGCATACCCAGCCAAACTAAGCACCATTGACTCGCTTCCTATGGGCTTCCATAACCAACTGGACAGCGTCATTATTGTTCACTTTGTGCGGTTTCCGGATCAGATAGCCGGGCAGCTCAGACCCATACTGCAACAACAACTCAACACACCCGGTAAAGTTATTCTTCGCAGCATAAACCAAGGGCGTCATATCAATAGACGTGTTTTTCCCAATATACCCCCTGACGGATACATTTGGATTAGCTCCTGCTTCGAGAAGAGGAGTAATAATCTCCTTGGCATCATATTCCGACCTAGTCTGGCACGCCTTCAGAAGAGGAGTGGTTTGACCGTCTCCATATTTCGTTTCAATGTCTGCTCCTTTGCTTATCAGCGCTTCGACAATGGATCTAACCGATAGCATACGCGGGGTTTCAGCAATCATGCGCAAATTGGCATCCAAGTCCCAGCCAGGCTGCGAGAGAATCAAGTCGAGTTCTGAACTGTTTGCTGAGATTTCTAATATAGATCTGTCGGTGAAATATTTGGTGTGCACGTCTGCCCCTCGCTTCACCAAATACTCGACAGCCTGTGAGGAATGCCCGGAAATCGCGATACCCAGTGGGGTGAAGTGAGTCTTTTCGGTCTCTGCATTTATTGCTGCATACTGATCTAGCAGAATCTCGAGAAGGAATGGCTGGTCCAGAGCTGCTAGGATATGGAGCATTGAGCAGCCCTTTGTATAACCAAGGAATGCACAGGCAAAGGACTGCTGCAATGACTTTCTGAATGCGTCTCTCCACTTCATATCGTTGGGGCCCCATATTCCGCGGTGCTTTCCCTCGTACCAAACTGTCCTATTCAAGTCTTGATCACCGACTTGAGTATCGACCCACTGTAAAACAACTTCCTCGGCCTTGGTCAGTTGTTGTTTGTCATAGTATCCTTTGGCTGTATCGACAAGGGCTCGGAAATCGTTCTCCTCTTGCGTGGATGCCCATGCCTTGAGCAGTTCAGTGTCGTTCGTCTTATTCTGTGCTCGGTATATCGAAGACAACAGCGAGGTGGAATCGCGGAACGATTGATGCGACTTTCCTAATTTATTCTTCTTCATATCGATCGCTTCCATGCAATACATCTCTGCTTGCTGGAACTCTTTGCGATCAAACAATATGATGGCCATTAAGTGTCTCGCGTCCATCCGTGTCATGTCAGGCGCACTGCGGGAGGATGCAACCGGAGTCAGAAGATCAATCGCTTCATCTCCTTCTTTCCGTTGCCATAATATCCAAGCTAGCATATATCTCCATTCTTCTATCGTCTTGGAAAGTCCCGTTTTTTGTTTCCGCGGGGAGTTGTCTTCGATGCATCGTCTCAGATTCGGCTCTGCTTCTGTATAGTTTCCACTCGCGTATGCGGCCAGTGCCTTCTCCTCGGCAAGTTTGAGTATTTGAGATTGAAGTCCTTCGGACTCCACTTGTTTCTCGCTGGATTTTCTCGTACGCTCTTTTTGCCTCTTCGGGATGTAGTCGTCGCTGTCGTCGCTGCTTTCGCTCGAAGAACTCAGCTTGGAGTATCTGACAGACCTTCGCGTTGATCTTCTACTTCTTATCGATGCGTCGTCACGACTTTGGAAAGTATCCTCCATCTCTTCAAGGAGGAGATTCAGCCCAGATATCACATGGCTGTCGTTGTCTTCGTCGAAGATGCGATCGACAAGAGTATCGTCGCGGTGATGGGTGTCAAAATGCTTCTGTAGAGATGATTGAAACTTTTTCATGCCTCGTCGAGCGGATTGTGAGTGCTTGCGATATGTCTTTTTAAATGAGCTTGATGTTCGCCCAGAGGATCTGTTGATGTCAATACTTATACTCAGCGGCTGCATATAAACTCACCCAAGAATTACCACTGCAAGTAGAGTAATGACATTTTCGTAAACCTCCATGAGTAGATCTAGGACCTTTGCATCCCTAGACTTGATGCAGATACGGACGCGCTCTCCAGAAATGAGCGAGTGCATATCAGGGACAGAGTCTTCCAGAACTTCCTCTTCTAGAACACTGCAAGCTTTCCTGCAGTATTGCAATACTGACTTGGTCTCATCGTAGAGAGAGTCGAGATAATCCGAACTTCCATGCTGCGAAATAATTATCGACAGAGCAGAGAGCGCATTCGAAAGTCTCCTATAGAATGAGCTATTACCAAACCCCTTCACCAGTGGATACATACATACTTAACCCTCCGCAAAAGCCCATAAACAGCTTCTGAACCATCATCATCGTCATCATCAACTTTTTGAAAAAGAAACGTAAGCCGGGCGCATCGTGTCATACAATCCGAACATAGACCAGGAAGACTATTTTTCGCCATGGCAATTTATCCAGGGACAGTAAAGCAAATATTCCCGAACCCCTCACTTGACTGGGATGCGCTATTTATCAGCGATTTATCGTCAGCAAGGCTGAGCATTTGCATCACATAGGATCCAAGGTACTTTGTTTAGGGCTGATTGGTTGTTCGTGTGACTGCTCTGCATAGCGGGGAAGACTAGATCTATCCATAGTAGAGATCACCCCAATACTGTGTGATGAGACCTAATTCTCTTGTCTATCATGATATATTAATAAAAATAATGGTTTTCCAGCAGGATCCATTTTAAAAGAACCCAGTCACTACTGACCGCAAAAAGAAAAAAGAAAAAATATAACAAACTGGCGCCGCCCGGAATCGAACCGGGGCTGGCACGGCCACAACGTGACGTCATACCACTAGACCACGGCACCTTTTTCTTGTTGAAAGCAGGCAGCATTTTTTGAATCATGAGTCACTGCTACTGTGTTCTTGTTTGCTGAGTTGCAACGATCCTCTGTATGGCGACAATCTACTTTAAAGTTGTTGATATTGATGGTTTCTTTTTCAGGTTAAATACATAAAGGACAAGATTATATCGTTATATCAGATAGTACTTTTCTGTTCTACTAGCATCCCATCAAAAAGATGGGGCAGAGTCTTCTTTTCTATATATATATATATGTTACCGTGCCACCTACATTATGCCGAAAAAAAAAAAAAAAGGCAGCACAGATAAACTTTTTGTGTTCTAAAATATGCTTTTGTATTAATTACCGTAGCATAGAATGATATAGAAGTATATAATCCACTAAAACAAAACTTTTAATCTTCCTCTGAAAACACAAGGCGATCCTCTTGTCTCACCACCGTCTTAATATTCTTTGAAATAGATTGCACTTCACCCATATGACGTAGATGAGCAATCTCATGCTCAGGCGTCGTCTCCAAGCGGCCCATGATGACTGGTAGGATAGACGATTTCCACAGCACAGGTTGACCGCGACTCATGACCGCCATGACTGTTAGATGCAGAATTGACAAGACAATTAATGTTACTGGAAGCATAATCCATAGCCAGCGAACGTGGATATACGTCTCAGTTAGAAATGCTCGCCCGGGGACATGGATGGTCCCCTTACCGGAACGCATATTATCAGTCATGCTAGTGGCCATCTGGGCAAACGACTCGGTGATATTGTCGCTATTATACATAATAGGGCCTAACCGTATACCGGGCTCCTTCTCTAAGGGTTGTTGATCGAGCGTGGTGTTGAAGATGCTAGTAGCTTTTCTCAGAAGATCCCAAGTTTTCCAATGGATGGAATAGTTTGAATTGGGCAGAAAGGTCACTCTATTTTTGGGAATAAGGTGAATCCAGTTATTGGATATAGAGGCATTGACCATTGCCTGGCTCTTTGAAACTTGGAGAGCACGGCTCTTAGTCGAGACATGGTTCTGTGTATATAGCCTTTCACATGGATATAGTGAACATTCGGTCATCTTGGGCCTTTTCTCAGGGGCAGTAAGGTTCTCAGGGGTGTAAAGAAGTGGGCTGTCGTACGTGGCCATGAAAACTGAACTGATTGTATGATTATTAGACCTGGCGATAGAGGTGAAGGATTGAGGAACCATCTGCAGCAGTTCTTTTCCATAAGTTACGGTATCAAAGAGCGGCGCGTCAAGGATGAGCCCACTTGGAGATGAGTAAGAACAACTGGCATGAGCTGATGCAAAGTGACGGTCATCTCCACCAAGATCCCCCAAAATAGAGCTAACTCTCAATGTGGAGTTGGAACTGATGGGCAAACAGGTTTGGGTTGCTTTTTCTGTCACATCGTCACAGAGCGAACATATTCCCAGTGTAGACAAATCAGGATAATCACAGTTGGAAGTAGGGCATATTGGCTCAAGAGGCTTGTTGATTCCGACCAGGCCAGTCAGCATTGCTGTCTGCATGGTAGGATTCAATACACTATATGCCCCAACGGAGTATTGTCGATGTTCCCAGGAGGAGTCATAGCCCTCTATCTTTTGGACGTACGCTGTCTCATTATGAGCGATCACATCCCTGGATGAAAAGGAAAAAATCTGCTGAGCAAAAGATCCAGAGCAACGGATAGGATAGTCAATGTCGCCCCCATAATCGCTAATGGCGACCTAATCTTCCAGAACACTGATAATGAGCCCCAGGGACCACGGCTTGCATCATCCAGAACCTGGAAATTATGCAGTGGTTGCTGCTGAGTCTGGTTCCATTTCAACTGGCCCAGGCACGATGATATGGGGACAAGCATTACAGCTTTTGTAAATGCAGAAAGTACTGATATAACAGCATTTGGCGAGATGGAATACTGCCATTTAGCGTAAGTCATTCCATCCACATAGCCCAGCAAGCCTATCAACAGGCTAAGGCCGATAGCACTGAGAGTAGCCCCTCCAACCTCCCACATCCAGGAGCCTTCCCAGTCATAGCGTTTATGTGTCTCGGTTTTGATCTGTGATAATGGGGAAGATTGGTTGTTCAGGGTAGTACTGGATCCATAGTCTGTGTCTGACGGAGATATGCCGTCGCTTCGTCGTGTGTTGGCGTTTCGCTACAAATTCGACTTGGGATTGTGGGGATTCAGTGAATTATCGAATTGTAAAGGTTGGTATAAAGCCATGGTAGACCTTTCTGCTTTGTATCTTGTATAATTGAACGATGAAGAGGGAAAATGCGGGGTAAAAGGGAATAATGTGAAAACCAGAGAACAAGGCTGTGTTTATTAGACCTATGCAAGGATCAGCAGGGGCCAAAAAGAAACAGGGCTGGCTTCACTTGAGCCATTCAGTTGATAGGAAAATGCAACCAAGATGTTGATCCTTTCCACTGTTATGTAACATTTTGTGGTCAGCACAGCCTTGTGTGAATAGGAGCTTCCAACCGGCAAATAAGCATCGGCAGAAAAGCTTGTCCTGTGTTATTGCTCTTTCTAAAAGAGCTTCTACTGTCATATATTCCAGACAACAGAGAGACTTGATGCTAAAAGTCTAGATTATAGAACATGTGGATAAAAGACAGGAATAATATCTGGACTCGTCTGACTCTAGTAAGGATAACCCTGATAGAACAACTCTGACAACTCTGATGCTAATTGTGTTTTATACTCTTACTAGAAGTGATCTGGTGTTAATCCCTAAACTAACCCCTAGATTTATTTTTCCAATATATTTTATTAACATGCTCTTTCTAGCACATACGACCACAGGGTGTGGAGAACAGGGCTTCCCGTCCGCTCAGCCGTACTTAAGCCACACGCCGGCAGGTTAGTAGTTGGGTGGGTGACCACCAGCGAATCCCTGCTGTTGTATGTTTTTGATTTTTTTTTCTCTTTTCCATCGTTTCGTTTTTGTGGGTTATCGCGCACTCTGGATTATGTCGGACTTTGCGGACAACTCGAACTGCTGAACCAGACTAAATAGTGCTATATCCACGGTATTGCCACTCTTTATACAGAAAATCCCCCTTCAATACATAAACCAGCGAAATGTCAACATATGACTTTATCATCTGTGGTGGAGGCACAGTCGGCTGCGTCCTAGCTTCGCGCCTCTCTCACACTGGCCACAGTGTCCTCATCATTGAAGCAGGCCCCGAAGACTACAACAATCTGGTTATGAGCCCAGTTGGTGCGGCTCATCTTCGCGAAAGCCAGCTGAATTATAATTTCACGACGACAAAACAAGCGGCATTCGGAGATCGACCAGTCACCACCCACGGCGGAAGGTTGCTATCTGGCTCGACTGCCGTCAATTATGGGATGTGGACTAGAGGACATTCAGTTGATTATGATGCCTGGGCCAAGGCTGTGGGCGATGATCGGTGGAACTACCAGAATATGTTGAGATATTTAAAAGCGACAGAAACGCATTACGATGCTGCTGCTAGTCCGGAGATCCATGGATTCTCAGGCCCGATTTCCACGACGGCAGGGAAACGCGATTATCCGCTCAGGGAGCCGATACGTAACGCTTTAGAAGCTGTTGGCATTGAGTTCAATCCCGATGCTAATAGTGGGAATCCTCTGGGGTTCAGCTACTTAACAGAAAGCTGGAAGAACGCGCAACGTCAGCCAGCAGGCAAAGCATACGATTTGTCCCAGGTAGCGGTACTTACGAATAGTATCGTTGCTTCTATTGACATAGACGAGTCCAGAATAGCGACTGGCGTTACGCTGACTGATGGATCCCGATACACGGCCAGAAAGGAAGTTATTGTTAGTTGTGGAGCGTTGAAATCACCTCAACTTCTCATGCTGTCTGGCATCGGACCAAAGGCACATTTAGAAGAACATGGCATACAGTGTATAGCTGATCTGCCAGTTGGTTATAATTATCATGACCATCCCGCAGTGACAATGACCTGGAAAGTCAAGAATCCAGAGAAGGGCTTAGCAGTTGGATCACCTCAATTCAACAAGCCAGAATATCTCCGCGGGAATGCGATAGACTGGGTTATAACTATGCCCACTCCTCATAATGAACTCATCGCTGCTGCCAAAGCTGATAACATTGACTCAAATGATCCATCTGTTCAAGAGGGTCGTTGCAACGGCGAGGTAATAATCTACTACACTCCTATTAATGGAGGAGGTTCTCAGTCCATAATTACTCCAGACGGAGAGCATATGACGACTGGTTGTGTTTTGCTCTTACCCACAAGTCGAGGAAGAGTCACCCTTGCAAATACAGATCCAACCTCAAACCCGATCATTGATCCAAACTATCTTGAAATGGCCACAGATCGTGCTGCTCTTCATGCCACGATGCGATTAGCATACCGCATCATGGAGACAGACGCTGCCCAGGAAGTTGTGATGGGAGAAGTACCACCGCCAGGGCAAAAGCCATTGAATAGTACCTGTACTAATGAAGAGCTCGACGAGCGGATTAAATATCTCGGAAGGGGCTTCTATCAGAATGCCGGGACTGTGTCCATGGGCCAGGTTGTTGACAGTCAATGTCAAGTGCTGGGGGTTGAGAATCTACGTGTTTGCGATGCGAGTGTATTGCCGGTACCTATCGCTGGTCACTACCAAGCGCCGATGTACGCTCTTGGAGAAGCTGTTGCTGATATTATTCTCCATTCGTGAGAATATAATACAGGAACACAGCTCAAAGCTACATGCAACGCGGAGTACAAACAGAGGCCTGCATGCGAAGGGCTGATTTCCCGGAGCTTAGCAGTATCATGCGTCTGACACAATACTCAACAAATTCAAAGTCGAGAAGTTGTGCTCTCTCGCTCATCTTGGCCTGTAGAATGCCCTGGCAGAAAAGGTCGAGGCCACCGAAAACTTCGAGAGGTGCTTGCTCGTCCTGCACTTTTCACCGAGAAATCAAGCCGAACCAACTGTACGAAGTCTGGAGCAGAGTTGCGAGTTGGGATGATAAGTGGATTTATGTGGCTTCGCATTTTGTCGCTAGTAGCAAACACTCGCCTAGACGCTGCGTCATGCCAGGGGATCCTTCGATCAATAGCAAGAAGATGGAAAGACCAGCACATCCTGCGGATGAATGACATGAGAATGTCTTTGCGTCTGCTGTGACTCGGATGTCGTGCGGCTTGAAAGGGGCTGGGATGCTGTCCGTGGGCTCTTCCGACAAGAGCGGGTTGAGTTGACAGAGTATAGGGACTTCATGTGGAGAAAACCAGGATGAAAAAATGAAGGAATATACAATAGGGTTCTGTGTTTTGTAAACACAGATTATTGGAAAAGCTGACCGGATCCCATGGCAAATGGTAGCTGAAGTCTCAAGGCCCGCGGTCATGCCAGCAAGCGGGATTGTGGCACCCTCTAATTATTTGTCAGAGACAAGCTTGCATCTACTAGATATAACAGCAGCGACGTACCTTCAAAGGCTGGTGTATGATTTTGCATATTTTATATATTTATTTTTAGTTTTTGAAGATGTGGACGCCGGCTGCTATATAGTGGTTTCAGGCATGATATCCTAGTATAGATTTTTTGGCTTACTGATCTGAATACTAAGCATTGGAGCCTATACTAAGGGTAATAAATAAGGATGCAGCTACTTCCCTGCCTCCCCTCATCAGTGCCTAGGGCCGAATATATTGTGTTATGGGTGCAGTGTTAACCTCTTTCCTTGACGAGATGATCACATCCAATATCTTGACCTGGATCAAAGAATCCTTATATCAAAAGATGCCGGGGATTAGTCTCCAAGGAACCCTTTTGCAGTACTCTTCCCATTGCGCTCCGTATTTGCTCAGACATTTCTTCTCGTCCCTCAAACAGCGATGCACCATGACGCCAGTGACAAAGATAGCCTCTGTCCAGGGATAGACCGATTGGAAACCACATGTCGCGCACAAGGCATACGTGAAGATGATGTTTCCCAGGTAGTTGGCATGTCGAACAACTCCCCACCAGCCTATTATGCCTTGTCAGCCATCGTCTAACAGGAAAAACCCATAATACATACCAGAGTACAGAATCTGTGATTTATGGGTCTTGCCACCCGCAGTTTGGTACGAGCATGTAATGGTCTTGGCCTTTTCGCCCCAAATCGTACACTCGCCTTGGGATTCGCGAGTGATGTCTTTGTGGTAGTTCGCCCACAGCGTCAATGCCCAGCCGGCCACCCAAGCAACAGTGATTAACACGATGCTCAGCGTCGACAACGACTCAGGATGGCGATAAAGGTATTGTGCCTGAAGGGTGTACAACACAGGCATAAATGCTGAATATCCATAGATATAATAGAACCCGAAGTGTTCATATGCAATGTCCAAAGTTCCAATAAACCTGGTACAGACAAGCCCAAACATGTGAGCAGTCTGAAAAAACAAATAACGTAGGGTGTTTTAGTTCGGACGTACCATTTTTCGTTGGCGAAGAAATCCAAAACAACCAACAATCGTAATACAACGGCCAAAACCATGGAGTTTGTCAAATAGCCAAGGCTATAGTACTGGGCAGCAGCGAAAGCAAAGTCCCTTTTTACTGTCAACCATCCGTGATTGCAATAGTTTTTGTTTGAGCATTCAGCATCTCAATAGGACTTACACCACGTTCCAAATAATGACACCTCCAGCTCGAGTGCTGTGAAAGTGTTTGATGTCCCAGTGCTTACCGAAGCGGGGATTGAATTCGATGCCATTCAGGAAGTCGGTGAAAAAGAACCCTGGTTTGGATTTAGCTCCTCATTCCAGAAACTATGCGCTTTTCAGCGAGATATCCTGTCGAACGAACCAGTAGATGTATCATCCTCGGGGCTATCCGGCCAGCAATAAGCCTTCAGATGAAAGATAACCAGTGCTACCAGACTGTAGATATTCACCGTCCAGACCAGTCCTTCCCAGTGGTCCGCGATAAACGTCATTGGAACCAATCCAGTGTAGTGTGCCACAACCATCGATCCCAAAGTTACAACCCAAGCAGCAAGGCCATTGATCTTATAGGAAAGACGCTTTCCAGAAGGTGTCGGGAGCCCTAACTCCAGAGATCCAGGGAGAAATGTGAAAAGCACCGCTTGAAACAAAGTCCATATGGCATATGCCAGAATTGAGGGCATGTCGACACATGGCAGTCTGGTGCTGAAAAATTGAAGAATTCCTTCTGACTGGGCTGCGGCCACCGTTGCTGAGAGTGAGGTTTCGAAAAACTCATAGCATATCCAGTAGAAGAGGATGAGGACGGGACTACCTGTTACCAGGAAAAAGGAAGCTGTTTCAACAAAATACTCGGTTGATTTTTTGCGTGGCTGTTGAGAAGACATTTTCGCTGGCGGGTTCATGACTGAATGTGTTGTATGGCAAGTGGATTACGAGTAGAATGGACATACATTTATATTATAGATCCGAAAGGTAGTCGACTCAGTGGGAATGTGGAAATTGCCCTTGGTGATCTTCGATTAATAAATTCTATGGTATTTTTTATTTACATTTCTGGGATGTATGTTTGTATTGAAATATACGGAACTGGCGGTGTGACAGGATGTGGGTGACTACATTGTCTCCACCATTGAGCACACACCACAAGGTTAAAAAGACTGCTTTTCTATATTTTTTTGATCTTTCTATCTAGCATTTGATCATCACTTTTAAAAGATACGGTAGAGTAGTTTGTCACTGTTCCAATTGTGCCGTATATGAGTTCCTCCAGCATATAGGGCTATTCTGGCTGCTTAATCGATTGACCAGATCGCCGCGGCGAAAAAAATCGGACTGGGTCTTGATAGGTCCCACCCAACCGGTCCCACGAGTGCAAGAACTGACCAAAGTTGAATTTGACATTTTTGTGATGAACGGTATGGAAAGCGTCACTGTTGTCATCTGTATTTTCTCATATCTATAAGCACAAGCCAAACACCTAAATCCATGATACATACGCAGTAGAAAAGACCAGATATTAGTCACAACAAATGTCACAATGTACGCAAACTTGGACATTGGCAGGGCAAAGCAGTAAGCGTGGGCTGGCAGGCTCATTATGTACGCCTCGACAGGATGGAAAGCGTAGGCGGAAAATGGCGTCGGGATGATATAGCGATGGTGGCCTTTATGCATTGTGTTGAAAAGCAAGGGTAGATGAAACATGCGATGAAGCCAGTACATTCCCGTATCGGAGAAGATCACAAAGAGTGGGAACTGGACAATCTCATACCAATCTCCCGGTCCTGCCTCGGGGGAGGCGTATAATTTCGAGTATCCTCGAAACTGGGCCACAAATATTGGGGCTGTGAAGATACTGACAAAGAGGATTGAAAGCATAGACTCCCGTATTTCTTGTCGCACCTGATTCTTGAGAAACTTCGGGTGCGATTTGAAGGCTGGGTCAAAATAAAGATAGTAGCAGATGCTTCCACAGATAAAGAAGAACAGCGTGCTCAATACCCTATATAAGTTAGCTGGATTCTCTGGAACTATTTCGTTTGATAGCCGCACATTGTGATGGCCATGGCACTGAGATACTGCCTAACTATGCTTTGTCGATCCCAGAAGCTGGTAGATTCAATGATATCGCATATTCCGTGCCTCAATGCTGCTGCATATGGAATCTCTCTGTCTGATATCTCCCATATCCCCTCCGGGCTGTCAACAAGACAGACATAGTCAGTAACCAAGTCCTTGATCCTGCTGTAGAACGGATCAAAAAGAGGCGGGTCAAGAACATCAACCAAAAGATCCATAATGACAGCGTCTTGAAGGGAAGGAGGATCTTTTATAGTTCCAGGTGAATATTCCTGGCAATGAGGATTGGCGGAGTTCGATAATATGCTCACGTCAGATGATAAATACAGGTTGTCTGCCCTAAAGCCCTATAGCTAGCTTTCTTATAAAGCAAAAAATTACCTATAATTAGTTGTTATTAGGATTAGTTCTCTCTACAAGTGAATATTTTCAAGTTGTAATTAAATTGAAAGACGTAATTTTAATTTTCAACACCCAACTAACTTCATAACTCCATGTCCATTCATGTGACACAATAAGTACAAGGGAAACCCTATCCAAAAGCAGTTAACCCCCCACAGCAAAGATGTTTCAGAATGATTGTCTTACAACAGCACAGCTCTAAGCTTTTTAGCCAAAGAAATGCATCCATCAACTTATTAAGACACCATTCACCTGACCACTCCAGATGAACACATAGCAAAACTAACACTTATTTGGGTAATTGAACCTAGTAGTCAACAGTAAGTACAGATTTTAAGAATATTAAGGCACTTGATATGCCCAGCAATGATTGTAACTGGGTCATCTTTCTCTGGTAGATAATAGCCTTATCTAACTCGCTCGAAAGCATATCCTGCTGTTCCATGGATTCCGTGCAAGTGGGACTTGTCTAACCTTGAATTGATAGCGATTACGGAAATGTTTTCAGCTGAGCTGATCTGCAGTGTACATCTGACATCATAGCTGAACAACCCTAATGATGTGGATCTTTGTGAACATTCAGCCAGTCAAGTAAGCATTGACCTAACGAACTGGGCCGTTTCCACCCGACAGCCTTGGCGGTGGGGCATGGTTGCCTTGATCGCCCACTTTAGTATGGAGAAGGGTTCAGCTGGGATGGCATCTACGCAAGGGAGAATGGTGGGGTATGGTTACAGTAAGGGTGGCTGATGATAGACATACTGAATCACTTTTGATCCTTTGCAGGAAACCTAATTTTGCCTTGAAATCAAGACTCATTAAGCATCAATCAAGTACCAGTTTTGTATTGGATTGGTTAGGGATTGCGACACATGTATACGTAGGTACCTGACTACCATTCGTCCACGTATCTTGATCCTAAGTGAGGCCTGATATTATCGCCCGACTGCCCGCAGTAGTACATACTTTTTGCAACTGAATATTCTTGAAAGATACACATATGTTCTGTATGTAAATGTCCTTACTGCAGTCACATTCTGGATCCTATACTGCCAGCTTGACTCGCATTCTCATTCCATCAACAGGCTTTGAGCTGATCTCCAGTGTCTGTAATCTGTTAACAAGGCTGTATATCAATTCGATGTTGTGGCCGGCACTTACATTGTACACCTCGGACTCAACTTCGTATTGCCCATTCACCTTACTAGTGGGCTCATCGGGGCCATCGCGTTCGATTGCCCCGAGCCCGACTTTTTCCCAGTCATATCGCCGAGCCACACATGCCAAAATCACAAGGGTCTCGATATTGGCCAGCTCTTGTCCCATGCAATTCCGCGGTCCGCGCTCAAAGGGCCGCTAGGCACTTGGGGATATGGGGATGTTGGTTTCTGAGCTTCCCAGCCAGCGCTCAGGGTAAAACTCGTTAGCGTTGTCACCATACACTGTCTTGTTCCGATGTATGATTCTATGGCAGCTATATAGCACAACTCCATCAAGACACATCTCTTGACCATTCGGCAATCGGCCATTTAGCCCCGAGTCTGGTGGTGCGTAACGTGCAGTGGAACCTAGTGGGTATAGGCGAAGAGTCTCTTTGATCATGGCGGAGGTATATGTCATCTTCTGAAGAACATCTTCACCACACTTCAGGATCTGGTCTCGGATGGCGGATGGGGACGACTCGGGGCCAAAAATGGCATCAAGCTCGAGGCGAACAAGGTCGCGGACGCGTGGGTTTCGGCTCATCTCGTAGAATGCCCATTGCAGCAAAGCACTTGTCGTATCGTGACCTGCAAACAGGAAGGTTTTCAGCTGGTCGCAGGTCTCGGTTAGAAGTTCGGATGTTAGCACATTCTGCCCAGCTAGACTGAGGGATATGACGCTGCGAGATTGCTTTTGCGGGTCTGCTTGTTGCTCCTCGAAGGTTTTTTTGATGATATCTTTGATGTGCATATCAAGATGACAAGCGAGACGCCGCTTCTGGTAAGAAGGCAGAAGTGCCCATATGCCATTGCTTACACGGTAGGTCGATAGTAGCTCGCTGAACAGCCGGAATATCTGGCTTTGCTTCTTTTCTCCGAGCTGGGCATCCATATTGGTATCCAGAGCGACTGCGCCTGTAGGAAAATGTCAGGACACCAGTTCTTTCGGATAAAAGGCGGAATATAGTCGCCTATAATGTCAAATGTCAATTGCGAAGCCAGTGAATCCATTGAGAATTCTTCGCGGGTGGTGGCATAATGGTCTAGATTTGCCAGAAACAACTGCACCTTGTCCAGGATCGAGGGCAGCAAACTAGTCAGATACATGTGAGAGAACCCTGAGCTGAACCGCTTGCGCAGCCCTTTCCAGCGTTCGTTCTACATTCTGGTCAGTAACTGCTATGCCTCCTAATTCCTTCGATCTTACCTCTGCAAGAGCAATGGAGGTTGGGCCCATCAAGTCCGCGAAAAAGCCCACCATAGTCGGGGATTTGGGGACACTGTATTGGAAAAGTGTCGTACTTCTAGATAGCTGCTCCGCCACTTCATGGTCGCAGATAATGCATGTTGGATAGCTAAATGGCCGCGCATCCATAAGATAGAGTGGGGGGTTGTCGAGTCGATCACGAATTGTTTGGAATAATTCATCTGATTATTAGCTGCTGTTCAATATGGGACAGATTGACCAACCAAAGTGATAGTTTTGTGTGTTTTTTCGTATAAAGCTTATGACTATAGGCAAATGACCCCATACTGGAGATGGGGGGAGCTGGGGGAAACTGCTGTACTCTTTTGTTCGGTGGTATATGACTTTTCTCCATAGATGGAGAGAAAGTAAAGAGACAATCACAACAAACACAGTCCAAGCCATGAACTGTATCTATGATTACTGCAATAGGACAGTAGATTGAAGGTTGGAAACGGGAGGAAAGGGAGCGGAAAAAGAGGAATTGTGAAAAAAAAGAACATGAAAATACATTACACTTAGAATGGGAGGGCCCATGTGCTTATAGCTGCCCTAACATGGGGTTTTATCACTATTCTACGGTGAATGATGGGAAGCAAGTTGTGGCCGAAACCTGTGAAATTTTTTTATTCTTTGGTTTTTTCAACATGCAAACACTATTATGTCGTATTTCTACCTACATTATATATTCTACTTGGTGACATAACAAAGGCTTGTATTTATAAAGGTCGCCTAAATTGTATTACAGGAGGGTTTACCCTCAACTGATTATTCAACTTGAATTGCAAATTCGTTGGTAACTCGACTTGTACGACCCATTACTTTATAATATTATTATCCTCCTTTCCTCGTCCTAATGTGTCGTCGTTTACCTACGATTCCAATCATCTTAATTGTTTGGGGTTGTCACAGTTGCTGTAGTATACCATTATATCTTTTAAGTCAATGGCAGTTTGTATGATCACATGATGTGACTGTATTTGGCTGCTGATTAACTACTCGAGCATGAGGCTGAAAGGTGCTGACTCTCCTATCAGCTGCTGCGGCTAATGGTTGCAAAGGAAAATAGGCAGATTTTCTCAGATTGAACGGGAAATTCTATGATCGCGCCCAAAACAATTAAGACAAATTTTTTGGGCGATTATCCATCAAGTCACTGCTAGTGACAAAAATAAAAACAATAAAAATAGGATGTCCAACCAAAATTTCAGTTGGTTGACTTAGCCGCCAGCCTCCCGCGATCGGGCCTTCACCCGTTTCAAGTGGGCGCTTGCTTACTTCAGCCTGCCAGTTCATGGACAGCCCCTCATCGGATATAAACCTTCAGCCCGCCCGTTGGGCGTCAGCATCAAACTCTTTCCCACATTAACTGATCAACACCATGGCAGAACCTATAGGTATAGCTTCTGGAGTGCTAGCGTTGGCATCTTTCGCTTTTCAGTCCAGTATTACACTATATGAGACCGTTCAGAGTTTCCGCTCCCATCAGAAACGGGTACGCGACCTTCTAGATGAGCTTGAGGCTCTGAGTGGGGTTCTTGGTCCGCTCGCCGAAACAATACAGGCGACGACTGACGTAAACCTTTCCGTCCTTGACCTTCCACTACTCCGATGTGGCAACGCCTGTAACGAGTTTCGGGAGGAATTAATCAAATGCTCATCACGGTCCGGCGGCAGCCGGACGAGCTTCCGAGACTGGGCCAAATTAAGATATATGGGGGATGATATCGACGGTTTCAGGCGAGTCCTGGCTCAATACCAGTTGACGATCAACATAGCCCTTACCGATGCGAACCTGTAAGTCTCTCCTCTGCGCATCCATTCAAGCCAGTAACTACTGCTGGTTATTTGTTTATTTGTTTTTCCTTTGTCTTTTTGAGTTTATTTTGCCACCCTCACCTCACTTTGCTTAACATCTTCGTCAGTCGTAAATCATCCATCAACGCCGAAAGCCTTGAAGGCTATAAGGACCTTATTGAAACAGCCAAGGCTGACCTCGAAGCTCATCTGGAAAATATCGATGGAAAACTGGAGCTTGTCTTGGGGAAAACAGTGGCCAATTCCGATTCGGATGTGATAGAATTGCGCCGCATCAAAGAGGAACGGTTAAGCACGGAAAAATGCCTTCAAATCTGTGCGCAGCTGTCCGAGCACATCAAACAAATCCAGCCCACGTCCAAGGACGAGGGTGGTTTCTCTTCATTGGGTGATTTAGATAACTCCCCCGAAAAAGTCACCAACGAGGGTCTGCAGGAATGCAAAACTAGCCTGAAGCTCACGATGACGAAGTTAGAAGAGCATATGCAGGACTTAATGAATCGTTTGCTGGCAAAATCGAAGTCACCTACGACGTCACAAACCCAGGAGGAGTTTACGGACCTTGCCAGGCTGCGAGATGAATGGGAGACGGCTCGTCAATGCATGGACATCTGCACCAAGGCTGACAACAACCTAAAGGAGAACTTCAGCAAAATTAACAATTACGCCACCGGTGATGCCCTTCAATTCATGGTTTCGACTAATGGGAAGATTCTCCATGGTAACAACCGAGGGGTTGGGTGGAGAACGAGGCAAGTTGGGGGGTACATCAGCGATGCTTCAATCCAACAGTTGTCACGGGATATGACCAACATCAACTTTCGAAATCTCGGAAATGATGCTCCTATTCCGCAAGGAAGTTCACCCACCATCCACAACGATGAGCCCCGGGTCGAGACACCCTTCGAATACAGCCAGCGGTATGGACGAGGCTATAAACTCCCATGATTCCGGACTTATCCATGCCCTCGACATATTGAATCGACTTTAAATCAAGCAGATCACCAAAAGGATAAATAGCTGGTTGCGGATGGCGACTGCGGGAGTTTGGATAAATTTTTAAGAATAATGACTCTATATAGAAAATTTACTTGTATGTCAAGATATCCAAAATTGTATGTTAACTACTGTGGGCGAATCTTACTAACCAATCTAATCACGTGCCAGGTCACATATACAACAGTAAGGAATATAATTAGCCCGGACAACCGGACCCGTCTACACAGATAGAAATCAAACACTCCAGCATTTACAGATGTTTATATAGTCAATTATATATCATTCTACGCGTTCTATCAAGGGTCATCCACCATCAAGCCTCGTGCAGTCAGGGTAGTCAACTTCCCGATCCCCAATCCCACTTCACTAGGCTACCATTTATGCGAAATCACATATAGGGGAGGAAAGCAAAACGGACATGTAGGTTAAAAAGTAAATTTGATAACAATGCTGTAGATGCTTTATGTTTATTAGCTATTCATTACCTGTGTATGGAATGTTGAACGGCTTTTCTGACTTGTAATTGAATAATGCTCTAATATCTCTTCCACTCCCTCCCTCCATTCATGGCACGTCTGCGCATTTCCAGAACCGTTGTACGGATTTCAAGTACATCATGAGTCAAAATTGTTCGACAAGAAGCTGGAATAATAAGACTGAAACTGAGAGGACGGCATATAAGATGCAAGAGGTGGGTTGGTCTATCCAAAAGTAAAAATAGACGGTATGCCTCCTCTCAGTAGATTTTATTCTTTCTGCTCAAGACCATCCTAACTTTAAACAAGTCGCTATTTATGTTGGATATTTATCTTATACAAGAATAACACAAAGCCTTTTAACAATTACTTAGATCCTGTGTATGATGGTCAGCCCATGGCCAACCCTCATTACTACATATCATAAAAGGTGGGTAGTCTCCTGCAACAGCCGCTCTCGTACTCCGCTGTGATCTTACGCTTAGAGCCTGAATATTGCTAGCAAGCGTCTGACAGTATATATACTATTATTTTGTTCCGATTCATTGGGAGGGAAGGCTGCATGCATTATCCTAGATCTATCCATGCCAAACAGAAGACGGTCAAACAAGCTTAAGCCTCCGCCGCATCCACTCGATACAACACCTTTGCAGCGTTGAAATATCCTTCATACTCGACCTCCTCATCCTTCAGATTATAATGATAATGCCCTCCAGTGTTCTCCTCCGCAGAAAAGCAGTGCGTATGCTCCATCCGCAGACCGAGCTTGTCTGGATCCGCAGAGTGCAGAACAGACAAACACACCATGGGACTGCCAAAGTCATGATAAGTCAGCCACTCCTCCAGCTGCTTGCGGTTCTTGAATGGCAGTTCATTCTCTGGCGGAAAGTCAGGCATAACGTGATACCGTGCCTTGCCTGACCTGACCACGAAAACACCCCCGAGACTGATCGTTTGAGAATCACCGTACGCTTCCTTGAGTGCCGTTTGGATACACTCTGTGAAGCTCTTCTCAGCACCTCTCCTCTTCCGCGCAGTAATCCTAATCACCTCCCCCGTCTCCCCCAACGACCCATACAAATTCACCATCAAAGCACAATCCACAGATGGACTCACGCCCACCCCAACACCCCCCGTATCCGGACGAATCTGAATAACACGAGTCCGATTATCGACATTCTCGAACCCACCCTCCCAGCTGAAATTTGGCGCAAGTTCGCAGTTCCGACCAATGACGTGGAATGGACCAGCCCCGGCACCGAGTAGCCCGCCCCGCTCAGAGCCCATCTCCATCGCTTTGGCGAGTTCAGGCATGGAATATATCTTGTCTAGACGGGGGCGGGGGAAGAGATTTGCCTGGCCGCCTACGTCTGCAATTTTCTCATCGCCTGAAATGCCTGGGGTGGCGAGGTGGAAGGGGGCATTGCGGAGGTCGGGGCAGGTGATGACGCGGACTGTTGAGTGATCATAGTTTGTCGAGAGAGGGACTTTGAGTGTTTCTGCTAGCTCTGAGAGAGTAGGTGGTGAGAGAGGATACTTTCGAGTATGCATTTCTTTTCTGGTCTATGGCAGAGAAAAATGAAGGGAGGAATAGAAAATAAAGAGGGGAGTGATAACAGCTTCCCCCGCACTTGCCCGCCAATCACGACATCACTTGTATGACATACTGTCTATAGGCATTCATTCGATATCAGCAACTTCAAGTTTATTTAACCTTATAGAATAGCAATAACAGTCTAATTAGTCACTCCCACAACCACAACACCTCTTCCCTCAATATCCAAGTATGCGGCGTCCACTGTCTCATACACCCCGTGAAACGGTTGTTAAAGAGATACTTTTCATACTTCATCGCAATAAACTCCGACGACGGCCCATCCGTAGCCAGGAACATCTTTCGTATCCGCCCAAACTCAAAAACAACACCCAAATTCCTGAACGTCTTCTGGTGCTCAGTTGTGCACAAGTTCCAGCGCCGTTCGTAGGAACGGTCCCCGAGACCAAGCCATCTGGACACGATTACTGCCGGGCCGTGAGGGTAGTTGCGACTCTCTAGCTGGAAGTCGAGCTCGCAATAGCGACACTTGAGCATGCTCGATACGTTTGTGTCTTTGGAATTGAAGTCGTGGCGTCGGATGAACTCCCTGTATATAGAACCCATGACCACGTCATTCAGGTTTCACGGATACCATCGCTGTCATTCCAGGGTTGTAGGTGTTGATCTAGAGATGGGACAGAGACAGTGGGCTGATCCCATGCCTGCGTCCACGGTTATATCGCTTCACGGCCATGTCCAAGCCTTGACATTTGAATCGGTACCAGGTCTTCCCCAACGGGAGTGGACATCAAAGTATACCTCTGATAACCAGCCTCCCGCCATAGTTTGAGCGCAGCGAGTTTGAGTCGGTCGTCGAGAGATTTTCGTCCGCCAGCTGGGCTTTGGGATAGGATGCAGACGACAACAAGGCTCGCATAGTTCCATTTCGGTGCCTTCCTGCAAGCGTCGTAGAAATTGCATAGGAAAGAAAGTATCTCGGAGTTCAATCCAATACGAGGATCCTAGTTTGAAAAGAATGGCATAGCTCACGAGTATTAGACATGCTTTGTCGATTATATCGCCGAGTTAGTCTATTATGAGCAGGAGTATTTCTGTGGGGAGTCCTGGGAGGCTTGCATCTTTAGGGATTCTCCTTTTGTGTTTGCGCCTCAAGATGCGGCTTAGCTTATTCTTCATCTTGTTGATGAGATGGATGGGATGAGGAAGAGAGAATCTGAATTAATTGATGTAGAAAGTGTATATCAGGCAGATAATGTTGCCTAAATCAATATAACTACATCATCATTGCTGAATCAGCCCTGCCTACAACGTATTATATTATAATATTTGTATCTCTCATAGAACAGAATAATCAAAATGAATCCAGAATAATATCCGCCATCTGCTCAGCAATCGCATACGTCGGCGCCTGGTAATGCGCCGCCAGAGGAATCGTAAACACACTCGCATCGACAACCCTCAACGCCTCAATCCCCAACACCCGGCATTCTGTATCGACCACACTACCCATCGCACACGTCCCAGATGGATGATACACCGTCCCCCCGCTGCGTTTGATACGCGTCTCAACCGCCTTGTCAGACCAGTCCTTGCGGAGGTCTTCGTCAACGCCGAATTCCACTGCCCCTAGACTGTGGACTTTTTGGATCGCAGCCGCGGTTGTTCGGACGCTTTCGTAGAACGCAGATCGGTCGACTGGGGAGGAGAGGAGCTTGGGATCGAGAATAGGTGCATCGAAGGGGTTGCTGGAGCGGAGCTTGATGGTTCCTCGAGAAAGAGGGTCAACCAGGACATTCACCAGACTGATTGTTCGTTTTCCCGGCCAGCCTGGGATAGGGTTCTTGCGGGCTTCGGTGTCAATCGGAGCGTACCTGATGCGGTTAGATGGATGAAGCGAAGATGGAAGACAACTTACACGACAAACACCTCCATCTGCACTTTTCCATCGGCGATATACTGTTGATAATCAGGCGCACTCAGCTCTTCTTTCGCTTTGGCACGAGTGCTTTCGTCTGCCGGTGAGAAACTCTGCCAGTCAAAGGGAATGCCTGCAAGCCAGTCACACTCTGGGGTTTGTGGTTCTGCACCGCCGAGTGTGGCGTTGGCTTCGCCAACAGTCCAGTACATTGAGAGAGTGGGATGCTCTGCATAGTTTTCTCCAACGGGGAGATTGGCGATCTGGGGGATGTTGTGTCGATCCAGTTCACTCTTAGGGCCAACGCCACTGCACATCGTCAGACCGTATACATATACCAGGATAAGTATCATACCTCAACATCAAAATCTTAGGCGAAGCCTGAGTCCCAGCAGACAGAATAACCTCTTTATCTGCCATGGCACGAACACGCTCTCCTTTCTCTCCCACTCGAGTAACCAACACTCCTTCGGCTTTCTTGCCATTCATTATAACCTGTTCAACAACACTCTCAGTCCAGACAGTCACATTATCACCGAGTTTATAGCTCGTTGCGAAACTTCTAAACCCGTTGAAATGAGAAGAAGCACATTCAGCATATCCGCGTGGAAATCCTCCATTCAAGTCTACTATCTTTTGCTGCCCGAGGATCTCGTGAAACTCCTGTATCTTGTTCCGCAGGGGATATTTGCGTGGTTTTCCGCTGTTGGTAACATGCGTGACCTGGCAATTAATATCTCTAAAAATAATATACGGAGTGACATACCTTGATAGGCCCATTCGCACCATGCAAATCCTCAGTCGGGGTATCCTCTTCAATCATAGCCTGCGACGGCGTCCACGCCTCACTCTTCTTGAAATACGGCAGCAGATTCTTCCACGACCATCTCTCATCCCCGACTAAATCGGCCCATTGGTTGCTTCACTCGTCAGCTTTGTCTTATACAGAAGGAAGCACCATACTAATTAACCGAAGGACCACGCGTAAAGCACTGGAAATTCACCGCAGAGCTCCCACCGACTATCTTCCCGGACGTTAGAGAAACATCCTCATCTGCAAAGCTTGTCTGCGGCTCTGAGCGATAATTCCATTCGATATCTGATCCCATGCCGGGGAGATATCCCGCAGCGGGGATGACACGCTCATCACGTCCGACACCTGCTTCGATTAGAAGGATTTGGGTGTCTGGACGAGCTTCCGAGATTCGACTGGCGAGGACACATCCTGATGCTGTTAATTATGGATTGAGATGGAGTGTAGAGTAGATTACCTGCTGCTCCTGCTCCCACGATGACCAGGCTAAATCTGTATTCTGCTCTCTCTGTCGCCATTTTGATGATGATGGATTACGGACTGCAGTTTCATCTGGGCGTATCCAGACTTTATATAGCTGCATAAAGTTGACGTCAGTCAGCTTGCATTTATGACAGCATGTTGGATTTCGTATTTGTTTCGTCAAAATGTATATCATCTTAATTACTCTATTTATATTTCAGAATCAGCATCTAGAAAGCTTGATTTATTGTAGATTTGATTCTAACGTTGTCTTGGTGACATTGCATACAGTGGCGACTGTGGTTCATTTTTGTATACGAGGTCTTTTACTGAGAACCATCCCTTCTATCTCACCCAGCTAGTCCGTGCCTGATTTTAATCCAAATCAGCACTGCAAGATTATGAGACCAAAATTTGAGCAATTAAATCAAGTCTGGATATATTTTCCCTGCACAAGGGGTACACATAGATCTAGCCAATTAGCGATAGTCAACAGGAATGGAAGAACTATTTTCCTCTTATCTTTTCTCATGCTATTCTTTATCCCCACCGAGTCAACAAAGCTACAACAATCCCTATTCAAAAGTTGTTATATCCAAGGTGAGCAGCACCATCAACTCATGAAATCTATCTGATTCCTTTGGAGGAATTGACATAATAAGTCATCTTTATGACGACGTGATCATAATAAAATCTCCACCATGCTTCAACAAGTCATCGTCTGCACCGTTCTATGGGCGATATATGTCTCATATCGGACGATCTGGTCTGGACCTCGTTACCAGCATCTGAGCACATCCAAAAAAGTTGTCTTTAGCGTTGGTATGGTCTGCGCTATTCTTGGCCTCTGGGCTGCATTTGCTGTCGTGATTTATACTGTCAAGCGAAATGGATTGAGTTGGGTAAGTGTCGAGCAGAGAAATTGTTCGTTTTGTTGCTAACTCGTATTAGTCGAGAGCTTCGAAGGGTAGGAAGAAGGTCCGGATACCGAGGTATTAACTCCGGATTGGACAGGGAAGGGGTTAATTTTTCTGGAGATGCGTTCAAGGATTGTTCCAAGTTGACAGAGAAAGAAGTTCCATTCTATCTTGTATATTTATGTAATCATGATCGTCAATCTATGTACTCTACCAATTGCCAGCGCCTGATCTAATTGAGGTACTTCTCGAAGTAGTCGGCAATTTGAGCGTATCTAGTCAAGCCAGTTAGCTTCGTGCATTCTCTCGAGTATCAGAATAACATACCCTCGGATATACTCCGCAAGACTTTCCTCGCCATCCAGGTTGGCGCGAGCTCCCATCCAGCCGTGCCACATCTTGTCGTACGTCTCGATAACCCCGCCAATTCCATTCTTGCCGATGATATCCTTGTAGCCTTGTACTGCCTCTGCAGGTTCGTCTTTCGAGGCGAGGACGATGTGAGGGATGGTCAGCTTTTCGGCGTCGGCGGCTTCCATGCGTCTAAAGCTTTTGTTAGTTTATGATTTATTGTAACGAGGGTGAATCACGTACCCTGGGTGAACTTGAGCAGACACCGCAAATGGTGTGTTAGGTCCGGAGGAAAGAACAGTAACCTAGAAATGTCAGCATTGTCTGGCTATCGAAAAGAATACCAGTATTACCTTTCCACCCCAGCACAAACCAAGAGCACCCCATTTCTTGACAGTCGGGAACTTGGTCTGGTATTCTTTGATCGCCTCCAAAAGAACCCCCACATTGTTTGGGATCGACGCAGCTGTAGAGACAAAACCCATCAAAAGCTTTTGTTTCTCCTCCGTGTCGGCGGGAAGCCATTCATGTTTGGCAGCCTCGCCTTTGAAGAAATCGGGGACTAGGACGACAGCGTTGAGTCTTGCTGCGAGGAGGTCGGCTCCTTGGATGGTTTGGCTGGCGAGTCCGAAGATGTCGTAAATGTCGACGATGCCGATCGACGCGTCTGTCGAGCCGGTGACGTCTGCAGAATGATTAGATTGTGCGTTGTCATCAGGCTGGATAGTCTTACAAGTCTTCAGATCTGCGATGGTTTCCCATTTGCCCTTAGGGGTGTATCCCTGAGGGATAACAGGTGGGATTGTTTTGCACGCTTCGCAAGACATTTTCTCTTCGATGGGTCAATGATTTCTGTACAGATGTTCGAAGGAGCGAGAAGGGGCGGGGTAAGGCCTGCCTAAATATTTGTCCATCTCGGATTTAGGAGTTTGCTGTCGTCGGTGATAAGCACTAACACACCGGGACCGGGGATGCTAAAGATAAGCTCAGCCAGTCAGGCTGTGTGTTTGGTGCGGCCTCTATATGAATGGGCTGTCAGTGGAAAACTCCCCCACCTGGAAAGCCGGAACCGGGCCGGAAACGGTTGAGCCCCCATTGTTTAAAGAAAAACAGAGTTGAATAACTTCACTTTAAAGACAACAACACAGGGAAGGTCTGCAGAGTGGTAGCACTTTCGATGCCACTGCTGCTCTAACAAAAATCAGACAGGCCAGGTCTGGTAGCAGCACACAAATTCACCCCTCCCAAGCAACATGGAGAGAGAAAGCCTTCCAAAATGTGACACAGATATCGATACTGGTCCAGGCACTGTGTCACCAGTCGATAGCACTCTTGTTGAGACCTCAGACCACGAACAAGTCATACAGACCAAGGAAACCAGCCAGGAAGAGACCATGGACAAAGCATCAGAAAACAAGTCGGACGTCGAGTCAGGCCCAAAGGACGAAGCGCCGTACTGCGTCCTCTCGGAGGGGCAGAAAATTTTCATCATGCTGTCTTCTTCGTTTGCGGCGATTATCTCTCCTATTTCGAGCAGCATCTACTATCCAGCCCTCACTTCGATTGCAAATGATATGCACGTCACCATCACCTTGATTAACTTAACGATCACGACGTACTTGGTAAGTGCTCGTTGCAACTCCATGATAGTTTCTGACTGAAGGCTTCCTACAGATCTTCCAAGGACTCGCCCCCTCTTTTATCGGAACATTTTCAGATATCCACGGCCGACGCCCCGCATACCTCATCTGCTTCATCATCTATCTCGGTGCGAACATCGGCCTCGCCTTACAAAACAACTACGCCGCCTTGATGGTCCTTCGATGCCTACAAGCCTCAGGAAGTAGTGGAACAATCGCCCTTGGCAGCGCCGTGGTTGCGGACGTATCTACCCGGGCAGAGCGTGGCAAATATATCGGATATGCGACGATGGGAACGACACTTGGCCCATCCCTAGGTCCTATCATCGGCGGTCTTCTCGAGCACTTTCTAGGCTGGCGATGGATATTCTGGTTTCTGGCCATCTTCTCTGGCGCTTTCTGTGCTATCATCCTCATGACCTTTCCCGAGACCTGTCGCACGGTGGTTGGGAATGGTTCCGTGCCTCCTGCTCGATGGAATCGTCCACTGTGGATGGTATTGAAAGAGTGCCTTGGGAAACCCGAGAAGAAGGATAGTACGGATGGTGAGAAAACCTTGCAGCAACGAAAAGAACGACCTAGTGTTCTCGCAGCCGCACGGATCGCTACTGAAAAAGAAGGCGGACTGATTCTGATCTACGGTGCACTGCTATACTGTGGATTCATGGTGGTGTTGAGTACATTGACCTCCCAACTCGCGAGTCGCTTCGGATTCAACGCCATTCAAATTGGCTTATGCTACCTTCCATTTGGAATTGGGAGTTTGACCTCGCGATGGACAGTGGGAACTCTGCTCGACTGGAACTTCAGACGCGAAGCACGACGCCATAACATGCCCATCGTCAAGAACCAGCAACAGGACATTCGCCATTTCAACATTGAAGCCGCCCGATTGACAATCACAATCCCACTTGTTTACGCAGCATGTTTCTGCATTATTGCCTACGGTTGGGTGATGCAGTATCGAACATCACTGGCTGGTCCACTGGTGATGCTCTTCTTCATCGGTCATCTACTCTCCGGAGCTTTTACGTCTCTGAGCACGTTGATTGTCGATACCCATCGCCAGAGTCCCGCGACTGCCGTTGCTGCAAACAATCTCCTTCGCTGCTTGATGGGAGCCGGTGCGACTGCTCTTGCTTCGCCGCTGATCGACCGCATCGGTATCGGCTGGACCGCAGTATTCATTGCCGGAGTGTGGGTGGTCTTCAGTCCGTGTCTGTGGGCTGTTTTTGTCTGGGGACATAAATGGAGATATGCATTGCTGGCCAAGGAAAGAGACGGCGAGAACGTTGAAGCCTGACGGCACTGGTGGCACATAAATATCGGTTGCTCCGCTAAAAGCATAGAATTATGGAATCGGGATGGCTTTTTCTAGTTAGCAATAGTTGCAGAATGATATTCGGCTATTTACATTCGTATCTGCTTGCCACGTGTTCTTTCAGCGCCAAAGTAACAAATTTCATTGGCTATTTGGGTGGAGTGTGTTGCACGAAATGGAGGGGCACGACAGCTTCTTCCTCTTAATTCAACAACAACCATCCCGATCACCTTATTCGGTCTGCTACTTGAGCCATCATGGATCAGTCTCATACATCTCAAGAGCCTTTAAAAGGTTCCGATACCACATTTGGAACCGTGAAATTGAGCAACTCGCCAATAACAGCCCCCTCCTCGTACATCCGGTCCCTGTCATCCAAGAGTAGCTGCTCAAAAATCATAGACGCGTTTAACGTATGGCTTCACGTTCCGATCGACATCGTGGATGTCCTCAAACAAGTCTGCGAGGACCTGCACAACGCCTCATTAATCCTGGATGACATCCAAGATGAATCTCCCCTCCGACGAGGAAACACGGCCACACATCTCGTCTTCGGTACAGCGCAGGCTATCAATGGTGCAAACTACATGATCATTCAAGCTACGAAAACTATCAATTCTCTCAAGAATCCAGCGATGATGATGTCGTGGCTGGATGATCTCGAAAACCAGTTTGTCGGACAGAGCTGGGACGTCAAATGGCGGGATGAAATGCACTGTCCGAGCGAAGAGGAGTATTTCGCTATGATTGATCTCAAAACTGGGATTGTGATTAAGAAAATCCTCCGGTTGATGCAGGCTGCCAAGAACGATGATGGTGCTCATCTTGATCGTCTGGCTCAGCTTCTCGGGCGCTGGTATCAGATCCGTGACGATTATATGAATCTCCAAGGAGCGGAGTATACGAGGGGCAAGGGGTTCTGCGAGGATCTAGATGAGGGGAAGATCTCCTTGATGCTTGTCAAATGCTGTCATTCGAGTCCCGTGAATCGAGATATCATCATGGGCATCTTCCGGAATCGGTTGGGATCGAGACAGACTCCGCTGCCTGTGGAATGTAAGATGCAGATTCTGAACATGATGGAGAAGAGCGGGGCGCTTCAACAGACATGGGAATTGATAATGGCGATGAAGAAAGAGATCGAAGAGGAGATCGGATGTGTGGAAGTGCATTTTGGGGAGGAGAATGCCATTTTTAGACTGATGGTGACTGCATTGGGGGATGTTCCTGCACCTTGAATGAATAATTGATATTCTATGATATGTCAAAGAGATTCACATTCCTGGCGAACTGACTATATCTGATATTGCATTCCTCGTGCATATCACATGCATATATTGATGATGTGTAATGATGACACCTATACGGAATGTATAAAACAATTCACGCCTTCCCTTTCTTTTCCCACCGTCTTTCAACCTCAAAATGCATCCTCTTGTTCTATTCTTCTTCTTCACAGCATGTTTAGCCAGCAAATATTGCCCCCTTCTCGGGCCAGTCTTCCCTGCTGCCAAACATCTCTCCGACAGTGAATCATTCGCAGCAGCCAAAATACATCTATCAAACACCCTCGACAAAGCTATCAAGACTTCATCGATTCTGAATTCTAATACAACTTCACTGTCTCTGCAGTTATTCTCAACTAACGATGTAGACCCACTCCTGGAATACTACTACACCGCGCCGATCATTCAAAACGCCACGACCGGTGTGACAAAAGTAGATGCGGATTCAGTCTTTCGCATTGGCAGTGTGACCAAAGTATTGACTATTCTTGTGCTGTTGGTTGAAGAGGGAGACGCAATTTTTCATGAACCCATCACCAAGTACATTCCAGAGCTGCGGAATGCAGGGGTTGCAGATGATGAAATCGACAGCGTGCGATGGGATGAAGTGACAATTGGAGAGCTAGCGAGCCAATTATCTGGGATTGGTCGAGATTGTAAGTTCCTCTATATTCTTGATATTGATATTATATTAATTTTCAGATGGCTTCATCGATCTCTCACGCTTTCTGCCCGAGTCTCAACAAAGGGCGCTGGGATTGCCTGCGCTGCCAGAAAACGAGATTCCCCCTTGTGGGTCGTTAAGAATCTGTACCAGAGCTCGTACGTTATATCTCTATCTCTATCTATACTTATACTTACTAACTGTGTAGAATTCTTCGAGGGAATGACAAAAGAACATCCTGCTTTCCCGACGTCTTCAACGCCAGTCTACTCCAACGCAGCGTATGAGATTCTCGCATTCGCCCTGGAAGACATGAAGAACCAGAGCTTTGAATCTCTCCTTCAGAGGGACATCATTAATCCACTACACTTGCATGGCACGACATACAGCAAACCGCACGACAAATACGGCGTCATTCCCAGAGATCCCACCTCCAGCTTCTGGGATACTGACTTGGGCAATGTATCTGCGTACGTATATCTCCATCATCATATCTTCCTATCTAATGGAATATCAGGGCTGGATCAGTATATTCTACTGCCACCGACATGGCAGCTCTAGGACGAGCGATTCTAAAGAGCACACTGCTCCCTAAACCCATGACAAGGCGCTGGCTGAAACCCGCCTCGCACACTTCATCCCTCGACTTGGCAGTCGGGTGGCCGTGGGAGATATTATCGTTCAACCAGTCTCGCACCCTCGATCTGTATACGAAACTTGGCGATGTGGGAGATTATTCCGCGGTGTTTGCCTTGTCGCCGGAGTATGGCTTTGGGTTCATCGCAATGGTCGCGGGGGATGATTCTTCTGATGTTACGAGACAAGTTGCGGATGTTGTTTCTAATGCTGCTCTTCCTGCGCTGGAAGATGCAGCGAGAGAAGAAGCTTGTTGTCGCTTTAGTGGGGAGTATGCTACTGACCAGGCCAATTCGTCTATATCCATCACCGCCGACGACGGACCCGGTCTCAAGGTCGAACACTGGATTAATAACTCAACAGACATGTTCGACTCATTGAAGACTCTCGCTCAACCAATCCAACTGTCAAATGTCAGCATCCGGCTATATCCAACCGGGCTAGAGACTAAGAACCGAGTCTCATTCCGGGCTATCACGGTGGATCCTTTTGCTCCTCCTGGCCTGGGGCCGGTTACATCTTCGTGCTGGTCTTGGGTACTAATAGATCGGAATCTGTATGGGAGTGTCGGTCTTGATGAGTTTGTCTTTGATGTGGATGATGAGGGGAATGCGGTTGCTGTGACGCCACGGGGATTGCGGGTTTCCCTTGAAAGGGTTTGAGATATATTGATATAGAGGATTTATATAATAACTATAATTAATGGTCATCATGGAGATACAATGGATGTAGCTGGATATAAATTAGCCTTATCATCAACCATTCCATCCAGTATAATATGAATAAAAATCATAATAAAGTGCGAAGCAGGACATGTTCTCAACCCGGGCTGATAATTTGGGCGAATAATTACATATTTCTTCCCAGTTAGGAAAGAATCATGGTCAAACCCATCCTCGAATCAGAAAACGTTGTTTGGCGCTCAGCCTCACAGCCTCACAGCCTCGCCACGTCACTCCATCTTTGCTCCGATCAGCCTCCTCTTCCCCTCACTCCTCGTTCGAAGTGTATCTCCTTTTTCCCTTTTCTGATAGACTACTATGAATTACCACGATGAAGCGATCCCGCCCTCGTCCTGACATCTTCACGATTGGCTGGATCGCCGCTCTTCCTGTCGAGCTCACAGCAGCCAAAGCAGTACTGGATGAGGAACATGAACACTGCCACGAGTTTTCTCAGTATACCCTCGGTCGCATTGGCTTCCACCAGGTCGTTATTGCTGTCCTCCCGTCTGGTCAGATCGGGACAAATTCCGCCGCACGTGTCGCAGCCGATCTGAAGTCCACCTTCCCTGGTCTTAAATATGGCCTGATGGTCGGTATCGGTGGTGGTGCCCCCAGCCACAATGCCGATATTCGACTGGGTGATGTCGTCGTCAGTCAGCCACAGGGACAGTATGGTGGAGTGGTCCAGTATGACCTTGGAAAGACAGTCACCGGGGGACTCCACTCTCGCACTGGCTTTCTCAACGCACCCCCAGCTGCTCTTCTCACGGCAGCGTCTCAGCTCCAGTCGGATCAAAGCAGAGGCAGGGATAATGTTACAAAACATCTGTATGCCTTTGATCATCTCCCGAATTTCGCACGTTGCAATGCTGGCCCAGATATTCTCTTTCCATCCTCGTACAATCATGAAGGAGGCCCAACATCGTGTGATAGTTGTCGCACTGACATGGTAGTCTCTCGAAGCCCTCGTAATGAATCAGTCATTTACTTTGGAACGATTGCATCTGGTAATCAAGTTGTAAAAGATGGCATGACAAGAGATAGGCTCAGTGCTGACCTCGGCGGGGTTCTTTGCTTTGAAATGGAGGCAGCAGGCCTGATGAACTCTCTTCCTTCTCTGGTCGTTCGTGGGATCTGCGATTACGCAGACTCGCATAAGAACAAGACGTGGCAGCCAGTGGCTGCTGCAGTTGCCGCTGCCTGTGCAAAAGAAATCCTCTCCTTTGTTCCTGCTCTTCATGTTCAGCAATTCAAAGATACTGACATGCAAATTGTCGTTTCGACAGAAAGTCGCGTGAAGGATTCAGCAGAACACAGGCAATACTTCTTGAATCAACTGAGCTTCAATCAAATTTACTCTCGCCACACCACAATAAGAGCTGCGCATGTCAAAACATGTCGATGGTTACTGAAAAGGTCCGAATACCGAAACTGGCTCGACCCAGCCTATTTGAATGAGCATAATGGCTTCTTATGGATTAAAGGGAAACCGGCCGCCGGAAAATCGACCATAATGAAATTTCTCTACATGGAAACAAAGAAGAATCATCCTGATACCATCATCACATCATTCTTCTTCAACGCTAGAGGTGAAGAGCTGGAAAAGTCAGTCATGGGAATGTACCGATCTCTCCTCTACCAACTTCTCGAAGCACAGCCTGATCTCCAGCCAGTATTCGATATCTTACCACAGCAATCCTCAGTTAATGACGAACCCCATCAATGGGACATGGAAACCATCAAGTCTCTTTTTGAGAATGCAGTGGAAAACCTGGGACAACGCCCCTTGCTGTGTTTTGTGGATGCTCTCGATGAATGCGAGGAGGACTCAATACGAGACATGCTGTACTTCTTCCAGCAACTAGGAGAACGTGCGATTTTGTCCCATAGGCAATTCTACGTCTGTCTTTCAAGTCGCCACTACCCACATATCTCAATCGATACGAAAATAGAGCTCGTTCTGGAAAACCAGGAGGGCCATCAAGAGGATATCACACGCTACATACAATCAGAGATGAAGGCAGGAAAGAGCAAAATGGCAGTCCAAATCAAGGCAGAGGTTCTCGAAAGAGCTCAAGGAATCTTTCTCTGGGTGGTCCTCGTCGTACAGATCCTCAACAAAGAATACGACCGAGGCCAGATTCACGCACTTAGGAAGCGACTAAAGGAGATCCCAACTGGACTACACGAATTGCTGCAAGATATTTTGACCCGAGATGCTCAAAACATAGATCACATGATCCTATGTCTTCGCTGGATCCTGTATGCAACGCGCCCTCTTAAGTGTGAGGAGCTTTACTTTGCCATCCTATCCGGAATTGAGTCTGATCCAGAGTATCTGACAGAGTGGAGTTCTGAGGAGACCACCGAAGATATCATGGAAAGATTTATCTTGAATTCTTCCAAAGGACTTGCCCAGAAAACCAAAACAAAAAGCTCCACCATCCAATTCATTCATGAGTCGGTTCGGGATTTCCTTCTCAAAGACAATGGCCTCGACAGACTTCAGTCAAACCTCAGCAAAAACTTTCCCGGTTCAAGTCACGATCATTTAAGGGAGTGCTGCTGGAGGCATCTGTCGATCGACTTTTCGGTCCACTTGTCTCTGCCATCATCACTCCCCAAGGCCAATTCTGAGGATGCAAAAACTCTCCGTCAAGCAGCTGTACAAAAGTTTCCTTTCCTTGAGTATGCAGTACAAAATGTCTTTTATCACGCGGAAACGGCAGAATCCCATGGAATCCCACAAAATTCGTTTATCGAACGCTTTTCCTTTGACAAATGGATCACCATGAACAACACTCTAGAGAAATATGAAGTACGGCGGTATACACTTAGTGCAAGTCCATCATATATATTTTCGGAGAAGGGTTATCCAAGTCTTATTCGAACACTGCGCAATATGGGGTTCAAAATGAATGTTATTGGTGAACGGCATGGTAATCCACTACTTGCAGCATTAGAATGTGGTCATCTTGATGCTGCAAAGGCACTTCTAGTACCTTCTACCGATGATATACCCACTACATCGGAAAGCTTCGACGTGAACTCCCTCCACAAAGGCAGCACCCCCTTGTTTTGGGCACTGGAGAAGGGTCGTATAGAGATGGTGAAACTATTGCTTGATAATGGTGCCGACCCAAATATCGCACGAATGGAAAAGAGTTCCCTATACTGGTCAATAGAAAATGGGCATCTACAAATAGCAAAGCTATTGCTTGAAAAAGGTGCAAGTCCAGATGGTTCGGATGGTTATGGCCATACCGCCTTGTTCTTGGCAACTGAGAATGGACATATAGAAATAATCAAGCTGCTCCTTGAGAGTGGTGCTAACCCGAATATCTCGTATGTGATTGACAGTCCCCTATGCCAGTCAGCTCGCAGTGGGTGTCTACAAGCAGCAAGGCTCTTGCTTGAGAAAGGTGCAGATCCAAATGGTGGAGATCATGATTTCAAAAGACCTCTATGCTATGCAGCAGAGCAAGGAAATATGGAGTTAGCGAAGCTACTTCTTGAAAAGGGTGCAAATCCAAATACTCTGCAGATAAATTTTCGCATGTCAGCTTGGAGTCCCCTATTTTTTGCAGTCAGAGGAGGAAACGTGGACATGGTGATGTTGCTGCTTGGGAAAGGTGCAGATCCAAATCATGGAAATCGCAAAAGCTTATGCTTTGCAGTAGAACAAGGTAATATTGAATTAGCGAAGCTACTTGTTGAGAAGGGTGCAGATCCAAATGGTGGAGATCATCAAAACAAAAGACCTTTGTGCTGTGCAGCAGACCAAGGAAACATGGAATTGGTGAAGCTCATTCTTGAGAGGGGTGCAGATCCAAATGGCCAGGATAAGCTTGGCGAGTCAGCCATGCACCTAGCATCTAGAAGGGGGCATGAAGGAATTATCAGATTGCTGCTTGCAAATGATGGTAATCCAAATATTCAGAATCATTCTGGTCGCACACCACTGTTTGAGGCAGTAAAGAATGAAGAATCGGTCAGATTACTCCTGCAGAATGGTGCCAATCCACATATTCAGGATCATTTTGGTCGCACAGCACTTTTTGAGGCAGTAAAGAATGAAGAATCGGTCGAATTACTACTGCAAAATGGCGCCAATATAAGTGTGAAGGACAAAATGAACAATACGCCACTGTCTCAATCAATGATAGGAGGGCATGAGGCAGTGGCTATGACACTCCTTGAGAAGGCTACATGTCAAGACTACGCAAATCCAAATACTTTGTTACTTGAAGCAGTGATTAGTGGATATGAATCAGTGACTAGGATATTACTCGAAAATGGTGTTGATCCAGATACCAAAGATCACAATGGCATAACGTCACTATCATGGGCAGTATTCAATTTCCGATTTTCAGTGGTGAGACTATTGCTCGAGAAGGGTGCTCATCCAGATACTCCAAATCATATTGGCTGGGCACCATTGCTCCTGGCTATTGAACACGGGGATGGTGAACTGGTAAAATTACTGCTTGAGTACGGTGCAAATCCAAGACTGGAAGATGGCTCTGGCAAGTCACCGCTGTCTTGTGCCGCAGAGAATGGGGATCAAGTGATAGTAGACCTGTTGCTTCGAAATAGTGGCTCTGGTTGAAGTTATATTTGTATGATACAACCCTTGGACATGGGAGCTGGTTATGGAAGCTGCTTTGTAAATATACTGGATGTTTTTCTGCTCTTTGAGCGACCTGATCGTATCTTTATATTATATCAGAATGTCTTTCCGTAACGCTATAGACCCATCCGTTGGTTTTGCCGAGAACAAAGTGGTTAGGATAATATTGTTCAAGCAATATTAATAAAGCATCAGCTTCGGTAGCATAGAGTATGGATTTCTCTGCGTGGCGGATTCGATAAATATATTTTAATAACTATATATATTGATCATGAGATTGAAGCATCGAACGTCAAAATACCGTTTATTTTGTCAACGTATATCGCACAGCCAAGCTTGAGGATTATAAAGCCCAGCATCAATTATTTACTATCTACGTAACTACATATCCGTGAGGTTATCGATTAATGAGCCAGTTCATCATCGGTAATCTGTCTGCTGTTTTCTTTCTTAGATTATTAAATCCAGCATGACTAATTTAAATCAATTCTGGCAAGATGGCCGAGTGGTTATGGCGCTGGTTTTAGGTTTCCAATCACCAGTTGTGCGAACTTCGTGGGTTCGAATCCCACTCTTGTCATTATTTTTTGGTTCTTTTTTTCTCTTTCTCCTTTTGTTTCTATTATGCTGCCATGTCGTTTCTGCTGTTATTTTGGCCGCAATTGGCATTTTTTCTCGGGGAAATTCTTTTTCTTTCTAATCTGCTGCATCTTACAGAGTGACCTGTATCGAGGCTGGAAGATGGGGAAAGGCGCCCGCCCGCCCGTGCCTCCCACTTAGCGTCTCCGAGAATTTGCTGGGCTACGCGATGGCCTTCTTGGCCTCATTTACCAACATTCCTGCTAACTTTGACAATGAAGACATCCCGCTTTCGATGTTAATTAAAAAAAATAAGAATTTAATCAAACGCTATTACATATGCCAAGTTTGCAAGACCTCCCGCCAGAGCTCATTCTGTGGGTGTTCAGGTCACTTGGCAACATTGACGATGCGCTTCATCTTGGATTCAGCTGCAAGCGCCTGTATGGGATATTCGATGACCCGGCGAATCAGAATGATATTATGAAATCTATCATTGTATGCAGTTTAGCTCTTCAGGTTGAGATTGATATCGGGCACTGACTGTCATAGCAACGACCAGGTCATCATAAATATGACCTGCAGCTTGATTGTCTAGATCAATTTTACACTGATCGTGCAAAAGACTATGTCCATACAGCACAACTTAGCAACGCAAGGTGCCCTGATGCGAAGATTATTGAAACCATGCAATCACCGTCTAAGCACCTGTTCTCATCACGAAATGTGGTCTCAGGGATTGTTCGCCGATGGCACGCTATGAAGGTTTTATTCAACCTCTACTGCAACTCGTCTGTCCGCAATTCCTATTTGGAGAGCTATATCCCTTATCCGGGGAGAGATCCCGAGTCTGGCCAGGATGGGATGCCGTCGAAAAATGACCCCCTTGCACCACCCTCTGGTGACATCTGCGACGACTTCAAGAAATTGACGCCCGAGCAAAAGAATCGCACATACGAACGTTTCTATAAAGTTCTCACGGCCCACTGGGTGGCAGTTGAATTTGCCTGGTTGTCTAAGATTCGTATCTACAAGGATTTCGCAGAGCGCGACCGGTTCCACGACGAAGTGACAGAAATGTGGACTCGTAATGACGACCGCAGCGTGCAAGAAAAACTCGCATTGAAGTTGTCGAGTTTGTCTGGGTCTTTTTGGCTCGGAAGATTTTCCACAGCCCATCTCCTGTGCTCGAGTGGTTTGACAGTCCCCAGAATCCGTTTCCGTTCCAGCCACCTTTTGTTCCTGGTGGCTGCCAGCTTGAAGGCTGGTTAGGGAATATCTTGGGAGATATGGAGCTTAATCGAGTCCCCGAAATACTCGCTGACCCTATGTGGATCCGATGGCTCTCCGATAATTTCGTTGAGGAAGTTGCCGAATATCTTCGACCGACGCATATTATTGAGCTCCTGTTCCTTTTTACATGGCATCCTCAGAAGCCATGGAAGGATAGCCGGTTTGAATATTTGCGCAAACTAGGCTTTGCTGATGGCCTATACGGAAGGACATTGGGAGAGGATCATCCGTACAGAAGGGAGGCTCGCTTCTCAATTGATCTTCTTGACTATGCTGTAGTCCCCGACTTGGCTTATGTGGGGTCCTTTGAACAGGAGGAACTGTTGGCAAAACAGCAAAAGCTCGGATTTCGATCTCCGTGGGAAAGAATCGATGAAGATAGGGTATATGAAGAATGCGAAAACCAATGGTTTGGCTATAGGAAGTGGAAGAATTGGGCCTTGCAAATGAGAGGTTAGATCTTGTTCCGCGATGAAAATCCAAATCAAATCTTTGACCGTGCCATTGCGCTTGAGCAATTGCATACATATGGCTGGTAGGGCAAATATCTCGAGGGGATCCGATGGAATTATGACATCTTCGATATCCTGGGGTATTTGGCTTTTGTGGAGATATCACCACGAATATTCTGTGAAACTGCCATCAGAAGAATGGTGAACAAATTAATATGAGAGGCGTCGGGTGGAAGAGTATACGATTTAGTCATATGAGGGAATATTTGAACAACATTCCCCTCAGAAACATCCCAGTAAAGCAACTGGGCAGTGGTCGTATCATTTTCCTAACTAGGATTGCTATATTTACGACGTACACCGCACTACTGTGCAATCATGTAATGGCCCCTATGGCCCCCAACAATGCCGTGTCATTCTGTGTCGATCATAGCCAACTGTCAGGAGAAGTGTTTCTAAATAATAGATCCAACAAAATATGTTGTCTTTAACGGTCAACACCATCCTTACCGACTATAAATAGCGATGCTCCGTGACTTGGACAAGACCCTTCGGTGGACCCTGCCGAGGCTTCAAGGCAGCAACTGACGAACTCTGTTTCTCAAGCTTTCGACTAGCCTTCCTGGCACCGGAACATCCTGTAGCCGGGAGCGGCCAACGGAAGCTCCGAATTCCGCTTCCGAGTTGCGAGGTGTGGATATGGTCACGTGCGGTACAGCCTTACACAGCCCACCCGTAGGCGGAGTTAGAGGCTGTTTCATTGCAGACGATGAGAATATTTTGAACATGACGGTGTGCTACTCTGTAGATCTTGATGCTTCATGGGCAGTGGGAACTGCCTCGTAGTCGTATGAGGATTTGTTGCTCGTAATCGTAAATTGTGCTGAAATTAGTTGTGTTCTAAAAGAGTTTATTAATTTGCGCGTGGGTTTAAGCTCTCTTCATTGGCCAGGTATTACTGTGACCCACCGTGTCACAAAGATTTGAAGAACGCCAAGCAATTCTAGCACAATTCTTTGCCGGATCAGACGAGTTATTACTGATTCTGTGGGGTGCGAGTCAAGATGCATTTCGGCTGGACGATGGCATTGTTTTGTGTATATGAGCTTCTAGGCTCCGCGAACTGGAAATGCACTGTGTTATGGGGCAGGACACTCAATGATGTGGTCAACTCCATTTGTCTCAGCCTCATGCAGCCAGTGAGATTATGGATCATAGCCACTCAACCATGTCCAGTGTGTCAAACAAATCAAAAGGCAAACTGAATAAACTCTCCCTGTGGGTGTAGTCAGACAGACAGGAGTTTCCCATTTGGGTGATTGCACTGACAACGGTAACAAATACAATAAATACCACATCTTTACCCTGAACAATTTGGTGATCCGCCAAGCTCATACCCACCACTGACCCAATGGTGAATGAGTGGGCCTGTTGGCCTCTGATCATTGGTCTGCAGAGCCGGGCGGACCCTGAGACTAGGCTACTTTGGGCAATTGACCATGTGATCCTGCCTGGATCTGAGCCTAGTCGGGACTAGCAGCGGATCTCTGTCATAATGGCTCTGCCCTATCGCGATGGTTTGTTGATCGTATTGTGTTATGCTTTTCTTTTCTCCAGTCTCTCCTTTCCGCCTCGCAGCCTCGCGCTGTTCGCTCCTTTCTGCTCAGCCTCATCGCTCGCTCTTTTTTTCTTCTTCTTCTCCCTCCAGTTTCGTATTCGCCCATTCTTTATTTCCCTTTCGCGACGTTGCTTAAATGTTCGACTGCCGTGTGTCTCCCTTGTGAGGTGTTTATCCCTTGCGTGTTGCGTCGCTTTGACAGTCTGGGGAACATTCCTCGAACACCACCGCCGACATGGTCGCTGCCAAACTGCATTACAGCTTCGACCGATGCAGAGACACCTTCTCTCGTCTTCTCATCCGATATCCCATCTTCCGCAACCTAGGATGGACGGCTTCGCGCAAATACTGGTTCGCTCTGCTTTTCATCGCCATTTTCAGCGCCAAGGTCCTCCACGTCTACTCCCATCTCAGTTCCCTTCCTTTGCCACAGCTTCTGGTCTGGGGTCCGACATTTTTCGTGCAGGATGTTTTGTGCATCTTCGTCTGCTGGGGCCTGTGTCGCAATTTCCATAACAAATGGGTCCGTATTTCGGCGGCGTTGGTGGCCGTCCCCGCTAGGTATGCTGATCGACTGCGATCCGCCTCCAATCTTGCTAATTTCGTCCAGTATCGCGATTTCCTTCATGTCTGCCGCTAATGCCTCGTTCTACATCACCACCGGTGCCGAAATTCACTGGCGCCAAGCTCATTCGTTCCACCGCGATTTCGCCTCGGTTAAGACACTCCTTGCCGGTTTGACTGGTGTTCTCATTATCGAAGCCGTATTCCTCATCGTATCCTGGTTTACCGCCACTTATCTTTACAACGGTGTGAGGGAGGTTTTGCGGGCCTTGAGCTCCTGCGTGGGATTTGCTTTCCGTTGCTGTCGGAGAAAGTCGACCCCTCTCCCAGACCCGGAGATTTACGAGCAAGTGGCCGTTGACGACTTTGACGATAAGAGCGACTCAGACTCGGTTTTTCTTCTGGGCGAGCCCACCAAGCCGGTAGAGAACAACACTCGCTCTACTCTCCTGAAACGTGCTGTCATTCTTTTCGCCGCTACTTATGTCGCTTTTCTGGGCTGCATCCGCCCGTCCGACTCTGCATACTGGTTTTTGTCCCAAACTCTCGTTGTTACGCCTTTTGGCGGCTCCCGACCCCATGGCGGCCACGCACTCGTTGATATTCCTGGTGCCTTGGGCGAATACAGCTGGTTGGGCAACCGTACGGCCCTGGATATCCCACCGAAATTCGATTGGTTGCCGGTCGAGGAGCTGCCTGGATTCCGAGACTGGTATGCGAATAAGAACAGCAAGGAGCCGTATCTCCACTACAACCCGAAGCAGGACCCTCTGCATGTCTCGAACTTGGAAGGTGAAGTCATCGAGCCTTACCGCAAAGCTCTCCATGATGGGAGTGTTAAAATCAAGCACGTCTTTCTGATCAAGTTGGAAAGTACCAGAGAGGATGTTTTCCCTCTTCGCAAAGACTCCTTCATGCACGACCGCCTCAAAAGCTCGTTCAATGGCAAGGTTCCTGACGAAGTTGAACAACGATATGCTAATTTGACACCAACGGCGGAGCGTCTGACCGGAACACCCTCTGGATGGAATGGAAACAATGTCAAGCCGTATGGTGGTATCCACGCCACAAACTCCCACACTGCCGGTACTTTTACGCTCAAGAGTCTGACGGGTTCAATTTGTGGTCTTTCGCCTCTGGTTGTTGACTTCAACAAGGAGTACCTGCACCACATTTACCAGCCTTGCATGCCTCACATCTTCGATGCTATCAGCGCTCAATACAATGGAACCGACAAGACTAAGGAGACCAACCGTACAGACGATTTCACCTCCTGGCCGTGGCGCACCGCGTTCATGCAATCCATCACTGATCTCTACGATAACCAGAACTTCCTGACACCTGTTCTGGGCTTCAAAGACTCGATTAATGTCGACACAATCATGGAAGACCGTGCCAAGAACCCCAAGTCTGGAACCGAGGAGGTCAACTTCTGGGGATACCCCGACGATGAGCTGCGAGACTATTTCCGTGATGCTCTCAACAAGGCCGAAGAGGACAAGGAACGCTTGTTCATCACCCACCTTACTGGTATCACCCATTACCCTTGGAACATGCCGCATGATGAGTTTGAAGAAATGGCTGGCTCTACGTGGCTTCCTTTCAACAAGAAGCTTGGCCGCTATTTGAACACTCTTAACTACATCGACAAGTGGCTTGCCGAGACCTTGCAAATCCTGGAGGAAACCGGGGCTGCCAACGAGACCTTGCTTGTGATAACTGGTGACCAGTAAGTGATTCAATGTCCCGTGTAGGGAATTTAGCTGACCCGATGATAGTGGTATCACACTTCCTGAGGATGGCGGTGTCACACCTTACGATAACCCTCACATCTCCAACTTCCACGTCCCATTGGTCTTTGCCCACCCACAGCTTCCTGCCATCGAAATCGATTCCCCAGTTACTTCGATGCAAATTCTACCCACTATTCTCGACCTTTTGCAAGAGACATCGTCCGTTGATGAAAAGGGCATGCGTGTCATCAAGGATCTGCTCCCGATGTATGAGGGCCAATCGATTATCCGACCACTCGTTCCTGAAGCCAACGGAAAGCAAGACTGGCAGTTCACCGTTATGAATACAGGAGGCACCTGGGTTTCTTTGCGATCTGCTGCGAAGCCATACCGCTTGGTCATTCCTCTCGTACCGGATGTGGAATGGCGATTCTCGAATGTTGAGACCGATCCTAAGGAGAGAAGCTACCTGATGTCCTTCGATCTTTTGGCTCTGATTGACCAGGCCAAGAGACGGTATGGCGAGGACGCCTACCAGTGGATCAACGATGCGGCGCATGTTGCTCAATGGTGGCTCAATGATAACTGGCGCCGTTACGAATACACACCATAGAGGGTGACTTGATCTACCTAAAACAATGGGCGTGCACCAATTCTCGCGATGCAACCCGACGACGTATATAAACTGCCTTTGATGGCGAAAATAACGGCGACCAATGCCTCATGAATATGCAGGCACCCGCTGCCACCACTCGACTTGTCATCATAAATTTGGTCAGCCAGTCGCAATCCTTACATATTACGTACCGAATGATCGAGCACCACCAAATCCTTGAAGATGAGACGTTTGACGCGCAACATCTTCATCCGAACATAACCGGGCTTGAACAGAACTCGTACAGAAACGGCCAGGGAATTGATGAACTTCCATTCGTTGCTTTCGCTAGTGTATCACCAACGGCGACTGCCCCCTTTCAAAGTGCATACATGGAGGCGAGCCTCTGGCTAGGCATTTGGCTCAAATAAATATTCGGCATGGTGTTCCGGAAATGCATGGATTTGTCTTTATTAGCGTTTGCGTTCAGAACAATATAATGACTGTATTACTATCATACCAACTTTTCTTCGTAAACTGTGCCACTAAATCTCGTTGATCATATTACCGGTGTACCTTAATCTCTAACTGAGTGTTTATATTGTTTTCTATATGGCATTTCTATATAGCCCCTTGTGTTATATCTAGTACATACGACCACAGGGTGTGGAGAACAGGGCTTCCCGTCCGCTCAGCCGTACTTAAGCCACACGCCGGCAGGTTAGTAGTTGGGTGGGTGACCACCAGCGAATCCCTGCTGTTGTATGTTTTTATATTTTTATATTTTTTGATATATATGGTGTTAATATCTCATACATTAAATAACACGACAATCTCAAAGCCGATTATCTGACTTGGAATACAGCAATCGTATAGACTGTTATGTATTCCTTTAATGCGCATACCCCTCCCTTATATAAATTCCAGTATATATGATCGAAGAATAGGGTCCCTCTTCCCATCCACTCAGCCATACTTAAGCTATATTAGAGCCATTCAGAGTCATCTACCCATGATTTTCTCATACCTGAACAGTCAGTATCAGTATAATAAATATACTGGGTGGTCAGACGCAACGTCAGTTGACCCAGACGTGGAATTACCCCGGACCAAAATAGAAGAATGCCTCTATAACAGTGTTGCAAGGCATCTACCATGGGGCTATCAGATATGAATGCGGCGGTTTTCAAAAGTCTATGTGGCCGAATTGAAATTATAGTCAACATGTATCACCACCATTCTCCTCCGTTCAGTATACATTTTCTATATCAGTATGAACACCCGGCTTCTGCACCATCAATTCCACAATCTCCCTATGACCCATCATAGCAGCAATCCCCAAGGGTGTTTTGTCATCACAGTCCCTAGGATTCAATTCGATGCCATCCTTGGCGAGCAGCATTTCAACGACTTCTCTGCTGCCGCAACCAGCAGCTAACACAAGTGGTGTTTTACTACTTTGGTCTTTGGCGTTGAGATTGATACCGTCCTTCCTGAGCAATAAGTTCACAATTTTCACATGGTTCCACTTGGTTGCTATATTTAGTGGCGTGTCATTCTCGTAGTCATGGGCGTTGACGTTCACCGCATCATTGGATAGCAGTAATTGTACCACCACAGAGTGACCTCCTTGGGTAGCAAATAACAATGGCGTAAAGCCTTGATGACTTCGACAGTCCAAGTCAACGTTGGGATGCGCAAGTAGTACTTTCATGGCCTTCACAGTGCCGTTGGACACCGCCAGGGAGACGGGCGTCATGAATCGAGAGTTTCTAGCGTTAATATCAGCGCCAGTAGTAAGGAACAATTCCACCGCATCACTGTGGTCCTCCACTGTTGCCATGATCAGTGGTGTGTTGGCGTTTTCATCGGGAAGATCAACATTGACGCCTTTCTCCAGCAGAAACCTCACGCCGGTCGTACACCCAGAAGAAGAAGCCCCTGACAGGGCTGAACGCCCGGTCTCATCCTGAACGTCTGCGTTGACCTGATCCGCGCTCAGCAGGAGATTGATCAGCTCTGCGTCACGGTTGTCACCCCAAACAGCCCACATCAGCGGCGTTTTCCGATCCCTATTATCCAAGGCGTTGGGATCGACGCGGCCGTCTGCAAGCAGCGTTCTGGTAACCGCGGGATGCCCACAGCTCACTGCACAGTGTAGTGCAGTACCCCCATTCTCGGTTTGGGTGTCTGGGATGACACGGGGGTCCTGAAGAAGCAACTTGACCACTGCATCGTGGCCTTCGCTGCGAAAGACAACGGGGTTCGCCCTTCATCATGGACATTCACATCCACCCCCTCGGTGCCCAGTAGTAACTGCACAATACTCAAGTGACCCATTTGTGTAGCAAATGCAAGGATGGTTCTGTCATTGTCGTCATCCAGATCTGTGGCATTTACATTTGCACCTTGGTCGAGAAACTCGCGGACTGAACCCTCGCATCCTGTGTTCGCCACTGTTACCAATCCAGCGCCTCCGAGTTGCTGGCTTTTACGGCAAAGGAAACCATTGAGGCAATGATAAAGACGTCGCGAGATCTGAACAAGAGCGTTGAGATCGTATTCAAATTCGACATGCTCGGCGATGGCCAAGAGGATTTCGTCGGGAAAATCAGACCACAGCATTTCTGCAGATATTATTTATCAATATATACTGCCCAGGAACCCAAATTGTGTGAAAGATGGATGGACTCGCATTGGCCGACATTGCCAAGCGCATCTCCACGATGGATTGCGACGATGTCTGTTTAGGCATGGCGAACGAGTGGACCCTAAGGAGCCGTTATCTCGTTGGTTCAACCGCTGTTAGTTGAAATACGAGTGATCTTCGCCGCTGTCATGTGAAACGGGTTGAACACGAGGTTTGACTCGATGGATTCACCATCCTTCTGCCGTCGACTGTCCAGGATCAAAATATTTCCCCAGAGTCTCCCACAATGGACAATTCGGAGACTGAAAATGAAGGTAAAAAGGATTAAACAGATGAATATGGTCAAGCCAAGGCTAATGATGAGCCAAGGACAGTGGGGCGCGGCGGTTGATATGCTGTCAAAAACCATCCAGAACAGGAACGGAATAGACTGGAATGACCCCGATACCCTTGCCATAGTGCACGACTTCGCCTGGGCATTCGGGCATGCTTCAGGATGGCAAGACTCCAAGGCCATGTCCCGAGTGGCCGAGTCGCGGCAGCGAGTCCTCGGTGCCAAACATCCTGACACGCTCATGTCCGTCTGCTGTCTCGCGGAGATTCATTGGCGTCAGGGAAAGTCCGCAACGGCTGTTGATATTCTGCTTGATGCGATAGAGACGATGAAGGAGGTTTTTGGCAGACAGGATCCAACGACAATCAGAGCCACAGGGATCTTGGCTGCCGCGTATTCCCATCTTGAGGAATATGAGAAAGCGGTACAGCTGCAGACGGCGCTGGTAGAGGACGCGGCCACAGTATTCGGACCACAGCATCCGGCAACATTGGCAGCAATGCACAACCTGGCATTGACATACCTGCGACAACAGCGCCCAGAGAAAGCAAGAGATCTCGTCGCCACTGCACTGCATGGCAGGAAACAAGTCCTGGGATTAAGCGACCCCAGTACTCTTGATTCCATCGAGATGATGTGTCAAATCCACACTGCTTTGCAGCAGTGGAAAGATGCAACCGAGCTGTACCCCCAAGCGTTGGAGCTTGCCACCGCTCGCTTTGGCGATAATCATCCTCGCACAATCCACATCGCCACGAACCTGGCCTTCGGCCTCCAAATGAACAGCAAATACCTCCCTTCCCGCGACCTATATCAGAAGACGCTACCTATGATTGTGCAGACCTTGGGATGGAGTGATCCGCTCACGAGTCAGTCGTATAACGAACTAGCATCTCTCCTTCACACAACCGAAAATTATCCAGACGCGGAGAAGCTGCATCGGTGGGTGTTTGATGCGCGAGATGCCATCGGCGCTGCCCACCCTTTGATGCTGACGTGTGTTGCCAATTTGGGCTTTGTGTGTCACTTTCAAGGGAAATACGAGGAAGCGGAGGCTTTCTACCGAAAGGCAGTGGAAGGAAACCAAGGGGCACATGGAAGCAAAAGCATCGATACGATCAACAGCATGAGAAGCCTGATGACCGTCCTCACCAGTCGTGGTAAATCCAAGGCTGCGGAGAAGATGGGTTGGCAGGTACTTCAGACATCGGACGATTTTCTTGGATCAGAGCACCTTGTGACACTCGATATCGCCAGTGGACTATCTTCCGCGCTTCGCTCGCAAGGACAATTCCACGATGCGGAAGAATTGAGTCGTCGAGCACTCACTGGATATGGGAAGATCTTGGGAAAGGATGATCCCGCAACACTGAGCACTGCCTACGATCTTGCGACGGCGTTGCACTATCAGGGCAAACATGAAGCAGCCGAGAGCCTGTTACACGAGATGCTAGAAGATGGAGAGCAAAGATCAGACGAGGCTTATAAAACGACTCTTCGTCTTTCCCACAAACTGGGGCTAGTCTTACTCTCCAGGCGGAAATACGAAGAGTCTGAGACTTTACTCCGGCAGACAATGGAGAAGCAGGACAGTCTGCTTGGTCCCGTGCATCCACATACTCTCGCTAGCACGCATGACTTGTCTATCGTCTTGTCTACCCGAGAAAAGTACAGCGAGGCCCAAGGCTTGGAAGAAGATTTGCTGAAGGCTTGTGGGGAGCATTTGGGTTCTCAGCATTATGAAACCTTGCGGAGTATGCAGAGTTTAGCCGATCTCCATCAGATCCAAGGCGACGATACGTTGGCCCAGCATCTCTACAAAAAGGCTATGGATGGGTATTCCAAACAGTCCAATGACAAAGACCTTGGAGTTCTTATGTGCGTGAACAACCTCGGAAACATTCTCAGACGTCAGGGAAAATACGACGAAGCAGAGGAAAACTATATCTTCACACTCAATGGATACGAACAACGACTTGGAAAGAGCCATTCTTTTACACTGGACTGTCTTTCCAATCTTGCCAACCTTGAACGAGACCGAGGAAAACATAAAGACGCCGAGGAGCTGGGCATGATCCAATTCGAAAGGAGACAGAATGGATCTCATGCAGGGAAGCGGCTTGCACTTATTCCACCAGGACTAGAGAATGTGACTGAGACCACCAGTCTCAACACACGCTCTGGTATATGGCCATGGGTGATGAATAAACAGCATGATGACTCTCGACTTTGATTTTTAGTGTACTTAACTAACCTAATTACCTCGTAGAGGATCCGCTGAAGAAGAGTCTGTATATAATTTTATAAACTTATCTTTTACGAGTCAAGTATATTGTTACTTCTAGGGGTTCTTTAAAATATATACTCTATAATGGTAAGATTATGATGCTCCTTCTTGGTAATTATATTATTAAATCTATAAGGTGAGCTGATGATATCCAGTCAAGAATCCTAATTAGTTATCCCTGTTAGTGAGGCTTGGCACAGGGTATGATTACAGCCTTGTATAGTTATTATTAAAGAAATCCTGGGATTCTGGACACAGCGCCCGCCATAGGGAGTTTTCTGATTATGATAAAACGCTTTGGGAAAGCCCTTTGGTTAAGGGAAGCCAACAGAGATACACCAGGAGACACCCAGCAACAAGGGTCAGTGATGATAATAGTAATGATAACTAGTAGTAAAACATATAATTTCCACTGTCAAAGTATAGAATCTATTAATTTATAAGCAGTAAATATCTCATTAGATAACACGTGGCTAATCTGCTTAAAGAGTATTTCCTAGGCTGCGGGTTAATAAAGGTTTATACACATTAATCTGTTCTATGTAGACTGTGATTGACTAGTTATTATTTAATTATACAATGACATGTGGCATATTAATATACTGGAACCACTTTCCCTAGTAAGCTATATAGGTCTCACTGTGATTACTCAGTCTAACTATTATATAGGAGAATATCCATTTTTGTTGTTTCGACCTTCGATGGTCACTTGATTTGTAGTTTCAGGGATCGCCATCCCCGCACAGGGTAATAAGCATATCTTGAATTTTCTTTCGTCCCACGTCCTCGTCTTTCTCAAGGTGAATCAGTGTCGATCTGCATTTGTCTTGTACTGACTTGAAAAAAATCTATCGATCATCGTTCTAAGAGTTATTGTTATGACGCATCTCTGCGATTTGTGCAGATCATTAACCAAATCAGGAGGTATATCAGATACTGCGCCCTGCACAGCCACAAGGCGTTACATCATAGCAGTTCGGCAAGAGAACTATAAAGATAATATGTCTCTCCGTAGATTGAATGCATCATCAGCCCAGTCAACGTGAAACCGTTTTCTCCGTCTCAAACTGTATTGCATAAACCACTCTTGTAAGTTTCACTCTCTACCCATAATACACAGCCATCTCACACTTCCAAGACCGAAACCAATAAAACTACCCATATCACCAGACAATGTGTTTTGGGAGAAGCGAAGATGACCCTGAATGGTGGGGGAATGTCGATAATGGGCAAAGCGCGAGAGCTCGTCGCAAACCAACATATTGGATAAGACCACACGCCAATGCGGACCTGCGACGTCGAAAGCGCGCGGAACAAGAGGCTAATAATCGTGTTGGAGTACCTGGTTCTGCGTATCAAAGGAGATAGTAATGTTATGTGTTATGTGTGTACATAGACGACCTGATGAATTATGGGTATTATTAAGGATAAAGAACAACCTTGCATATATAAGAAATTTACACTCCATTCTGCACCACATCGGATAATCGCCCACTGCCAACCTCCTTGAGCAGGCCTTCGGTTTCTCGCATCTTCCGCATATGGTCCACCATGACGCTATGCAGGTCCGCGCAGTCGCACAAGACAGAAAAACCCGCCATCCACTCCGGGGGCGTGTTGACCTTGAAAGAAATCGCCATACAAGGCGTGCCAGAGTCTCTGGACACCTGCACGAGATGGTTGACAGCCCTGACAAAGCAGGGATCCTCCTTGCCCCCGACTGGAGTGGAAGGCAAGCCCATCGCAAGACGAAGATCGCCCGGCCCGAGCATCAGCAAGTCGACACCGGGCGTCGTGGCAATCGCCTCGGCGTTTTCAATACCAGTCTAGTTTAATAATTGTTAGTCAGGGTTGGACTGGAGTTTTTTTGATAGAGGCGCCACGTACAGGACTCTCGATCTGGCAGATGACGGCAATGTTATTGTCTGCGACCTGCTGATAGGAGGTGCCCGGAGGCGCAAGCTGGGCTATGCTAGGGATTAGAGCAGACGGGGCCAGGGAACGGTCTCCCCCTGAGCACGCATAGCGGGACTTCCTGACTGCCTCTGCGGCTTGATCGGGGGTGTCGACATGGGGGAAGATAATCCCGGCCGCTCCTGGACGATGTTAGATTCTATTGCTGATATCAGACAAGATGGAGATTTTACCTGCGTCGAGTGCATGTGTGACTAGATGCGAGTCCACAGATGGCACCCGTGCTATCGCAACAGTCTTGCCTTGGCTGGACAAATTGACAGTCTGGATAAGCTGCATCATTCGCTCCGCATCCAAGGGCCTAGCAGTGTCAGCTAACGTGGACAAAAGGCAATAGGGATTGAATACTGGCTCACTCATGCTGAGCATCTACTATAACAAAGTCAAAGCCCAACAAAGCCAGGGTTCGAGCCATAGTGGTATGCGGTACACCTAAAACAGTCCCGAGTAGATGGTAGTTGATACGTTTTGTCTCCTTGTCCATTGACTCTGAGATTGCTCGTCGTAGATTCGACGGCTGGAAGAGTGACATTGCCTGGAATCTGTCCATATTGAAGGATTGGAGAAGTATATGCTGTGAGGTGTGTGGAAAAGTTATCCGATGACCGCTAAACACTGACACCCAGCTGTGTATTTAAAGTACTCAAGCGATTGCCTTGAATCTATCGGTGTAAGATATCCCTTTCTGCCTTCTGGTCCTTGCTCATTTCAGAGTATATTTGGCTTTCTATCTGCATTCTGGGCGATAAACTCGAGCCTTATCTATGGAATCTGTAGATCCGTGATGATAGAGTCGTCATCTGGATGCATTAAATATGCGATAGAAGGATGGGCCTTGCATTGGTATGCAAGGGCTACCAGGCGGTGTGCATTTGGTGCAGCGTCAACAAACAAGAATAGAGATAAAGGCAATGGTATGTGACTTCATGCAGCTGGCGATATGTACGTGCATAGATTGCGGTGAATAGGCCGTTCAATTATCTTCTCCTATCATGTACTCTTTCCGCCTTGTCTTATACAACATATTGCAGGATACTAACTCTGCATAGCCTTTCCACGTCACTAATGGCGTGGCGAGCATGTGAATCGATGTATCCAGCACTGCCAAACCGAGACGATTTCGTGGCCACTTGGAGTATCCCTAGATAATCATCTTCACTTTATACTCTACTAATCCTGGCTTCTGTCTGATGTTCCCTATAAAAGAACCTGACCTGTACCTAATCAAATATTTACTATCATAGTTATAGTTCCTACAAATTGATATACTTCCTTCGGTTAACCCTATAAGGCCATAATGTCACGTGATAATCAACTGAAAGAGGCAAATCCCGTTCAACTTCATTTGCTCCACATCCAACACGATGAACTCGTACGTCCAGAAACAGCCTCGAAAATCCCATCGAAAGTCTCGCTTTGGTTGCGAAGACTGTAAAAGACGCCGCCAAAAGGTATTCCCACTTCGAATATCAACCTCAGACATGCTCATGGAATTTAGTGTGATGAAAAAAAACCTTCATGTACGAACTGTGTGCGTCGTTCGACTGAATGTGTCTACGTCTCAAGAAAACCGGGTTTACTGTCAGCAGAAGGCAACAGCTCTGCGGAATCAAATGTTTCTCCAGATGTGCATCTTGAAAAAAGCTTCACATTTATCTCATCATCGCAGCAGAATTTTGAGCCGCCAAAAAGGGGGAATTCCAAGACCCAGTTGCCGCTCGTAGAGCAGGCATCATCTGGTAAACCATGTTCGACTGTAGGCGTGAAGCCATTCGAATTCACAGCCATAGACATGGGGCTATACCACCATTTTATGAGCTCACCAGACCTGTCTGCCAGCCAGCCTCACCTGCAAATCCAACTCTGCCGGTTAGGCTTCTCATTCCACTACGTTCTCCGTCTCCTTCTCGCATTCTCTGGTTTTCACCTCGCACGGAACCCAGGAACCACGACATTACAGCAAATGATGGACCCAGGAGTCGACTTTTACGCTGAAGCAGAACGGCATTACGAGACGGCCGTTTGTGAAGTCGCAGCTGCAGTGCCTTGCTTGGGTAAAGAGAACGGCCATGCTCTGTATGCCGCTGCTCTGTTTATCTTCCTTTGCTCTATCGCCAAAGGCCCTCGACCAGGGGAGTATTTGGCTTTTCGCACCCATGGCCAGGCGGGCTGCTTGTCGCTTTTTCTCGGGGTTCGGTCGGTGCTGGAAACATGCACCGGTCTTCTCTCTCTTGATATCTCTACGGTGCATTCTGGGGATTCCGAAGACGTGCCTCACTCGGACACCAGCCACGGACAACTCAACAGTCAGCTGGGTCGAGTTGAATCCGAATATGCCAAACAGCTGGAGCAGCTCCGAGGAGTGGTAGCAGCTTCATATCAACCCGGCCATCCGGCATATCCGAGCTACTCCCAGGCATTGCATCGGCTCGAAGAAACGTATCATTCGCTATACAGTGATGATCTCCCGGTGAAGGATGCCGATCTCTGGCCATGCATCTTTAGCTGGCTTTATACGTTGCCGGACATAATCATGGACGACTTGCAGCGTCGTCAGCCGACTGCTTTGGTGGTCTTTTCTTATTTTACGGTCTTGTTGAAACGGGTTGATTCGGCTTGGTTCATTCGTGATTGGCCGCAGCATATCATGCGTGGTATCTATCAGTCTCTTGATGGCTACTATGGGCAGTTTGTCGAGTGGCCTTTACGACAGGTGGAGCTGTCAGCATAGGTTCTGTTCTATTGTATACCAATACTCGTTAGATACCCAAATTGAAGTTTCGTTTATCCCAAATGCGATTCCAAACAAAGCTACTAATACATTTATTTCACCGAATGAACGAATAAAATACAAAACATAGGAAAAGGCGTCTAGCCACAGACTCTCAACAGTCTATATCACCATCCTGTCTGCATCACGAATAGCCCATCTGAGCCGGAGCCTGATACCCCGTCAGCTCGGGTCTCGTCCTCAACTCGGCTTCCTTCTCCTCCTGTATAATGGCACAGCAACCGCAACAGAAAGCAGCACAGCAATCCCCGCAGCAACTGCCCTCGATTCCGAATCGCTCGCGCATCTCGCCTCGTCGGATGGTTTGGATGATCCAGTGCGAATAGAAAAAGCCAAGAAAGGTGAAAAGTGAGCACTAATTGAATGGAACTGGATTAGTTGCGGTTCAACTTGGGTTATGGATCGAACGAACATCTGTGTTGATGTAGTGAAAGTCTTGCAAGCTTGCATCGCGCGTTCTGGCTCGCGTTTTTCCGAATGTTAGGCATGGGAGACAGCAGGCAGTCAGACCTATGACAACACTGGTTAGATATATTATATAGGTAGAATGGAAGGGACGTACAGAGTGATCCTGGACTGCAACAGTCGAACAGCGAATAGTTCCAATGCTTGCTCTGTGTGATATCCCGGCCCTGGTCGGTGTTGGCCTGCTGGTACGTAGGCGGGCCCGAAGGCCAGGCTTTGTATACCTTTTCTGTTGCGTCTGCCATGGTGATATTTGGTTGGTGTAAGAGAGAAAGAGAGAGTGTGTATGAGTGAGTGAAGAAATCTACAACAAAGTGCAAGGGGGATATAAATACTGAGAGAAAAATATCGAGAAACAACGTATAAAAGGAGGCTTTACCGAAAAGGGAAGTTCGCATCCGTATACACGGAGGACCCACTTTTATTTTTGATGCGATTTTTTCTGGAACTTTTAATGTAGACTATTATCACTAGATGATTTCCAAGATTGCCAATAGCTAAGAATAAGGGCATTGATAACCTTAATAACAATTTAGACTTTGAACATCTTACTCGGCGGGGTTTATTCTAGAAGAAGAATCTGGAGTTGTTGATCTATCTCAGTTGTTGGCGACAGTTGTTGGTCAATGGCCCGTTTCAGGCCGCCAGCAGATTGTTGGTGTCCTTCTAACAGTTTGAAGTATAGACTATATGGAGGTATGCTGGATAGCCGCGTTATAACTATCGGGAAGTGATGAGCTGAGCGTGAGATTGCTTGCTCTATTTTATTATGATTGGAGGACTGTTTCTACCTCAGTTGTTGGCCTCAGGCGCCACTGCAACCAGGCAAATGCAAACAATACAACATTTCTGCCACCCTGACAGCCATCATGGACTGCAGAACATGGGGCGAAATGCAGAGGACGTCATGATATTATTAGGCCAGACGCTATACCCGCAAACATAGCCGACCTGGAAAGCGACTGACATGTTAATCGTCGCATTCAACATGCGCCGAGATGCTCGGATGACGATTGTCCGGTTGATACGGAGTATGTACTCGAAGAATACCCCTGTACGATGGAGGTGTGGGCAGCTTGTGTAGCTTGATTGTTGTAAGCTCGACTGCGGAACTGTTTGATATTATCCTCGAGATAGTAACGATGGTAGGCGCATTCATAAACGGCCCATTTCCGACCGTTTCTCGAATCGATGGTTTCGTTGTAAAGACCCTGACCATGGGCGCGATTGGTATGTCAATTGTACAGCTACTCGTGGCCACCCTCTACGCCGTCTATCAGAATTACCTCTCCCAATACTTTACCTCTTCCAATACTCTGCCGCCGGCTGGACTGCCTGCGTCTTTGTCTGGGTGTACATCGCCGCATTCGCATTCAGTATCGCCTGCGTCAACTGGACGTATTTCTGTGTTCCGGAAACCAAGGGCGTGCCGATCGAGGAAATGGACATGTTGTTTGGTGGGAACTCGGGCGAGGCGGATTTGCAGCGAATTGCGCAGATTCGAGCGCACCGGGGGGTTTCTGTTGGCATCAAAGAGGCTGTATCTCATGTCGAGAATGCGTAGTTGCTGTCTTATGGGTCTTGCTGCATACAGCCTTGATCGACACGCTTTTCTTTATCCTCGATGGAATACCCACCCATCTTTGTATAGAGGCATAGAGTTCATACTCGACTGGATTCTTTGTCTATACTGCAGTGAATGTATGACAGCATGAGGTGACACTGCATCTCTTTCAGTATCTGGCTTTGTTGATATTCACTGAGAGAAACAGCCAATCACACCTCAGAATTAATGTCAGTAGGAGCTCTCCTGTGGAGGAGGAGATTTCCATTCACTGCCGAGTGAAAATTTTCCCTCATTCACTGACGCTGTCTGATATGTTTGCATCTATCTCTCTGTCTATAAAAACCTCACTTGATCCTCACTCGATCTTCCTCCACCTCTCCTCCATCTTCCCAACCCATCCTCTCTATCCTCTCTTCGTCTTGAACTCCTTCGAACATCCACTTCCATATTCTCTTCAGCTTCAATCACCTCCATCCACCATGAAGATCACCAGCTTTCTCACCCTCGCCTTCGTGGCTGCCGTGACTGCGATCGCTGCAGACAACACCAACGACGTCTCCTCCACCATCGACACCCTCATCTTCTGCCAAAACACCGACGACTGTCCCGGTGGCACCGTCTGCTACAAGCCAATGGGCATCTGCATCAGTCCTCGCCACCCTCCTCGCGATGCAGCAACCGCCTGCAGCACCGGCAACGACTGTCCTGGAAACGCCATCTGCAACCGCAACACGGGCACCTGCGTCGACAATCCTCGCTATCCTCCTCGCGCCAACGCCCTCTCCTGCAGCACCGGCAACGACTGTCCTAGCAATGCCCTCTGCGATCGCAAGAGTGGCACTTGCATCGACAACGCTCGTCACCCTCCTCGTGCCAGCGAAATCTCCTGCAAAAACGACGATGATTGTCCTGGATCTTCGCCCTGCGATCGCGAGATTGGCGTCTGCCAAGCCAGCGCTCGTCACGCTCGTGATGCGTTGTTCCCTTGCACCAGCAACGACGAGTGTCCCGACAAGACGGTTTGCGACCCTCAGACTGCCAGCTGCATTATCGTCGGATAGACCAGAATAGTGCTACCGTGACGGTCATCGTCTTCCGATTTCGATCGTCAATTGCGCAACATTGATGTCGACTGTGATCTCGATCGTTTCAACTTTTAACAATTGATTGCCGATGGACTTATGGGCATTTATTCATATTAGGGCTGGTTTTTTTCGGTGTTTCATTTCATTCCTAGCTTTCTGTATCTGAAGGACAGGCAACAGAATGGGTGGATTCAGTTACACTTCGCTATACCTAAATAGCAGAATAAAGCACCGTTACTATCTAATAACATATTCGTAGTCCATAATAGAAACATGATCTCATCCTATTCCATCTCGTAAAAAAGTAAAGAGAGATCACTCCCTCGCCCGAAAACTAACCATACACTTCCCCAACTCCAACGTAATATGATCCATAGCCTCACCCATAAACTCCTCTCCATTCTCACTAGGTGCAAACTCAAAGTCGAAGTCTGTTACTAGCTGCGCCACGAGAGTGCGAATGTTCAAGAGGGCGAGGGGCTTGCCGATACAATTGTATGGTCCTTTACATATTCTCATTAGTTATGGCTGTTTTATACTGTATGTGCAGACTCACCAATAAGAAACGGCGCAAAAGCCGACTTCTCCTTGATCATTTCCGGCTTTGAATACCATCTTTCCGGGATGAAGCTGTCTGCCTGGTCGTAGATAGCCTCATTCCTTCCTGTCGGATATTGAGGCAGAAACAGTGTCGTGTTACCTGGGATGTAGACACCGTCGATGGTAATTCCCTCCGGAGGCGTAAGACGGGTCATACCACTTGGGATAGGCGGATGAAGACGCATGGCTTCGTTGATGACGGCGTTGAGATGGTTGAGGTGGAAGAGATTCTCGTGGTGGTATGTTCCTGATTCTGTTAGATGGGGAGCGAGCTCTTGTCGGAGTTTGGCGATGTGGTTGGGATGGGAGCAGAGTTCGTAGAAGATGGATGAGAGGGAGGTTGCGGTTGTATCGCTGAAGATGTTAGATTGAGTATGAAGATATGTGTAGAGACTTACCTCCCAGCCACCACCATCAACTGCGCATCTCCTCGCATGATATTCCGATCCTGCTCGGTAAGTGTCTTTCCCTTTAGCGGTGCCAGAACAGCTGTACTGATATCAGGGATAGTCGGTTCAACCTATCGAGTCAGCTTCATCAAGTATAAAGATAAAGATACAGAAAACATACATTTAACCTCCCCTCCAACCGCTGATAACAAAAATCAATAAACCCCCACCAATCCCTCGCCAGACCGGGAATCGATATTCCCACCTGAAACAGCCACACAGGCAACATATACCCCAACGGACGCAGCGAGTCATTCAGAAGCCGAATCGCCCAGTGATCCTTCCCATCCTCGACCATCCCAAACGAATACCCAAACGAGAGATCGCCCATGACGTCAAACGCGTACCAGTAAAACCACTTGGTGATATCGATCGGCGAGTCGGTCTTAGCAACCTGTGCGATGAACCGCTCGCGATGCGCCCTGATACGCGGCTCATAGCTGTGCAACGCTTTACTGCCAAACGCCTGACTCCACTCGCGCCGCTTCTGGTGGTGGAATGTCTTGTCGCGGGTTGTTTGGAGGGAGACGGCGGGGAAGGTGATGTCGTAGTATTCGGCGCGAGTGCAGCCGGATTTGGGGTCATGGACGGTTTTGACGGCGTTGGGGGTAATGATGGAGAGCTCGGAAGGGCCGATTCGCACGATCTGGCCGTGCTTTTTGTGCAGGGCGTTGAGGGTTCGATATGAAGTCAAGGATTTGATGAGTTGGGATGAGAACCAGAGTGAAGAGAGACGGGCCCCGATGGGTCCGGGGAGTCGATTGAGGGGGTTGAAAAGGAGACGGTAGATAGTCAGGCTGGCATAGAGACCACCAAGATAGATTGCCGTTATCTGGCTGACTTGGGATGAAGCATGGTAGACTGACTCGCCATGGGCAGTCATCAAGGCAATGCTTGTCACAACCGATGCAAAGAAGATGACCATATATCGAATGGCATGGAGATGATGTTCGCCATGTTTGAAGTAGAAGAGATGAGTGGCAACGCCAGCAATGGCTGCTGTTGTATAAAACCGCGGTGTATCCATATTGAAGTGTTGATGTCTGATCTACAGCAGAACGAGCAGAAGATGCAGGCTTATATGTCAAAAGCAACACGCCCAGGCAGTCTCAAAATACCTACATCTGAGTCAATTCACCCGAATTGCCTTTGCGGGCAAGAATACCCAGTATCAGTCGAATACATCACCCTTGGCCCCAGGGTCATGCGCAAACGATGCCGATCACGTACACAGCCTTGGAGAGCCTGACATCCCGGTAGCGATCATTTTGCCGAACAAAGAATGTTTACAGTCAGAATGCATGGCGCAGTGTTTCGAGCAATCTCGAGGACAATCTCTTGATTGTCTTGGTTGTCGTGACTGATAACGAGTTATACCTTATTCCTCTTAGGGCTAATATGTGCGAGCTATACCTAAAAAGGCAGGTGTATAAGTGATTGTCAATCCCATTGTGCGGCTCAAAGTCGGGCTTTGCAACGTTCAAAGCCGTATGTTTGTGACGGCTGTGATGGCAATGCATCATGCAGCCACCTCGATGACTCGGGCGGGTTAGAAATAATGCATCAACTAATCAGGCTGAGGCTGTTGGTCGGCAATGATACAGAAATCTTTACCCGACATAAGCGGGCAGGGCGAAGTATGATATCAACAAGGCTGTGGCAATGTGCACCCGCCCAAATCCCGTAATTATGGTTTGATACATGGAGCCAATTATAGATTCTGATCATAGGCATTTTCCTGGTTTAAACTTTGTGGGAACCACGTTTTCAGCCGCATGGGACCCTGTGATGCTATAAGGCGTGATAATGTATGGAGGGGAACGTCTGGTTGGGTTTCGATTGGTCTGTTTGTCCTTCTATATTTGTGTCTTTGTTTGCCTGTGGCGCTGAGTGTTGATATGATGGGTGAGATGGAGAGCAGGCAAGATGGACAGTTGCCGCAGTCGAAGGATTTGGTCAAAGTGAAGTAGAAACCAGTCAGCATCAGAGACGTTTAAATAACAGTTGACCCGGTGTCAATGGTGTACCAGAGACATCTCTTGAATTGACAGATTCTTTCCATTATATTCATCATCATGGCTTCTGAGACAGCAAACCCTCGGGACAAACTCACCATGGCAACCGTGGAGGATATCAATGCTAAGCAGGTAAGCAGCACCCACAACAAGATATCACTATCTAACATATCTAGAATATATCCTTTCCTGGCTCTCCATCAACCTTCCTGCAAACCCTGTGGCTCTTCTCCTACAGCGACCTCCCCATCCTTGTCTTCCCAGTAACCTGCTTTGGGATTCTGGCTGCCCTCTCAGGCCCTCAATTAACAACCAACCCATCCCCAAACACATACTCGATCCTCCTCCGCACGCCACTAGTCATTCTCTTTGCATGGCTGAACGTCCTCGTCCTCGAAGTCGCCAACCAACGCCTCCCCGAATCCATCATCGAAGATAGACACAACAAACCATGGCGGCCACTACCAAGTGGTCGACTTACGCCTACCCAGGCTAGACACTTTCTCATTGCCATCATGCCGGTCGTGCTGGCGATTACGTACACCATGGGTGTGTGGAAGGAAACTGCCCTTCTCTACAGCCTTGATTGGATGTACAATGACCTTAACGGGGCGGATGATAGCTTCATCGTTCGTGATATGCTTAATAGTGTTGCTTTTGCGGTCTACCATATGGGAGCACTGCGTGTGGCGTGTGGCTTGCATCACGCCCCCAATACCACTGCCTTTATATGGATCGCCGTCATTAGCGGTGCTGTCTTCTGCACGGTCAATCTCCAAGATATGAAAGACCAGGAGGGAGATGCCGCGAAGGGCCGAAAGACGGCTCCGCTGGTTATCGGCGATGGACCTGCACGGTGGAATATTGCCGGCTTTATCACTATCTGGTCTCTTGTTTGTGTGTTTATCTGGGATGTCAACTGGGTTGGATGTGTATTGCCTCTTGCTGTCGGTTCCTTGATTGCTGTCCGGGTGTTGTGCCTGAGGGATCGAAAGTCGGATCATAATACGTTTCTGATGTGGAGTGCTTGGCTGTTGTGTGTTTATCTTCTGCCTGTTGTGAAGGAGTATATGGGGTGAGTCATACACGGAGTATAGAGATGTTGTCATGTTTCCTGAATATTTGAACGTCTATTTATATCTATATGGACATAATCGTGTATATAGCTACATATAGTGGTACAAATCTTCAGTCACCTTTCTTTGCGAACAGCTTGACTATAAAACACTATGCAATATATGGTATAGAACTAATACCTAAGCAATCAGTAAGCAAGCTCTAGCCAATCAGAGCCAGGATGGCAGCTGAATATCAGGTGTGACTCACTGCTGCATCTTCTTTCATCCCTCCAACATGGATCTATCAATCTACTGCCAGAACAATCTCCTCTATACACAGGAGAAATTGATAAGATACAAGCCTGGAGGATACCATCCAGTCACCCTAGGAGACACATTCAAAGATGGTCGCTACAAAGTACACCACAAGCTAGGTTGGGGTGGCTTTTCCACTGTATGGCTTGTCTACGACCGAGAGTATGTCATATCTTTCATTCTAGGCATAACTAACTATACACAGCCAGAAAGAATGGGCTTCAATGAAGATCAGGACTGCAAACTCCCAAGCATCACGAGAACTGCATAATTTCGAATTGCTAGAAAAGCATTCTGGGGGAAATCTATCCTCTAATTATATTGTTCAGCTGCTCGATTCCTTTTCTCATCAAGGGCCTAATGGACTTCACCAATGTCTGGTCTTTGAGTTGCTCGGGCCTACTGTTGATAAAGTTCTTGCAGACTACCACGAGGACAAAGACAGCCTTGACCCGGAAACTGTCCTGAGAATTTCCAAGCAGCTTTTAGAGGCTATCGGTTTCATCCATAGTGCTGGCATGTGCCATGGAGGTGAAATCACTCTTTCTAAATCAGCTAGTGTAATTTTACTGAATCGACTACAGATATAAGCGGCCGAAACATAGCATTTAGCTGCAATAATCTATCAAAAGCAACCGAAGAAGAACTTTTTGCTGTCCTCGGATCCCCAGGGACCGAGCCACTAGCCCGCATTGACGGCGCGGTTTTGGAAAAGGGATTGCCGACACAGCTCGTCAAGGCCGCAAAGTGGGTTGACTGGATAGACGAAGACGATGAAGATATTCGCCTGCTTGATGTTGGCGAGAGTTTTCGTCAAGGGGAAGAGCCCGAACGGCTGGCTCAGCCGGGGCCATTGCGAGTTCCTGAGACTTTATTTACGGACAGCTTTGATTATCGTATCGATCTGTGGCGTGCTGGCTGCATGGTAAGTGGAGCGATGTAGTCTGCTCGAATTCATGTTGACCATGAGCAGATCTATTCATTTCTGTTTATGGCATACCCATTCTGGTATCTTGGTGAAGACGAGGTGTTGGCTTTCCAAATGATTGGGTTTGTAGAGCAACTGCCAGCTGAATGGCAGGCCAAGTGGGAGGAAATGCAATCAAGCTCTAAACATGATCTGGCTGTGAAGGGTGAGCTAAATTATCTACGATGGAAGATGTTGCTAATCTTGTATAGACTATGGGCTGTCTAAACTGGAACAGAAGTTTGTTGAGCAAGTGCATGATCCTATCCTTAAGCCTCTTCTTTCAATCACTCGAGGATTGATGCGATTCCTGCCATCCAGTCGCATTTCTGCAGATGAGGCACTTGCTGTATTAGAAACATGGGATGAATAAGGGAAGCTGGTTTTACTCTTGATCAATATGGTTATTGTAGCAAATATAATCGCATACTATTGTATAGTTATTCCTCGGTCTATTAAAATAACTAAGAAAAGAGCTATCCATATACAGCATCAGGGCTAGTTAATCAACACTGTCTCAGGCTCTATATAGGCATGCAAAGCGTATACGCCCAACTCACAACCAATCCCACTCTCCTTGGTTCCCCAAAAGGACACGCAAAGTGGATGGTGCTGACACAGTTGACGCCCACGACGCCCGAATCAAAGGTCTCGCTCAGCCGAAGAGCACGGTTGATATCTTGGGTGAAAACACCAGCCATGAGGCCGTATCGAGAGTCGTTGGACAGTGCAACCACATTGTGTCCCTTGGTGGTGCGATAGAGTGCCCATAACATACTTGGAATCCAATCGGATCCTCCTATTTATAATGGATATGAAGGATTAGAAAGACCTATCTATGTATATTAGCTGTTAATTGCCAATACATGCTATTGATACAATGTATTATATTGAATATATCCAATTGTCTTATAGCAGTTTTATTCAACTACCCTAAACATGATGGACTTATTCTGTCTGTTTCACATTTCACGATCTACGTACAATAAATCCAGAGTAACTCAATTCCGATGACTTCATTTCATCAAATTCTCTCAATCTGCGAGCGAGGTTTCACCTTTCACCTTTAATGACGCATCATTTGAGAGCCTTGAGCCATCTTGCAGCTCATTCCTGTGGCCTCTGTGCTTTACAAAGATATAATCAATTTCCTCTAATGTCTTTCCACCCGTCTGTTGACAACACGGTCAGCAGTGTCCCCGGAGCAAATGTGGGCAGACAAACCTCTGGCAGGAAAAAGTAGACAAACGGGATGCTCAGCGCAATCAAAACACAGAACAAAATGTAAATCTTCCATTATGTATTGGCGATCGCCGGAGGAGTCATCTGGGCTATCGCCTATCACCAACATCATCAGCACCGTGTCGCAGTAAAAGAAGTGATATAATACACAAACGTAAACAGCCACTCGGAGAAACACTCAATAGCAGCCCCGACATGTCGAAGATTCAGCGGCGTAATCTCCGGTGCATATAACCACGGCACCGAGTTCCAGCTCATCCCAAAGGCAATCTCATATACGATGAGCATGGCAAGGGCCAGCCGAGATGAAGCAGGTGTCTTGACTGCGATGCCCACCGTGAACAGCGTCATGGTCAGCAGAAGCATGATCGATCCTAACATGAGCACCTTTCGGCCGCCAAGTCGATCGATCAGAAATATGGGCGGGAATGTGCTGAGCCAGAAAGCGATCTGGATTAAGCCGGCGACGAGGCTGCTCAGTTCGCGGGATAGCCTGACATTGCTCTCGAGGACGATGGTGATTGACGGTGAGCATGATATTTAGTCAATATGAAGAGGACACTTACTGTAGAATGCAATGACGTTGATCCTGGTGAACTGCTGGAAGAACTGGAGGAGGAAACATAAGGCCAATCGTCGGGGGTTTTTGATATCGCTTTTCTCCAGGAAGATACTTCTGAAAGTGAAGGTTGGGCTATTGCGCTCGATCGTGAGGGCTTCTTCCATTTCAGCTACAACAAGCCTCACGTCAGGATGGTCTGGTGGCAGAAAAAGCAGTCGTGATAGTGTATCAATGGCCTGTTTCTGGCGGCCATGGGAATAGAGCCATCTGTGTAGTCAGCTGGTGAGTCTTATGAACTACTACCTCTTGCTTACCGTGGAGATTCGGGCAGCATGGGCATCGTGATGATAGTGAGCAACGCAAAGAAGTTCTGGAAAGCGAGTGGAAAACGCCAAACGACCTGCCACTATCAGCAATGATTGAGTAGTTGAGATATAGAAAGCATACATCGCCGGTTTGAGAGCGGATCAAGCCATAGTCCAGCCAGTAAGCCACTACGGTGCCAAACTATAAGATAACCCGGTGAAGTATCAATCATTTAAGTATCTTACTATGACAATCGACATCTGAATGGCAAGCGACTTTCCACGCCTAGTGCTCGGAGAAGTTTCAGAAACATACACCGGCACTGTGGACGTATTCATCCCGTTCCCAACACCAGAAATGACGCGACCGGCAATAAGTTGGCCAGCGCCATATGTGCTTACCTGGATAGAACCCCCAATGACCATAATCAGACATCCCAGCATGATGGTATTCTTTCGACCGAGTCGATTGCCGAAAAACGCTGAGATGATGCATCCGACGAGACAGCCGATGTTGAAAAGAGCCACGATAGTCCCTAGATATCCTGAGCTGGGATTGCCAATAGCAGACAGGAAGCCTGGATACGACACAAGGCCTCCCAGAACTCCCTGGTCGTATCCAAAGAGTAGATACGCGCTGTCAGCGCTTACCGCGATGGCTATCTGTAACGATTGTCCTTCGAGTCTCAACATGTTAAAGTGGGCAGAGTACTGCCTTGAAATGATAGCTTTGGATTTATATCACATCATTCTTCCCTGGGAACCAGAGCAACAGATGAAGAATGCGGGGGAGTAGCAGATCAAGGTAGTCCTGATAGTAATCATCTCAACGACTCGCTTAAGCGGATATGCCATCGTGAATCTCATCAAGAATAGATTGAGTGTTCTGATAATATCCCCTTTCCTGACGACCAGTCTGGATAATCTCATGGCTGGTTGGAGCGAATCTTCCAAGTATGTGATGTGTTCACTTACATGTGTATAGGCATTGAGGAGCCCCCAAAGGGGGATGATGGTGTCTTGATTTGTATGGCCACCATACCGAGGAGTTTTTTGGATTCCTTTTAGAGACCCTCATGATCAGGCTATGTCATAGGGCACCCTATTTTGTAAGTTCTCGGGGTTTAAAGAGAATCTACCGCACCAAGTAGTCGTACCTACCCCCAGAGATCATGTTATGTCATTTCCAGAGCTCACATTTAGAGTAGTAGTACGAGCTAAGATATATTAAGGATGATGATAGTATATTCGTTAGTTATAAAGACCAGGTAGGGGTAAAGGTATGAAAAAGTGGCAAAATAGTTATTAGCTGAGCTTAACATGGGGCTTAAGTACGGCTGAGCGGAGGGGAAGCCCTGTTCTCCACACCCTGTGATTGTATGTAATTATCCCATAGTAAGGACGGGTAAAGAAGGCATATTTAGAAGAAACTCAAATATAGAATCTTGAGCTACGGATTAATATATCATGATGGATCAAACTATCTATACTATATGTTGTAGAATCAGCTGGGCACACGGCATTTGCTTCAAGATCCCATTATGGGTTTTTGGGATTATTTCAATTTGTGGAAATGTGAAGCCTTAGTAATGTCCCGTGGTCGACCATGGGTAGTATTAAAGAGATGAGTATCCTTCATAGCCTAGCTTTAAGGTAAGGCAAGCCATCATTTTAGATGACGGCACTATTACCCTCATAGACCTAATAGTTTGTTCATGTGTTCTGGCCAGTCATCGCCCTCTGAACCAGATATTGACTTTGAGCTTAGCCTTTGAGCTTAACTCCACAACAGGCTCCAGAACTGTTTTAGCAAGGTTTTACAATGCCAAAATTAACTGTCAATTATTTTTCGTTCGTGGCGAGTTTGGTCACAAGCACGTGGGGCGTTTTTGGCTGAGATTAAACTATCTTTTTGAAGCGCGCGATCATCATGACAGCTAGAACATAAAAATATAGTGACTAATTACTGGTTCTCTGTAATTCACGTTCCATGATTTATAACCCTAAGATATTACCATATAAATGCATCATAGTGTCTAGGTCAAATTAAATATTCTTTTCTACTTTTTCTACAGTGTGATGCTTCTCCTTGTTCTAGGAGCCTGGTAGTGAGGGTTATAATTAGAGCTAACCATTGTGTTAATTCGGATTTCTTTCTGTTGGAATTGATTATTTCTGACTTCTGGAGAAGGTTTTTGCATTACTGGATTTTATCTACATTAGAGAGACGCCCAGTAAACCACGGTGAACACATACAGATAGATTAAAACAGTACATTCCTATGGTTTCTGTGAACCAGTAGTGTGGAATTGCAGATCTGGAAAAGGCAATAAAGTTTAATATAAAAGCTCACCATAATGCATTAAAATTGAAGGTGGGGCTCATCATGCTGTGTCTCATATTCAGTTTAATGAAACTCCAGTATCTATCATTGAACCATAAAACATGACGTCTGTTACTGGAGGTCCCCCAAGGCGCTAGTAAATACAGTTTACCCTTAGTTATAACTATCCATTCCAGATTCCGCCCTCCATCCCTCAGTTTTGAAACATGCACAGATGTTACATTAAATATTTGTGCATCCCCTGCAAAGAGTCTCGGCAAATATTGTGACTAGATTGTCTCAGCTCTTCTGGAACATGAAGTCTAATTATTTCTTAAGGACTAGAGCTAGGGCCCATACTTGACCTTCTAGTAGAACAGTTATATTTCGAGGTGATCTGTGTCTAGTCCACGTGGATATTAAGAGCTCAGAGTGAGTTCATCATGGCATGAGTAAGGAGAAGTATTCTGTGCATCAAAGTATTGTTGATAATGGACTGAGATTTTAGAGTCTAAACACCAACATGTGTTACTCTGAATCAACTAGACAATTCTAAATGACATACAATTGATGCCTGTTTTTATCATTGGGGGACCATAATTCAATACCTTTCAGTGTATCATGTTTATGAAAATCGGCTTGCTCTAGCCTTACTTGAGAGCCAGGTCTAGGTCGTAAGTATATTATGAAAATACGTCAACTTTCCTGTCCAGTCAGGTCTAGAAGTGGTGCATACCACAACTTAGCTATGTCTGCAACGGTCTAGAATATTGGAACTTCGTTTCTCTCCGATTGGACATACTGATCATGATGGCACAAAAATGTTTATGAAATTGTTATATATAAAGATCTTGAATACCACCCCGGCAATGCTAGTGTTACTTTGTATAAGGTCAAATCTAACCATCATAATATTTACGAGTATTCAAAACAATCCATAATGGCGAAGCTCCTGGTACTCATCTTGCTTACATTTGGTAAGCCTCCCGCCAAGTCTGCATCACCTACTCAACTTTGATCTAATAGCTATATAGTCTTTTCCATTTGCTCCCGAGCACAGGGTAACAGTCAATGCGCACAATGGTGCGCAGTCAATTTCGCCCCTGACCCAGGAAATGTCTGCACAGCACCCGCAGCCCATGGAACAGGGCCTTGTTATGAATGTGGGCCACAAAACACAAATCCAGATAAAGTGCTTTGCAATAAGGCTTGTGCCAACATTAAGACTGACCCCAACAACTGTGGATCATGTGGCAATGTTGTAAGTCATATCACATAAATCTTGTTATATCTTAATGTGCATATTCTGATTTTCCTTCGCAGTGTCCATCTGGAAACTGTCAAAACGGAAAATGTACTTGCGTTGGCAAGACATGTGGAACCTTTCAACAATGTCATACTGGGGGTTGTGTGTGCTTCAGCACAACTGAAGGCATTGGGGCATGTGGTTCGGGTGTTTCTTGTGGTCCTCTTAAGACTTGCCAGTCCTCCTCGGAATGTGCGTCCGGGGAAAAGTGTGTTGTTCAGTCTTGCTGTGGAAGAAACGTATGCCATCCTATTCAACCCAACTGTCAAGCTGCAACAAGAAAGCGCCGGGGCGGCCCGGAGTATGTTGTCCGTCGTGACTCGGGCTTCAGCACTGGAGAACGTCGTGACTTGGCGGATACCAGCACTGGTGAGCCTATCTAGTGAAGGCACTAAAAAGTGTGGGGAGGAAGAGATCGGGATCATGGAAATCTAGCTGAGAAAGTGATACTGCTAAGATTCAGCTGTTCTTCAGCTTAGCAGAAATATTTCCTATGTTTTCTGGAGTTCCTTCATCTGTTGTTCTGTTTCTTTATATTTCGCTTTCTCCTATTAAAAATTGCTGTTGAAGGGGGATGTTGATATTATTTCTGTGTTCTAATTGTATCTATGGTATATGTGCTGTATAATTTCTCGTTAGTTATTATAGTTAAGTACTTCAAGTAGTAATTACAGTTTTGTTTTATCTACTATGGGTTAGTCTACATTACTAACAGACTATGTCTGTGCATATATCCAACATAATTTGAACCAAAATTTGGTAAAAGTACAGAATTTAATCACATCATATCTTGTTGGAGTTTAGAAGGACTGGTATTTTGGGGTTCACAAGAGTTCTAAAAAAGAAAGACGGAAAGCAAGGAGGGACATGCAGCACCAGAACCAGTCCTGATGTCAAGACAAGTCAGCAGATGTATCATTGTATACTTATTATAGTATCAGTATCATATTTCCTTCATATCATATCAATACATATGACCACAGGACTTATAAATGCCCAGCCATGAACAGCCAATGCAAAGAGTTCTGTCCACCGATCAAACTGGGATCAATGATAGGATCAATTATCCTCAACTTCACCGGAGCTTCCCGGTATGCTTAACACAACGGCTCCCATTTGTCACGTCTATCCGACTCATTTACCCACGAACCAGTCGAGTAGGCAAGACGATGAACACGCGGTTTCGGGGAACGATGCCGAATGAACTTGCCTCCAATTTCTAGTACGCACAGGTGAGGAGATTGATCGGACTTGACCAGTCTCACCGAATTACTCACTAGAATCGCAGTATCTGTGTAGTAATTGACGTCGTCGACGCGGAGAATGGTGATATTGGGAAGGAGGTTATCGAGCATATCATCTTTGACCAAAAACGGGACATTGGGTTCGTCATCCTCATCTTGATCCTCATCCTCGTCTTCGTCGAGACTGCTAAGATTATATCGAACCAGGTTGACACCGCGAACATGAACTTCCGTCAGCAGAGGAAAATCAGCAAGACAGCCAAAGACTTAATTCTGAGTCGATCATTCATCTTCAAACCACAGAAAGACCAATTTCTTCAGCGTGTCCTTGAGGGGAAAGATGTAATCGCCGAATCCATTCTTCAGCACGATACTGACTGCATTCAGGCTCTTGCACGCGCGCATCAAATCCATATATCCAAGATCAAAGGTATCCATACATACACTGAACTCTTTTGGATCGCAAAACCCAGGATACTCTCTAATATGATCAGGGCCACATTCAAACTGAATCGTAATACAGGTAGCCTTGCGTGCTAGGTGCATGGCAGGAAGTACTCTTGTAACACTAATCGGATTCAGCGGATCCATCCATCAACACAGCAAATTTATACTCGGAATGATGAGTTCCAATATGGCTTTCTCTGGAGATTCTCTAGTAGAAACATAAAACCCACCACATTCTCTATAAAGCAAGTCAATGGCATCTAGTTACCATAGGGTGCCTGGATCTGATGTATTTTTGGAAATGTCAACTGGGACAGCGGGTGAATATGCTGCTTCTCTATTCATGGGTTGTTTGACAATATACCCACCAATAATTTTATCTTTTGCTAAGCTTTGAGGCGTTGCTTATGTCCATGCACTCCAGCTCACGAAGTCCACAGCGTCACTCGATACGAGGAGCAGTCCTGATTGGTTGATTGACCTTGAATGGCTGCTTATTTCTCCCAGGCCAGTGCGAACTGTTGGTCTGACAGCAGCTGCAGATTCGATCACTGTCACCTGCAGTTTAGGTTAATATTGAGATAGACATTGTTAAATCCAGAAGTAGGCCATATGGATTAACAAAGGGAGTAAGTTTGTTCTTAAAGGACTGTGCGGATATATATTTCCGGTATGTGTTACAAGAACCATTGATGGATATATTTATTCCATGTCTAGACCACTGGAACTGCTTGCTGGTCATGCTGCAGTCATGTTGATAACTACGCAGAGACTTTATCAATCACTTGGTTGAGGTATACACTTCATGGTTTCCAGTCAATATTAGGATTTTATCATTTTATAAATTAAGCATATACATCCTTCCATCCTTAATTCCCTTCAAGAAGATTGGTATTTCATGAACCTGTTGACTTATTCAAGACCAGCTGGAGATTGTATTTTTTTTTTTTTTTCTTTTCTCTCTGGTTTTATTCTGCGGAACCAATCACAGTACGTATGACTGTACATGAATAGAGATCTGCATGATAACCGAGACATTAAGCCGATACTAGGAATCATTCTTCAGCTGAACTCAGTTAGAGACCCATTCCTGAAAATCCCTTGCTGTTTCTCATGGCTATATTACATCTTCGCAGTCCCAAAACAACTCCCATCAATTCTACCTTACTCTCAACCCGCTCTGTTTAGTTTTCTTACAAAATGCGCTTCTCATCCCTTCTTTTCACCCTTCTCCCTCTCTTTTCCCGCGCACAAAGCGACAGTGACACCGACGATGCATTTGCCTCGGGTCAGCCTGGTGGCGAGCTGGGCTGGGTAGTGTGTCAGTTCGCCACGCCTGAGGTGTGGCATTTTCCGTATCCAGGAGACTGCACCAAGTTCATCAAATGCGATATAGAACACCATTTGTCGACAATTTATAGTTGTGATAAGCCTTTGCACTTTAATCCATATATTCAAACATGCGATTGGAGTGAGAATGCAGGGTGCGCGTTTCATGTATAGAGACTCGGATTCAGGTGGTTCCTCTGGGCCATGGCTAGTAAGCAATAGGTAAGTGGATATTTCCTTTGCTGAAAATATGAAATGACTGATCTTAGGACAGAATTTCAATCGCCAGGCTCTGATGCTTATTGTTTGTTGTTAGTAATGCAGGATATTGCCGGAATGCTCTCTGGGTTGAGGCTGTAGCACAAGGAATGTGCAACACCTTGATTTGTAACTATATTACCCCTTTCAACCCATTATTAGCTATTATTCTGCATATATCCATCTCATACAAGCTTTCGTACCAATCTCAATTCCATATCTTTAAAGATGCAAACCTCAAAAATTTTTCTCTTTCCAGTAACCCTCGCGATCCTCACCGAAGCTCAAACGTCCCCAAGACAGTCTCGGGCTCTCTCTGTCACCCATTATGCAACAGACACATTCTTCCTTCTACCATTTCCAGCTAACTGCAACAGGTTCGTCAAATGCAGTATGGATGACGATAGTGGAATCATATCATCAATAGTCGAATGCCCTCCTGATTTATACTTCAATCTGGGACTGCATGTTTGTGATTTACCCGAGTCTGCTGGTGGTACATAATAGTGATAGTTCATATTCAGTAGTAAATCAAGTCTGCAATGATAAAGCATACGCTAACGTAACGGAAAGCGCATAGATAAATCGAGCACTCGATACCTAGTAATCCCTGATATATCAATCTACTCTGGAATATCATCAAGTATATTCCCACAGATCGGAGCATCATACTGAGAAACTATCGCCTCTATCTTCTGCTGCTTCATCTTGGCCAGTTCCACTGGTTCCTTTCCCAAATCTTTCAATGCCTCACATCTCTCCAAATTCTCACAGAAAACCGCCCCCAGCTTCCTCATCACCACACACCTTTCCTCCATCGTCAGCGCATTATCAATACCCCCTATCCCCCTCCCAAAGTCCACTTCAGGCTCCCATCTTCTTTTTTTTAACACCAGGATTCCCCCATCATCCGGGAATCCAACATACCGACTAGATATGTACGCCGCAGGCCAGGGGGGCTTGTCATAAACCTCCCAATCGTCCGGCTCGCAGTCGATATATTCGTAAACCGTCTCGGGTGAAAAGTCCCACCAAGATGCGCCAACAACGCGAAGCCGATCGCAGAATTTATCCTCTGCTGGATCCTGGAATCGCTCTGTCCGGGTGAATCGGTCGACGTTAAGGTGTTGCAGGATGAGGGGCTCGGCGTTGGCGATCCACATCCCGCCGGTGGATGGGTAGCAGGCGATGCCTCTTCTGCCGGGTTCGTATCTGATTCTGGGACGGCAGTTTTCTTCGTTTATGTGGTCTGGGATGGGTGGTTTTTCCTTGGTGGTTAGGATATCTTGATCGGGTTGATGAGGCTGAGGATTTGGAGCTGGGCGGAGATGGAAAATGGCGACGGGGATGATGAGGAGAAAAACAAAGATGATGATTTTATATACGGTCGAGTAAGATGATGGTCTTGGCCGACGAACTGTGGTTTTTGTTGTCATTGTGAAGATGATGATTCTATGTTCTACTAAGAGTTTTTTGCTTTATGTCCGACGAGGCTGCATGACAGGGTGGCCTTTTAACAAACAGTGAGTCATGATAATCTGAACAGATATACAGCACACTGTTCATATTCATCATTGTAATAGAATCCATACTTGAGAACAGTTGTCATTTCGATATGTTCCATTCTCTATGGAGTCTATATCATTCTCCGAATTGGATCTCGAGATAAGAGGCTCCCCTCAGGCCCTCCAACCCTTGCTGTGATTGGGAATGTACATCAGCTAGCGAGAAAAGGACTATACAGACAGCACGTTACCCACTATAACTATATGTATTGCCAATGCTAGCAGAATCAAAGATGGAGCGACGAGTACGACACCATCTTCTCCGTCAAACTAGCAAACGCAACCATGGTGGTATTGAACGACCGCGTCGTCATCCGCGAACTCATGGAAAATAAAGGCGTCATCTACTCCGATCGCTCGATCGACTAAACAACATTGCCTTTCGGGATGCACACCCGCATTGGAGGTCTCAGCGCAAGATCACCGCGCAGGTGCTTTCACCCGCGCAGTTGAATGGAGAGCTCGGCCGGGTTCAAGAGGCGGAAGTAGCCATCTACATACAGGATTTGTTGGATACTCCTGCGTCTTTTATCAGCCATATCAAACGCACCTTTGCTTCCATTGCTACTATTGTCGTCTGGGGGTTTAGGACACTGATATATGAAGACTGGTGAGGCCATGCTGTGTTTGATCTGACTGATAAACTGGCCTAAGCGCTTGAGCCAGGGGCAAATCCTCCTGCTGACTATCTGCCTATTCCTAAGTATCTTCCAGAGACCTTGATCCTTGGAAAAAGTGTGCAATCTGCCTGAACGAGGAGTTCAGCACCACATGGGTGGAGGCGCGACGATGTGTAGAGAGCAGCCGCAGAAAAGGGGTCAAACGATCCAGTATCGCAGATACATTGATGGATGGGACTTATTCTATCGATATCCCGTTGCATAACGTGATGGAGAATTGCTATCTTCGGGTGTTGATCGATGGAGGGGCAGATACTACTTCGCACTCTCTCCAATCGGCCGTTCTTTACCTCGCTGGTCATCCAGGGGTCAAGTCATCACGCTGCGATTCATGTCACGATGCTGTAGAACATCCTGTCTCCAAGAAACAACTCGTAAAGAAGCGAGATAATTTATCATCAAGCCAGAGACTCTGTCCGGTCTGGATCAAGACGTATTAGGGACTGGAGACATCGGTACGCTTCCCAACGACTCAAACGTGGACCGAATGTTGTCCCCTTGAATGCGTCAAGTCCGATTAATTCGTCACGCCCTGCAGATCAAGAACGCTTAAGTAGCTAAACTTTCACCCCGGATTGTTTGCTTTAAAATATTCTGGGCATGCATTAGAGGACCACAACACCAAGGCATTCCTTGATAACGGCGTGGCAATCGTTAATTTGCGCGAGAAACTCAGAGACATCAGGGATCAAGACTATCTCGATGGTCCCGAAGCTCAAGCTCTGGGAATAGAATTCTCAAACTTGGATATTTCCCGGTGGCAAGACATCTTCTTTCTTCCATCCGGATAGCTCTTACGAAGCTGCTAATTCTGGGGTTGGCTTTGATGCCTTTTCAAAGTACCCGTACGAGGGCACTAGCACGATTGATTCCTTCCCTCAATTGTATGAGATGATGGGAGAGGGGGGCAAGGCTCAAAATCGATTTGATGTCCTTGTTCATACCTTTATGACATATAGCAAAGCACTATGCACAAAGTTTGAATATGCCTCTCATAGTATTTGATCCGTTCTTGCCATCCTTTATTTCTGGTATATCTAGCTAAAGCCTTTTGAATATAGGGGTGAACAGGGAAAGCAGGGAGAGATAGGAGCCATTTACCGCGGCATCTATTCCACTAGCCCCAAGTGTATTGAACAATGCAATGACGACCAACGATCTCACCGTATGATAGTGATGGCCAGCAGCAATCCCGTCGATGGAGATCGAATCACCGTGTCCGATGAAATGCTGGTCAGCTGGATGCGTGGAGCCATGATAGGACAGGGATCTGCTATAGACCGACATGGCGTGCTTCCCCAGCTCCATTTGATCTTTCCGGTTCGTACTCCTTTCTCTCTTCTGTTGTCTATCAAAATTGAAATCTAACCAATATAATCCCTTGCAGGTTCTGGCCATATCGTTTCTGATGCCCACCCACGCCCGCATCATCCAGGGCTATTTCCACGATGGCAAGCTCCGGATCCAGTTCACCAAGCTCTGCGACTTTGAACTCCCACATAACATGGATTCCATGAACAAGATCCTCAGAAGGGCCGGTGCTGTTCCCCAAGGCGATACTCTGGCAGACAAGCTTCTCGACAAGGGCAAGGGCAAGGCTGCTGCAAGAGGACAGTCCCCTGTCAAAAAGCAGGAGCAAGATAGCAACGCTCCTAGAGTCATGGCGGGAAATGTCCCTCGGCAGCAGTCTTCCAAGTCTTCATCGGCACAGCAACCCTTTCAACACGACTTACCTCGTCGTGGACCTCGCTATGGCGGGGCGCCACCGCCTTCGGGTAAGGAGAATTGAAGTTCGTGTTTTGGATATATATCGACGTTGGGGTTTAGGATATACATTGGATGAGAAGGAGATATTTGGATATGATGAATTTCGATAGTCATGATACTCCTGTGTGGCTTGCCTGTGGATATGCTTTTGTATTTAGTCGAATCTATTGCAGTTTTGTTGGGTGTGACTTTCTTCGTAGGGCATAAATATTTGTAGACATAGGTGCTGGTCTATATTCTTTTTTCTTCCATCAACCATTGCATACGACCACAGGGTGTGGAGAACAGGGCTTCCCGTCCGCTCAGCCGTACTTAAGCCACACGCCGGCAGGTTAGTAGTTGGGTGGGTGACCACCAGCGAATCCCTGCTGTTGTATGTTTTTAAAGTTTTTTTGATATTTTTGATCTTTATTGGGCTGGTTTCAATTCTCCTGCCGCTCTATGACTACACCTAGTTTTTCCCGCAACCTCTCGGAAATCCCGATTGGGACTTTAAGTGGTAGAGGTGACTCCTGAACTAATAAATCATTTGCCTTTTATGTGTTTTTCACTAAATATGCAGCTTTTGATATGTGATAGTCATGGCTTCGCCAACCTTAAAAATTATACAGATAAACAAGTATTATGACAGTCTACGGCATTACTCCGAACAATGGATTGTCGTTGATTGTAAACTTGACTTTGGCATTGTGGACGGTTGGCTGAACGAAAAAAACTACAGTGAGTAGTGGGAGGAAAAGTGGGCCCCGGGCTGCTAGCCGAAACCTAGCGCATATGGCAGGTGCAGTCGCTGCCAATCATGATGGCCAATATCTGCATGTCTTGCATATTTATACTCAAATAAAGGGGGGAAATGCGGACAAAGGTGCAGCCAACTCCGTGATACGTGTTTGGTTATATATTTATCCTTGATAAACTACTGCAGCAGTAAGTGCATTTCCGGGCGAAGGTTCAGATCCTGTCAGCATGTCCGTATAATCCCCACTATTCGTATCCCCGGCATCTCCGCCGCGGCCCCGGCTGGTGGCCCGTGGAGTTTAAAGTTGAGGCTATTTTACTTGCGAGTTTAGGGCAGGTGGCAGCCCCCGGCCCAGGACACGCTGAGCCCTCAATTCCGACCAGAACAGGCTGATAATCAGCACACCTGATTCATTAAGTCCAGTAGTGCGCGGATATTGCGCAAATATTGACTAGTCAGTCGTCTCAATAATGTGGCTGGCCTGCCGTGTGACGGAATAGCAGGCATGGATAGGATTAAACTACTGCACGGCTACGACTAGCCAAGAGTGCGGCAAGATCGAAGCAGCAATGATTGGCGCGATGGATTTGGACCAACATGTTCATCGCTTCAGATCTGCAAGGGCACTAAACATGGAGTGTTTCCGGCATGGTTGAAATATCCCCTGAATGGCGCCTCTTCCTGAAATATTCTGTCCTCAATCCATCATCGCAGAAGACCAGCCTCAATATCTTCATTCACAATGTCCAACGGCTACGCTTCTGCAGACCAGCTCGAAAAGCACGGCTCGCCTGCGCAGCGGCCCTCGAGCCACCAGCGCAACCACACGGTGGGCGGCCATATCGATGACCGTTCGCAGCCTGCTCTGCCGGTGGTTCATCGCACCTTTGCCAGTCCATCTCCGTTGGGCCTGCTCTCTTTCGCAACCAGTCAGTTATTCTAACACAGCTTCAATAAATCTACTTGCATCTCCTGACAACTTACAGGTATCTTTCTCATCGCCGCGTATGGCCTCCACGCCCGCGATGTCCAAACACCCAATGTTCTCATCGGAGTCCTGATCTTCTTCGGTGGTGTTGCCCAGTTCGTTGCTGGAGTCATGGAATTCATCACTGGAAATACGGTAGGCCACAATCTATCTACTATGAACTAATCAATTATAGGCTAACATGACTCCAACCAGTTCGGTGCAACCGTCTTCCCCTCCTATGCCGCCTTCAACTTCTCCTACGCGATGATCTATCTCCCCGGCACCGGAATCATGGCTTCATACACGGACAAAACCACCGGCGCCATCAGCTCCGAATTCAACGAAGCGTTGGCCATTTACGTCCTCGCCTGGTTCATTCTGAGCGTGCTTTTCACCGTCGCCGCTGTCCGCTCATCGTGGATTTTGTTCACCGACTTCTTGGCGCTGGATATCTGCTTGATCCTGCTGGCTGCGGGTTACATGACTGGCAATAGCTCCGTGATGACCGCTGCGTACTCTTTTGCTATGATTGTGGCTTTCTTGACTTGTAAGTTTCCTTCGTTCCTCTTTCTATAAAAGTCGTGTCATACTAACATCTCTTAGACTGGGCTGGCTGTGCTGGCTTGTGGAATGGAGTTACTCCTATTAACCTGCCTACCTTTGATATGTACAAGGAGGAGTAAGTAGTCCCATTCGTCAGTTAAGATTATCGAAGTAATATGGGATATGAGGAATGTTATGTCTCCTGCTGTTGTATGCTTTTATCTTTTGTATAGTGGCATCTCTTGCCCGCCTCAAGTGCTAGAATGCCGAGGAGGAGAATTGGGGCCTATAATTTAATATAGTCTATCTTAATCAACGCTTTAATAGCGCCAATTCAGTCATAATATCAGTCAAAGCCAAACTCGCCCATCGTGGACCATTAAGTACTAAAACCACGCCTCAAATGAAATATGCTACAGTAAATCTCTGTAATGGGCCCGCTGTAGGCCTGTGGCACTACCATAAGAAAAACAGCGTGTCTAATAGAAACCACCAAGTAAAGACTCCCCATTAGGATAAAAATCCGTACTTTTATCCTACCCCGCTTCAGAATTCTCGTTATGAACGTGGAAATCTTTTTAAATTGGGTCCTGAAAGCCTATTTCAATATCTAAAACTTAAAAAAGGCTACCCTGGATATAAAGAATATTCTTAGTAGTAGATTTATTATTTTTAATAGTTCACATATTTAATGTTAACTACAGTAGTGTTGGGAGAGCCGTGCAAATATGCAAATAGCTTTAGAGGCGGAAATATATTTTGGCAGTCCGTTCACTCTAATGAGATGAAACCCACCACAAACAGAATATTTTGGTTGCCTAATTGATGTCATCGCAGCAGATAGCTTTATCGCTATTATAAAGGATATTATTTATACTTACGACTTGATGTTGTAAAACTTTATCTTCTATGTATCTCACAAGGGACTGGAACGATTCGCTGGGATATTCACTAAATTACAGAAAGCTTCATACGCTAGTTAGTAAATCATCTCTCAAGACCTCTCTGGTAACTCGATAGGCGTCCTCGAAAGCACCCGAAATGAATCCGCGCCAGCCATCCGCAAAGTCCGATCCACAGAAATACACACGCCCATGGGGCTTCCTCATCTCATCTCGGTACTTGGTCAAAAACCCAGGCCCCCGAACGGGCATTACCCCACCGGCGAATGGATCGTCTGACCAGAGATGACCAGAGGCAGATTCCACTTGGATACCTGCGGGGCGGAGAGTTTCCAGCAGGCGGATATTCTCGTCGGAGCGGTTGAGGCTGTTATCTGGATGGGCGAGGAGGGTGAGGAGGGTGGTGGTGCTGTGGGTTCCGTCTGTGAAGCCACTTGCGTAGGGCATGTCGCCGTCGCAGGTAACGTTGAGCCCGTTTTCCAGCTCGGTGGATGTGCGCACGAGGAGCTTGTCTGTCCTTGCGGGAGTGAAGCCGGACGAGAAAGCTTCCTTTCTGAGTGTGGAAAGGGGGGGGATCGAAGATGATGGATGAGATTACATTCACGGGGACGGTCGAGATGACGGTTTTGGATGAGAATTGCTCCCCATTCTGTAGGGTGATGGCAATCGGGAAATCGCCATCGCCCTGGGTAACGGACGCCACGGGAGAGTCAAAGACCCTGTCGCCCTTGTAGTCGTCCAGGATTGCGAGGGCAAACGCAGTGGTGCCTTTTGCAATCTTATACTTCATGGTTGCTGTGTCAAGCATGGCCGGATCAAAGTTGCACAAGGCGAGGGTGTGAAGCACTTCAGCAAACGACGCCTTTTCCGGCGGGATGCCGTAGAATGAAGCCGCATGCGCGCTGAGCATGGTTTGTTCTTCTTCGGTACAGCCCTCGAGCTGCGCAACATGATCCGCGACGCTGAGTTGGTCCAGTTCCAGATAGTCGGGGTTCTGCTTGACGCTCGCCGCAGCGCTGAATGGGAATGGGATGATACTGCGTCCGCCTTGTCCATCCACGTCAAAGAACCTCTCTGTCAGTCGCTCCAGCTGCTCCATCATGACTCGCCCATCCGCAGGATCCAGCACCGTGGCTGGCTGCGACCGCGATGGCTTGGTTGTAGACTCGCAGTTTTCAGGACACGCCACCGTTTCCTCAAACTCATCTAGTCCGTATCTCTGCAACTCGCTAAACACATGCGGTTGTTGCCAGTGCACCCATGTGCCACCCATCTCACTGGCGTCTGTCCCGGTATGCGCAGTCCAGCAGCGACCGCCAATGCGATCTCGAGCTTCGATGATGAGCACCTTTTTCTCCTTGAATGCAAGATCGCGGGCGGCAGCCAGCCCGGCAAAACCAGCCCCGATGACAATAGCATCATAGCCCGAGGAGAGATCAGACTTGGGGGTGGAGGGGACAACGGCCGCGGTGGTTAATCCTGGTAGTACGCTTAGCCAACGACGCGTATCAGTGTTGGGATACGTACCATACTGGAAGCCCTCCTTAGGGGTCCAGAAGAAGCCTTCTTGAGACTTTTGCATTTTGTCTGTAATATTCGATGGTGGGAAGGTAGGAATCACGGCGGTTAAAAAGACAAGTAGAACTAGACGGGTTCCGCGGCCTCCGTTTCTCGTATAGGGCGTATAGGGCGTATAACTAGAGCAAGGTGATTACTAAGGAGGATATAGTATGACTGTCGCTATACTTTGTGACCACAAAGAAATACGAGAGAGATCACTCTCAGATCCTGTATAGTACTAGCAAGGAACATGCTTCGCCACATATCCACTATATGGATGACCCGGCATACATGCAACTCGAGTTACCAAAAACAGCAATCCTCTTCGAATATAAACAGCAACTCCAGTGACCAATTGTATAGCATCAGTCAACTGTCTGTCTGTATACTCCTCTTTCCATCCCTCTAGTCTTCATAATCTTTGCCAAGATAAGGTCATTCCCCATTGGTTTAGCTTTTTCGGCCTTTGATTTCATGTCCAATTTTCTGTTCGATATATATGCTGCTCGCATCTCCGTGAATATTATAGAATTTACTTGATTTTATCCAAATCAGAAGGGTTGAGATTACTATCAACAGATCATATACAGAGCTTCAGCAGCATTTCTCATTCTCCCGAGTAAGAACCCGCGGCGCCTGCGAAGTATCCAACCGGCAAAAGCACGACGCCTTGATAGGAACATCCGCCACGGCCAACGCCAACTTCACCGACTGCTCAATCATAGCCGCCTCATCAACCTTCCCCAAGCGAAGCAAGCACTCATGGTATCCCTGCAGCGACCATACATTATTCGGGTGGCGACGCGGGCGGATGAGCGAATGATCTAGGCCGAGATCAGCGCGGTAAGTCTTGGCCGCTTCTTCCAGATGGCCCTGTTCCATCATGAGGGCGGCATATGCGTGTCGGACGGGCTGCATCCACGACCACGGCTCGCTATATGGTAGCTTGTCTTCGAGATCGATGGCGCGACGAAGCGCAGCAAAGGCGGCATCGTAGTTTGCGCGGCGGTATTCGAGCTCGCCCTCGAGCATGGCGGCCGCCACCTGCAGCACCTCGACGAGTTTGCCGTTGTAGGCGCGGCGAGTCTCGGGGACACGAGCCCAGGCTTCGTGGAAGAGTGCTTGTTCTTGACCAGCAGAGACGAGATCGCCGGTCGTTGCAAAGGCGATCCCCCGTGCGTAGTGGGTGGTGGCGGTGGTGCCGGCATACAAGGCCTGGTCGGTAGGGAGAGGCTTACGCTTGAGCTCCTCCCACTGGCCAAACCGCACCATGACATGCAGCCGGATCGACATGAATTGCTCGAGCCAGTCGGCCATCGGGGGCGATTGGATGCGGAGCACCTCCTCTGGGACGGTTGCCTCCATGCGGGTCACCGCGTCGAGGGCCGTCCTGGATTGACCGGCAAACATGGCCGCGTAGATGAGCGAGTGGTAGTCATGCAGGCGGTAGAAGGTGTAGAAGTTCTGGGCGCCTGCCTTGCGAAAGTACTTATCGTCTGCGATGGTCGACTTGTAGTTCGACGCAATCGAGCGCCGCCAGTCGCCGATCAGAATGTCCAAGTGGGTAGGCATGTGGTGGATGTGGCCGGCGTCTGGGACGAGATCGCGCAGATGGTCTGCCGGCACGACGCCCAGCTCCGGGGTGGGAGACATTTCGATAAAGTGGATGTACAAATGCAGCAAGCCCGGATGGCGACTGGCACCGTCGTCCTCCTGTGCCAACGCTCGTTCCAGCACCGCTTGCACCTCCATCGTGGGCGCATCGGGGGCTGGTTTCTCGGTGAACAGATCCCACAGCGCCCAGGGGGCCATGTTCATGAGGGCATCTGCATAGAGGACAGCGACATCGAGATCCTGCCCGAATTCATCGTACACGCGCTTCATCGCATCTGCATATCCCCTATTCAGAGCCGCGTAATCCGTCCCCGGCTGGTTAGTGAGAAACCGGAACTGGATGGCTTCGATGAGAGCCTGCTCGAGGGGGCTCGCATTGCCTGCGTGTTGCTTTGCATGTTGTGTGGCGTCATGGCCTCGCTGCATGCAGGTGTGCAGGTCTGCCTGGTCGAAAACCTCCCACGGTTTATTATAATTCGGACCCACGGCATAGGCAAGGCCCCAGTATGCCATGGCACATGCAGGGTCATGCAGGATGGCCTGCTCGAAGCAATAGGCGCCTTCAACATGGTTGAAGGAATACACCCAGACCAGACCGCGGTTGAACCACGTCTGCGTGTCGGCACTGGTGGTGGAGATGGGGTGGCCAAAGGAGCCCAGGTTGTAGTATTCTTCGCTGGCAGGTTTCATATTCATGTTGGTGTTGATGATGTCTGCTGTTGGATGGAAGAGAATGGTTGTTTATATCATACGATGTCTGTTACTAATGAGGGGGAAAATCAAACACCGAAATGAACGCCGAACCCCTCTTGGTGGGGTTCATAAACCATCATGACATCTTTGGCTTCCAGCAGTTGAAACAAAAATAATTGATCAAATGTCTCTTGTTTCTCAGCCGATCAAGTTGGCCTGTTTAGCATGGTAAGTAAAGTTGCACATGCATGCATGCTTCCCATTGCAGTCTGCCTCAGAATTCCGCTGCGATGAAAAAAACTGTGAACGAGTGTAAATCACTCTTATATTCCAGACACAGGAATAATAACCAAGCAGTGCTCTGTCCACCGGCAAACCGAAACCCGACTCCGCTATTCGGTGTCTGGGTTGGTCTGTTGTATTCAGGTTATATTGAATCCCGCCGAATATCGATCCTTACACGTCGGCAGTCTCCAAATAGGGATAGAAGAAATTTAACCTGTTAGTATAGTGATGTAGTATGATTACGAGGTACTTTGGAAGTCACTTGACAGTATATGCGATCTCAATCATCTCTCGCTGGATGAGGCAGCTGAGCAACATGGCTAAAATACCTATTTCGGCACAACAGAGTCAGTCCCATGCTGAGATGCAACCGTTTGTCTCGAAGCCTGCTGGAAAGTTTGGCCTTCTTGATTCTTCCGTGAAAGCAGATCGCCTAAACTCCTTTTCTGAAACTGAGTTGCCCCGTGGGATGGCTGGCAACAATTTCGATGCTCAGCCAGTACAGCATGCCCAGGGCGTACAGATGAATAAATAGATTATCCTAACAGTCTTAATCATTCATACTGCATTTTCAACCCATGTAGATCTCATTCTGCAGAGCATTAAATCCCTCATAGTGATTTCCTCTCATCTATATCCAGTACTGCTATTGGCTGGCCATAGGGCTACCATCTGACCGACTCACTGATACATCATCGATGAACAATATATCTTGGGCGACCATTCAGCTCCATGTTGTTGGGATCTAAAAGGAAATATATTGCCGATCTAGATACATATGTCAGCATTTACATCACTCTATTTGTCACTTGAATGCATGCAGCTTCACTGTCCAGTGCTATGAAGCAAGGCTTCAAACCATGCTAATTTACAAGTATTCTTAACATTTCTTTGGAGAATACCCATCAATAATGTTACCTATTATCATGCTCTTGTGACATTTGAGCTGAAGACTATTGATGTTACGCTCAGAAAAACTCTAATAATTTCTGAGTTCAAATAAAATGTTCTTAGCATTCTCAGCTGTAATATCTGATACACGTCCTTTGACTCCTAGGCACTTGCATCAGAATTCATGACATGCTCTTTTCAGCTTCTCGTGCGACCAGATTGACAAGGAGAATGGTGGAGGACAGTCCGATATTAGCTGAAATTACAGATTTGTGAGCCGTTAAACATTGCTAATGATAATATACCTGTTAGGGGAAAAACTTTCCCAGAGTTGGTGCATTCTTTGGTTGCACATTAGGTCAATATAATACCCTATCCTGATATATTAAGTACATACGACCACAGGGTGTGGAGAACAGGGCTTCCCGTCCGCTCAGCCGTACTTAAGCCACACGCCGGCAGGTTAGTAGTTGGGTGGGTGACCACCAGCGAATCCCTGCTGTTGTATGTTTTTATGTCTGTATTTTTGGTGCTTTTTAAATATCCAATATATATATATAGTTCAAAAAATGGCTGGGGTGATAATCTAATATGTACGTAAATAAATCCAGATCGCTAAAAGGAATAATGGGCGGACCCGATATGTGCTACTACTCTCTAGGGTGACTGTAATTTACATTCTGAAGGAGTCCATCACGGATCCATTCGCTGCAGGGGAGTTCTTCAGGAATAAACCAAGTCAGAAATGGAATGTGCTACAGTAAATCTCCGCTGTAACGAGTCTGCTGTAGCACTACCACGAGGGAAACAGCATATCTAATAGAAATTATCTAATAGAAACCATCACTAAACTAAAGACTCCCCATTATAATAAAAACCTAAACTTTTATCCTACCCTGCTAGAAAATCAATTCTCATTATTAATGTGTAAATTTGTGAAACAAAATGAGTTCTGAAAGCCTATTTCAAGAGCTTGAAACTTAACAGCTACTCGTCATCTAAAAGCTAAAAGCACCCTTGCGGAGAGAGATCTATGAAGATCTATTGTTTTTAATATATTCAGATACCCATTGACAAATATAACTGGTATGTTTGTGTAACGAGGTTATTTCAACCGGTCAAATCATTATAAAAATTATTGAGTCTAAGCGATCACATGTGCTTGATAGATGCAAGGGTGTTTGTGCTACATGCCTCACTCTCTATTATAACTTCCTTGATCATGGGTAGATTACCAAGGTAGGCTAACACTTGAGAAAGGGCCTTCTGCAGTGTACTTCATCTAGAAATTCCATGATTCATGTTCATGTCACACCAAAGTATATTTACATAATGACAGCTATGAACAATATCTTCAAGCTTGATGTGCTGCCCAAGTAAGTAAAACGTAAGTGGCTATGACATCAGCAAAGCCTGCAAATTGGGCTATAAAAGGATGAGGATATCTGGACTCGGTTCAATTCATCAGTTCTATCAGTTCTATCAGTCATCCAACCCAAAAACCCTTCGCATCAACTTCAGCAACATGGAACAGATCCTCTGCAACAATGCCAATGCCTACCCCGATACCACTGCAATCGTGGACCATGGCCGCAGCTATACCTACAAAGACCTAATGGCAGCTGCTCTTGCTCTGGCCACTGACCTTCACAAACAGGATATGAAGCCGGAAGAACCAGTGTGTGTCTTTCTAGGCCCTGGTGCTGGCCAGATTGTCAGCCAAGTTGCCATTATTCGTGCTGGAGGGACATGCGTCCCCGTTGATCCTTCCATGCCGGATGCGCGACTACACGAGATGCTCGCGGACGTTGAAACTCGCCTTGTCCTGACGACGGAGGACTTGGCGTCCAGAGTATCCAACTTCAATGTCATCCTGGTTGACAATGTAACCAGGGAAGATATCAAACACGCAACAGGAGATGGTGTCCATGCCCTCGCCGCTCGGCCGGACTCGCATCGCAGCCATTTGCTGTTTACCTCTGGCTCAACCGGAAAGCCTAAGGCTGTCCAAATCCCAGCAAGGGCAATCATCCATCTTGCCACGACGTCTCCAATCCAGTTGACAAACGGCGATCAGGTGGCGGAATTCAACAATTCCGGATTCGACCTGTCCCTTTTTGAAATATGGGTGCCGCTACTCTCTGGGGCGACTATAATCTGCATTCCTAAGGAGGTGGTCACGGATCCCTTTGCTGTTGGAGACTTCTTCACCAGCAACAAAGTCACCGCAGCACTCATCCCCACCAGCCTGTTCATTCTGCTGGCCACCACCTCACCATGTTGCTTCCGAGCTTTGCGACACCTTGTGACCGCGGGCGAGCGAGCCAGTTCCAAAGCTATCAGACAGGTTCTCGAGAGCGACAGCCCTCCGCAGAATCTCTGGAATGCCTACGGACCGACAGAGTGTACCTGCTATTCGACGGTAGCCAGGGTGACACTGGCCGAGGCACAGACGGACAGCGTCAACATCGGTCATCCGTTCGGAGAGACGAAAGTATACATTTTAACCGAGGATTTGAAGCCCGTCCAGGACACAGAAACACAGGGAGAGATCTGCATTGCTGGTCCTGGCGTCTGCCTGGGATATCTGAATGATCCCAAAGCCAACACGAACAAGATTGTCGAATTTAGTCCGGAAGACATGGATCCAGTTTTGCTGTGTAGGACTGGTGATATGGGCAGGTGGAGAGAGGTTGGAAAGTCCATGGACTATATCGGCCGTATCGACGACCAGATCAAACTACAAGGATACCGTGTCGAGCTGGGCGATATTGAACAGACGCTGGAAGGCCACGAGAATGTGAAACAGGCTGTCGTGCTGCATGCAAAAGAGCAAGGAGATCGATTAGTTGCCGTGGTTGTGTTGCAAGACAGCGCGGATTCCGAATCTACCTGTCTCAATAGAATGAGACATTGGATCTCCGATCGCCTTCCTCATTACATGGTTCCGAATGAGATCAAGTGCATTGACAAGCTTCCCTTGAACAGCCGTGGCAAGGTTGATCGCAACAATTTGAAGGGCATGGTGTTGAATGGGCCCAAGCAAGGGAGAAGAGAGACAGCCCCCGATGCGAACGAAGCACAAACAATATTCCAGTCAATCCTGAACGAGATACTGGGTATTCCAGATATCGAGCCCGATCAATCCATCACCGAACTGGGCCTCTCTTCATTGGGAGCGGCCAGGCTGCTGGGGCGGATCAAAGAGGAATTCGGAAAGCCCGTATCCATGGTCCAACTATATCAAGACCCTACCATTAAAGGACTAGCCCATTTTCTTGATCTCGACATTGAATGGAACTATGGTCCATCTGAGATTCTGCAGCTCGAAGCTGACAGTAAGATATGCGACGACCTTCAAGCCAATCGGACTTCTCAAGCTGTGCCGGACTGGATGAAAGAGGGCAGAGTATTTCTGACCGGTGCAACTGGATTTCTCGGAGCCAACCTGATGAGCAGACTCGTGCAAATGGAAAATATCAAACAGGTTGCGTGTCTAGCAAGAAGCCAGGGAACTAGCACAGCAATGGAGAGGATAGAGAGCAGTCTGCGCAAGTACCGTCTCTGGAATGATACCGTGGCCGAAGCAATAAAGAAAAAGGCCATTGTACTAGACGGAGATATCACGCAGGAGCAACTTGGACTGGAAGGGGCCGACTTTCAATGGCTGATTGACTGGACTCCAGCGATCATCCACGCCGCTGCGAAAGTCAATTGGTGCGCTCCATATAGTGCCCATTTTGCCCCAAACGTCACCGGGACCCGAAATGTCCTCTCCGTTGCTCTCCAGGGACGGTGCAAGTCATTTCACTATGTCTCAAGTATCGACGTGTGGACAGTCACTGGGTTAATTCTAGGAACCGATCGAGTTTCTGAAGACGGGCCACTCAAAGTCCACCTCGCATCTCTCCCGTTCGACACCGGATACGCTCAAAGCCAGTGGGTCGTCGATGAGATGGTGCAGAGAGTCCGAGACAGAACGGGCATCCCAGTCACTATCTACCGTCCTGGGTTTGTGGTGGGCGACAGCAAGACCGCAGCAGGCAACCCAGATGATTTCTTTAGCCGAATGGTAGTCGGATCCATTCAGCTGGGATATTGGCCCCAGCTGCCCGAGCAAAACATGGAGTATGTCACGTCAGATTATGTATGCGATGGCCTGTTGCATATCGCAGCCAACCCCGACAATCTAGGCAAATGCTTCAGTCTGACGGCTGGGGATCGAGCACTGTCCACTTACATGGACACTCTGGGAAAATTCATCAACCAGGCAGGCTTCCCTGTCCACCAAATCCCATTCAAGGACTGGGTCCAGAAGCTCCAGCAGTGGCCAGGTCTTGGAAAGAGCCCTCTTCTATCACTGATGCCTCTCCTCACCGAGCCGGTTCTTCGGGGATACACTCGTCTAGAAACAAGCAAGTTTTCCCCGGTCTACGAATGTACCAACACGCGAAAGGCATTGAAGGATAGTCCAGGTATCCATCACATCGAGCTTACTCCGGAGCTGGTACGGAGGTTCATCCAGTTTTGGGTTGAGGAGGGGTACCATGTAGTCTGAACCTGAATCTTTGTCTTGAATGTCAGTTTCACTTACAAACTGATTTTGTCCAAGTTAGGGGGTTCCAAGGCAAGGATGTAGAAGAAATCCATTCTGTTGACATAATACAGATAGGTATAAATATCCAAAGAAAAACATAATCATAAGCCATTAACCCATTCTTTTATACTCTTTGATGACCTTATTTACAGTGCTCTTATAGAGTTAATATCTATATAAACTGTGCATAACACCTTAGAGGTTACCTTTAAGTCAGTGGTAATCTTAGTATATAGTAGTCCCTTATACCAGGCACCTTTTAAGCTATCTACACTAGTCCAACAGCCTCCGTCTTTGGCATTGCGTACTTTGGGGGTGAGCTCACCGGCAGCAGCGACTCGCTGCTGGGGTACTGCCCACGCAAATGTCGTCAAGTCAGCATGGAGTATTCGGATCTCATCCTGCGCTACAGGGCGGTATTTCAGACTTGTCTGAGTCGTGCTTAATGTTAAATTATCATAGCTTGCAGTCGTCTTCTGGACGTAATCAACCGTGAATTCAAGTATGTCCCCTAATCACTGACAAGATGAGTCTAAACCATGCGGCAGTGGTTATACAACTGCCAATGCAGTCAAAGTGTTGCTGAAATTCTTTCCTGCACCTCAGACTGTATCAGTCCGACTCATGGTAGGTTGACCGGTCACAATATGGGAAGGTCATTAACAAATCAGTTGATATTCCTGGGATGCAACAACGCATGTTTACCTGGAAACTACCAGCACGTACCACTAGACATCTACAAGAAGAATCTAACAGAGCTCATCCCACACCCTACCAAAGCCCAGAACCCACGAATCAAACTAATATAGAATTATTCATGCGGGCTGAAGATTTCCATCACCTACTGCGCCTGAAATGCTGAAGAGAGGACAGTACCATCTAGCATTCCAAGAATAAATCCACCATTTGATCTTCTATACCGAAATATATCAACACTCGTCATTCCCAGTACCAGCCTTTAGGCCTACATACTGTCGACACTCATCTCGACTCTCACCTGGAATATTCCATTCCTCCAGAATTTCCCCCAAGGTACCCCACTCCCAGTATTCGTCTGCCATCTCTGCCAAAACCGTGACTATATGTTGTTGAATCTCATTCAGCGACGCAAAAGGCCATGTATCATCATCATCAGGGCAAGGACCAAAAGCCAGCTCCATGACAATTCTCGTCAGTTCGAGAGCTTCTGTCTTTTCGGAACGGGGCAATGCCTCTAGCGCCATGGGAAGCACGTCCGGGTAATCGTCCATATCCAAGGTTATCAGGATCTTGCCGCTGTATTTGAACAGGTCCCCTTCGCAGAATGGGAAGGGTAGATTGTGCGAGTAACGGGCATCAGCTGCAGGGATGAACGAGCGGTCTGTTAGAACACGGGCTAAGATGGAGACGTTCTCTGGGATATGATGCTGCAGTCGGATGAGAGCAACTGCGGCAGCGAACCGAACCAGTGGACGCTGATCAGTTGCATACTCGCGAAGGCTAGGGACACAATTGTCGAATCCATCGGTAGCACCAGCATCTTTCCAACAGCCAATCAGCAGACCAAGAGCGATAATGGCACTGGCGAGAACGATGCTTTCTTGTTCCTGGCCAAGGAGTCGCTGCAAGGCAACAGCACTGCTATAATTTCTTCCACTGGCCTCTTCCCCAGGAAACCAAGCCAGTGCAAAAGCCGCCCACGTCCTCACCTCCGGATCATCCTCTTCCAAACATTGCTGGAAGACTGGAACGCCTGCAGAAACTGCATCATACGCCGCCAACTCATGTTTAGATTCTTCACGATTTCGCTTCAACCCAACCGAGCGATCATACTCGTGCATCTTTCTTTGGCCTTCATTCCTCGCCTGATTAACCAACTCATCCATTTCAGCATAATATTCCACTTCATACTCGGGAGTGTGTAATCTCCTCGTACGCTCACGGTATTCAGCCGGATTGGCACCCTCCGGTAAAGAGAGCGAGGGAATCCCCAGGGCCAGATCAACCAGATAGCTAATCACGGTGGCTCGGTCCGGCGTGGAGGGGTTCTCCAGGATTTTGAGCAGATATGGGACCGCATACGCGGTTGCTTCGTAGCGGGTTGCTTGGTGGAAGATATTCCCGTAGAGGCGGTAATATGCATCGTCGCGCGTCTCTTTTTCTGGCGACACTAGGTCGCGGAGGTCGTCAGGCACGTCGCTTGCTTCGCCGTACGCGTGCTGCAGAGAAGCCCAGTCGATGGAGTCGAGATACTCAGCCATGGCGTTCGTTTCGTTTGTCTCTCTTGAGGGTGGAATTGTTTGATTAATTGAGGATATGGTGAACGGCTGCCTGGAGCCTATTTGAGTTCATTTGTTTCCGCTCCAAGTGGGGTTGAATCAGTTTGGAGAATACGAGGTCCAGGATGATCAAGACAATGCCTATACAGCACACTCACAGAATCTATTTCCACGTCCACGATAGATGATTCAATCAGGTGTTGGTAGTATAGTAAATTTGGAGCACGTATCCTCTCGTTGTGAAACTGTTTCACAATGAGAAGACCTTTCAATCGCGCTACAAATGGACATGGGACAATGCGGAGGTGACTCTGACCAGAATTTCAGGGGTGGGTTTGAGGCGATTGTTTACTGCCACCCAGCGATTGTGTGCATATATCGCTGGATACGGGTCACGGTGTATTAGCTACCGCTAACGCGTAAAGTGGCCTTGGAGCGTGACAGTTCTTCAAAGATGGTTTCATTTTAGGATCTGGAGGCGGTGGGTTTGTGACTGAGTTGATGTTGCTGTTTTGATACGTTCTGTCAGCCTGTCCACGCTAACTGTTTGGATGATAGAAGAAGCAAGCTATAGAGTGTGGCTTGGTTTGGTAAACATTAGGATGAAGCGTTTATATGTAAATATAGTGGGACTTTGTATAAGTAGTATGTAGCCGATTCGAATTGTCATTTTGACTCTAGTGTTTAGCCATGTATATATCTGCGGCAGAATAAATCTGTGAAAGGAGTTTCAAGGTTGTTGTACAATAGATATTACTGTTGTCCATTCATTTAATACTAAAAATTGCGACGAGACCCAACAAAGTTGACTTGTCTCCCGCAGGAAAGCAAGGCACCAGAAACAATGTCACCGCAAATCAAGTCTCATAAGAAAGGCACGTGGATATGGCAATGTGTGTGGGATCCCAGCGGTGATAGAGCGTGATATATTTTTCTTTTTTAGAGATAGGATATATAATTAGGCAAGAGCATGCACTTTTAGAAAGATTGGCCTAGTGATAAAAGCATCTAAATTCATTTAAGCATAGCCTAATCATAATGAAAATAAACCAATAGTAGATGAATTTCGGATAATAATCAAGGCTAGAACATTCTCTTTGCCCACCATCTCTATTAATCTTCAATCATGAAATAGCAGCATTAGCTAATCAATCTAAGACGCGTGGCCTGAGGATGACAGGGATGCAGCAGATACATATACCCCGCTTCCGCGGGGACGACAATCAGCTTACTTCCTCACCATCGATGGATAACTACATCATTCCCGCTTCCTCGCTATTGAGGGTTCTTCAGGGAATTGTTGTTGCTACAAAATTACCTCAAAGTAAAACTGAGCCTCTTGTTCAATGTTTTTCTGGTGGCGTAACAGGCACTGATATCCGCCCTGCTGACAGGGAGTTATCCCTTTCGGTTGGGAAATGGCGTGATGAAGTTTATTCTATTCCCGAGGAGAATAAATCGGAGAAAGATGGTCTGCAACATCTAAGCAACCTCGCTATTGGAATCGCCTTCCTCCGCGAACAAGGCCGACAGAGCCAGGATGCAGTCACTGGCACAGAATTAGCTACCGTCTGGGAGATGGTTCATGGCGCGCTGACCAGTGCACTGCTAAGTCAGCCCCAGTTCCAAGCATCTCGCAGCGCACAGGGGTTCCTGGCCGTTCCGCTCTGCAGTCTAATCGAGAACGGGAATATCTCGGAGCTTTTTCGGCTTCATGTCTGGCTACCTGATGGACAGCGGGGAGCTGAGGCCTTCGCCGTGCATTCTCATCAGCCCTTTGCGCAGAGTTGGATCCTGGCCGGCGAGGGTGTCGATCATTCATTTAATGTGGAGGGTGTCACGGATGAAGCGATGTCGACTCATGCCGAGTACAGGCTAGCCTGGAATGATGGGAAGAATACAGGGGCGAGTTATAAAACACATCAGATATCGTCTACTGTTGTGAGGTCGGGAAGGATGGTGCGGGTAATCCCAACAGGGTCGAAGGTGCATACGCGGGATATGAGCTATACCATTCCAGCCGCCGTTTTTCATCAGACAACGGTTCAGCCTGATACCCTGCATGCTACACTTTTCTTCTTCGATGCCTCACGAGGGTTTGTCAAGGATGCACCGGTTCTAGGTCCAAAGGATATGGAGTCATCGACGCAGCTGCGCGATCCTGCTGGTGTCACACCCGCGGCACTGGCGACTATGGTAGAGGCCGTTCGAGCATGGGAGATACTGATGGACCAAGGACAGGCCCACTCGGAGCGTGCAGAGTGGGAACATGCGTTGCGATCTTTCAGCCACGCCCTGAGTCTTTGTGGGCCAGCCAGCAAGTTGCCGAATCCAGATAGCTACAACCATATCGTTCTGGCTAGGCTCGGATATACTAATAGACGATTTGGAAGATATGAAAAGGCGGAGGGGTATCTGGAAGCTGCATTGCAAGGGCTGGGGTCGACACCTTTACATGTTGAAGTTAGTGGAGAGCTGGGGGTGGTCTATCGCCATATGAACCGTCTTGAGGATGCAAAACGGGCATTTGAGAAGCAGTATGAGATATCAAAAGCACTCAATCTGGAACGAGCTACATGTCGTGCAATTGGAAATTTGGGGATGGTGAACTACCAGTGCTCACAGGAGATGTTGGATCTGGCTATTGAGCAGCTAAAAGAGCGTGTTGAACGTGCTGAACTGATTAAGAGGTCGACAGCCCCAGAGCAAAGGAGTGAACCCACGGTCTGGAAAACCATTGGATTGTCTCGTCTTTCACTGTGCTACACGGCCAAGGGGCTCAAGAAAGAAGCTACTGACGCCGCTTCGGAAGCTCTAAAAGCGGCCCTCGACATGCATGACCCAACAGTGACTGCCATGTCCCAATTTTTCTATGGGCGTGCTTTACTTTTAGACGGGCAGAAGAAGGAAGCTTTGCAACACTTCAACCCAGTCGGAACATGTACTCCGGCGATGGCATTATGTAAGGAGCCTTCCGACGAGCATCTAGTACATCTACGCGAAGTAGTTGACGCCGGGGCAAACATGGACCTTGTTGACGAGCATGGCTACAGCGCACTTGATTACGCCGTATTCTGCGGCAGCAAACCTGCCGAAGAGGTTGTCCTCGATGGTCTTCGCAGGCAATTCTTAGAGCAAACCGAGAACGAGCTCCTCAACCGTAAAAGCGAAGCTCGAATTCGCAAGTGCTATCGGGAACTGTTCCAGGAACACCTACGTCCGGTACTACTTGACAGCGATGGCGCTGACCGACTCCAGCATCTGCGACGGGTATATGCGGAGACACTAGCTGCAGATAAAGAGAAAAGCGCCGTATTTGATGGATTCAAGTTTGTGTGGTTCTCGGACTTTGTGCTGAACGGTCGACTTCCACGGTCGAATCATGGACTCACGCAGCATCTCAAGGATCTTACGCCTGACAAGGTGCCGGACTATGTGGTCTTTATATCATATCGGTGGATAGGCGATGGGACTGCTATTCCATGTCCGGATGATAATAATCACTCGCAGTATCAACGAATGATCCAAGCTGTCAACCAGTTTCTAGCATCATCATCCGTAAATGCGGAGAAGTTAGGCATTTGGCTGGTATGTGATGGTCACCTGAAAGTATTTATGTCCACTGACTTTCTAGGATTGGGCCTGTGTCAATCAAGATAACCCCTCACCGGGAGTGTCTGCCCTCCCACTAAACCTGGCACAGTGCGACGCTGTGATCAGCCTTCTTGATAATGACTACCACAGTCGTGCGTGGTGCTCTGTCGAGGTGATGATGGTGCAAATGCTGCGAAAGTCTTACCATCTACACTCATGGTATGAACATACAAAGTTTGATACTGGCGACTGGGTTCTGCACGAGGGCCCATTAACATTCAAGCCAGAAGTTGCAGGCAAGCGGTTGAGTTGCGAACAGGATCGAGCGAGGATTTTGTTTTTGGAAAGACAGACCAGACTGCTTGGGCGGGTGGAATAACGGGTCGAATAGTTCGCTGGAGTTGGTGGCGAGGAATCATGAGCGATGACTAGACTAGATGATGCTATCAATGGGGACATATTAAATAAGGATAAAGAAGGGGTATACATGTAGATGGACAAAAGTACTGCATGATAAGTGGTGAAATGGTCTGGTGATTCTTTGGCCTGGCAGATCGTCAGTAGTGTTTCACTTCATCCGCAAAATCCCTCCAAGATTTCATGTGATGATGAGGCTATAATATTCATATTGTAGTCAGCAGTTGTAATTAATAATCTGAAACAATGCCGTCACTGCTACTATGATACGGCTGGGAGTACATGTATGATGGAATATGCGCATACATGTAAATATTTTCATTCCTTTCCTCCGCCCTCATCTTCGGATTTCTCACACCATCATATTGATCAAAATATTATTCTAGTATACATACCCTTATATAAATAAGCAAACACCTGTTGTAATAAGAAAAGCGTCTCTCTTTTACTAACTGGCCCTTTTTTGTCCTTCTAGTCCGGAGGCAATTCAATGCTGCCCGGTATGGCGGACCAACTTCATAAGGACCTGGGGTCTCTTGCCCCATAACTTGTGAAGGTGAATTTTATAGCGCCCCCTGACCACAAGGACTTAGTCTGGATTAGAGGCTCTATGGTATAATCATTTCCGCATTCCAAAATTGCTGGATACCTGAGGTATAGAATGGAATGGGTCCTGGTATTATTACTAGGAACTGCTACTACGAACAAACACTAAAGGAATGTGGTCATCTGTTTTCAAATAGGCAAGAACAGATGACAGAAGTTGTGAATTATGCCGTTTGCTTACTCTTTCTCTTCATCGGATTCCCACGTGTAATCCCCAAACAGACTGGGGTACTTTTCATCGCCATACATGTTCTCCCGCACCCCATCCAAATCTACCATCCCCGGCCAGCTCGAATACCACTCCAGAAACTCATCAAAATGCTCAAACGCGTGCACCTGCTCATCAATCCCTACAATCTGCGCATCATTCCAGAACAAAACCCGCCATGCCCACTGATGCTCCGGGGACTTTTCGTCGTCTCCCTCCTCGATGGTCTTCCGGCAGTAGGTGTACGCGCTGAACCACATCCAGTTATTCTCCTGCTTCGATCGCCCAGTCTCGAAGCCTCCCTTGCAGTCCCAGTCGTACAATTGGAGGTTATCCATCTCGCCTTCATTGAATTGTTTCCATTCCAGATTCTTGCGTATCCATTTGTGAATCAGCGCGTCGTCGATCTCGTCTTCATCAGGAGGTGTGAGGATTCTCTGCGGCACCAGTTCGAAACCACAAATACCCCAGTACCGAAAGTCCATGTCAACAATCCCATCGGCATGCTGCAGAAACTCGTCCAACTCCGGACTGGCCTTAATCACATGTCCATCCTCTTTAAACAGATCAAATTTCTCATTGCTGACGTTCTCCAGCTCTTCGATGAATACCCTCCGCCACTTTTCATCCGTCAAAGTAGGTTCCTTCACACCATCAAAATACGGATGCCATAGAGTCCGCACCTCCTCCACGCTCGTCACTTTATTCTCCCGCTCTCGCTGCTCCTCTAGTGCTTTCCCATCGAGGATGTACCCGGTTTGGTAGTCGTAGTCTCGTTTCTTAAACGGCCATACGACACTTTTCGACCAGAAATGCGCGGCGATTTGCAGTTTCTTCGGCTCTGGGAGATCGAATTTCTGGATTTCGTCGATGCGGTCGTTGAGGAAGGCGCGGTTGGCGGTGGTGATCTTCTCGCGGAATGCTTGGATGGCTGGGCCCACGGAGTGTGTTTCTCCGTTGATGGACATTTTGAGGAAGTTGTAAAAATATAGATGTGGAGAGAAATGAAGGGGGAGGAATGGGAGATTAAAAAATTTGAAAGCTGAAAAGTAGCTGAGAGCTGAGATTCAGCTCCGATTCAGCCAAAGTGGGGGATCGAGATCTCCATCGAGCCCCTCTCGCTTATCGTGTGCTAACGAGTGTTTATGGTCAACGGTTGGTTTTACTACTAGTTACGGCAGAAGACATTTTGAAGATATGCAGTAGACAATGGATTGTTTCCATTTCTAATATCTATCTTTTCTGCAGGGTAGTTGCATTGTTAAACAAATAACCTATCTGTTTTCTATTGGCTAGGTTCCAGTTATCTGCTATCGACACGTGATAGATTACATAAGCCCTCCCAAACCCGAAAGTAGGATATTTGTAGCTGACTGTTTCAATGCACATGGCCGTTCAGTGAATGTATATCTCAGGGGATATCTGTCAATTTCTATTAAAAGTTTCGATCAGATAGACCACAATATCGTCGAGCCAACGTTGATCAGGTGTCAAATACACTCAAACTACTAGATAAATAAGCTAATGAGAACTATAAACTCTTCTCCAAGGTTGAGGTGGCTGATCCAATGACTAACTAGAAATCTCATCGTATAGTAAGTAACATTCTACTCCTTCCTATTACCTACACTAACAAGATAATGGTGGTATTACTGTCATCTGCCACATTACGTGGCGAAGTTATCCCGACAACCACTAGGCATTAAAGTATGTAGAGAATAATTCTTGGGTCCAGAATCAGTAAGACCCAAGATACCAACTGCCAAGAGGAGGGTTCCAAGCTCTGGGATGGTATATTTGATTCTTTGGTGTGATTTTATTTTGATAGTTTCAAGTATTTCCTATATACCAACCCCGACCACATTCATCCCCTCAAGCTGGGGTTTCTGCATTTTCAGGATCTGCCCAGTCCTCCTCAGTCAACTGATATAGTGGTGCCCCCAACTCCCCATCAACACGATATTTCTCGCCAATTCCTCTTTCCCAAAACTCATCCAACATACCCGCCTGATCCCAATCCATAATCAAGTCTGTTATCCATTGACCATCTGCCTCGACGCGACTTTCGCGGATGATATTGAGTTTGTAGTCCACATATAGTAGCCGCAGATGATCAGTCTCGAAAGCCTCCTCATCAGCGATAAGCATATATGCTGCTGTAACATCGCGCTGCATGGATGACGCCATATTTTCGATATATTTCTGCTTATCTTCCTTCCACTCTTCGAAATGTTTGTGCTCACGCAAAGCGTCCTTGAATTGGGGCAGCGATAGATCACTCGGTTCCTGCTTTCGTACACCGCTGCCATCCATAGGACCGGCAGCTTCGGGCATGATTTCGTATATGCGATGCCAGTCAGGGCCGAAATTAAACAAAGTTGGATCATTGAGATATGCCCAGTCGAGACGGTCTTGCAGCATTTCTGATGCATGAGCCCATTCTTCTATCTTTTCATCATCCATTGATCTCTGGGGAGGGTCTGGACTATAGTGAGTCCGGAGAAGAAGAGGGTACTCCTTATTGGAGTATAGGATTTCCCATGCTTTTTTGCGCAGGGAAAGAGGCCGCCATGGTTGAAGAATAGTTTCGATTTGGGCAGCTGTGGGCTTGGTTTCAGGGTTTGGCTCCCCATCAACAGGAACCCACTGTGCAGGGAACTCGTCAAGATTGAGAAATTCGCTGATCAATTGGAGGCGTTGTTCCGCAGGAGATTCGGTTGCAGAGTCATTCCAATGTTGCTGTAAAATATGAGTAATTTGACATTTCTATTCCTGGTGGGAATTTACAATTAGGTATTGTTCAATTGGGAGAGAGCCCCAAGGCAGTTCTGGATCGTCCATGTTGATTGGGATGGCCGAGTTGGAGAAGGCCATGGCTGGGTTATTAAGGACATATATGTGGAGACCACAAGACATACTAGCACCATCACGTGACTCTTATGTGAGTTCGCCCCAAAAATGGATCCACTTTACAGCTTCCACTATCATGACCCACATGGCAGTCCAAAAAAGGTAAAAAATTGGATCTCAAAAAACGAACTTATCGTTTAACCGATCGAAATGCTTCTAATTTCTGATATCTAATCTATTGGCTCGTCCTGTTGGTTGCAAGCCTTTCAGTCCGTCTGAAATCCTCCTCCAGATCCCCAGCAATTTCATCCACCATTTCGATACCTATATCACCAAGTTAGAAACCAAGTCTCTTTCTGTTTCCAGAACCTGATAGAACTTACTTTCAACATGCCATTCTCTCTTGGTGTTGCTATTACTGTTGCTCTGGCCGTATGTCACCAGGCAGGTGGCCATATTATAATTGACATTCCAAGCTGTCGGATTGATTTTCGTCGGTTTTCCCGAGTCCGAGTCTCTCCGGCAATACGCATTGTAGGGCCCGTTGGTACCGGTGGGTAATTTGTATGTGTCGTCTTGGGCGAAATGGTTGACAGCACAAAGAATTGCATCCATGCCGGCTGGGCCTTCAGATTTGGGCTTTTTTATTGCGTGGCTTGTGGCTCCCCACCATGTGTCGCCGGTGATTTGGCTAGGGTCTTCATGGATGAAGATTGCCTTGTAGTCACGTTTGAACTTCCAGGACAGTTTATTGTCATCCTGGGGTTATGGGTTAGCATGATCTTTGGCTTGGGTCGGGTTGAGAACTAACCCTGGTAGGAACACCATCGGGAGGTGGTTGCTCGACAGGGTATTCCTTGAGGTCCTGTGTGTATTTGGAGTCCTGTGGTCCATGATCACCCCGGGTCGTCCATACTGTAAGAACAAAGTCAGCTTGTTCATGCCTATCGGTGTGGCTCATATGTACCTCCACTGCCTTTTCCTCCCCATGGAACCCAGTAGTCTTTTCGTTCATCATCGTTGGCAGAGTCTGGATCCAGTTTTTTCCAGTTCGATTGGAAAGCGCCCATCATTTCTAGGTTGTTAGCAAAAGGGCACAAGATGCAGATATAAGGATGGAATACTTACTGACACATTGGCCATGCCAGTTATTCTGCCACGATGGCACACATGTCTGACTCCGCATATTACTAGGCAGCCAATCACCTCCCTGCTCAGTGGACGCCCAGGGGAATTCATCACATTGCAGCTGAAGGCCCCTGCGGTTCAATGCCTTGTTCAGATCTTTGGTGGGGTCTAGGCATGTGCTGTCGGGACATTGGGTTTTGCGTCTGTCGTCCACTAGTTTGGAGTCGCTGGTAAATGTGAACTCCTCGATGCGATTTGCAATCTGCAGGATCGGTTGGCAAAGACCTGTCAACTCCTCGACTAGTGATGGATCGGATCCTTCTAGTTTGAACCCCCAGAGAAAGCCGCAGTTGACTGTGTTGTTAGAATGAGATGCCTGGGAGGATGGTGGATGACTTACATCGCAGCTCTGGGACCTGGAAATCACTGCTTCCTGGGGGACATTTGAGATTCTGGGTGAATTCGGGGTCGTTGGGATCATCTATATCCATCTCATCCGAACGATGGAACAGTTTCATATCAGTGCTGGTATGGAAAGACGTGTGGTTGGTCACATTTGTTGGGCTGTGATTCACAGAGGCTTCGGCAATCTTCCCATCACGCTTTTTCTCGTCTGACGCAGACATCGGAATTGTACCTTGCTTGTCGTACAGCTTCACAGTCCTGCGAGGGGAGTACGCGGTTCGTGCAGACAGTGCCCAATTAATAAAATTGAGCACCTTGGCCTTAGCCTTGAACCCGAGGTTATAGAACAGATAAGCCCCAAACCGATAATGAAAGGCGTCATCCGTGCTATCATAGTCACCATGTGCCTGGAACGAAAGATCTCCCTCAACATATCCAGTCAACTGTGCATCCATGAGAGTTGTGCCGCCAGTCAGCTTTCCACCACCGATTTTGATTCCAACGTTTGCTTCGGGGGTTACGATGACATCCAACTGTGCATCCACGCCGACTCCTGCATGGAATACAGGCTCGATGCTACCGGGGGCTGGGGACTGCGTGTCACTCTTGAGTCCGAGGAGTGTCTCGTATTTGTCTTTGGAGTCGTCATCTTGGGGCCAGTAAACTTCTGCCTTGCCGAAGCTGAGCATTGCTCCTGCTTGAACTTCTCCGTACAGCGTGATTTTGCCGCGGATCTAGTATTGTCAGTAAGGAACTATATATATATGTATATTGCTCTGTTATGCTTACCTCGCCATAAACATCCAACGTAGGTCCAACAGCCGCAATACCCTTGACAGCTAATCCAGGATAGGTCAGCGTGTCAACAATCTTCTTCCGGCCGGTAGTAGTTTGCATCTGAGCATTTCCTTGAATGTGAAGACCAAGGTATGCCTCAGGCTCCATCCCGAAATAAGCGAAAGCCTCTGGCTTACTGGGCGGAATAAAAGTTCCAGATAGATAGTAGGCATATGTCGCGTCCATGGCTAGGTCTGCTTCTAGGTCCATCTGCAGGTTGGCTCGGTACGTTGATCCGGCACAGCCCCATTGAGCATTGAAGAGGTTGATGGTTTTGCTCAGACCTAGCTCGATTACTCCGACGCTGGATTTTGTGACGGTCGTCTGTCTTGTTAGTCAGATATACGGAGGCAAGATGGGAGGGAAAATACCAATCTTTCCAACCACCCAGTAAAGGCACCCCACCAGCGCTTGTGATGACGCGACTCAGAGAGCTCCATCGGCGTCCTAACATGAACTCTCTGTTCCTCACGCTTCCGAATGTTGCTGTCTCGCTTGGTAGCACGCTGTACGCGAGATCGCCACTCAGACTTGGTAAGACCCTTCTCGCCCATTCCTCGCTTCATGCGACTGGCTGGTGAATCAGTCATCTCATCCCAGTAGCCGAGGAGGTTGGTGTAGTCTACCCGAATGTTGACTGGCTCGTCGTCACGCTTGAGTTTGATCGCGTGGAAGTTGTAGTCGATCTTCATTTCATAGACGTGGTTGTCGATCTGTTCAGTTGAACGATGATGCAAGTGGTGATCTGGCAGATCGAAATCCTCATCTGCCCGTTTCAACGATACCACTCGAGCGAATGGGCCCTCACCAACGTGATCTGGCAGTCGAATGATGGTATCCTCCGCACCGTCGATGAAGATACGCTGACACTCCCGAGAATTGGCAGGATAGTTGCAGTAGATATGAATTGTCTCCTCTGCATGATCAAACACCCCGTCCATATGGGTTTGGTTGGTGGTCAAGAGAGATCGTTTCGTGTTTGGGATATGTGGAGAACGGCGGACTACCGTGTGGGAATTCGAAAAGCTGTTATCAATCGAACCCTCGGGACCATCTAGCATCACGAACCCATATGCATCACTGCCATCCTCGTCTTCCGAATGGTCGTGATCCGCATCATTGTTGGAGTAATCGTCACTATACTTCCACACGACATCCGACGTCTTGGCATTGTCGTAGTATTTATCCCATAGATATTTCGGATCAACCGGCCAGTTCTTGTTATATTTTGTTGGCGGATCACAACAGAACGACCACTCCTGCTCGTGATACGAGTCAACAAGCGACGCACACTGTTCCTTCGTGATTGCCTGACTGGACAGCTGGGCTGGCGGATCAAGAGCACCGGCCACCTTGACCTTTCCAGATGGACAGGAGTGAGGAACGCAACTCAGCTCCAGCCCTTGGCTGGGATCATCATTCAGTCCGGCAACATTGGCCCACGCACAATTGCTAAAGCTGTGGTCGGATGGACAGCACAGTTCGCTTTTGAAGCGGTCATGTAGGTCTGAATTGTACAAATCAGAACAATACGGCTCACCATCTGGCTGGTCAAATCGATAGGTCAGTGGATCATAATCATCTGGACATTTGCCTGGTTCTCCTGGATTAAGAGGCCCATCGCAGCCGTTCCAGTGACAGTCCGAGAACATGGCGGTTGAATCGCAGCACAGCCAACGGGCTCCGATATAGCACTGTCCTTCCCCCTTTGCATCGAGTGCGGTATCCTGGTTCAGCTTGAACTGGTCGTTTCCGCATGCTCCATCACATCCGAATTCACTGCGTTCAGGGGCACCATTCCACTCGCAGTTCTTGGGCATCGCGTCCTTCGGGCAGCAGATGTATCGATACCACCCTTCATCACAGTCACCGTGTCGTTCTTTGAAACCTGCCTGGAGGGGGTTGTGTGCAGTGTCCACTGAGAGGTATCCAGACGGACACACCTGGTCTGGGTTCTTCTCCCCTTTGGATCCATCCGTGCAGCGATCAGTCACGAAGCATTTCTGGCCGGTGTAGGCTGCAAAGGTATCGGCGAGGACCTGCTTCCCTTCACCACCGTCTCCACCCTCTAACTGCATCGAGGAGAGATCCTCCCCAACCAGTCCAGAGAGCGCATCGAACTCGCCATTGTCCTGGTTGATGGCCCAGACCATCCAGCCACCGAGGCATCGTTTTGACGCAAACTCCTTCTTGTCTTGGAAAGACTGCTGATCGTCGTACGAGATCCACTGCGTCCCTTGATACACGTTATATTTCACCGTGGTCTCCTTGTCGTAGTACGTGTTGACATCGAGAGAACTGTTTCTGGAACTGATCTCAGCATAGGATAAGATCCCGGTTGTATGCGTGCATGAGCCCGGCTTGCCACCACCACTGAATTCACACTTTCCGTTTGGTTGATGACAACTGGGATCTTTCATGGTGAAGGAGCGACCATAAAACGCAAACCCAAAGACAACCTTGGAAGCATCGATGTCATTTCGCCAGAGTAAATCCAGCCCCTGTTCGATCTGCGTGATATCCGTATGGCCCTCTAGATACGGACCGGTATAGTCACTATTCTTATCCCACATGCCATGAAGGTCATAGCTCATGAGATTGAAATAGCTAAGATACTTGTTCATACCCTCGACGTCAAATCCACGGAGATACCAGTAGCTGGTAGGGACTGTGGCGGAGATTTCCCAGCCGGGATTGATGTTGTCGAAAGCCTCACGCAGCTCTGCCAGCAGAGTCACAAAGTTGGCTGCATCGTCAGGATCGCCTCCACGGTCAGAGGCCGATGGATACTCCCAATCCAAGTCGATTCCGTCCAGGTGATAGTTGGACAGATACCTGACGACGGATGTGATGAATATCTGGCGGTTTTCATATGAGCGGGTCACTGTGTCTGTTAGTATCACTATATGCAACGTTATTTTTGAGCACTTACTCGCTGTCCACAAAGGCTGCGTGGGAAGATCACTAAATACCCAACCTCCAACGACGATGTTAACCCGGAGACCTGGATTGTTGAACTTGAGAAACGAGACACGATTTACGATATCTCCATAGTCATCGACGAGTTCATAGCCATCGTCAAAGTTCACAAACGCCAGATTGATGTGACTAAGAGGCTCAACAATGAGAGACTCTGGTTCGAGGACATTGCAGCCGTCGTCCACGTTGTCCAGGACATAGTATCCGATTCGTCGTTCGAAGGACATTGCATCTGTGTCGACTGAGCATGAGGGGCGACTACTCGATTGAAACACACCAGTCAATGGACGATAATCGACACGCATCATAGGAGGAACTCACTCAGGATCACCGCATCCGCCTCCATTAGAATTAGGCTCACAGCCATCACCGCAGAATCCAGATGTGATACCGCAGTATCCAAAACCACTGTACCAATCAGCAAACACTCAAGCCCCCGTCACCACATGACCAAGAAATCTCACCTGCAGCAGACATTAATCGGACAGTCGAAATTCTCGGGTGCAGCATATTGCCCACACTCCGCAGTGGCATTGCAATTGCTCTTACAACCATCTCCGCAGTGGTCCGGGGTGAATCCGCAGGAACCCTCTTTACTGCAGCAGCCTTGGTAACAGGGGATTGAATCTGAACATGTTCCTCCAGGCTCTCCCAGCCCTTGGGCGATGGTGAATGCGGCTTGAAGCCAGACGGCGCCGATGGCCGCTGCTCCAAGGGTATGTAGTAGTTTCATTGTCGTCGCGTTAGACAAGCATAATTGTAGAATGAGTGGCTGGTACAATAGAAAATGAAAGGAGTGTTAAGATATCTTGATCTCAAAAACGAAAGTGAATAGGTTGGAAAAAAGAATGTATCGCACAACTCAACCTGAGGGAAAAATTGACATGGAATCACAGAGCTTTATCTCAAAAACCTCTAATTTGGAAATTACCAGTCCTAATTATTCTCGCATAATGCCATTATTGTAAGCTCTACACCGATTCAGCTGAACACCGCCAGCGTCCCTGACATCCTATCAATGACAACGTACTATGCAACTCGCTATCAAGGCCCTGACACTTAGCATATCTTGGCATGTCCACCGGCTCCATCGCATAGAAAACTCTGATCGTCATTAATATAGAAATCAAGCAAATTTAAGCCGCGAGTTTTTCCAAGACTTTTTAAGTTATGGCCCCCAAATCCCCACTTTTTCCTCAAATTGGGAAAACAGTCGAACTGCAACCATAATGCAGTGTGAACTGTGGAGCCATATAATTAAGCTAACAGCAGCGTTGATCCGATACGCTGATAGATGCTTTCAGGACTGAAACATGAGGGTCAACAGCCCCACACGTTGTCTTTGCTGAGAAATCCGATGTGATTGTCCCCTGCATTAGCGCGGTGGATCATGGGCCCTGTTGTTAGATTGGGATGGAGAATATATTGTCGGATTTGAGCGACAAACACGAGGTGTGGACTGATTTATGGGTGTTATCAGTTGCGTTTCGAGCCGATTGGTCCGGTCATTTACCGGCTGGATAAGTGCAATTTGGGGGCTACGATGGTTATACGAGTCTGGGAGTTTTTCTTTACTTCAATCTAGTTCCCAGGTCAGAGAGGAGGTCAGTAGGAACTTCAGTCAACCGACATCATGGTGCTGGCAAAGTGGGCAGATATTTTCCTGCTCGCCGTGTCCCTCGGACAGGGCGCAGCTGCCATTCAGGTATGGAACAGCACAGATATCACTTCCACTGCTGTGCCTTCAGCGTGCAAGGACGCATTAACCTATAACATCCTTTGCTCGGGGGATTTGGTTACTACGCAAGATGCCATGAGACAATCTGCTCTAGAGCAAGATGCAGCTAGGGAGTATTGTACCCAGGAATGCCATGATTCTATCCAGACATTCCAGAAGAAAATCAACTCTGGCTGCGGAACAAAGCAGTATGAGTTATATCAGAATGATACTACGAAGACATCGCCTGCGATGTTTGCTGATGGTCTCATGTGGGCATACAGCCTGACTTGTATTCAGGATTCGTGAGTATTTGAGTGATGATGTATTCTGCCAGAATGAAAGCTAAGATGTACGTGTACTATGAACAGATCGGACTTCTGTCTGAAAGAGCTCTATGGCCGCAACAGGACAGCCTGTTCAGACTGCACGATGAAATACGGAGCCGTCATGGTGAGCTCCGATTATGGTCGAAGAAAACTCCCACCGAAGGCCTATTCATCGCTTCAGTCATCGTGCGGTGTTCCAGCTTCCAGCTATCCCTATAATTACACACCTTTGCCTACTGGAACGCCGGTATCAGGTACACCTACTGGATCAGCATCTGCCACTTCGACACCCACCTGTGCTGGACAGACTTACGTCTCCCAAGGCAACGATACGTGTCATTCTATATCCAAGACTCACTCGATTAGCACCGATCGGCTGATTGAGGCCAACCACCTAGACTATGCCTGCTCGTCTCTGTCACCGGGAACTGAATTATGCATCAAGGATACCTGTACTGTGTACACTGTACAGTCGAATGAGACCTGTCAGGACATTATCAGAGGACAGTCCTTTGGACTGGTACAGCTAATTGGCTGGAATCCGTAAGTGATACTATCCTTTATCCATCATGATTCTTTCTAAACAGAGGCAGAACGATACATCAAAACTGCGATAATCTCGATTCAATGGTCGGAAGATCTATCTGTGTTTCGTAAGTCCTTCGCGATCGACTTGATATATATATCACGTTCTAACAGGCCACTTCAGCCCCCCAGGAGGAGGTGAATTTACTCTACCAAAGAATAGAACCTCCTCATCAAGAGGCCTTGCATCCTCTATTGTTAGCTCTTGGATTCCAGGAGAAACAACCATGATGTCCAACATCACAACTTCATGGTACTCGCCTACTATCAATACAGACTACACACAGCCCCTGCAAACCCTCACCATGAACTCGACCCTCGCAAGTCTGTTGGCAGAGAGAACCCAGTATTGCTGGATCGACTACGCCGATAATGACTACGACGAGGATATCCTGGTTCCTGATGATCTGGCTCAGAACTGCCAGACCCTGTACTCTACATATTGTGATCCGGAGCCTACGGCTCCCATTCCTAGCTCGAGGCCGGCTATTCCGCCCAGCTGCACGCCAACGGTTCCTAGTACCACACCAGCTTCGTCCACACCGTTGAAACCAAGCAGTACCGTCATTACCACCCCATCTCCTATCCAAACCGGCATGACGCACGGATGTACCAAATTCCACAAAGTGCAGGAAGGAGAACCATGTCAAGACATAGCTGACGATAATGGAGTCTCGTTGGCCGACCTTATCTCCTGGAATCCTGCCATAGGAAGTGATTGTCGAACACTTCAGTACGACTATTACGTCTGCGTTGGCAAACCCCAATCCACGACGACGCCATCCCCTACCAACGTTGTAACTCCTACACCAACCCAGACAGGCATGGCAGACCATTGTAACAAATTCCACAAAGTGAAACAGGACGAATCGTGCGAGACAATTGCAAACGACGCCGGAATCTCAAGTGGAGATCTTATATCATGGAACCCAGCTATTGGAGACGATTGCAGGACGCTCAAATATGATTTCTATGTTTGTGTGGGTAGATCATATAAGGCCTCCGGTTCTACTTCTGCGTCAACGACTTCTAGAACGACCAGCACTGCATCTACCACCACTAATACTACTGGTGCTACGCCAAGTCCCACACAATCGGGCATGGTACAGGGGTGTAAGACATTCCACATGGTGAAGCAGGGCGAGTACTGTCAGCAGATTGCAGATGATTATAATGTCTCATTGAATGACCTGCTTAACTGGAACCCAGCTGTTGGACAGAATTGTGAAAGTCTTAAGTATGACTTCTATCTGTGTGTTGGAAAGTAATGGCATGACAGCATGGGTGTCGGGTATGTCATGGGTAGATCAGAAAAAATGTTATCTACTTTGCTGTTGTTCTGCTCTTGATATTATGCAAAATCAAGATTATAAGGACTTGTCAAGTAGAAACAGTATAGAAAGAAATTGGGCGCAAATTGTTCTCATGTTGCAGTCTTCTGCTGTATATATTTCTTTCAGGTCCAGGCTAGATCCCGCCGAACTTTCAAGCCAGAGAAAGTTGGAAGTTGGACTCGACTCGTGTGACACGCTAAATCTATATGGTCTATGTAAGTGATTTATGCAAGGCAAGGGCTTTCCAAAGTAACATCAAGAACTTTATTATTATTGACATCATACAGGTTGGTATAAGCACTTAAAGCAAAACATAGTCATAAGCCATTAACCCATTTCTTTCTACTCTCCATGACCTTCTTATTTGCAGTGCTGTTATAAAGTTAGTATCTATATAAATCATACTCAACACACTAGAGCTTACCTTCAAGTCCGTGATGACCTCAGTGCACTTCAGGCCTGGGCAGCAGGCACCCTTTGAGCCGCCTGCACCAGTCCAGCAGACTCCGTCTTTGGCAATGCATGCTTTGGGGGTGAGCTCGCCAGCGGCAACGACTGAAACCAGAGCGGCGAAGATGATAGAGAGCTTCATGATGACTGATATTTTTGGTTTGTTTTTTGAGGTATGAGGATGCGTTTATACTTGGAGGTTTGTTGATTTGAATTCGAGTTTTGATGGTGCTGAATGATGCAGCAATACTTGATTACTCCATGGGCTTTTTATACCTCAAGACTGTCTATATAGAATAGAATCTGACCAAGACTTCAGAGTGTCTCTCCCACACCTGGTGGCCTGAAATGCAGGTTCCTGTACAGCTGACTGTTTACCTACGTGGATACCTTTCTATCCTGCACATAGCCTCCTGCGCCAGAAAAAACCAAGTACATCGCCTTCCACAACACACCTAGATATTTCTCATGTTTAAAGTCAATAAATGTTGCCAAATGTTGTAGATTCAGGATTAAAGCCCCAAATCTGACCATCTTACTCAGATCAACGCATTTCCAGAAATTAGATTGGATTGTCGATCCCCCGCATTCCGGCCTTATCCCATGCAAGCCATAAAAGGATTGAACTTCCCCACTTCTTGGTTTACAGATGACCAATCCTTTTAGTCCTGTATGTATAAGAGGGGTGTGGAGATTATCATGTAGTGGCTTGTTGTTAAGCTAAGCCCCCCGAGTACGGCCCCCATATCTACTTCAATGGCTGTGACTTGAGCATTGCCCCTCTTGTGATATCATATAAGTCCTGGGATAGATATTTTCTTAGATTTTCGATAATATTGCAGAATTTATTTTTAGCAGGGCTGGGTCAAGCAGGTGAACGGCAGTGTGGTTTTTACTGAATGCCGACTGAATAGGGAAGTGAAGTGCCCACAAAGGATGCAGAGCTGGGCGACTACCGCCATACCTAGGCAATGTTATTTTTAGCCTTTTGATATTCATATTTCTGATATTCTTCTGGCATTCTAATTTATGACGTAGAGATTATGGTAAGATGACAGTTTTGCTTATTCGTAGTTGTCAGTACATGGTAGCCTGTAGCCGTAGTCAGATATTATGCAGATTACCTAAGGACATTCTATGCAGCCCATGTGTAACATCTGTGATTTGTTGATGTAGTGATTAGCACAGCCATGTCAACACGTCACCCTGCCACATTCAACCCCCATCAACAATGGAAACCCGTTTCCAACCCTTACCTCCTGAGAATCAGGGCATTAAGCTTGTGACAATTCTTCCCAGCATACTCCAAAGCAGCCCCGCGAAATGCCATCTTCAAGTTGTACCTCTAGCTACCGTCCCCCCATTCGAGGAACTCTTCTATGTTTGGGATGATGATCAAGACGAAAAGCAGATTTATGTCGACAACTCTGCCGTTACTATCACTAACAATATCAGGATAGCGCTGCTTCATCTCTGGTAAAAGTAGAAACCCCGCGTGATGTGGATTGACTCTCTGCATCGACCAGGAGGACATAGCAGAGAAATCATACCAAGTCCCCATTATGCGTCGGATATATTCCAGCGCGAGTTGAGTTATCGCATGGCTCGGATGATCTAATTTTAGAATCATTTTTTTTATCGGATGGTATAAGCATTACGTCGAAGAAACATACACATTTGACTCGATGTGCTGGCGGATATTAACTCGCCTGGCTGGCTTGCTGAAAATAGCTCTGGCTTACGCTGAATTGGGATATGATGATGTTGCGTACGCGCCATATTGGTCGCGAATGTGGACGTTCCAGGAATACTACCTGCCTGAGAAGTTGTCGCTATGTATGTGTGAGGGCCTTCAACTCGACAGACAGGGTCTTCCACGAAGCAGCAGTCTATTATATATCCAAAGGGTCTATGTGTCCAAGGTTTTTGGAGCTATCCCTATTCCGTGAAGATTGCACCAGAAATACTACCAGACTTAACCGCAGAACGGCGGAGAAATGATATGAATCATCAGGATATACCATGGCAGGTGGAGGGAATGTCAGATCACTTGAGATACCGTCCTAAGGTGACGAGTGACCTCTCGAAACTACTCCTCTAGGCTAATTGCCGTGTTGTATCTCGCTTCACGGACGACACTTGAGAAACAATACGACATGGCCATAAATTCAGTCGAGGATGAAACCTGGAGCTGCGTTTATGATCATAGCAGCTTATGGGAACGATTTCTGGCTACCTGTTCTGATGAAGAAAAATCTTTTGCGAGTTTTTCTCCAAAGCAGATAATGGAAACCTTTCATCAATGGTTGGAAGAGTTGGCATCAGAAACGAAACACAAGATCAGAAAACAAGCAGTTGATCATGGATTTATAGCTACCTTGTGGAATCTTGCTGGCAAGGTAATTTTTATCCTTGATGGACCAGAGGTGTCGATATTGGGTATTGGGGATAAGGGTATTCAGGATGGAGATGTCGTTTCTTCCGTCCAAAATGGCTCGAGCTATTGTTTTGAGGGGATAACACGCCACACAAGGTAGGATCAATGAAAATTCTACAAATTATTGAGTTATATTCAGTATCTTGCAGGTATCAGAGCTCTACGAAGCGCCCTTCACCGAGGGATTGGAATCAGCTTCGTTATCCAGTGGATGATAACTTAGAGAGGGTTTCGAATAGTGGCAACAATGACTAAGGGAAGTTTGAACGAAGATTGAAGATATTACAAGATCTACCCGGAACTTTAACCGTACTCTTGTAATCTCTTCAACGGGTATAATAAAAGTATCATACCCAGCAAATGAAAGAAGGGATTAGTATTGCCCAGTTTAGTTGAATTATACAGGACTCGTATTCGAGGAATTAGAATCTTAACCGCACACCCTTTATTGCTACGACGCTTCAAATGTAATATTCCAGGGTGGTCATATGAGGACAGACCCCTACAAGCTCTCCATCTATTAGACGAAAGGGTCAATTATGTTACATCGCATCAAGGGTTTAGGTAAATAATGACAAAAGGACTAAAGACGTTAATCCATAACCAATGGAATCTTCACTTTGATATTGTCTATACAAACCTGCCACAAAGGCCTCGGCCCGGCTAAATTGAGTGCCAACCCCGCTGTTTACCCCGCTTTGTCAATCTGCATGGAACTCCTTCGATGCGAGAGATGTGGACATGATGCCTGTAGGCTTTTCTGAACTTCTTACTTCATTTTTATAGCCCCAGGTATACATGTACGTCAAACACCTGATACCTTGTTTAGATAGCTACAAGTCTTATAATTAGTCATGAAACTTTGGGACAGCTTCTAGCTACTGGTTATTAGTAGAAATACTCAGAAGTACCGGACCATTACTTATTAAGATACTCAGGACTAGCCGTACGTCTCTCGCCACTCTTAGTCACTCAGTTTCGGATTATCAAGCCAAAAGTGGGGAACCGACCCCGCTTTCCCAAAATGGATCGGCACGGGACCCATATTCGTATTCAATTGATCATCATTATCATCTCTTCAAGGTCTAGAAAGCCAGTGTAGAAAGCCAAAGTAGTGTTACAAAGCCAATCACTGCTCTGGGTTAGTAACACGTGAGTCCAGTTCTTGATGGCATGTAGTGGCATTACCAATGGTCCGAGGGCCAGCCATCACAAGAAATCCATAAAAGCATGATGAATGCCGCGTCAAAGATAGAATTTCCTTATCATCACCATCATCATCATCATTATCATCATCATTATATGATAAGATAATAACTGGAATCACATCAATCTATCCTTCAAACTATGGCGGAATCACAGTGCCCATTCCGGCAGCAAAGGTCAACGGGCAATTTCGCTGGCGGAGGCACTCGCAACGAGGACTGGTGGCCGGAACAACTCAAGCTCAGCATCCTTCGCCAGCATTCGGCATCATCGAACCCTCTGGATCCCGAGTTCGACTATGCGTCTGCATTCAAGAGCCTCGACTACGATGCAGTCAAGAAAGACCTCGCGACTCTGATGACAGACTCGCAGCCTTGGTGGCCGGCTGATTTCGGCCATTACGGCGGCCTGTTCATCCGTATGGCCTGGCACAGCGCTGGTACCTACCGTGTCTTTGACGGTCGTGGAGGAGGAGGACTGGGACAGCAACGATTTGCCCCGCTGAACAGCTGGCCAGACAACGCCAGTCTGGACAAGGCCCGTCGGCTCCTATGGCCCATCAAGAAGAAGTATGGATCCAAGCTTTCTTGGGGCGACTTGATGATCCTGGCGGGAAATGTTGCCTTGGAAACCATGGGCTTCAAGACCTTTGGCTTTGGCGGTGGTCGCGTTGATACCTGGGAATCGGATGAGTCTGTCTTCTGGGGTGCGGAGACGACTTGGTTTCCATCGGGCAATGATGAGCGCTATGCTGACCGTGATATTAACACCCGTGAGCTTCAGAAGCCGTTGGCGGCCACGCACATGGGCTTGATCTATGTGAACCCCGAAGGTCCGGATGGCAACCCTGATCCCATTGCGGCGGCGCGAGACATTCGAGTCACCTTTGGTCGCATGGGAATGAACGACGAGGAAACCGTCGCGCTCATTGCTGGAGGGCACTCTTTCGGCAAGACACATGGTGCCGGGCCAGCCGACAATGTCGACCGCGAGCCTCATGCGGCCGACCTGTCAGAACAAGGACTCGGCTGGAGAAGTCGCTTTGGCACCGGCAGAGGTGCTGACAGCATCACCTCTGGCATCGAGGTGACCTGGACCAAGACACCCACCCGCTGGAACCACGACTTCCTCGAGTATCTGTTCAAGTTTGAATGGGAATTGACCAAGAGCCCTGCTGGCGCCAATCAATGGGAGGCCAAGAATGCCGAGGCGATCATCCCAGATGCCCACGATGTCACCAAAACCCATCGCCCGAAGATGCTGACCACCGATCTATCGCTGCGCTTCGACCCGACCTATGAGAAGATTTCACGACGCTTCTTGGAGAACCCAGATCAATTTGCAGACGCTTTCTCCCGCGCTTGGTTCAAGCTCACCCATCGCGACATGGGCCCCCGAGCGCGCTATCTGGGCCCCGAGGTCCCTAAAGAAGAGCTGCTCTGGCAGGATCCCATCCCCCCTGTTGACCACAAACTCGTTGATCAGGAGGATATTGCGAGCCTCAAGCGCACCATCCTGGCCACTGGCCTTGACTTGTCTGACTTCATTCGCACCGCGTGGGCCTCCGCATCGACCTTCCGAGGCAGCGACAAGCGCGGTGGTGCTAACGGCGCACGCATCCGTCTGTCACCACAGCGTGAGTGGGCAGTCAACCAGCAGCCCTGGCTCGAGAAGACCCTCGCTGCTCTTGAATCCATTCAAAAGGAATTCAACAACTCCTCCACCGACAAGAAGGTCTCTCTCGCAGACCTCATCGTCCTAGCTGGCTGCGCAGCCATCGAGCAAGCCGCACAAGAAGCCGGCCACACCATCACCGTTCCCTTCACACCCGGCCGCATGGACGCCTCCCAAGAGCAAACCGACGTCGAATCGTTCGGATATCTGGAACCCATCGCAGACGGATTCCGCAACTACGGCCGGTCCAACCCCCGGGTCCGCACCGAACAATACCTCGTCGACAGGGCGCATCTGCTCACATTGACTGCCCCCGAGATGACTGTCCTCGTCGGTGGCCTTCGCGCACTGAACAGTAACTACGACGGATCGAAATATGGAGTGTTCACCTCTCGCCCTGGCCGCCTTACAAACGACTTCTTCGTGAATCTGCTCGATATGGGTACGCAGTGGAAGGCCCAGGATGGCAATCTGGATCTGTATGAGGGGACGGACCGTGAGACTGGAGAAAGCAGGTGGACTGCCACACGGGTTGATCTCGTCTTCGGGTCTCATTCTGAACTGCGCGCGATCGCAGAGGTCTATGGCAGTGACGATGGGGAGGAGAAGTTTGTGAAGGACTTTGTGGCTGCATGGGATAAGGTCATGAATTTGGACCGATTTGATTTGGCTGCTTGTCATTTTTGAATGGATTGTTTAGTTAGTATCTCAGAATGAATATAGGCTATGTTTATAGTTACTTGATAATGCACATGTTTATTAACATATTATAACCCTAACATATTGAACCTGCGTAATGTAGTGATAATGCGACTAGTCAGATCAAACTGAATCTGTTTATAAACATCTTGTATCTCCGTCGGTGTCCGTCTATCTCTTCGGGATCATCTATAGTCTCTCCGACGTTACACCACTAGTGAGCCCCGCAGCGATAACACCATATAAAGAGCTCAATCAACGCAGCTTTTGTCTTCAAGCTGTCTTCCCTGTCACAATGCAATCTCTCTTATTTGCCACCCTGATTGGCGTGTTTTCCGCCCAGGCACAATTTGTGGCTCCTCCAAAAGGCTTGATCTCGACAAAAGGATACCTGGATACCCCCGTGCGGTACAAACAGGTCCCAACTGGCATTTGCGAAACCGATCCCAGCGTGAAGAGCTTCTCAGGCTATCTCGATGTCGGCCAAGATGAGCATCTTTTCTTCTGGTTCTTCGAGGCGCGTAACCAAGATCCCACCGAGGCCCCGTTAACCGTCTGGATCAATGGAGGCAAGCATCCCCCTTCCACCAAATCGTCTCATTCTAATTGCTGCAGGCCCTGGCTCATCCTCCATGATCGGTCTGTTCCAGGAAAATGGCCCCTGCGGAATCGACGCCAATGGCTCCGTCTACAACAACCCGTACTCGTGGTCCAATGCGAGCAACATGCTCTACATCGACCAGCCCGTCATGACCGGCTTCTCCTACAGCATCCCGGTGCCAGGCTACGTCGACTCTACTACAGACGACGTGATCACTCTCCCCTCGACCAGCTGCCCCGACTACGCAAAGGACCAGTCCTGCGGGACGTACTCGTATCCAAACGTGACGTTAACCGCCAACTCGACCACCAGCGCAGCCCCCAAGTTCTACCGCGCCCTGCAGGGCTTCATGGGCGCTTTTCCGCAGTACTCGCGCGAGACGTTCCATTTCACGACGGAGAGCTACGGCGGCCACTATGGGCCTGTATTTAACGAGTACATTGAGCAGCAGAACGCAAATCTCCCGACTGGCGCGAAAAAGATCCATCTGGGCAGTGTGATGATCGGGAACGGGTGGTACGATCCCATCATCCAGTATCAGGCGTATTATAACTTCACCGTCTCCCCCGGAAACACATACGACTACCTCCCATTCAACCACTCCGTCGCCGCCCTCCTCTACAATAACCTCTACGGCCCCGGAAACTGCTTCGACCAGCTCCGCGACTGTGCCGCGCGTGGCTGGAATGAAATCTGCAGTGTCGCGGATAACTTTTGCGCGAACCACGTCGAAAGCATCTACGATGAGTATACCGGGCGCGATGAATATGATTTCCGGGAACTCACGCCCGATCCGTTCCCGTATGGGTTTTACGTGGACTACCTGAATCGGGCTTCTGTGCAGGCGGCTATCGGGGCGTATGTGAACTTTACAGAGAGTAACAACGCGGTTAGCCAGGCGTTCTCAGCAACGGGCGACGATGGTCGACGTATGCGTACGACGGAGGATGTCGCGCAGCTGTTGAAGCAAGGGGTCACCGTGGCCATGTATGCCGGCGACGCCGATTACAACTGCAACTGGCTCGGTGGTGAGGCTGTGTCTCTGAAGGTCGGGGCCCCTCATTTCCGCAGTGCGGGCTACACAAACATCACCACGTCTGATGGCGTCGTGCATGGCCAGGTGCGACAGGCGGGAAGGTTTTCGTTTGTCCGCGTGTACGAGAGTGGGCATGAGGTGCCGTTCTATCAACCCTTGTTGTCGCTTGAGCTCTTTGAACGCGTGATTGGGGGTAAGGATGTTGCGACTGGAAAGGTCGTTGTGGGAGATGGTTATCACACGGTTGGGACAGTGAAGAGTACGTATCGAGAGGGAAATGGGACTGTTCAGTGGAGGGTTTTGGACTCGCTCGCCACGTACAACACGACTACGAACTCGCCTAATCCGAAGAAAAGGTCCAGGAGGTTGGAACTATAGGCAAATTATATACTCGTTGCAAGAGTGACAGTATATAAATGCTTGTTATACTCATGTCTAAATGTTCAATAGAAAACCTTCTATATAGATACATCAGGTTGGTAACTTAAAACTTAAGTACCGCCTTGCCCATGTTTCTTCCATAAAAGATCCCAACCAACCCCTCGGCCGCATTTTCAATGCCAACAGTCTCATGCGTCAGCGCCTTGAACGTTCCATCGTGAATCCAGCTTTGCACCCTCTTCTGGTGCTCCTCCATGTACACATCAGCAAATCCCGGATCAGCAACGATAAACCCCCTCATTTCAAGGCGCTTGGTGATGACATTGTGCATGTTCTTGATTGGGTATGGAGCACTGTTATATTCAGAGATCATCCCACACACAACAACCCGACCGAATGGCTTGATTGTGTCCAGGGAGGCTTCGAGATGCGCACCGCCGACGTTCTCATAGTATATATCCAGTCCTTGAGGGGCGAGGCGAGCCAGAGCATCTGCGGGACTCTCTTTCTTGTAGTTGAAGCCGCCATCAAACCCGAGCTCGTTGAGAATATAGTCCAACTTTTCATCCGAACCAACACTCCCAATGACAGTCAGACCTTCATGTTTCGCGAGCTGCCCAACAACCTGTCCGACTGCCCCGCTGGCAGCAGAAATAAAGATCGTTTCTCCCTTCTTCGGCTTGCCAATCTTATACAGAGACGAATACGCAGTCAACCCAGGCATTCCCAACGCACCCAGAAAAACACGCAGATCAAGACCTAGAGGATTCACCAATAGGCGGACGTTCGCAATAGCGCGTTCATCTAGGGCGATATATTCCTGAATCGGGATCTGGCCAATCACCATATCACCCTCTTTGTAGCTGTCGCTGTCGAATCGGATCACCTTGGCAATTCCAAAGGAGTCAATCGGCTCATTGATCTTGTACGCCGGGACATATGAACCGGTGGTTGCTGGTCTCATTCGACCACGCATGTAGGGATCGAAGCTGGCGTAGAGCGACTGGAGAACAATGCCATTTTTGGGTGTGGTGACGTCTTTATCGTATGCTGCGCTTTCGGCAGCAAGGTCTGTACCGGGGACTGGGTATGCCTTTGGTACGGCTTTGAATATCAATGCTTTGTTGGACATGGTGGATTGGTTGAGAATAAAAGATCTTGTAGGAATGAGATGGTCAAGAGCTAGACTGGAAGACGGGATACTTTATATCAATCAGGAAGCACTAGAAGTCAGGACAAATCGGACCCGGAGGAACAAAGGGTTGTATACCGGACGGTTTATTCCCCCGATTCAAAGAAGATGGGAAGTTCTCCACCATGATTATTTGATCAGCCAGAAAGTTGGTACAGATAGTAACGCTCTGTGGCTCGCAACCATGTGCTATTCTTAGGGAAGTTGGGTCTACCCGATAACATATTGACTTCGCTTTGAACGAGTCCGTTACTTTACATCGATCCAAGTGCAGTGGATAGTTATCTCTGGGCAATATCACAACGCAGATGGACCTAACTACAGCCAGCTATTCCATGTATAGATTGGTATATTGTGTTTAGTTCTCGACATTTATTCGAATAACATTTGCCATAGCACCAGCTGTATGGTCTATATACTGTCCTTCATCTCCAGCACTTCCTGAATCTCATCGGCCGCCTTTTCATGAATCGCTTGCCGAAGATTCTTCATCTCCTCTGTCTTGGCCAGATGATCCCAATAGTGCGGCACATCCTCCGTAACCTCCCAATCAACCTGCTTTCCTAAAGCCTTGATCCGAGCAGCTGCAGTCTTCCCCTCCTCCAGCAACGGGTCCAAACCAGCCAGTTTGAAGTGTATCCGCTCTGGGAGGGCGATTTTGATCATCTCAGCCGGAGCAAGCCCCGGAGAAATGTAACTATGACTTTTATCCGGTATTTTCTGGACGTTCCAAAAGTAGGCCCTGTCCAAAGTCGAACCGATCAGCTTGGAAGAGGAAATGGGCTTCTTCTCAAGCGCAGCAAAGCTCGGGTTCGAGGCAGCCCGCTCAGCACGACTCCTTGTTAGATCCATTGGCGGATAAAATGCCGTAATCCCTTTCACCGTACCCAGTGCTACACGGTCAATCCGTGGATGTCCATCTTGCAGCGCCTTCCAAAGCATGAATTGTGAGGCAAACGCCATGGTACCACCAACACTGAAGCCGGTGATATACGTGCGGTGTTTGTCCAGGCGCATGGTGGCGGCATTTTCCCAAATGTAGAGAAGAGCATTAAGACAATCTTCCAGCGGGGCTGGATAGGGATGCTCCGGCGAGAGGCGATAGTTGACTGCTGCGACGACGGCGCCGCGCGCTGTCAGTGTGGCAATGAACCGCTCGTCATCTCGGGCGTGTCCTACACACCAGCCTCCTCCATGAAGAACGACCACAATGGGGTATTGCGCATCTTTGGCAGTCTCGTAACCGGGAGGATGATAGAAAAAGATGTCGAAATTCCCGGGTGAAGTGAGAGTTACTAGGATGCTTCTATTAGAGCTCGGAGTAATTGATAAAGCAGGATATCTTTTTCGATCCAGATAGGCAAGAATCCGAGTTGCCCATCTCAAGATGTATACCTTCACGTAGAATACAAGGGAATCAAATGCCATGGTGTGTAATTCTACCCAGCTTGTATGGGGCGTGAATTCTCAATCATGATGTCTGCACCAGTGGACCTCCAATTGTCTCTATATCATCCAATGTTCTGTGCCCGATCAAATGTCCCGAAACGTTGATGATATTATCAACATCTCTTGCCGAGGTAAGAGATTCGGATCCACCGGATAGTTGTTGCTTAGTTGCGAGCTTCATCTATCGGAACAGAGCCGATGGGTTTATTTCATTTCCAGTAATAATTTAATACATGGTTCGATTGTGAACGGAAACGGCAATTGGTATGACCTTGCGAGGCGGACAGACTGTTGTCCCGGCTAGGTGGCGTTGCCTATTTACATTAATTATACCTTGATTACTAAAATTGATTTGAATGCACAACGGTGAGCTAGGAACTGAGAATCAATCATCAGCATCTCCATACGTTTTACCAGTCTTGCCAGTACTGCAGGAAGTTGAGAAGGTCCTGGTTGACCTCATCGATATTGGTCTTGTGTGGATGGCGTGAGACTGGGGTAAACTTTCAATGTTCCCTACCCACGCATGGAAGCGCAAGGCATCCTCAGGAAACCTAATAAACTTACTTGACAACAAACTTGTCAAGACATACCGAATAATCAGCCTGCTGAAGGTTACTTATATTAAATAATCTTTTTATCCTAGCTATTCCAGGTACACAAAGAAGAAGAAAAAAAAAAATCACATTTTCAATATATAAAAAAACTAAAACCAGAATAAATATACAACAGCAGGGATTCACTGGCGGTCAACCACCCAACTACTAACTTGCCGGCGTGTGGCTTGAATGCGGTTAATACCTAGGTAGGTATCTCTGGGGTGAGCTAGAGGGTAAGTCTGCTTTTTAGTTATATAACTAGGATATAGGTTACCTTAGCCATGTATGGGGTAACCTAGCTATATTTAGTATATACTTTTATGTAACTCTACTGAGAAAGCTTAGGTCACCTCAGCTATTAAATTAGGAATAAATTTAGTCATATTTTTATCTATAAGATTACTGAAATCTTAGAGTCTTTGGGTCTTTAATTTTAGCACAGAAGTGATTATAATACCGGGAAAAGTACGTCTTAAGTTTATTATATTATCCTGTAAGGTTTATAGCCCAATTAATGTACATAGTCTTAGGATGGTATTCCCGGATTTTAAGGGTAGAATATCAGCCATTTTCTGAATATGGGATGGTTAGGGAGCTGCACCATGTTGATCTAGGGATAGGATCCATTGTACAAGCGATGATTCTTCGTTTCGAGTTAGTTTATAGTAATTTGCGCGTAGGTCACCCCGAAAATTATGTCCCTGTAATCGCTATTGGAGTGTTGTATGGGAGACATTGAAAACAAATGCTGTTTCACGAATACTGCGGGGTTCTATTTCTTTAATGCAGAGAAATAGCCAATAAAATTCTTCCAATTGCATTATCCAATTTTGAGCGATTTGACGCGATTTTGGTGGCATAGCGATGGTTTGAATAGCCTCAATTAATTCAAACGCGCTGATGGCGAGGGAGGCGCCCCCCTGGTTTGTGGATTACGTTAGGCTTCTATTCTAGAAGCCGAGTGCCTGGCCAGGAGTCATCTGACAGTCAGCATCTTCTAACACCATATCGGGAGGACGAATTCACCTTTTTGTCATTTATCTATGCCCTAACCTATTCAATTTAAAGTCAACCATAATGATCAGCATCATGTAAGGACATGTTCATTGTGCACTGCATAGTGGTTGAGTCTTCCAGGAGTTGCTGGAGAACACTTTGAAAATTGTCTAGCATGATGTTATCGGTAAGGCACCTGAAGACGAGAGCAAGCTTCCAATAAGGATTAATCCTAGAGGTGTTAGCAATGAACTTCATTCATAGAGAGGCTCGTCTACCCGTAAGTAATGCTCAGGCTAGGTAGAATGCTTGCAAGAATATCCATGATAGTAAACGCGAGTGCCATGCACATTGCTGCAAAAAGGATGCTAAACCGTGGATACTGAGCTACCACCTTCACAATATTCAAGGAATAGCACCTTTGAATCATATAAATCAGTGTTAAGCAACTGAACAACCACCAAGGATCTCTAAGTAACGTCTCATATGGTCGTACATGCTCATAGAGTCTGGAAGTGTTGCTGAAGAAACGAAAGTTGTTAAACATCTGAAATATTAGGACCGGAGCCGACATAGCAAGTGTGGTGAGGTATATCCACCTCACCCAGTTGCAAAAAGTGGGTCCAAAGAAGACTTGAGGGCCAGAAAAGAAGGGTGCAATTTTCATCCACGCAATAACATTATGTGTGAAGTAGGAGCAGTATAAGAGCGCGGCTGTGGATGAAAGATACCACCCATAACCTCTGAAAGACATGAAACAAAACGTGTCATGACTCATAGCTAAGATAAGCTATTCATAGTCAGCAAAGACCTCCTCGGGACTATAAACCATACTTCAAGCAAGATCAACTTGTGCAATAAAACCTTTCGTCTCATATTCGCAATAGTAATCACGGACATGATTAAGAGGGCGCCAAACATGAAGCCCTCCCCCCATGCCTCAAGGATCAGCACCTCTGCATTGCCTGTTGATCGCCAATCTCCAAAAACAGTGTTGTTATCTTTGTCAGCCTGTGGCGAGACCAAAAGACGGCTCTCTATTGTAGCAGAGGGCGGCATCGTTCGTGAAACCTCTTATGTCCCATAAAAAAAAAATAAAGGAAATGTGACGAAGCCTTGGGAGTGATCCCGGGTCGAACGGCCCCTAGTGCAGATCTTGGTGGTGAATAAAATAAAGGAAAAGAATCAGACACCAAAAACTAAGCACCAAAGGAGTTCCTTTTCATGGAAACCAGGAACATGTCTGACAGGTGGGTAAAGAACTTGTGTCTTTACAGTTGAATCATGTTTCCTGCTCGGTGGCTGGCAAGAAGATGAAGAAGGATCAAGATATATAGTTGTTAGATAGGAAGATGATAGCTGAGTTACAGAACTAATCTGTTAATAGGTAGCAGGTGTGACGTGATTGAGGGTGAGCATTCAGCAAAATTCAACTGACTGTGTGACATTTCATCGCGTTGTGGAGGTGGCAAAAGGGGTTAAAAGTTAAAAAGAAATACTAAGTTAAGTTTTTCAATCCCCGCAATTACATCCTTCATCATCTAACCCCAGTATTTTTTGTAATTGTGACCACATTTACACACAGCATAATAAGTCAATTGGAATAAAGGAGGTCATGGTAGGTTAATGTAATTGCAACGAGTGGGATACCAAAATTATTACTCTTCAACAGATTATTGCCATGCTATTAAGATTGTGGTGGTCAAAAGAGAATTTTTTCTTTTTTTTTCTTTCTTTTTTTTTTAAAAACCCCCCCCAACACGTTCTCTGATGTCAACCACGCGGCCCAAATGAAAACTACAAAAGTATGGCGAGAAACCCTGTCCCATGGACCTATGACTGAGATTAGGCAAAGCTTGTCTATGGGGATGGAATGGTTGATTCAAGCTGGAGGTCAGTGGCATTTCTAATCAAGAGTCACATCAGGCGAAAGTGGGCCTTGGGCTCGTGTTTGAAGTCACTAAGCCTATGTAGGAAATATCACATGACCATACTCCAATTTTTTGGTTTTTCTCTACTCTGTGTGAGCTTATTCTTGTCTTACTGTAACTTTCTTATTATGTTCTTTCCTTCCCCTCCGTGCCTGGCCATCTTAAAACTACTTTTTCACTAGTTCTGATATTACTGTTCTATTATTGCCATTAACCATATTGACTAGAGACCTATATATAAGTAAAGGATATTAATTATATAATAACTAGTCACTAACCAGCTCTACACACGGTTATAACTGGTCCAGACGTCACATGAGTGAGTTGTATTCCAGATCCCGGTTCGCCATGCGGCTCACACGTCCCATCCATGGTTTCAAACAAAATCACTTTTGGTACCTATCCACTTCCCCGCGCAGACAGTCTTTGAATCGTAAGCATTGCCGTTTTCTAAATGCCTCATGATTTATTTGACTTTTCTTGAACCTAAATCCCGTGCCCAACTGTATCTGTAGACTACTAAAATAAAACCGCCCGATGAGGCCGTCCCAACGCCCCGAATAGGATGCCGGTGTCATCTGGGGATGAAAATTCGGGCGGGAGCGAGACCATAATCTTTATGCTTTCCTGGAGAACGCCACCCAGGACTCGGGGCAACTGCGAGCCAGTGGCTACGCAACGTAACCATTTATGGAAGATTGAAACCTTCCCCATGCTATGCTCGGCTGCGTTTCCCCCAGGTCTTCACGCGCGGAGATTGGCCTTGATCAGCCTCGGGAGTCTTACGTCTGTCGCAAAGAAGAAAAAGAAATTCGCAGGTTGATTATTGACTCCTCACCACGTGTGGTTCTGGAACATCCTGGACATGGCTTTTGTGTTGTCAACTAGTATATACGAGATGGACAGGGAGAGCAATAGTCGTATTGGACCTATCTCAACTGGTTAAGCTTTTGGCTATAACTGATCCAGGAATTCTTGCAGCATCTCCATATTTTCCCCATTCGTGGGAGAGGCAGAAGCAGATGGTGTAGGTTTATGATGGCAGCCGTCCCGAGTATTTATACCGTGTCAAGGTCCTCGGTGATTTACAACTTACGGCTTTGACCATTTCCTGATCTCTTAACAAATATTTTGATGATAACTGGTCTCAACCCGTGAGAAAAAGCGAGGTAGATCTTGCCTGCTTCCTCTAAGCTACCTAGGTAGCCAACACCAACTGTTCTCGCATTCAGGATGGACACCATCAACCCTGATGAGAAGGTCAGCAAGGCTGATATGACCACGCATGTCGTCCGCGAGTTCGTCTCCCCTTGTTGAAGAAGAGCACAGGTTCTAACTGACACGTCCAGCATTGAAAACCCACTTGTCGGCATCCCTCAAGACCGCCTGCTGCAAGAGGTGGAGGGGTATGCTCGCTCATATGAACTTGACGACATCCTTCCCCTCCTCAAGAAGGGAGCTCTAGCAGCTCAGCGGCCGGGAGAGTTCAGCGATATCCCGGAACTGGATGCCGAGGATCGGCGGTTTCTGCGTGAGGAAAAAAGCCATCGCTGGAGACAGCCCTGGTCACTCTATTACACCATCATCCTCAACTCCATTGCCGCCGCCATCCAAGGATGGGACCAAACAGGTAGTCCATGCTTTGAAACACGCATGAGGTAACATCGCTGACTATGCCACAGGCTCCAACGGTGCCAACCTAACGTTCGCCGAGCAGTTCGGCATCCCGCAGAAAGCGCCAGGTTGCACGACTAACGCAGAATGCAGTCGTAACGAATGGATTGTTGGATTGGTCAACGCCATGCCCTATATCACAATTGCTTTTTTGTAAGTAGTTTTGAGCCCGCAGGATCTATCTTCTCTAACTTTAGTCACCAGTGCGGGCTGGATTTCGGATCCTCTCAATCATTGGCTTGGTCGTAAACCAGTTATTGCCATCGCAGCAGTATTCAGTTTGATTGCTCCCATCGGTTGCGCCTTGACACAAAACTGGCGTCAGCTGGTCGCATGCCGTGTGCTTTTAGGGATCGGAATGGGCTTGAAAGAAGTCACCGTTCCGGTCTATTCGGCAGAAAATGCGCCTACCATCATTCGTGGCGGACTGGTGATGTCCTGGCAGATATGTCAGTCTCCCATCCCTTTCCTGAATGATTGACACTCCTCTGATATCGTTGAGCAGGGACCGCGTTTGGCATCTTCTTGGGGACATGCGCTAATCTGGCGGTGGCCAACACGGGCAAGATTGCCTGGCGACTGCAGCTGGGATCAGCTTTTATTCCGGCAGTCCCTTTGCTGCTGGGAATTTGGTTTTGTCCCGAGTCACCCCGGTGGCTGCTAATGAAGGACAAGCCGCGAAAAGCCTACAAGTCTTTGTTGCGGCTACGCAATAGCCCTCTACAGGCAGCTCGCGATCTCTATTACATTCACGCGCAGATCAAGATGGAGGCCCGGCTCCTCCAGGAATCTCATTATGCAAAGAACAATGTCTTCAAGCGCTTCCTAGAACTATTCACCGTTCCTCGGATTCGACGCGCCACCCAGGCCTCGGGAATTGCAATGATTGCGCAGCAAATGTGCGGCATCAATATCATTGCTTTCTATTCGTCCACTATCTTCGAGGAGGCCGGGGCCAGTAACATAGAAGCACTACTGGCCTCATTCGGGTTTGGCCTTGTCAATTTCATTTTTGCCTGGCCCGCGGTCTGGACCATCGACACCTTCGGCCGGCGCTGGCTCCTCCTGGCCACCTTCCCCAATATGTGCTGGACACTGCTGGCCGTGGGCTTCTGCTTCTGGATCCCAGAGGACAGCAGAGCCCACCTGGGCATGATCGCACTCTTCATCTACCTCTTTAACGTCTTCTACTCACCTGGCGAGGGCCCTGTCCCCTTTACATACTCAGCCGAGGTCTTCCCGTTATCACACCGTGAAGTTGGCATGGCTTGGGCTGTTGCCACGAATAACTTCTGGGCGGCTGCCTTATCCTTGACCTTCCCTTATATGCTGCGCGATTTCAAGCCACAAGGGGCATTTGGCTTCTACGCAGGACTGAACATTGTTGCTTTGATTTTAATCTTTTTCTTCATGCCTGAAACTAAGCAGCGTTCTCTTGAGGAGCTGGATCATATTTTCAGCATATCTACCCGCGCTCATGCCTGGTATCAATTAACCGAGTCGTTGCCTTGGTGGTTTCGTCGCTATCTATTCGGGCGCAAGGATGCAGTCTGTCGGGATTTATATGCTCATTTGGAGGTGGATATTATCCCAGTGCAAAACAAAGCAGAGGAGCTGGAGTCTGTTTGATGCGGTATGAGGGATGAAGTGTTGATGAGAAATGGTTTTTTTTTTTTCTTTTTCTAAAAAAAAGGTTGTTCCTAGCATGATGAGTGAATGCTAGTATGATTTTAAAGAACTAGACTGTTATACTCTTTCATCATATTTAGAACACTATAATTATTCCTTGAAAATATGATGTTCATTCTTCTTTGCGGTAGAGTGGATCGGTTAGTGTAGCCGGCTAGGCTCCTCCCAAGGCCAAGTGTCAGCAAGGATCACTGGGTCGATGGGAATATTGTGGGTGTCAAGAAGCCGTACGATCCCAATGACTTCTTCACTAACCCAGATGATATTCCCCTGACCGTGCCAGGGGGAGTCAGCTGTTAGATTTAGATGGATTCCTTTCTGTTGAACAGATATATTAGAGTACTCGTGTCCAATCCTTGGATATAAATGTTTGACTTCTATTGATAACAAAAAGGCTTTTCAAGTTACTATGTATTTCCGGACCAAACTTACTAGGCGAGTGATGTGATCGCAGGAAAAGAGCGTATCCGAACAATGGCCACTGCTCTTAACATCATTGTCATGAATTAGCCACACACTATCAGACATGGGACGCATCAGCCACTGTTGTCCACAAATAGGAAACGTATCATGATGTCAAACGAGCAGATAAAGGTGCGAAGAGCTGCTGATAATTAGAATTGGTCATTATTGCTTACTATCTCAAGGCATTAATCATAGGCTATTTGCTTTTTAAAATTATGGTGTTTCCGCCGGTTTCCCGATATCAATTCCGTGGGTCCACAAAGGGCGAGTTTCTTTGAGATAGGTAGGGTCATGATTAGATGAGTTAAGTGATTCAGATGAATGTCTCCTGAAGGGGGTGAGGACAGTAAATCATGGAAACAAAAAGAATGCATAAAAAACATACAACAGCAGGGATTCGCTGGTGGTCACCCACCCAACTACTAACCTGCCGGCGTGTGGCTTAAGTACGGCTGAGCGGACGGGAAGCCCTGTTCTCCACACCCTGTGGTCGTATGTACTCAGAATGAGGTGACAAGTAATTATATACTTCCAAGACAGAATATCTGGTTTAAACCCGAGTACCTATCTCCAGGGTGAAGAAGGCCGTTTTTGGTCGCGTGACCAGGATACAGGTCAACCCAGCTATCCTTGAAACTCACTCACCTCAGCTAGGTGTTGGGCGACCTAGCCATTGTTAGTATATAACATCACATGACTCTGCCAAGAAAGCTTAGGTCACTTCGGCTATCAAATTAGGAATAAACATAGACAAGCTTTTATCCGTGTATAAAATTACCCCAGCCGCTAAACTAGTTTTCAACCAGTTTTATAATGGAGCCATTGATAAACCGCTTTAAATACCTTCAAGATGATGAAACCTTAATTAATCAATTAGATAATATTTCACCATCGATCAGCTCCACGGTCATGCCAGACGAGGTGAGCGTGCAGGGGCCAAGCATCAAAGAGAACGTGGTCGAGGTTTATCGACAGAAAGATGACCCAAAGGAGGTCTACGGAGACTTTCAGAGGCTGATCGAACTGGAGAAACTGAACAGGTCACGTGGCTGTACGCAGGGAATTGTCTCCTCGCGAACAAAAGGATACACCCAAAGAGAGAGAGAGAGAGAGAGAGAGAGAGAAAAAAAAGCAGCTTACCCGTGTTATTAGGCCTCAGGACTCGTTGTCATTTCCATCTCCCGAGATATCGTTTCGTATAATTTCTTGGCTTGAATGGTTCGAGGACTCTTAGGTCCATAGACTGCACTTCTACCCTCAAAGGCCTGCTGCGACATTCTTCGAGCCTTTCTCAACTCTCCCTTTTTCCTCAACACACGGGCCAACTCAATCTTCGCGGAGAATACATCGGCATGGTCCGGTCCAATTGATGATTCCTCTCGCTGAATCAGTTCCATCAGAATTGATTCAGCTTGACCAAGCTCACCTAACAATGTGTAGGAATGGGCGAGGTTGAAGAATGTCATCGAGGTACCTATATGGGCTATGCCCAAGGTACGCAACGCGATTTCTTTAGTCGGAATAAGAATGTCCACGGCATCTCTCGGGTAGCGTTGGGCACAATAGATCTTTGAAAGATCGTTCATGGACCAGAGAGTATAGGCATGTTCTGGGCCCAGAAGACGCTTCCTGTTGTCCAACACGAAGTACATTAGATTTGCCGCTTCGTCAACTTCGTTGAGCGAAAGGCAGCACATTGAAAGCTCTTGCATCGTCTCTAGTGTGTCCAAATGTTTTTCACCCAAAATCTTTATTCGCCCCTCCCAAGCCGCCATAAGCAATGTTCGTGCAGTTTTCCAGTCTCCGAGATGAGCGCAGCTACGAGAATAATTAGTCATGGCACTTAGAGTAAGAGGGTGATCTGCGCCAAGAACTTTGGTTGAAAGTTCATAGGCTTGCTTTCCGAGGTCATGGGCCTCGGAAATCGAACCGCATAACCACTTTGTGCGCCCTAAATTATCCATTGCTTGCAAGGTACGCGGATCACATGATCCCAGACGCTGCTCACTACTCTTTAGAAGAATCTCTTGTATCTTGAGGGCTTTTTTAAGGTCGCTCGAGTTCCAATAACTCTCTGAGAGTCCTGCCATGATCTCGAGGATTTCATCGCTGTCTTCTCCCAACTTCTCCCGTCTATGCTTGAGGAGCAGTTCTTGGATTCTCGAGGCGTCAACCCAACGACCCCCCTCGGAATAGATAGCGGCAAATTTAGCAAATTGACCAGAAATAGACCCGTCAAACTCTATACCCTGCCGGGAGTCAACAGCGTCAATCCTCAAACAAGAATCGACGTGAGGTATTAGGTGCCTCCGGTAGATGACATCCGACTCCTTCGTTGCTGTGGTAATGCCTTCTGCTAGAACTCTCGCTGCTATCATGCCCCACACCTTTTGTGCTCGAGGTCTCAGGCGTTCGCGGGCCCAAAATTGAACCATCGGATGCATTGAGTAACTCTCCACTGCGGTATTTTGGAATATTAAAGAGTACGAGCGAAGAAGAGCAATTGCGTCCCGAAAACGAATTTTATCCCATCGCATGCCAGTCTGTGAGAAGATTCGTGGAAAGCGACCTTCAGCCAAGAAAGTAAGCCAGCCCCAATAGGACGTCGAGAGGGTGACAAGATCTCCAAAAACACCCGTAACCATTTCGTAGACAACATTGGGAATCGCTCGTTTATGAACCAATATACTCCTCCATGCGTTCTGAAAAAGGGCTTCGGGTACTTCGTCATTGTGAAGGAAGGCAATTAATTGAAGAATCTCAGCAGCATCCATTGCTCTTTGCGTCCGCATCCTGGCAATGGCATTGAAAGAAACCTCAAACGTTGTGTAAATGTTATGCTCGTAGGAGCCTCTGCCTTGTATTCGGTGATTTGAGTAGATGATCTCTTTCGAGGAATTGAAAACGTCCAAGTAATCGTCCAACGAGCATATATCTTGTTGAATGGATGAACCAGCTTGAATGAGTGCAAGTGGAAGACAACCCAAGGTCTTAACTATAGCATGGGCAGTCTTTCTATATTCCTCGTTGGTCACAGGGAGCAGGGATGAGTGTAAGAGGAGAGTGATAGCATCATTTTCTTCCAAGCTGATGAACTCTTGGAATCCTATTGTTGCGTGTACTTGACACTGATTGTTGCGTGAGGTAAGTATGATGTGTCCCTTTCCACCAGCCGGGAAATAACGAGCATAATCGAATTGAGTGTCGTCTGCATTGTCAATGATGAGAAGCCACGGTCTCTCCTGCGTTGATAGCCAATGCAGGCCTGTTTCGAATTTTTCCTCGAGATTGTTAATACGAGCGAGGTTGCAGAATGCCTGCTCAGCAAATGCTTGGGTGCTGGCATTTACCCAAAACACCCCCCAAAACCTGACTCCACGAAGGTTAGCTTCTTTATTTTTCATTTTGGCGTATATTTTTGGCGTGTCAGTAACTGAAAGCACCAGTCGCAGGGTAACTAATCACAACACGACTTATGTCACCTAGAAATAGGCATTGAAAGGCATGGCATACAACCTATTCTCGCATCGAGTCTTCTACATACCTTTGTTTATTGTCCGCAGCAAACTTCAAACAGAATTGCGATTTACCAGACCCCCCAAGCCCATAGAGAACATACCGCTTTTGTTTATCCAAGGGTGCAAGGAACCTTTCTCGCAGGTCGACTGCCAATTTTTCTCTTCCTATATAGAACTCGGTGATCTCGCGTGGGACCAAGAAATGTTTGTTTTCAATTTTGGCCGTCGTTTCCAACGTGAGATTGAAGGGCTTGTTTCCTTTGTGAACATTAAACGCCAAGATCTCGTTTGCCTCGAATTGTCGTTGGGCGATTAGGAAATCATCAGCTTGCTTCGAACGAGCTGATACGGTGGGGCCCGCCAGCGTCTGGAATCTGACGAGAATGCCATAGATACTCTTATATCCAGGCTCCCTTCGGTCGCGAAACTTGCACATTCCAGAGTGTGTCCCAGGAAGACCAGAGCGACCCGTATCGTCCCACGCGGGAGCCGCCGAAGAAGGGGTGACAATATAACCTCGGGTGATAGCCCGATGTGTCTCCAGTGTTTCCCAAAAATTGTGTATATGGAAATGCTTCAGCAATGGCGCGAACTGCTCCGTGATGTTCTCCAGTGTCTCCGAGTCCTTTTCCATCGCAGAGATGAGGTTGCCGCGATCTTTCAAAAGTCCCTTCCAACCACTTGTCAATAAAGACCAATTCGCCTTCTGTACACCTTCATGTGGAGTGCCGAAAAAAATAAGGCCGAACGTCGATGTGAAAACAGAATGCAGATGACAAACTTTGGACGATTTACTCATCGAGGAGTAGATCAAGGCCTTCTTGACAATGATCCCACCAAGACCATGGCAGATGAAGACGATCGGTCGTCTGTTGGTACCATCGTGCTCCCGTTCCGCATTAAGCTCTTCAACGAGTGTTTGTGCATGATGAAGAATTCTGTCAGCCGAGCTGCTACCAAAGAATGACGGCACGTCTGCTTTGTACTCCAGCGACAAAATGCGAGCTTTG